ATTCTTAAAAACGTGTAATAGCAGGAAAAACTTTTTATAGGTTAGTTTGAAAAGCATAAAATAGCTACATTTTGACGCTAAACAGGGTTCAATATTTTTTTTTGTTATCAAGTTAGTCGCAAATTAGAAAGAAAAAAATAAATAATGATTATGAATTGAGAAACACGACGCTAACGAAAAGACATTTAATTATCAAAACAAAATGCGTTTACAAAAGAACCTTCCTAAATCCACGCAAATGAGTGAGTCGATAACAATCTTGAAAATAATAACAAAAACAATAACAAACAGATATTGACATTATGTAACAAAAGGACAATTAAATTTTAACAAAAGTAAAGATGTTTATAAATGCTCTATTATTTTCAATGCAGGAATTTAATCTTCGCTGCGTGCTTAGGTAGGTTCTTTTATAAACGCATTTTGTTTTGGTAATGTCTTTTCGTTAGCGTCGTGTTCCTCAATTCATTATCATTATTTATTTTTTACTCACTAATTTGCGAATAAGTTGATAACAAAAAAAGATATCGAACCCTTTTTTGCGTCCAAATGTAGCTATTTTTATGCTCTTCAAACTAACCTATAAAAAGTTTTATCCTGCTATTTCACGTTTTGAAGAAAACGTGAAGAAACCTAAATTTGGAAAAAATCGCACCAATAAATAAACAACACTTTCGTTAGAAATTTTCATCAATTATTTGTATTATGTAAAGCATTGCATTTAAAATTTTTGAGAAAAATCCATAGAACGGCATTCTTTTGAAATAACGCCATCTAGAGGCCGTTTGTAAATAAGTGCGATATATTTTAAGGGTTGGTTGTCTAAGTTATTTTGTGAAAAAAGGTTATATAAATGAAGGTCGAAATTTGTTTTTTCCGAGATACAGAGTGTTTAAATTTTAATTTTTTATTTATTTTTATTAATTATTTCAGAGTTTTAAAGATTAGAGACAGACTCGAAATTTGAGAAATGCTTTGGAGGGACACAGGCGAGCCGGCGAAGCAAGAAGAGCGCCAGAAGAAAGGGCCCTAGCCGGCGGGGCCCAGCCAGGACAAAAGGAGGTCCCACAAAGCGCCTACACCGGCCGCATTTGCGGTCGGGGTAGACGACGGATGGGGCCCACCTACAGGACAAAAGGAGGTCCCACAAAGCGCCTACACCAGATGAGGCAGGATAAAGAGGGATAATCCCCCTCGATCCCAAATCATTGAGGCCAATTTCTAGCCATAGAATAATGGCGCGCGCTTTGGAAGGATAAATGTGCATTTTTTGGGATGCCACAACTTTTTTTAATAAAAAAAATGATACGCCACAGACTTTTTCCTGTTTTGATATTTTTTTAGAAATCCTCTATCAATTCTGAATGAAATTAGTCCCTTCAATTTATTTCGTAGGATGCACCGTTTTTGAGGAAAAAATAAAGCATATTTTATTGCAAGTTGTGTATTTTTAAATTCTATTGATACATTATCTAGTAGCTTGCTGTCAATATTTCTAAATGAAATACAACCATCAAATTTCGAATGAATATCTTTGATACTCTGAAATAATTTATAAAAATAAATAAAAAAATAAAATTTAAACACTCTGTATCACGGAAAAGAAGCATATTTCGACCTACGCTTATATGAACTTTTTTTCACAAAATAACTTCAGCAATCACCTCTTAAAATATTTCGCATTTATTTACAAACGTTATTTACCCTTTACTGGTTTCCATATTGAGGTAAATGACATTATGCATTCACCACAAAATAAAGCATGAAAAGATCTTTCCAACGAGGTATAACACTATGGTCTTTTGATGAAATAATCCTTTAAAAAAATGCATGTTTCTGATCAGACATTAGGGGCTTCCCCCACCCTTTCTGTCGAGATAGAACAAAATGTCGATAACAACAGTTATGCCCAATGAATCCGGCTGTCCATATTTGTACTATTTAATATACCCGAATAGAAAAAATTTCTGAGAAAAATTCAACTCTATGTTTTGGTATGTAGATTGACCCCCCTAGCGGCCGAGCTAGGAACTTGAAAACTATTTCCTGCGATTTCTCTTGGTCGATTTGTTGATCAAAATTTTTTTCCCGAAGCTAGGGCCCATACTTTCTCTAATATCGTGCCTCGCCGACCTTAGTGGGACACCCTGTATATCTTTACTTTCTCGTGTCTGCCATTTCAAAATCAAAATACAATTTACATTTTGCTCATTACTTTTACTGAATTTATGTCGGCAAATAGCTCGAAAACAACAATTTTTTCGCAAATGTTCCACTAAATAGTGATCCAGCATAGATAATGGTTTTAAAAGTCATCGATGAAATCTGATACTTCTTAACCGCCGTCATATCTATTCATCCTTATCTAAACTTTCAAAGGATCAAACGCCAGAGCGATGGGATTCACAACACGAATATTCATGTTCAATCTATCAGAAATTCTGTCTCATAAATACGCTTAAATTTATTGCTGATATATGTATGACTCACACAACATCAACAATAACTGTATGAGTCACAAGAACTATTCAGAACGCCTGGTCGTTTCTTATAAATTCGAAAAAACTACGCTCAAGTAAACTTATCGATCTCCAGATCATCCGAGACGGTTTGCAATCTAGTAGGCGCATCCCCAACGTGGAACAACTGCCGAGCGCCGAGACGTCTCTGTGTCCCCAAAAGGCAACACAAAAGGACCGAAAATTGTGGTAAATTGTACCTCGTTTTTGCTCATTTGTTCTCTTTGGGGGATTTATTTGAGCTCCTAACTAATATGCGTGAGTTTTGAGTGCTTTTAGCCATCCATCTTCGACACAGTCGCTAGAATATATATAGCATTTCAGTTTAAATGTACAAAATCTTAGAATTTAACCAATGTAGAAGCGATTTTTATTAACGAAGATAGTACAAGATATAGAAGGCTATAACAAAGGTTTTGTGGTTCTAATAGAATATATAATAGGATACCAGTATTTTTTGAAACTCTAATTGTAAGCTATGATAGAAAAATCTCAACCTATCCATTGTGTAATTTATTCATAAAATATCTACGTTTTCCGTCCCTTAAGCTTTATTGAAACCTGTCTGATATATCATTTTCCTAACGTGAATGAGCATGTAACAAAAACAATTGTCAATAATTTTTTTGAGCATATTACCTTGGATTGCTGAAAATCCGAGTAAACAAGAGTTGAAAAACAAATTCACTTTTACTACGCCTCATTCTCTAGCAAAAACAGGATAGTGAGTGGCCTCTATGTTTGTTTACAACTTTCGGACAACCTCTGGCACCGCGCCATCTACAAAGCCTATTTGGTCCCTCTCGCGAATACGATACCCAACCCCCAAGGGGTTTCAGCCCAGTCAAGCCGGCGCCGCTTCAGGATAAACGACCTTTCCGTGCGCCTTTCTCGGCTATAACAAAAAATATCTCTGAGATAATTGATCTGGAACGCTCTTAATGCAGCAGTTGATGGAAGTGAATAATCGCTGTGGACGTGGCGAAGGTCTATTGCGACATACTGACGATTTATGCGGATTATTTGGCAGTTGACTCGGCTGTGTCTGGACTCTCATCGATAACAAATAATAAATGATGAAACTGAAAATTTAGGCCAATATTTAACATTTCAAAGGGTTCGAAACGATACTAACATCATCAACATTTGAAAATGTATACTATCACACAAAAATTAATCATTAGCTTGTATCTACCCCACTAGATCACCCAAAAACAATATTCTAATGTAGTTACAAAATGACATTTACCTTGTTTTATATAAGATTGGGGGAAAAATCTCCAAAACTATTCATGTGGATCATCATTATCAATAAGACTAGAATGCAACCGATGGTAATTTTTTTTTTCAGTGTTTACCTCGAACAGCTGCAGCGTACTGCTTATCAATCTCATCGATATGCTTTCTAATTTTATCATCGCTGTAATATCCACACGTGGCATTGAACAAAGTTGTTGTGATAACCAAATTAAATAATGCCAATCACAGACCTACTTTTCCCCTTTTGTGATTAAATCAACTGTCACATTAACTATTACCATGGTTGTAGCAATATGATGGATTAGAGCTTAATTATTACCTCTTGCCGTATTGGGTCCTTCAAAATGCACATGAGATAACTGGATATATTTAATTGTTTCGGTTATTTGTATGGCACTTATTGAGTTAGGTTTTATGCACTCGACTTTGGTAGAATGAAATAATTTTTTAAGTTAGTTGTCTCTTCAATATGTTGTTGTGACTGTTTTCCTTAAGGGCGCCATATTCTTTAAATAGTGTTTTCCGCAAAGACAAATAATTTCAAACATTTAATAACTGAATAATCTAAAGCTTATCAAATAATAGGAATGTTATGTCATGCCACCTGAGTATTTTCAAAGACGCCGCAGTAAACCGAATAAACAGGTGCAAAAAACTATCAAACCATTAAGGTTTCAGGTACTGAAATCTACGAAAACACTAACTTTTTTATATATAACTCCACATGTAAATATTATTATAACGTTTACTTGCTCAGTCCTACATATAAAATTGTTTACTTTTACTTACAAGTAGGTACGTGAAAATAATTCTTAGAATGTGGGGTTAGGATAACAGCAAACGCATGTTTTACAAACGCTTTTTTTAGTTATTATTTTATTTGAGTAAATTTAAATGGTAACAATGAATAAAGAGAACATCAAGGATTTTATTTTTGTGCTTAATTTTGTTCTACACGTTTTACTTTTTAAGATTTCAGTACCTAAAAACGCCAGAAATTTCACTATTTCTCGGTCAGGGATATGGTCACCTTAAGATCGATTCCTTCAAACATCAGAAGTACCTTTTCAAAGACATTGAACACCTTCTATTGAAGTTGAAACAGGCACAACCACAGCAACATCAAGAAGAACGTATTATTGAAGAAAATTTGAATTTCTTTATCATATTTAGCAGGGTCAACATTACTAACGTTCTTGATAACATTATAGACTACAATATTCATGCAAACAAATATCTTACCAGCTTGTTTTCCCCGTGGACAGGCTGGATATCAATAAACTTCGGAGGAATTGGCTTGACTCCGTCAAGAGGCGACTTATCCACACTCCTGGCCTTATGATGCTTCTCTTTCTCGGTACTGTAGTCTTTATGGATGTCATCCACTTCAATACCATGCCCTTGGTAGTCCCTATATATCCCTTGAGAGTCCATGAAGTGTATGTCGTAGGGATGTACCAAGCCATGAGAATCAAAGTAATGTGCAGAATCCCTCCTTTGCTCTCCATGGTAGGCTTCGCCGTCGTGGTGGTGTTGTTCTACAGGACTATGGGGTAAGACGGGATATTCCCGACTGTGTCCCATGTGCAAGTCCTTGTAATGGATCTCACGGGGTCTGTCCGCCATCTTGTGGGGACTCTTGATGGCCATGTGCTTTTCGCTCCCGTGCTCCTTGGCGTGGTGGTGGTCTTTGGCGTGGTGTTCCTTCCCATGGTGCTCTTTTAGGTAGTGGTCTTTGTGGTGTTCTTTGTGGTGGTGGCTGTGGGGGAGGTGGTGGTGGGACGCCTCGACCAAAGTGGGCTGGATGTGAGTCACGAACTGGGCCATGGTTTAGTGCATAGTCTTTGATTCTCGTTGTACGGGTTTCATTTTTGATTCGATTTATTTTGATCTGGTGAGAAATGGAGTTTTATTTATTGGGTAACGGTATCGTCAGTGATTTAGACATTTTTTCCCCGATTTAATTCGATTTGGAGTTGACTTTAACCCTATTTTAAAAAAGAACCAAATTGAATCGGGCAAAATACCTTTTTTACAAAGGTGTTTCCATTTAAATTGTGCCACACTGTATATTATTTTAACCTCGGCAAACAAAAACTGTAAATAACTTTTAAATTGTAAATACTTAGCAAACGTTAGAAAAAACGTTTTTATCTTTTATCTATCAGTACAGTCATTTAACAAGATTATAAATTGTAATCTATACAACCAAAAGGTATTTCCGTTTTTCACAAGTAAAATGTAGGATAAATTAAACGTAAGGAGAATTAATTTAAAACTATGATTTGATGAAACTATTGAAGATAGTGAAGACATTAACAATTAACTGATAAGTTATTTAAAATGTACTAGTCACTATTTGCTGATATTTCATTTCAGTAAATCATACAGGGTATTTGTTTTAGTAAGTACAATTTCTTACAATGTAATATTTGGATTTTTTTCACAAAAAGATATGTTTTGCCCTTTTCAACTCTATCCATGGAGACACCGTATGTGATACGTTATACAGGGTGGTCCGAATTTTATGCAGGAAACTTCGAGGATAGATGGATCTCTTTAGAATAATAGGTGTTTGCAGTTGTTAAAAAAATTGATTTTTTGTTTATATCTTCGGAATCTATTAACCAATCTCAATAAAATTTGGTGCGGATAATGTATAATAGTAAGCCTTACATTCCCTAAAATATGACCTCTAAAGGTTCAACCAGTGGTGTACAACTGGACAGGAGTCACCTAATTTTTTATAAAAAAACCTACGCCACTGCATCTTTTACAAGTTATTTTAATAGATTTTCTGTGACCGTGTGGCTCGGAATAATTCGCAATAGAGTTTGTGCACCTTTCTTCTTGCCACCCTGTCTAAATTCCCAGTAATTTCTAAACTTTGTAGAAAACCATCTATTTGAATTATTGAAAGGATGTTCCATTAAATATACGACAAAATAGCTGGATACAATGAATGGTGCTCCTGCGCGTTCTGGGAAAATAATACAAGAATGGCTTAATGAAAATTATATGGGGCGATGTATAGGTAGAAGACCAAATGCCAATACCAACCATAATTGTGCAGAGGGTGCAGTGTATTGGCCAGCCAGATTGCCAGATCTAAACACCCTGGACTTGTGACTATGTGAAAAGGTTATGTTAGACCACGACTATTGCAGCGAGTAGAAAACAAGTGCAATGAATTAAAAGAAAACCATCACATGATATTGGCATCAATTAGTTCCATTAATAGAAGATGTCAGAAATGTGTCGATATGGGTGGTTCGCATTTTGAACAATTGGTTAGAACTGTCACAATAAGGGGATTGTTTGAATAGCTTGAATAACGACGAATCTTAGTGATAATACATATTTTGTGCATAAATCCGTTACAATAACTTGTAAAATATGCAGTGGCGTAGGTTTTTTTATAAAAAAGGCGGTGACCCCTGTCCAGTTGTATACCACTGGTTGAACCTTTTAGAGCTCATATTTTAGGGAATGCAAGGCCTACTATCATACATTATCCGTACCAATTTTTTATTGAGATTGGTTAATAGATTCCGTAGATATAAATCTTTAAAACGAGGCCTATGTTTATAAGGCAAACACCTATTATTTTAAAGATCTCTGCCCTCGAAGTTTCCTGCATAAAATTCGGACCACCCTGTATAAAAAAATACATTTTAATGAAGCTACTGTTTAAAAAAATTTGTAATACAATTTTCGAATTTTTAACAAGACTTTTTGAAACATAGACGGTAGTTTTCATAGAGATGTCCTCTGAAAAAAAAATTAAAATGGATCCATCGTCTCCAAAATTCGGTTACTCTGAGAGTACGACACTGTACAAAATATGTAATGTAATAATTACTATAAATCTAATTGTATTTGTTATATTTCATAAAAGAAAATGTATATTAGCTCAAAAAAGGGTACCTATTATCATTTGTTTATTGATTTATGTACATGAAGATAAAATTATTTGCTCACGTTACAACTCTTAGGGTACTTCATTACTTTCATTACTGTATCCCTCTGTATATTTACAGAAAGCTATTCCTCTAATCCAGATAATGTAGGACGCTGTGTTATCAAACACCTGCGATCAGTTCCATCGTCCTTTGCGTCATCTTAATAAATGTGAGTCACCCTTTCATAAGTGTATTTACCTCAATTATATTTCCAAGCATTTTTTTCTCGCATTTTGGGTGCGTAAATTTAAGTTTTCTATATATAGGCTATTCAACCAAGGTCTAAAAGATTTTGGTTAGTCTACTATATCTCCAGACCTAACACCTCTTTGTTTTTTTAAATAAACGTCAAATATCCTTAAAATGGACATAAGATAAAAACTAAATTAGTTCTAATAGTAATTAATATTAGGAAATAATAAAATATTAAAAAAAAGAGGCAAGCAAACATCAACCGTTACCCAGTAAATCTGAAAAACTCCACTTTTCACATACTACTACCGAGGAGGGTACGAAAATACCGCGAAACGTTGCAGTCAACAACCTCTCTGGCTCTGACTACAAACTTTCCAACATCTAAACACTACTCAGACTAGAGTAAATTATTGTCTTGTGTACGAGAGCTTCGAGACTTGCCTCACTGGGCGCTACACGGACAACAGATGAGAGTCCTGCAGGATATATCGACGGCGCGGGGTGGTTTCCCTCCTCTGGAGCCGGCCGGAGGAAAATATTGAGGACGGAGCTGGTTTCCAAGGCGGGAGAGGGATCGATAACGTCCGCGGGAGATCAAAACTGTCGGAGGGTAAATTCGCTGCGTTCCAGGCGATATTTCAGACGGGGAGAGTGTTTGGGGCCCGGGATCGCGGGCAGGCGCTGTGAGGCTTTCGCGAGGGGTTTTTGAATATTTATAATGGTTCGTAGATGTGTAGAACTTCGCTTCCATCATGGATGTTTGTCTGATAACACTCCATGCAAGTATTGTGGAATATTGCGAATTTCTAAACAGTGCTCCTAGAGAATATTTCATAATGAATTGTCTAGGATGGCCAGTTTGAGATAGGGTGCAGGGTGATATATGGGAAAAACTGATAAAGTATTGTAATTTGTAAATTCCAGTATCGATAACCTCTGACTTTGACCTAGTTTAAGCTGAACTCTATTACCGTCACTACGTGAAGGGAGCATTTAAGAAAGGTAAAGCTGGTAAAGATTAAAAATACGGATATTTCTACTCTTTTTCCTTAGTAGCAGCCAATCGGTGGTAGACATATTTAATTAGTCGAAAATAAACTAAACAGCGATAAAATTTAACAGTGATCAATTTCAATGTTTCTGAAAAGCAGCTACTGCCAGCTGACTTCACACCTGGTATGATATGATGGATGATAAACGCCTAAAAAACAAACTGCCACTTTAATTCGGCGAAACACATTTTATTTCTATTTCCACTTCGGTTTACTAGAAGGTGTTTGTATAGTCTAGGTGTAAGTAACCTTATAAATTTATTTATCCAACACTTGTATATAATGATACTATAACTTCTTTGGTTTTAAAGGAATAATGTGGCCTATAAGTCACTAGTGAGTTATAAGTCACGTCACTAGTAAGTTATGACTTATAACCCACTAGTGACTTATAAAAATCATAAAAAGACAAATGTTTTATTTTTCTAGTTTTTATTAGAAAACCAATTTGAAACAGTAATAAGTCAACAAATAACCTAAAATGATACAAACTTACAATCAACCTACTTATTAATATTAACATTAACATTTATGGTAAAAATTTATTACCGATGTTGCAAAATAGCAATAATTGATGAAAAAAGGCAAAATAATCAAGTTCTTTTTTTGGACAATTTTTTAAAATATTTTAATTGCTCCGAGGGCATTCTAATTTTGACAAAAAAACTTTAGGGTATAATAAAACAGCACACCTCAGAAAGATATTTATTTACAAAAACATGTAGAGAGTTGACAATTAAATGACAAATATTATGTTACTTACTGGTTTTTAGAAAGAATGAAGACAATGGAGCTTTGTTGTATTTAGAAATATCACATTCCTAATATGTTAGAAAGTAATGTTATTATACAGGGTGATTTACAACTTTTCCAAAAAAAATTGGGAATAGATGTGGCATGAGAAATAGAGTCAATATCGTAAAAATCCTTATAGTTTCATAGAAAAAAAAATATTGAAGTTGTAATACTTTCAACCATTACATAGCTGGACAACTGTAGTCTTTAGCGTCAATATGCGTGGAGAGCCACCTGGCCTCAGTGACTCCGAATACTGAAATCCGATTTTACAGACGTCGTTACCATAGTGTTTACAGTAGTTTTTTAGTAGTTAGTGTCAAAAATGGTTTGCGTGTATAGCAACTCGGAGTTGATGGATATCACTTTAATTTATGGTGAAGCAAGAAAACATTTGTATTATGGTGAAGCATTTGTGTTATTGTGAAACAAGACAGCATTTTTGTGTTTGTTCGTAGAAACTGAATAAAATGGACTCAAATGTGTTTACAGGTCTGTGGACAAAATTTTGAACAATTGTTGCAACATCAGATATGTTAAATTATGTTATTATTTAAAACCACAAATTAATTTTATTAATTAATAATAATAATAGCGGCAAAATCAGTTGAATGTGCTGATATAAAATTGGTGCTATAAAATTCTATTCCTTTCCTTGCGAAATTCTCTCGAGTTCTTGTCCGTAAATTGTATTTGTAAAAGTGCCCTGAACTTCCTGATTTTTTTTTTTTGGATAAGTTCTGAATCACTGTATTATCTGCTATATTGGTAAAATATTTATTAATCTCATCTAGTGATAAATTTAAATGTTTACTAGTACAGTTCTTTGATGTCGCACAATATTTGTAATACGCCAACTATCTCTATTTATATTATTGGAATATTTTGAAATATTATCAAAACACGAGCTTTTTGCGTCTAATACAATCAAATCGGACGAGTTCAAATATTCAAAATCCTCTGATCTTTTGTTGCCGAGATAATACTGAAGCCCTGCATATGGTACATAGAAAAACCTTGTACCAAATCAGCGATTTCTATGTAAAACATCGGCTCTATATCCGTTATACATACAGGGTGTCCCAGCTAAAACGAAACAGAGCGAATAATTCTCAGGAAAATTACTTTCCCCAAAAACGCCGAGACAGGTCGATTTTTGATCGAAGGGATCTTTTCACATAAATTTCTTGTTATAGGCTCTACCCTCCTGGGGGTGGGGGGAGTGGGGAGCAACCCACCAAAAATCTTACTAGGGGAAGAGGGTTAAGTGACCACATCGTTTGAAAGGTATTCTAGTTCTCTACACAACCGTGTTTTATTTTTTGAACTTTTGAAACTACTCTTTACAAATTCATTTACAAATTAGTACATGTCAGCCAATTAAGTGTTCAAATTGATGACCTCCAGCCTCCATACAGTAATATAAGTTTTGTAAAAAGCATTCACGCACATTTTGTAACATTTCTGGAGTAACTTGGCGGCATTCGTTAGCGTAGGTCTTGAAGGGAAGTAAGTGGAGTGAAATAAATTTTGTACTTTAAATGACCCCACAAGAAAAAGTCCGAAGGAGACAAATCCGGCGGTCGTGCAGGCCATTCTATGCTGCCTCTTGTCCCAATCCACTGATTCGCAAACTTACGATCAATCTCATCCGAGAAATAGATATTAAAAATAAAATAAAGTTTGTTAATATCTCGTTCACTCATTATTTCACAAAATTTCAGTGCAGTTGGCGGTCAAAGTCAGCTTCATGAAGTTCCTGTGCAAGGTGAATTTTGTATCGTTGAAATTTAAAATGTTTCAAAATTTTGCGAATTTTGTTTCGCTCAAAACCGGATTGAGCTGCCAGTTTTAGAATTTATTTGACGATTTTACATGACGAAGAACCACCACATTTGCTTTCGTTTCTTTCGGGTTGTAGCTATTTATTACATACAGATCCAATCTCCTCAAACCTCCCTTCGATCAAGAATCGACCTGTCGCTCTATTTCGCTGGATGCCCTGGATATTGAAGTTCGTTTAAAATTTCGATTTCAATAAACAACAAAAAGTATGCGCTTTGTTCTAATCAAAACGGCGCAAGCCACGTTGAAATGGGATGATTGCTTTCAACTTGATTTGAGAACTCATTTCGATATACACTATAAACGCCTCTTAGATTTGTTAAATAAAAAATTGAATCTTTTGGTTTTATTTATTTATCTTTCCCAGAACTCTGTCACCGTTCAAGTGGGTGGTTTTTGAATATAACAAGTAATAATTGACAATTTACTGAAAATAATACGTCCTCCGAACTGAACTGCTACAAATTATATTATGGAAACCTTATACGACACAATCACAAGGATATCTCCGCTTTAGGTGTCGGAGTGTAATGAACTACATCGATTCGTTGTGTGTCCATTTAAAATATGACGTGGTCCCTCACGATTTACAACACGAACAGGCCCTTGTGAGTACATAAATTATTAGTTTTTTATAAACCTCGTGGCATCATTATTATTGCGGTTTTATTAAAAATTCATGAAGTGTTAATCTTTATAGAATGTCCGATGGTTTGTTTTCAGTTGTATGTATAAGATAGTCTAGTTCTCTAGTTCATACAAAAGTAATCTATAGAACCCTCATGATTTTTTTACTTCTGTGTACTTGGTACTTTTTTTGTATTTTCCTGTTAAAGGATTAAGGCAAATTATGTTATCTATAAAAAAATATTGATATCATTCGTATAATGGAATGACTTTAAGTTGAAAAATAACTGTTTATCTTTTTATATTTTATTTGTTTTTAGGTTTAACGAAAAGGAATTACTTATAGATTGTAATTTTTAATTTGTTTATATGTTAAAGAATGTCAAGTATTGATTAAATTATTCTACAATTTTTAGTTCTGTAGTTTATACAGAGCATCCCGGTACTTGACACAAAAATATCAGTTCTTCGTATAATTTTTTTTCATACGGGCCTTCGTTAACAAGTTACGGGCCCTCAAATGTGAAAATTAAAAAGTTATTTTTATTTACAGTCTCTAAACTATTAACTTCAGTATAACGCAAATTTGGTAATTGATAACACACGCGTACAGCTTGTTTTTGATGCTGTAAGTGAAACTTCATTATGCCCAGAACGCCAGGGACGGACTATGCCCAATGGTTAACAACCCAGAATTTTTGCATGGATGACAGTCGCAATCTGCCTATATCAAAAATAGGTTCCCTGAAGAATTTACCAACGATAATACCCTCTTGGTTCAATTCGGTAAAATTAACAGTTTAGGAAATATTTGAGATTTTATGTCACAGTGCATATCGAGCGGCGCCTCCACCATTTTTTGTTTTTAATTTTTAATTGGACATAATTACTATGTCAGAACCGTACATATTTTTAAAATAAGAACCTAGAAAATCTTACAGTCGGGCACCTTCCATCTCCGCACAATTCCTAAGTCTACGAATGTTATTTGTTTCTACACGAAAAAGCATTCATGGGGTAATAATTTAATAAGTCCATACGTTTTTGAGGAACATCTGAATGGACATCGATATTTGGAGTTATTGTAAAATAATTTGCAGCCACTATTAGACGATGTTCCATTAGACACACGAGGAAACGTTTGGTTCATGCACGATGGGGCTCCTCCCCACTTCAATATTGATGTACGAAATTATTCATCCATTGTATTTAATAATAAATGGATTGGAAGAGAGGCTCAATTTCATGGCCACCACGTTCTCCAGACTTTAACCCGATGGACTTTTTTCTGTCGGGATACCTGAAAAGTTTAGTGTACGCAGTTCCAGTACAGACAAATGACGAATTGCTACCAAGAATTAATTTCCATTGTGACAATATTAGACATACCCCAGAAATGCTTTTTCGTGAACAAACAAATAACATTCATAGACTTAGGAAGTGTGGGAGGTAGAAAGTGGTATTGGAAATGTATTTTGATAGTTTTCTTTCTTTTAGATATCATTTTTTTAATTTACTTTATCTTATCTTTGTTTTGTTGTTCTATTTTGTGTTTTGTGTAAAGTGTGTTTCTTAAGTTTTATTAGTGAAAATTACATTAGCAGACAGTAAGATATTCTAGGCTCTTATATTAAAAATATGTACGGTTCTAACATAGTGGAGGTTGCTTTCGCTGTACAGCAAAAATAAAACGCTCTCTCAACGGTACAAATAAAGTATTCTTATTGAAAACTAAGCTTGTGGAAAAAGACGACGTTGTCGGTTCGAATGTTTGCTGGAGAGTCAGTCCTCGTGGTGTGGAGTCGTTCGCAGAAGTACCTGGTCCTTGGCCCCAATCTGCCGGGGTCGTCTTCCGGGAACCCTGGTGCGTCCGGGCGGCGTCTCGCTGGCGCTATTGACGCTGTACTTAAAAATGGGTCACTTGCAATATGTGTACCCACAATAGTAATTATGTCCAATTAAAAATTAAAAATAAAAAATGGTGGAGGCGCCGCTCGATGTACACTGTGACATAAAATAACAAATATTTCTATTCTGCACTATGAATTTTACCGAGTTGAATCAAGAGGATATTATCGTTGGCAAATTCTTTACGGAATTTATTTTTGATACAAGCAGATTACGATCGTCATCTATGCAAAAATTTTGGGTTGTTAACCATCCGTCCTTGGCGTTCTGGGCTTAATGAAGTTTCACTTACAACATCAAAAACAAGCTCTACGCATGTGTTATCGATCACCAAATTTGCATTATGCTGAAGTTAATAGTTTAGAGACTGTAAATAAAAATATCTTTTTAATTTTCAATTTTGAGGGCCCGTAACTTGTTAACGAAAGCCCGTATGCAAAAAAATTATATGAAGAACTGATATTATTTTGACCTCAACTATTTGTACTCAACACACCACAATTTCAGGAAATTTCCTTGTCATATTACAGCGTTGTACAAACAATTGAATTTTGCGTTTCGATATAAGTATAATAATAGTTTATTAAAAGGAACACTCTGTATATTTGTAATATACCTGCGATGGGGTAAATTAAAGTCCTTTTTAATTGAGTGTAAACATTTTCCTTTCCTACTAGTTTCGGCTGCTATGCCATCATCAGGGGAAAAGAAAAATGACAACCACATTGATTTTCTTTCAAAATTGAAAATGGTTCATTATGGAGCGTTCACCGTGTGCAAGGGAAGATCCGCCAGATATTTCGTTGGAGGACATCCCCAATAATAAATAAATAAAAAGGCTAATCAATAGAGGACGAATCAACAGGACTGAGCGTTTACCTGATATTCAATATTGGCACACACGCCCAGCGCCAGCAGCGGTTGTTATCTTATCTCCACGCTCTATGAAATATTTTACCTGCCGTCGTGTTACTGGTTTACGTGTGCGATTGTTTCGGCAGTCATATATTACCGTGCCTGGCCTACTTTGTGGTGTCTTGATTGAGAAAAAAAAACGGATAGGTTTATTTATATTATGTGACACGAGTTCTTCGGAAGAATCAAGGTATACGCTTAAAGAAAATAATCACGAATTTTGTTAATCTGTGCGTTTGTTACCGTCATCAAACGTGTAAGGATAGTGTTGAAAAATGTCCAAATAATGAGTAACAGTAGAGGTGTTCTTAAATGATTGCTTCTATTTTGGAATAAGTGACATTCGCAAATTTTTAAAATGTGATCAAATTTTACAACATATTTCTACGCTATGAAACCTATTGAATAGATTTCAAATTATTTTTTTTTGTAACGCACAATGTTCTTCTATCACCAAATTATTTCATTTACCTAAAAAACTTTGGGGGATTATAACAGGAAAAATTGAACATCGTAAGGTAACATGTTTCTGTTACACTGAAATCGACAGTCTTTTGTTTATAAGCAATTATTGAAATTATCTCGAAAATCCAAGACAACAAATCAGATGCACTATTTTTTTAATTTTAGGGATTTCTTTTATATATTTACAAATATGTTTAATACTTTACTATAAATCAGTTTTACGTCGTTAATAATATTATTGACTAACCAGATTAAATGACAATATTCGTTTTGTTTTTTGCTGCAAGAAAGCTTGTAATGACTTTTTCGTATTTGCAGGAAATGTGTAAAAATAAAATCATATTACATATTAGGTGTAATAAAATCCACTCAAAAAACGATCGAAAATTTGAAACTCCGGAGGTACCTCTCCTCTTGTATATTTAAATCCAATCCATTCTTTTATTTCATCGTACAAAACGCACAGTGTCGCTCGCAACGTGCTCATCTATTCCTGGCCTTAACTACGTACAGGCTGTTCCGGAAAAAAGTTCAAAAAAAATTAAAGTGTGTCATAAAAATATTGATGCAACTATGACTCTTTCGAGCTCAATATTAACAGTTACTTTTTAATTAATACTCGTATTTTGCTATAACTTTTTTCAAGGTAAGCGATTTTTTTCAATTTTGGTACACTTATTATTAACAACAAACTGCACCTACGAAAAAAAAGATAATCATAATTATGAAGCTGCAAAGTGTTTAAATTATTTTTACTGACTTTAAAATATATTATAGATTTTTTTTCACCATTTTGTCTATGAGCAATTATTCAAAATATTTCAAGTACACAGGAAAAAATCAAAGACACGTTTTGACTTTAAGATTCTCTCTTGTGTATTTACAAATAGATTTCAATTTTTTTTAATCTCTTTAACGACATTAATGTTATCGTCAATTATCCAGATTAAGTAGCATCGTTCATTTTGTTGTTTGCTGCAAGAAATCTCGTTTGACTTTTTCAGAAATGTGCAGTAAAATATGTAAAATAAAACGGTATAAATTATTAAGTGCAATAAATTACTGTCAAGATAATTCCGTAAAAAATAAACATTCCCAAATTTGAAATGCTCAGGCCTGGAATAGACCTCAATGAGATACCAGGTAATTCAGAAAGAAATACAAAAAATTTAACTGGTTCTAATCATTAAAACAATGGTATAATATAGTCTTTTCAAAGTCAGTAGAACGTGTAAAAAAACGCCTGGCAATAAAATTTAATGACTCATAGGCGTCCCCAAAAAAGTTTTCTGCTAAAGGTAAAAAATTATAATTTGTATATAATGTGTAGAAAATTTCTATTATATGCTCATTTGGCAAACAACATATTTTTATTATTTATGACCTCAAACAATTTTATTCCATTGATGGTAAATTTCGTTTTGTTCCGTTTCAAAAGGTCTCCAAAATGCCGTGTTGTAATAATATTATTTCTCCCTTTCGCAATTGTAATATCAATGATTAATAGAAGGTGCCTATAATAAGTTAAAATTACCTGAATCACACCAAATTCCGCATTGCATTGCTGCACTGCACTGCTGTGCAATTTGTCAACCAGTTGTCAACAGCTGAGATTTATTTACTAATGACCCAATGCCAGCTGCATTGGGTCACTGGGATAGGTATAGAGAACCATTATACCATTCGATGGAGAACAAAATTGTTCATCAGGTTGCGCAAAAATATACAGGGTGTTCCATTAAAAAAAATAAGTTAAGATAGTTTAAAGGAGACTAAATTCGGCATTAAATTTCTACCACCCTGTATGAAATTAAGTTATTTTGAAATTATGGCAGGGAAGCTTAGAGTTTCAATTATGTCTCCTATAAATTTTATAGCTCTAAATCTATTATTGCAAAATACACATCTTTTTGAATTAGGCAATGGTTTTTAATTTTTTTTTGAAAAAAAATGAAATATCAAAAACGGTTAACTTTAAGAATAGGATACCTTTATGAAAGTACACCTAAAAATTGACGTGGAATCGAAAATTGCAATAATATACAGAGTGTTTCATTTAAAATAACGAAGATGACGTCAACTTCCGGTATAACCGGAAGCATTGGGTGGACGAAAACACTATTGCCCAAATTTTCAAAACTAAAAACAAAGTAGGCTCTGAAATATGTCTAATGTCTCGTCACCGTGGGACACCCTGTATATAAGGTAAATACATATAAAGTAGATTTTTTGGATTAAAATGTGTTTTTATTTTATTAATTTATTTTAACAAGAAATTACACTGAAAATGCACAGGATGATACACTTACGAAGAAAAACGCCTTCGTAACTGCAAAACACAGTATGCACTGCAAACTGCTACGATAAACGCCACCCCAACAAATAGGTATCGTACGAACTGTTATTAATATTTTGCTGTAACTTTATTTAAGTAAAGCGATATTTTTCTCCAATTTACTATTGACAAAAAGAAATGTGTCGGTTAACACAAGTAATCGTCAAATTTCGATAAAAATAGAAGTACTTTTGTCCCTTTTCTAATTGATAATGTGTGTAAATTTATCTTTGCGAACTGTCGAGAGTTATTAATGGATTCAAGACATTGTTTCGAAATTTCAAAAAAAAATTACATTTAATGATAAACCGGTATCTCAAATGACTAAATTCTTTGATAACAAAAACCAAAACAATATTGTTTTATGTGAACTACCCTTAATTATTCTTCCTAATATTAAAAGAAAACAAACGAACTGATAGATAAGAGTTTGACGACCTTTACAACTTCCTTGGCTGTCTGCACTTTAACAAATTTCAATTTCCATATTTATATAATATTGCGAAAATATACCAATCAAAAGCGTTAACAGATTATTACGTGAACAATAGCATTAGTAATACGTTTAATAAAAATAGGCATCTGTTGCGAAATGTCAAGTGGTTTGTTTAATCTATATAATCTCTATATATTAACATGTAAATATAATCGAATTATCTTGTATTTTTCAAAAGTAATTAAGATATGATGTCAGGTGGGTAAGGATATGCGCAAAACGTTTAACTTATTTGTAAAGTACCTACATACAACAATTTATTAAATTTGTACCTTGTCCCGCGAATTGACCAGATCTTTATCCATTTGACTTTTGCATCTGTGCAATTCTTACCGAAATAATTTTGTCGCGATAAAATATGTTGAATTATTACTTTATTCACGATTATGTTCATCAAGTTATTAGCATTCTGATAATTTTAGATAGAATTGATTAACATGAAATACCTAGATAAACCATCAGTAATGTACTTGGGTACTACAGTGATATAGCTGGGCATTAAAACGATCAGGCTGATATTCGTTAACCATTTGACTTAGATTTTCTATTTGGCTTTATAAAAGTTTCGGGAATTCTTAACAATATCACTGTTCAAATAACGATAAAATACTTTTAATATGTTTACAGTCTCGTGTCTTTCCATGTTCAGAAAATTAAGTACCTCACGGACCACATTTGGGCCCCCTTTCATAAATCTATTTACATTAACCGACTAAAGCCAATTACGAGTAAATTAAGAAACTTTAAAATCATAATATCGTCACCAAGTCTGAACGAATCCTAGCTTTGATAGCTCTTATCATGTTACTTGGACAGAAACTACGAGAGTGTCTTTTTCCAGATACATGCATCCGCTGGGGCCTAGACCACATGTCACCCGAAAATGTCCAAAACTGGAAAACCCAAACAGACTAACATCCCCGACGGTAATAGACTGAACCGAAAGCATCGCCACAGTCTACAACCCAGCCCCGTCAGCGAGGTTCCCCCTGGTGCCTTGAGGCACACCCAGAGCCACAGGTACGACTCCCAAGGCAAGAAAAAGAAGAAGACCGCTTACGCCGCCGACATCCCTTCGATAATGGAAAGCGAAAACTCCGATGACGAGTTAGAGAAGGACGTTGTACTGAAGATGGATAAAACGAAAAGTTCCGTCTTAAACGAGAACGAAAAACGAGGAACGAAGGCGACGAAATCAAAGACCAAGGACACAAGCAACAAGGCCCCGTACGTATTCGAGAACGCTGCCTTTGAGGGAAGCTTGCAGTCCAAAAGGGGCAGCACTGCGACCTCGTCTAGAGCTCCCAGTGTTCAAAGTTTAGAGTAAGTACCCTAACAAATGTTCACGTACCTTTTTTGCAAATATAAATAGTTATTCGCTTGTATTGATACCCCTCCAAACATCCACATAAACTATGATCTAATGGACTCAAATCCGGACACCAAGGAAGTTATTAGATCATTTGGTGTAAACGTAACTCACCCTATATTGATTCTGTTTTGGTTTTCAGGATAGTGAGGGAACAGTACTGTTGCTGCGCCAAAAGAACCAAGTGCGAAAGGATATTACTGACTATGGTTATAGTGCTATTTATAATCGTTGTTGTTCTCGTTGTTGTGATAGTAATTGTAGCAAAACAAGATGACATTAGGCAACTTACACAGGCGATCCGTAGTTTACGTTAGTATTAAGTTTTTACGTGTTACCAAATATTAAATTTTAATATACGTAATATACGTTTTGTTCCTTATTACTGCCAAATTATGAAAGAATAATTTTTTAGCCAAAATTCTTCATGACTTCCAAATGTACTTACCATAATTTTAATGTCTATCTATAGTAGTCGTGAATGAAGAGAATTTTTCAATATTCAAATATTCAAATCGAAAAATTATTTTGTCAAGAGGAAGTTGGTGGTACCCTAACACAAGCTTCCACAGAAAACCAAAGACGTAGGTATCTGCACGATTCAACCCTGAATCAAAATGTCGGCAACACATTGTACACCAATGCAGAAATGGTAGACGTGCATTTTATCTATGAACATGCCAATGGTAATGGACTTAATGCTCGTCTTCTGCACAATGAAGATTATCTTAATCACCTTAATCGGCGGTTTCTTGACAGTGGAAAAATTGGTGAAAGCTTGAGGTAGAAGGTTGGAAGAAGTCGGAGAAAATGCTGAAGAACTTCGTGAACTCAATCCGCAAGCAATTTATTTCAACTTTAGTCTGTCTGGACACATGGTTTTCGCTCTACGAAACAAAGTATTGAAAAAAGTCCTGCGACTTGGTTTTTACAGAAAATAATTAATACTCTTTTTCGCGGAGTTAAAATTAACTCGCATACCCAAATATGTTATTGATACTATCAAAGCAGGCTTCCGTGCCACATTCTTAAAGAAAACACCGACGTCTCACTTGACAGACTACAAGTAAAGTGATTAGGTTCGCCTCATTTGGTACGGCAATTAATTATAGACATGTTTATTGTTGTCGTTCATAAAGACACTGCCATAATAGGCTTTTTTTTCGCGAGTGAAGTCGTATGTTGTGGTATGTGATGTGTGACTGAAAAGATTTAAACTACCATATGACAACTAAGATCAAAAGAGATACAAATAGTGACCACAAGTCAGATATCCACCAATATTCAGTCGCGAAAAAAAGCCTACTAGGTATCACACTGTATTCAATACTAAGACTTTTTTGACAACTGTCATAAAATTGACATGTAAATCCTGTTTTCTAAGTGTCAAAAGACACTTTAGTAATTTTTGTTCTAGATTGTTGCAAGAATATGACTACACTATTTATTTCAATTGAACAAATTTTACCACTCAAACTAATGAACTACCATTATTTTCTTTGTTCCAAAATTGCAAATTGGTTCCCAGTATTGCAGTGGATAGGAGGAAGGTACAAATCGACACGAATAAGTTTGCATCTGAGATAGCTCCGCCCACATATGCGACTGGGTACAGCAAAAGAAATGCTCACGAACTCTATTTGTCTCAAATCGACGTCTTATCCCTCAATCAGAAACTTTCAAAATTGCTCTATTTCACACTTGATTTTTTTTCTCAAAATACATCTGAAATGGCAAATGTCCTATGAGTATGTGTCTTTATGTCCACATATTTTTTATCTTCTATGTCTTGTACTGTCATATTTAGTAATTCCTCTTCTTCTCTTTTTGGAGTCCATTATTAAAATAACCTACAAAAAGACACCAAACTATTACATTAATACAATATTTTGAGGCAGTTTTAGAAAAAAAAACACCAAAAGCGTGATTTGCAATTCGTTCATTTAATATTTCCAATACTGTACACTTACTTCAGAAAATTCCTAAAGTTAGCTACCGGGCATTTAAAATTTCCAGTAGTGTAGATAGAAATGGATCTTAAAAAACCTACTAGCCGATTTATAAAACTTTAATGGCTATTAAGTCCATTTCCTTTTCTACAATTACAGCGTTGGCAGTTTATTGCAGACAGTATCCCGTACGTCGTTCGAGACGGGACTATTTCAATTCAAACGGTACGTAACACTGCCCTATCGGTAGGTACTGTTTTTGAGTCGTCTGTGTAAAGTTAAATGGTGAATTAGTGGCATTAGTGAACAGCGTCGTCTCTAGGGGGGCGCCAACCAAAGTATGTTTTTATGGTCGATGTTTTAAAACGTATTTAAATTTAAGTTTTAATTTTTTAGACTAAATATTTGTTTTATGGGAAAGATCGTTAGAAAAATGTACGTTAAAAATGTATTTCATTTACAGTTATACAAAAAATTTATGCATTTCTAATTCCGTAGCTATTAGCTGGAAAAAAAAAATATGAAGTGTCGCGTTGAATAAGTTGTCGCTGTTTTCCAACAGAGAACCACAAGCGTGTAGTTTAAGCAGTAAAGCAGACTCTAAGCAAGCCTGAAATTTAGTGTACAGGGTCGGAAAGTCCTATTAGGAAAGTCCTAAGTATTCGATAAAGAAAGTCATAGAAATCCGTGCGATAGAGAAAGATGGCTATAATGAAAGCGTCTAAGCACTTCTTATTTGTGGAAGGGCGAAATGGGCGGTGACTATTAGACGCCTTCATTATAGCCATCTTTCTCTACCGCACGGATTTCTATGACTTACTTTATCGCTCTGATGTAACGGCCGATGAACCATGGGGACTTTCCGACCCTGTATATTATTTCGCCGCAGTGTAAACTACTTTTTTGCATAGTTTATTTATTTATTTATTTAATTATTTAAGCACACAAATTTCTTGTTGAGACTATGGAGATCGGGCTTAGTCGCGAACAACATGCAGAGATTGGTTTAGATGCTTCAACTTTTTTACTTTTTTACGCAAAGATAAATACGGCGCTACTGGATAATTGTTAGACGTTTAACGGCAGTCTACTTTGGTAGCTTCTTGTAAAACTATACAAGTCTTAGGAATACTCCTTAGACTACAAATAAGTGGTTACAGAAAAGTTACACGACACTGGGTTAAGCGTGCATACCTTATCTCGGAACAGTAAGTTTGCTTAATATGGAATTTTATTGGCGATCATTTATTTAAAAAAAAAAAATGTTTATACGAACCCGCAAAAATCTATTTGCTGTAAAATGTACAGTAGTAAGAATACTGGAATTTTCCGAGTCCTGTCGATACTTTACGTTGCAATTTTTGCGTCTCAATAATTTAAGAACAAATATCAGATCAGTGGTTGTATATTCTTAATACTTCAACAGAACAAGGTTTAAGAAACATGTTTTATTTTTCACTTAGGCGATATAGCTTGTTCATTACTAGGAAACAGAATAGGAAAACAACGTCATATCACTCTAGGGCGAAATAAGCGGACCTAAATATTATCGCCCGTATTTTGACCCTATTTCGTACCCTTCTTTTCAGCAAGGGTAGCATAGTAAATGTGTCTTGTATAAATGAAACTGACAAATGAGAGTACAAATTTTATTAACATTAATATTAAATAAATGACAATAACTTGCTTTAAATTAACAACAAAAATCATTTACAACCGTCTTTAAAAACGAAAGTACAATTTGAAAAGGAACCTTTAACAGTAACACCAGAAAAACTACATAAATTTTCTTTGCCATCTAATAAATGTTGTTTATTTTCCCTCACAATCAATTCAGAAAAATTGTCATCTCTAGTCCTTTCGACTCATGCTATTAAACGAGATATTTTGTTCTTGGACGCTATCTCCTACACATATCCAGAGGCTACAGTATCGCTCTTCCATTTTCCATGTCTTCTCAATGTTATCATATCTGCACCTGCATCTACGAGAAGAGTTGCCGATGTACGACGCATACAATGGCCTGTGTACATTTTAGCATCTGCGTAACCGAGATATTTTGCAATCCTGGATGGTATGCCCAAGGTATTTTTGCCTACTAGCTGCGCAGTACGTCGACCATTCCGATATGTCAAAAAAAAACGCCGTTCTTTAATTTTGGTCGCAAAGATAGATACTGTCGATACAATTGGAGAGCGTGCATTTCATTTTCTTCCACAATAGTAAAAGATTTTGGTACTCCAGTTTTTGTATCGTTAATGTTTACTACAACAATTCCTTTGTCATCTGTATCATCTATCGAGAGCTTTACCAACTCATCTCTTCTTAATCCTCCAAAAACACCCAGTACTAGAACAACCTACAATAACAAAAACCTATTAAGCACATGCAATAATATAGCCAATTATTTCCTATATTATCTTTTTGAAAAGATATATATGACTTGATGCTTCTCTAATATAAATTTCAAAATATTTTCTCTTGTCAACATCTTAGATTTTTTTGGAATATATGATTTCGATATTTGTTTCAAATAAGTGTCTAATCGATGATATTCTCCTATATTTACCTACTTTTCTGCGCACTAATAATGTGGTCTTCAACATTGAATACTTTGTCCACAATGTGTTAGGGCAGAATAATTCTGACTAATATAAAAGATGTATAAAAAATATAAATTATCAAAAATTATAAATATTAAAGTGGCAAAAGGTAATACACACCAGTTACTGGAAATATTCCATTAATAAAGTTTCACTAACAGATGTCACTGTTTGTCCAAGTCTCAAAACGTTTATATTCTTTATCGTAAAGTAATTTAGATTTCGTAGGCAGTAATTCTTCATTGGCTTTATTGACTCTAGCAGCAACTATTGCTGGAATATTATCCATTCTGCCTTTTCTATACGTCTCCTCAGAATCAAGCATCAAACTATCAAAATCAACAAATTTTGTGGGTGTCATAGATACATCATGGATACAACGTTTATATGTATATTGAAAAACTGTTTTCATTCTCATTTACATTTAATTATTAAATTTAAAATAAATACAAAATCAGATGTCTAAGTAAAAATTAAAACGTTGTATGCACCACAGGAAATACTAGGATGATTATGCCTTTAGGCAACCTGTCGTCTGCGCGCATAATCATCCCTGTATCTCCCTTGGTACATAAATAACTATATCACGATATAATAGTAATAATNATCTTGTCTCGTTATAGTAGCCTATGTACTCTTTATACATAAAACGTAATCATGCACTATTGTAATAAAACATTGACCACTAATAATAATAATAATAATAATAATAATAATAATAATATCGATAGAAGAAAAAAAAACAGAAATCTTATAACTGAAATAACTAGTAGCTACTACAAGTACATTATTATGGTAATCTAGACAATGCAGAATTTGATACTGATTTTTTACTGCCTAAAAAATGTATATGACAAAAATTCATCATATTTCACTTAATACAGCGACACATTTCGATGTACAGAGTATATTCCACTTTGGCCAACACTGCCTTGGTATTTTAGAGCATGTTTGTCGGTTTTCGAACATGCCGTTTTAGATTGAAGTTTGTAACAAGAGATGGTCTATGTACACAGGGATAAAAAAGGTCAGTTGCTCTGACCATGTTCCGAACACTGGTTACTGAACTGCCGATGGATCGGGTTGACGTTCATTCATAGGCAGGGGCAACTCCGCAAATGGCTCTACTACGTGGTCCGGTTTAGCTCGGCACCATTTCCACTTCTCGGATTCGCCTTCCTTTCTATTTCTGGGTTTCTGGAACTAGGCATCCCTTTGTAGAGACTTTCAGGTAATTATTTACTTTGTCGGGTTTCCGTCTGGTTCGAGTTTCGTCGATTTCGAATAATTTTTTATCTCCAAAATGCGACCATAGAACGGCTCTTGTTCCTTTACATAGCGTCGCTGGCGTAACGACGGGGACTTTGGAAAGATCAGTGAATTTTGGTAGTTCCCACAGCGCATCGTTCTCGATGTCTCTATAGACAACATCGACCTCTGCTGATGTCGACTACTGCGCCTGGAGAGGTTTATGTCTGCTGGGAGTGGTTCTGGGAGCGACTTGACGACGGGAACTTTGCAAACTGAGGTAAAAATTTGAAGTCCCGTGCCGCGTTCTCTGCTTCTAATGGCTGGTAGCTTACATCCTTTGACGGCTTCGCTATCCCAATTGGAAACAGTAGTAAAATTTTAAGATCCGCTCCCGACCTGTATTATGACATTATACTGACCCAGTCTAACGTAATCTGACCTCAGCAGAGTATCCAAATATTGGACTTTAAAAATAGTTTAAAGCAAAAATGAAATTTTGCTATTAGAAAAAAATAAACACGTAATTAAAATAACACCTAATACTATCCAATTTTTCACAATTTTGAACACTTTAGTCCATGAAACAGGGATAGAAACATCTTTTTTTAAACAAACATTTAAAATGGACTCAAAGTATGCCACACTGTGTATATGAAATAAAAAAATGTATTGTTCTTTAAAACATTACTCTGCAAAAACAGCGAAAATTTCATTGAAAACACTCCCATTTGTTTATATGAACAATACAGATTAGTTATAATCAGTAACCACAGAATTATCTATTCAGGGTCAGTTGTTGACCTATCAATGTTTAAATAATTTTATATTGTAATAAATAATGACAGCTATATATATCGTAGTTATCGCTTCTGGTCAACAACGATTAAAGTTTACTTTATAACAGTAAATTTCGAATTGTATTGAATAATATACAATTCTTATACAGATTAAAAAAAAAGATTAATATGTTGTGGTTTTACTTTGATATCACAATGAATCATACGGTTATCTGCATTTTTTTCATTCATACCACTAGGTACAGCCTTGGTTGAATCTTTTATATTTCAAGTTGAAATGTACAATCTGTGCCAAATTCCAACTCACAGAATCCTGAAGATATCGCAATAAAAACAACGAAACATCGACAAAGTGTAGTAGCGATTTTTTACTTTTTCTGACCTAAACAATATAACATACTATTTCTACAAACATCAACTAGTCGTTTTCTCTGTTTGTTTTTATTTGTTTGGTCGTGTTTTTTTTAACATAATATTTTCTATAATAATTATATTGTTCATAAGTATTTGCGACAACTTTTCATATTTTCCATATTTAAATGAGTGAGATTACAATTTTATTAAGATCAATCTCGATTCCTGTACAATTATCGCCAGTGTTATAAAGAGGAGGGATCTCGCCATCGAGCACCGGTGGCCAAGCTCAGTTGTTCCAGTGGTGTCATACTCGCAAAGTGATTGCAGACTTTTAAAAGCACCTAATTGCTAAGCTTGCTAAGTGTAGTGGTTAAACTTTGGGATCGGAACAAAATTGGTAAGTTAATCAATACACCTTTGCTATAACGTCTGTAACATATTTTGTATATTTATTTATAAATACAGAGCGTTAACGCAAAACTGCACGATTTGCGGTGATGTAATTTTTGAAAATTTTGTATTTATATGCCACGTTTTCTTCTATGACATGCCAAAGCCGGTTTTGGCCTGAAATCGTAATTTTTGTTTCAGCTGTTGAGGAAGACAAACTTCGTATATACAAAGTGTTCAAATTTGAGATGAAAACACTTGTAAAAGAAGTGTTTATGTCCGATTTAATTCGTGTTTTTATCAAAGATCAAATGTAAAAATTCTATTTCATTTTTCTATTCACTTGAGGTTCATATTTATTTTATCAAAGCCTGCTTATTACATTTTCTCTGACAAATTTGTCGAAAACTGATCAATATTTGTTTAATATAAAATTTGACTGCGCCACTGGAATCTGCAACCCCTCATATGGGTTTCTGCCAAATTTTGTGAAAAAATATATTTATTGCCAACTATAGATTTTAAAAAATTGCTAATAATTTTTTGACTGACGAAGAAATAAATAATTAAAAAAGAATCACAATTCTGCAATGAAAAAAATTGGAGCCGTGCTATCTTGTCGAAAATTTAATTTAGGACACAAATGACCCCATTTTCTTCGCCGAATTCGATTCAACCGAGATATTTAAAAAAAAAACAAATAAAAAATCATTTTTTGCGTTGTAAATTGTTAATATTTTTTTCTCACCATGTGACCCTTGATATGCATTTCAATGTGTTTTTCTGTAACACATTTGACGCCGATTTGTAAAAAAAATTGATTTTTATGGAAAATTATTATTACCTTTGAACTGAAAATTAATTAATTAAAATTATTACCTTTGAACCCTTACCTACTGAATTATAAAATTAGACAAAGACGTTCGGGATCGAATTTAAACACCTTGTAGGTATCATTTTTAAGATGATATGATATTATTATTTAGAGCAGTTTTCTAACGTAACTCCATTATCAGTTTTCATACAATTAGATAATTAAAAAATAATTGACTAATAACGAAACAATTGTGTAATTAATAAAACAATTGAATGATTAACACATACGCTAGAAAATAACACTAATATCTATCAGTCAGAAATCCAACTATTTCGTCTTTGTTTTATGCATTGAATAATGTGGGTCACTTTATTTGAATGAGAGCGTCTTGTTCTGAATAGATACCTACTGAACGATATTATTTGTATACCCATTCTAATGGATAAATCACTGAAATTTGAAAATACTTATTTGTTAATAAGGAATTTCTAAGAAATTGTCAGTTTTCGAAATTTAAATGCGACACCCTATATTTTTATTAAATTAAATTACAATCATCTTTTTGCAAATCTGTTGATACCTAATAATTTCAGTGATGCTAACAATAAAAAATAAACTATGGCAATCAGACCAGGGCGGGTCTGTTTTGAGCTGGATGTGAGAGGAGACAAGCAATTTTTTTTCTGGATTACCTTCAGTACAACTCACATAATAAAAGTGTAGATCTCTAGATCTGGGCGAGGTCCGGAACATTTTCAAAATTGCAAAATTGTTTAAAAAATTTTAAAAAATACCTATTTTATCTGAGTTTTTTACTTATATCTTGGAACCTATGCATTTTGGAAGAATATTGAGGAGGAAAAAAGTTTTAGAATTGAATTTTGCACAATATACTGTGAGTTAAAAATTTTTAAATTTATTACCGATGTTGCAAAATAGCAATTATTGATGAAAAAAAGGTAAAATAATCAAGTTTTTTTGATAATTCTTTTAAAATATTTTAATAGTTAGTTATAATTGTAATAATTATAACTAAATACATTCATATTCAGAGCATTGAAATATATACGTAAACAATTTTTTTCATTGAAAAAAATGCAATAGCATACGTACCTTCGCATTTTGAACCTCCGAATTCAGTCTCGGAGCGAAAGCTTTTCCGCTGATTTATCTATGTTGCCGATAACTTATGGATATGAAAATTTTTTCCAGGTTAGAACTCGGAAAAACGAACCACTGGATGAAAAATTATTATTGCTAAATTGTTTATAAATTAACGGAAATGCCGATAAACTTTGGCCGCTTATATCTCGAGAAGCAATAAACGGAATTTAATTTTTTTTTAAAAGAAGCGTCTTTCTGAGTACTTTAAAATTATAATTTTTGAAAAAAACTAAATTTAAATTGATAAATGTAATCTAATTTACTGTGGCCGTTCTAATCAACCGATTTCAATTTTTCAAAAACTATTTGAAAGGTTGAGCGGTCTTTTCTATTTCAAGTATCTAGATGTTTTATTTGAGGCTGTGCAACATAATTCAAAATTTGTTTCAAACAATTATTTTGCGAAACCTATAGAACCGGTTTTATTTTAATGTTTGGTGTGTTGTTTTATTATACTCTAAAGTTATTTTTACCTAAATTAGAATGCCCTCGGAACAATTAAAATATTTTTTAAAAATTATCCAAAAAACTTGATTATTTTGCCTTTTTTCATCAATTGTTGCTATTTTGCAACATCGGTAATAAATTTAAACATTTTTAACTTACAGTATAGTGTAGGTACATAAAATTCAATTCTAAAACTTTTTTTCCTCTTCAATATTCTTCCAAAATGCATAGGTTCCAAGATATAAGTAAAAAACTCAAATAAAATAGGTATTTTTTTAAATTTTTTAAACATTTTTGCAATTTTGAAAATGTTCCGGACCTCGTCCAGATCTATAGGGATCTACACTTTTATTATGTGAGTTGTACTGAAGGTATTCCAGAAAGAATTTGCTATCCACCACTTACATCCAAGAAGTGGGATATTTCGGCAGATCCGCCCTGGTCTAAATGTTTAATATGCAATTTCGAAAATTGTAGTCATTTTTTCGTTGTTGCCTATTCCCAATATGATGTCGCTTACACAAACCAACGAGTTATGACGGGGTGGCCCAATGGTTGATAACCCAATATAGTCACATTCACATATATTTTTTTATTTTAGATATGTTCAAGTATAACCTGCGAAAATAAGTGCTAAAATGTGGACAGCTTTGTATTTAATTGTGTTGGCAATCCATTGGGGGAAAGTTACTTCCACCATTTCCACTACTACAACACAACATCCATCAATTGGCGGATATGAATCAAAGAACTGTGGTTACCAGGTAAATCGTTTTAAAAGCGACAACATTCCAAAACCCTTATTCTTTTTTTCTATTACTTATCTCATCTGTTCCGTTTGTCACTATGAAATTTGAAAACTTAGCTGGTGCAATGAATTTATATTTTGATTTTTGACAAGAATTTTACTTTATTTAATTTGTTTTCAGACATGTCATCCAGTAAAAGAGGGTTACATCAATGTCCACATAGTGGCACATACACACGATGATGTGGGATGGTTGAAAACTGTGGACGAATATTACTATGGCAGTAAGTGAACAAATTACCAATTAGATTTCGAATACTTGACTCGAATCATGTGGTATACTGTCCAAGTACACTAAGTGGTCCGCGATGACAAGTTTTATAGAAGTAATACTCGCGATAGGTATATCGCTATGCTGATGAGATACCAACCTAAGAAGTTCGAAAAATGATCTTATTACTCAATCATGTAACGGAAAATTTCTCGCTGTTTCAGAATCCTGGGTCAGAAATTGTATTACCATAAAAAAAAGAGTTGACCTTCAAATAACCTTGATCATGACCTTAAAAAATAAATCAACAACGTATCCGAACGTAAAATATCTCGCTCTTTTAGAATCCGGGGTCAGAAATTGTATTACCATAAAAAAACCAGGGCTGACCTTCAAATAACTTTGAACATGAACCTAAAAAGTAGGTCAACCACGTATCCGAACATGAAATTTCGCGCTCTTTTGGAAACCGGGAACAAAAATTGTATTACCATCACAAAAACAATAACTGACCTTCAAGTAACCTTGAAAATGCTCGCTCTTTTAGAATCCGGGGTCAGAAATTGTATTATCTTCAAGAAAACAAGTGTTGACCTTCAAATAACCTTGAACATGAGCTAACTTCGTCAATCGGAGACCGGATTCGGATTCAGGGACTCCAAAAACGTGATTCTGATTACTTTTACAATGGCGTTGCGGTATTAGCAGCACAGTATTTATAAGACTTTTTTAATGTTTCCAAAGTGTTCAATTTTTTATTTTAGATAGAAACGACATTCAAATCGCAGGAGTTGAAACCATTTTGGATTCAGTAATAGACTCGTTGAAGAAGGACCATAACAGGAGGTAAGCAAATTAGAAATATCGATATATGTTACTATAAGCAGTTCGTTAAGATAAACTCCAAAGGGAAAAAAAGTAATGAAAGGTCCTTACTGAGGATTTACATTTCCCAAGTTATAAATTCATCTCTCACAGGTTTATCTACGTGGAGACTGCCTTCTTCTGGAAGTGGTGGATCAAGCAGCATGATACCGTAAAGGCTCGTGTGAGGAAGTTCGTCAAAAACGGCCAACTGGAATTTATAGGTGGAGCTTGGACTATGAACGACGAAGCCACCACTCACTACCAATCTATTATCGATCAATTTACTTGGGGGTTAAGGCGAGTATGATATTTAAAATGGGAAATTAATTCACCTAAAACTTTATACATTTTGTAGGAAACTTAATGATTCGTTCGGGGAATGCGGTCGTCCCAAGGTGGGGTGGCAGATTGACCCCTTTGGCCACAGCAGGGAAATGGCTTCTATTTTCTCCCAGTTAGGCTTCGACGGGGTTTTGCTAGGTAGGATAGACTATCAGGATAAAATCATGAGGATGCTGACCAAATCAGCTGAGATGGTGTGGAGAGGAAGCTCGAATCTAGGTAAAGGAATTAGACTATCAAAATTCTTTAAGAAAAAATAAATTTACGAACAGTTTTTTTCGACAGGTTCGAAGAGTGACATTTTCACCGGAGTGATGTACAACACTTATTCGCCACCCAAAGGGTTCTGCTTCGATATCATTTGTACCGATGAACCCATAATCGATGATAAGAAAAGTCCCGACTACAACGTGGACCGAAGAGTAAGGCTTTAACTGGTGAAATGAAATAAGGAGCTATTCTACATTCTAATTTCCAGGTTGACGAATTTTTTGCTTACGTCAAGAACGTATCGGACTGTTACGCCACTAGCAACATTATTGTTACCATGGGGGAGGATTTCAACTACCAAAACGCAGAGCAATGGTTTAAGAACTTAGACAAATTGATACAGTTAGTGTTTAGATAACAAATCATTTCTTATTTATAATGGAAAACGGTATTTTGCAGCTACGGCAACCTTCGCCAAAAGGAGGGTTCCAAGTACAACCTGATATACTCAACGCCTTCATGCTACGTCAAAGCCATCTATGACGAAACCAACGGAAAAGCTAAGTGGCTCGTAAAAGAGGACGATTTCTTCCCCTATGCCAGCGACTCCCACGCTTATTGGACGGGCTACTTCACATCCAGGCCTACCATTAAACGATTCGAAAGAGAAGGGAACAATTTCTTGCAAGTAAACATCCTAAAGAAATTTTTTATAAACCCCTGTTAACGATCGTTTCTAGGTGTGCAAGCAACTATATGCTCTAGCAGATCTAGGTCCAGAAGATAGAGTTGATCTCAACGTTCTAAGAGGAGCCATGGGGGTGATGCAACATCACGATGCTGTAACCGGTACGGAAAAAGAACATGTAGCCCAAGATTACACCAGGATTTTGTCGCAGGGACTGGATGAGTGCGAGATCATCACCAATGAGGCTTTGAGGTAGGCTTTTCGCTTGTAGTGTATTGTAACTTTGGAAATATTACTTTGTTTGATTTTAGGCAACTTTCGTCAACTACCGATCAACAAAGAGTTGATCCCGAGCCATCTGTTGTACTAAACTTCACAACTTGTCGCCTGCTTAACGTCAGTCAATGTGAATTTACAGAAACACAGGATACCTTCGTGGTTACCATCTACAACCCTTTAAGTCGACTTGTCACCAAGTTCGTGAGGTTGCCCGTGCAGAAGTCAAATTACACTGTTCATGATCCGAATGGTAAGATAGCAATCGTTCTCGCAATTGTATTGTCTATAGTCCTTTCGTTATTCAACATGAAGTAACTGTCCACTGTCTTTTTCACTTGCACCAATTTCCCTTGGTACCTCTTATTTTTGTATAAAATTCTTAATTATCAAAACTGGAAGGAAATAATATGAAAATGATATGCTTCATTTCTGGGATAAATCTTATGTTTTCTCTCTAGGTGATCTAATACCCTCCCAGCTAATTCCCATTGCGGAACCAATTCTGAAAATACCAGGCAGACAGAGCGAAGCTGTTTTAGAACTGGTATTCCAAGCTAAGGATATTTCTCCGCTGGGTTTCAAGTCTTACTTTGTGCAAAAATCTGCTGAGAAAGTACCAACACAAGAAGAGATGTCTGAAAACGACATCGAGGTAAACGTATTGCCAATGTCACTAAAACTGCATTTAGTTTATTTTCCATTGTTGTGCTAGGACGCAGAAATCCAGATAAATCCAGCGACGGGCTTGGTTACCCAAATCACCACCAACCAAAGGCACCTTAAGCTCGATCAAGAGTTCTTCTACTACAAAGGTTTCGTTGGTGATAACAAGAAAGTAACCAACCGGTCCTCAGGGGCTTACATCTTCAGGCCTACCGGGGAAGCGGTCAAGGTGGCTGAGAAAGCGAAGTTCACGCTACAGAAAGGCTTCTTGGTGTCGGAGGTACACCAGCAGTTCAACGACTGGGTCAGCCAGATCGTGAGGATCTACCGGAACGAGAACTATGTCGAATTCGATTGGTTGATTGGTCCTATTCCAACTGAGTAAGTAGCTACAGGATACTAGTGTTTTATCGGTGAGAAATATTATTTTTTTAGTGATGCAAACGGAAAAGAAATCATCACAAGGTACAAAACGTCCCTTAACTCCGACTCTGTCTTCTACACGGACTCCAACGGTCGCGAACTGATCAAGAGGGTGAGGAATTTCAGACCCACTTGGAAATTAAAGCTGCAAGAACCCGCCGCTGGTAACTACTATCCTGTTACTTCCAAAATACTCCTACGGAGCGGCCAGGATGAGTTCGCTGTATTGACGGATAGAGCCCAGGGAGGAAGCAGTCTTAGCGACGGAGAAATTGAGCTCATGGTAACTATTATCAACCAAAAAAAAGTTAAAAAATTGCTAAACTTCTGATTGCAGTTGCACCGAGAGTGTCTCCACGACGACAGTTTTGGAGTGGGTGAAGCTTTGGTCGAGAAGGCCTTCAACAAAGGGCTTGTGGCGAGGGGTTCACATTATTTAGTTTACGGTAGCACAAGCAATACAAATCCTGACGGTAAGTTTTCACATGAATCCTCTAGTATCAAAACCCCTTAAATCCACTTTAGTGAAATTTGCATAAATGAAGAAAAACTGTTTAACCAACTTCTGACAGCGACTCCGTAATGAAATTTTGTTTTGTGAAACTTTAACACTAACTGGACAACAAATTGCAACAAACACAACAAAATTGTTTATAATAAACCAACAAATTTGAAAACAAAAATGGAGTTAGTGGCATTTGAAACCAACTATAGGATTTAATGGATTTTGAATATCAGTAAAGTGGATTTAATGGGTTTTGACAAAGAACAAATGAAAATGACAAAAAAAATGTAGGTGGCACACATTTTTATTAAAGACAAACTAATAAGGTAATCATGGATTACTATTAATAATTAATAAAACGAGTAAAAATTAATAATAAACTAATGAAAAACTAAAAAACTAAAATAATAATAAAAAATAAAATTAAACACTCAGGTCTGGAACATCTTCTACTTCACTTTCTACCTTTATCTGGTGTTACAATTTCAATTTGTGTTGTAATATCGGACATTATTTTATTGGCACTTGTTAACGAATACAAGACTAAACTAAAAACAATAATACTAGCACAAAAATGACTGATCTAAAACTGCACAAATTAAATTTGTACAGCGCCGCCGACCACGTGTTGTCACGTTAGCCTTCTATGATTGGCTATTGTGGATTTAGTGGGGTGTGAACGTTAGTTCAAATGGATTTCGTGGCGTTTGAATCTAAACGCACTTTTTAGAGTACATTTTTATACATATTAGGTAACTTTTGCAACCATTCGAATGAACACGTCAATAGGGAACTTTAGTAGGAATATTTTGATGTGTATATCTCATTTTTCATCAAAAACGGATTTAAGGGGTTTTGATACTAGAGGACTCACATATTCTGTATATCTTCTGTGTGGAAGAAGGTGTGGTATGCGGGAGCGCAAATCGTCACGCTCCTGCGTACAATGTATTTCCTTGTCGTGACAATACGACGAAGAACAGCTGGGTCGTTTGTCAGTTGTCACACCTATGACACACTGATGAGGACTAATAAGTCCGAAACCGGTCTGTGCCTGGTGGGTTAAACTGATGACAAACGATCCTAGCTGTTGCACTAGGTGTTGCGAGTATAATTCAATGCCGGTAGGGGCATATAGCTCTCGGAGTAGTTGTTTCTCACAACACTGACAATTAAAAGAAGGTGTGGTATATTATTATTTTATGATGGTATACCTGGTATATAGTTAAGTTAATTATAAAATTATTTTGTTTCAGGAAGGTCAGTCGCGACCCAAGAGCGGGTTTTGGCGCAAAACAAACTACTCTCAGCTTGGACGTTCCTGTCTTCTACCCAAGGACTTTCTTTCTCAGAATACAAGGCCATGTTTAAAATGGAAGTAAGTTCCTACGACAGAGTCATCTACAAAAAAAAGCGTCATTTAATTACATTCTATAGTAATATAATTTTCTAAATTCAAAATCAAATAACATGGACAGACTTTTATCCTTTATCCTTCCAAAAATTGCGGAATAGAATCGGTTCATTTTCAAATTGTACGCAGCATAATTAACACTACACTAATCTGATACTCTTGATACCAAACCTTGTTTTCAGTACGCAGGTCTGCAGAAAGCTCTTCCCGACAACGTACAAATCTTGACTTTAGAACCTTGGATCGGATTCAGCTTTTTGTTAAGATTGGAGCACATCCTGGAGAACAACGAAGATGCCGTTTTGTCTAAACCCGCAACCGTTAACCTTAAGGTATGTATTATCATGATTGCAATGATAATTCAATAAATATTTTTACTAGTTTCCACCTTATCTTAAACTTGTCAGTATCTTCTTCAAAATCCCAACCTAGAGATCGTATAGTCCAATCGACATGAATTCATATATTTTCGTTTACTTATTTTTCCAGAATCTCTTCGCTCCCTTCGAGATACTCTCCATCAAGGAGACAACGCTGGGCGCAAACCAGTGGCTTGCCGAAAACGACAGGCTGAAGTTCGACGTCGCCGCTAGTCTCGAGGCTTTGGTTCACCTAGATCACAGTGTGGACGATTCGGAGCTCAGGAAGAAATGGAACCGTTCGGCGTACATAAACAATAACGTTAAACGAGGTGTCACCATCGACGTGCCGGAAGACATTGAGGATTTCACGGTGAACCTCACTCCGATGCAGATTCGTACTTTTGTGATAGAAGTGAAGAAGAACTCGTTGAATGTTTGAACATTTTTTGTTGTGTGTAGGTAAAGGTAGGCTTATAGCTGTAATTATAAATAAAAGAAAATAAATTTAGTGGAAATATATTGGTGATTTTTTTTAAAATATAAAGTTTAATCCTTAAGATTTAAAAAATATACAATAATAATAATAATTATTATTATTATTATTATTGTTGTTGTTATCATAATAATCTCTATCCCTCATTCTAATCGCAAGGGTTAGGTCAGCAGTCGGAGACTTGTGCGGGAGAGGGGGCGGCATATTATTACTCAGAAGGCCGCATTTGCGCCCAGGAACGACTTACGTTGGTAAGTAGCACACTCGGAGATCTAAAATAACAAATAACTTTAGTATGGGTATAAAAGGAAGTGCGGTCTTTATTCTTGGTTTCAATTAATTAAGAAGAGCATCGGTGGTTCAGTGGTAGAATGCTCGCCTGCCACGCGGGCGGCCCGGGTTCGATTCCCGGCCGATGCACTTTTTTTAGTTACAAATCGACATCGACAAAATGTAGTATTAATTTTCATATTCAGTATTGAAATATATACGTAAACAAATTTTTTCATTGAATGAAAGTCGAGGAGGTGTTTGCCGCGCCTGATAAAAAAAGATAGATTTTCTAATGCCAAATATTATCTTTTTAATGAAAGTCTTGTCAAGATTCTGTAAAAATTTTATATATTTTATGGATCACGTATCAGGATCGCAGATGCTTGAAGAGGTATTTGCCACTGCTGATATTTTAAAGAAATTTTTGTCACTTATTAAAATTTTATGTATTTTTTGGAACTACGTATTAGGATCACAGAATGTCGAGGAGGTGTTTGCCGCGCCTTATAAAAAATATAGATTGTCTAATGCCAAAATTTATCTTTTTAATGAAAATTTTGTCAAGATTCTATAAGAATTTTATATATTTTATGGATCAAGTATCAGGATCGCAGAAGCTTGAAGAGGTATTTGCCGCGCCTGATATTTTTAAGAAATTTTTGTCACTTATTAAAATTTTATATGTTTTGGAACTACGTATTAGGATCACAGAATGTTGAGGAGGTGTTTACCACGCCTGATAAAAAAAAGATAGATTTTCTAATGCCAAAATTTATCTTTTTAATTAAAATTTTGTCAAGAATCTATAAGAAGTTTATATATTTTATGGATCACGTATCGGAATGGCAGAAGCTTGAAGAGGTATTTGCTGCGCCTGATATTTTTAAGAAATTTTTGTCATTAAAATTTTATGTATTTTTTGGAACTACGTATTAGGATCACAGAATGTCGAGGAGGTGTTTGCTGCGCCTGATAAAAAAAAAGATAGATTTTCTAATGCCAAAATTTATCTTTCTAATGAAAATTTTGTCAAGATTTATCTGTAGGAATTTTATATATTTTATGGATCATGTATCAGGATCGCAGAAGCTTGAAGAGGTATTTACTGCGCCTGATATTTTAAAGAAATTTTTGTCACTTATTAAAATTTTATGTATTTTTTGGAACTACATATTAGGATCACAGAATGTCGAGGGTAAAATATACAGTATATTTAATACATGAATAATAAACTTTGTTTATAACAAAATATGTGAAAATTAGATAGTTGGCATTACAATATTAGAATTCCTTGGCTCGCGAGACATCGGATTAAAAAAAAAGATCGAAATTGGTCCACTAGAAGCTGAGATAATGCAACTTTTTTTGTACCTTCACATTTTGAACCTTCGAAATTCAGTCTCGGAGCGAAAGCCCCCTCCCCCACTTTTCGTGTTTTGAGTCACTTTTCGCGAGTGTGAGCGACAGCTTTTCCGCAGATTTATCTATGTTACCGATAACTTATGGATATTCAATTTTTTTCCAACTTAGAACTCGGAAAAACGGAGCGACTGGATCAAAGATTATTGCTAAATTGTTTATAAATTAAAGGTAAATGCCGATAAACTTTGACCGCTTATATCTCGAGAACCAATAAAATTTGTAATTTGCCGTTTTTGAACAAGCGGCATCGTAAATTACAAATTTCTTTACACCAAAAAGTAATTTCAGTTTCAATCGAAGTCCATTTTATAGAGAATCTGCGTTAAAATGGGGAAAAGTCTATTATTTGTGCATTAATTCATATTTAGACAAACTGTGTAATAAAAGCTATAAAAATGTATCGCTGGTTGCCTATCCGCTATAGAGCCCTCTTAAATAAAACGTTTTAAGTATTTAGTGCTACTCTGATATTTTATTTTCTATAAAAGTAATGTAAAACATACATGATTTTTATTTATATCGCAAAACAGGTCTCCAATAATTATTTATTAATCAATCTTGATTACACTTCAAGTGTTTATCCAATACATATGTTTTAAATGGATTCTTCTAAAATATACAGACTTGATAGCTACAGCCACAACAGAAGTTCTTAATACAAGTATCTCAAATTGAATTAACTTTTAAATTCAGCGAATATGGAGGCATAATTTTTACAAACTCGGTTGATGTGCCTATAGTTTATACTTAAAACTAATCCACACCACTAAAACGCTTATCTCGAGCAAATCTGAAGTAGGAATGGAATTAAATAAATCGATACGATAAAATCTGGTATGCAAAACTGATATAAATTCCAGATTAACCAGTGCTCGTTCAAAGTTGCCTGCACTTACCGGCTAATAACTGACAATGTTGTTAACTGTAATAATACTAATTCTAATCGGTGCTTTGGCAAATGGGGTACTGTATTCCAAGTATGAAGAAGCTCAGTGCGGATACCAGGTAAAACACAACACGTTATGATAACGGTAAAGAAACAAGCCTTCTTGATTCTAGGCTTGTCCAGCAACTGATCCGACAAAACTGAACGTCCATCTCATCCCCCATTCCCACGACGATTTAGGGTGGTTGGAAACGGTGGACAAATACTTCTACAAAGGTAATTTGTCACTACAATTTTTAAACAAGTAACATTAAATCGCATATTTTTAGAGGTGCAGTATGTTATATCTTCCGCAGTAGAGGCTCTAGAGAGAAATCCAAGCAGAAGGTAACCCTCTTGAGAGACTCAAATTAATTTTATTGCGGGTAAAAAATTTTTTAGGTTTATTCAAGTAGAAACAGCCTATTTCCATTATTGGTGGCAGTTCCAAGACGAAAGTATGAGGGATTCGGTAAAGAAACTCATTAATCAAGGCAGGCTAGAAGTTATAAACGGGGGTTGGAGTATGAACGATGAGGCGACCACCCACTACCAGTCCATTATTGACCAATTTACCTTCGGTCACAGGCAAGTTGTCTAATTCCCGATATTCCAATTGCAGCTATTTCCCTGTTTTGTAGATGGTTGTACGAAACTTTTGGGGAATGTGGTGTGACGAAAACTGGCTGGCAGATCGATCCGTTTGGTCACAGTAGGGAACAAGCTTCGATTTACTCCCAGATGGGTTTTGATTCTTTCTTCATAATGCGTTTTGACTATAGAGACAAGGGTAAGAGGAAGAGCGAAAGGACTTTGGATTTGCTTTGGAAAGGAAGCGAAAATTTGGGTAAGAAATTATTTTAATGTTAAAAAAGTTATATTACAATATTTAACGAAACAACACTTCTAGGCAGCAATACAAACATCTTCACAAGTGGATTTTCCGAAGATACCTACGCCTGGCCTAACAACCTATGCTTTGACTCGTCCTGTGACAACCACGTGGTCATGGATGAGAAGAGTACTGAGTTCAACTTGCAGAGAATAGTAAGATGAATAAAAAACACAACGTTCATTCCACTTTTTTGAATATACATATGAGGTTTGCCTTTCAGAATGCTTTGAACGATTTTGTTTCAGATAAACGACTTTACTGGAATAATAAATGAGAGATCCCAGTATTATCCCACCAACAACCTCTTCATAACTATGGGCGACGACGTGCACTATCAAGGAGCTCACAAAGGTTTCATCAGCATAGACAGAATCATCAGCGGTTTTCAAAAGTATGATCCCGCACTTGCTGATGGCAGAAAACTAAACGTCTTCTACTCTACCCCTTCCTGCTACGCCAAGGCTGTGAACGACTATGTTGTAAGAGAAAACCAGACTTTGAATTACAAAACCGACGATTTTCTACCTTTGGTCACGACAGACTATAGCGGTTGTTGGACTGGCTTCTTCACATCGAGGCCCACTTCGAAACGTTTCGAACGCGTTTCGAACAATGTCTTACAGGTGGTTTATTTTTATTTTCATTTAGTACCGAAATTCATGACAACTACGTTTAGGCTGCTAAACAACTGACTGCTCTGGCTGGTTTCTCGCGTGACGAGACTTACAGATTAGAAGACGCTCTAGGTATAATGCAACACCACGACGCCATCACTGGAACGCAGCGGCAGGACGTGGAGAAGGACTACCACAGGCGATTGCATGCTGGGATTATGGACTCGGTTGTGGTGATCAGTAGGGCACTAACGTGAGTATTCACATGACTGAACTAGTAGAATTATCTCTTGCTATTTCTCTGAACAGCTCGCTATTGAATTTGGACAATGACATCGATTTGCACTACTGCCCGTTCGCTAATATCAGTATTTGTGCTGAAACTAAGACGGACAGTTTCAAAATGCTCTTGTACAATCCTCTCGGAAGGATAGTGAACCATTACGTCCAAATTCCCGTTGATGGTAACGGTTGGACAGTAACCGATCCAGAAGGTGAGATAATGAGATCACAAGAATTAAGACAAAGTGATTTTTCTATGTTGCAGGTGCTGTTGTAAAAAATTCTGTATACTCCCCAATACGTAGCTTCAAATTTGCGTCGGATGATTTGGGTAGACCAATCAGCGACAGTGTCATGATGTTCAAAGCGGAAAATTTACCCCCACTGGGATATAAGGTGTATACAGTAAAAAAATCCAACACAGAGACAACTGAAGAACAGATAGAGCAGCCTCAAGTAGCATATGATGAAATAAGGGCTGGATATCAGGTAAAAACTTATTGATGGATAGTAAATCATTTAACAGTGTCTAAAAATGTAATGGGAAAAGATCTGAACCTTGAGTAACTCCAGTTAGTTTAGATTTCTATTAAATAACGAGTAAACTATCCTGTTTTAGAATAACTATGTGGTTTTAAATGGTGACACCGGGTTCGTGGACAGAATGGCCATAAACGGCTTTGAAATGAAAGTGACGCCCCAGGTGATGTTCTACTACAGCGACTGGTCCTCTGGAGCATACATGTTCAAGCCCAACGGTTCTCATAGAGACCCGGTTAACTTTGCCGATAGAGTAGACAATCAGATCAAGACGAGCGAAGTGAGCGTTGAAATAAAACAAGAGATGAGGGACTGGGGAATTATAACCATCAGAATCTACCCTGATACCGACTACATACATATAGATTGGTTGGCTGGACCTATCGATGTCGGGTAATGATTTGTACATCCCAAAATACATAATCTGTATGTTATTAATTTCAGCGACGGCCAAGGCAGGGATGTCATAATACGATACATGACGGAACTAGAAACAAATGGTCTCTTCTACACCGATTCTAACAGCAGGGAATTGATGGAAAGGAAGAGGAATTATAGGCCTACCTTTGAGTTCACCGATGGGGAACCTCAGGCTGGTAATTATTATCCAGTGACGAGCAGGATTGTACTGAAAGATCACGACAAAGGCGTCGAATTTGCTGTTATCACCGACAGACCAGAAGGAGGATCTAGCCTGAATGATGGTCAAGTGGAACTGATGGTAAGGGATGAATTTTGAAATAATTTTTATAGTCTCGTCTGTATGACTGAGATTTGGTGTTCTAAGTGGTTGTTCCTAGGTTCACAGGGCTCTTCTTAGAGATGAATTTGGCGAACACTTGTATGAAATGGAATATGGTACAGGACTAGTCGCTAGGGGTTCTCATTATATTACTTTTGGGCCAACTAACAGTGAGGGTAATAGCGGAATGATTAGTTGATTACTTTTTGCACAAATTCACATACAATTTTTCATTTAAACAGGGTCCAAATCTCAGGCTTTCACTCAAAGAGACCTTGCTGTGAAGAAACACCAAATTCCATTGGTATTCTTTCCTCACGGTGACGTCCCTATTGGGCCTATATCTTTCCTTAAAGGAGAACTGCCTGAAAATGTCAGACTGCTGACGTTGCAAAAGTGGAGCGACGATGATAACAAATACCTAATAAGACTGGAACATTTCTTGGAGAAAACTGATGACGCTGAGTTATCCAAAGAAGTTACAGTTGATATCGAGGTATATATATCTCAATAAGTCTTATTGCAGCTGATACGTCTCAAATTTCCTTTTTAGAGTTTATTTACAACTCTGAATATCGTTTCACTAGAAGAACGGACACTAAACGGTATAACTCCTCTGGAAAAAGTGACTAGATTACAATGGCCCCAAGTTAACGAAGAAGTTTCTGGGATTCTTAGCAGAAAGGGTAGAATTATGAGGGATCCTACCGACTTGAAAATCACTTTGGCTCCGATGCAGATTCGAACCTTCATTGCCACAATAAATTAAGAAATATTTATTGTTATTCCATTAAAACATAAAATTTTGATGAAGGATTTTGGTATTTTTTATTATTTCAGTTCAAATCGAAATGGAAGAAACTGAACGAGTGAAAGAAGTAAGAAAAAAAGCAAAAAAATATATTGTATTTAAAAAATAGAACAGGTAAGATGAGAATAATAAAAATTACTTTTAAAAGATGTATCAGCTATCTCGGGAACAATAAATTATGACACTTTACTTGAATTGTTGCTATAGCAATATCAAAGAGGATAGACTAATCCTCTTTGGCAATATGTACTTGAAATTCAAGGTCAAGATTGATTTGTACACCTGTAATATGGAACAAGATAAATAATCGTTGACCGCATCTTATATCATTACCATATCTATTATCTATTTAAATAACGTATTCTATTGGTTACACCTCGTATTTTTCTTTATTAAGAAGATTAAGCTAATTGAAATAAATTCAAAACATTTTTTTCTAAAGAAGACGGCCTTTTTATGGCTGTTCAGAGTTTTCAAGCGGAATGAAGGGATTTTGGAAAGTCAGGTGATTTTTATGCCGCGCTGGGGCTGTAGGTCCATTGGGACATCGTTAATGTCTCCAGCTGTTATCTAATATACTGTATTTGAAGTGGTAAGGGGTTTTTCTGCTTCTTACTTATTTCATCACATTGAACGTTTCGTACGAAATCTGAGCTCGACTTATCATCTGAATTTTTGTTTTCTCCAAAACAGATTAAAAATCAACATAACATAAAGAAACAGATTATAATTCCACTTCAGCTCAACGACTAAGTCCCATTGAGATAATAAAAAGAAGTGGGACACAATTAAAACAATCGTATCTGATATGTGCATGTCAATTGAATAACGTCTAGTTCGTTACAAATCTTCATTCAGTAGTTCAGAGGCAGTCGTTGAACTTAATTTTTTTGCAAATGAAGATCATTGGAATAATTGTCTTGTGTGTGGGTGTTATCCAAGGAAAGCCCTTCATCAATTACACGGAAGAGCCATGTCCTGGATACGACGTAAGGAAAATAAATTTCTTTCGATGTTGCTCTTTTCTTCTACACTGACTTTTATAAGGAAACATATTGAAGATATTTGATCTTTGATCCATAGTAGTCACCATAAAATGATATTTACCTCTTGGAAATAGATTTAATACAGCATCTGATTCTTCTTCTTAGGCTTGCCACACTGTGTACAGTGATAGGCTAAATGTACATCTCGTACCCCATTCTCATGATGATGTTGGATGGCTATATACGGTTGACCAATATTACTACAAAAGTAAGTAAATCCCAATAGAAAATTGCAATATTTGTCACCATTCCAACAACATTAATAGTTCTGAAAAATTTACATAAATAACACTTTACAGGAGTTCAGTATACCATAACGACAGTCGTTAGATCATTACTAGATAATCCCGAGCGAAGGTAAGCATGAAAATGAGCTGAAATCATTGTTTTTAACATTTCCTCCATCTCGACAATTCAAGGTTCATCCAAGTCGAAACGGCTTTCTTCTACATTTGGTGGAAAGAGCAGAGCGACGAAACCAAAGCCCAAGTCAGACAGTTGATCAACGAAGGCCGATTGGAAATATCCAATGGCGCCTGGTCCATGAACGACGAGGCCGACGTCCACTACCAGTCCACCATAGACCAGTTCACTCTAGGTCTGAGATTCATCGAAGATGTTCTGGGGAAATGCGCCAGGCCAAAAGGAGGCTGGCAGATCGATCCTTTCGGTCATAGTAGGGAGCACGCTTCACTCTTGGCCCAGATGGGAATGGATTCGTTATTCTTCGCCAGGATTGACTACAGAGACAGAAGGAAGAGACACGCAGAAAAGACCAGTGACATGCTGTGGAGGAGTAGTGCTAATTTGGGTAAACAAAAAAAATGGTAAAAGATGTTTCCCTTACTATTTTGTTTTCAGGTACCAGCAGCAACATCTTTACATCCGTTCTGTACAACCACTACAGTGCGCCGGGTGGATTCTGCTTTGATATAAATTGTAGTGACGCTCCAATAGTTACCGATCCCGACAGCTCCGAATATAACTGGGCCTCTGTGGTAAAAATCACTCTTATATCATTGTAAAATATATATTTCAATTTCTCATCTAATCTGATTGTAGGTAAAAAGTTTTGCCAATTATGTCAACGGACAGTCCACGCACTACCCGACCAACAATGTTCTGATAACCATGGGTGATGATTTCCAGTGGCAAAATGCCGAACAGTATTACATTAACCTGGACAGACTAATAGAGTAAGCAGCCTTTTTTTATTCGTTGTTATTTTTATACAATAGTTAATTTAATTGTTTTCAGAGGATTCAAGAAATTCAAACCAACAATCAGCGACAAAGAGATCAACATAATATACTCCACTCCTTCTTGTTACGCGAAAGCGGTAAAAGATGCAGTGGAAGCCAACAATATTGAGCTAAATGTGAAAACTGACGACTTCTTCCCATATGCTGATGGCATCAACTCTGTTTGGTCAGGTTATTTTACATCTAGACCGACGTCGAAACGCTTGGAACGTTTTGCGAATAACCTGCATCAGGTAAACATTCGTCTCTCAATAAAAACTGTTACACACTACATTTATTCCTCGTTTGTAGATCTCTAAGCAAATATTAGCCCTTGGACAGAAGCCCTATAACGGCGACAACCTATTGAGTCAAGCAATGGGTGTCATGCAGCATCACGACGCCATTACAGGCACTGAAAAAACAATGGTGGAAAGAGATTATCACAAACGTATCGCGAAGGGGATGGAAACGGCTATTTCTGACATCAGCACCTCTTTAACGTAAGTGGCATCAATTTTGACTATTGAAAACTGCCGTGGATTACTGTAGGAACAAAGCTATTAACATTATTGTGCTTTGATAGTTCGATATTGGGTCTGGAAATCGATCTGAACCTCAAATCGTGCCTTCTGGCGAACGTAAGCATCTGCGACGAATCGGACAAGGACGAATTCACCGTTCTCATCTACAACCCACTTGCTAGAACCACCTCTCACTACATCCAAATTCCAGTCAATGACGGCACATGGAAAGTCACGGGACCGTCAGGCGAAGAAGTTGAGAACCATTTGACTAATCCCATCAGAAACTTCAGCTACATCAGCAAGATTACTGAAGACAAAATTCTTCAGAAAGTGCTGTTTTTCAGAGCAGAAAATTTACCCGCTCTAGGGTACAAAGTTTACAGATTCAAAAAAGTCAGCTCTGTAAGTAATTCGGTTAGAGAGGAAGCGATGGCTGTTGATCAAATGGGATTCGAGGTAAAATAACGGCAAGAAAGAGAAGCTCGGGAACTTAAACTCGTTTTGTTTCAGGATAGATACGTCGACTTCGATCTAGACACCGGACTTCTAAAATCGATAACCATCAACGGGGTGACTCTAGGAGTTAAACAGAACATGATGTTCTACAACGGCTCAGCGCGCATGACTGGTGCTTATATTTTCCGGCCAGATACAGATTACAGAGATGCAATTGAATTCGGCGACGTTCAGACCAGCGTCTTAATAAATGACGGAAACATCGTCAGAGAGGTAAGGCAGATGTGGAAGGACTGGGTTACTCAGATAATACGTATATACAAGGACGAGGACTTCATCGAATTCGATTGGGCCGTTGGCCCTGTTGACATATTGTAAGTGACTTTTATCATCGTTGACGATAATTTACCGTCTTTGTTTAAATGTTAGGGATCATCACGGAAAGGAGCTCATTACAAGATATTCTACCAACTTAGAGGACACAGATGGGGTATTCTATACCGATTCGAATGGTAGGGAAATAATCGACCGGCAGAAGGACTACAGGCCAACCTACAGGTACACAAATGAGGAACCTCAGGCTGGAAATTATTACCCTGTGAACAGCAAGATTCTGATCAAGGACGAAACTAACGAGTTTGCAGTGTTAACCGACAGGTCCGAGGGCGGATCTAGTTTAAATTCAGCAGAAGTGGAATTGATGGTATTTTGTATAAATTACTGTTTAGTATCAAAAAAATAATAAACCTTTGTTTCTTTTTAGTTACTGCGAGTTGCAACTGATGACGACAGTAGAGGAGTTGGTGAAAATCTCAACGAACAAGAGTTTGCTCAAGGATTAGTGGCGCGAGGATCTCATTTCGTTACACTAGGAAGAATCACAGAAGGAAATAGTCAGTCATTCCTGTAACCCAGTGAACTTTCAAGCATTAACTTTTATTTTTTTTAGATGGAAGAACAATGGCTGCCGTCGAGAGAGACATAGCGCAAAGGAAACTCCTTCAACCATGGGTATTTTACACCTCGGAAGAAACTCCACTGGAGGAACGGTCGTTCCTAAAAAAAGAACTGCCACCAAATGTTCATCTTCTGACTTTGGAGAGCTGGAACGCTACTGGCGGTAACACTTTCCTTATCAGATTGGAGCATATTCTAGAAAACGACGAAGATCCTAACCTTTCCCAAGAAGTTACAATTGATATCTCGGTAATTAATTTTTTGACTATGTTTCCATTGTACCCTTAATATAATTTTTGATTTCCAGGATCTTTTCGATACCTTTACCATCACTTCAATGAAAGAATTCATGCTGGCTGCCAATACTCCTTTGGAGGAAAGTAACAGATTCGTTTGGCCTCAGGTAGTCGAAAATGAAAGCAGTTCAAGTCCCCTCCATAAGAAAAACCGTCTGGCCAGAGATGAGTCGGATTTGAAAATTACATTGGCTCCTATGCAAATCAGAACCTTTGTAGCGACCGTTGAGTTTAACTGAAGACAAATATCAGTTTAAAAATGAAGAATTGAATAAAAATTGTATGTTGATATAGCTTTAGTTGTTTCTTTAAAAAATCCTTTCCAAGCGGCTGAAAGCAGTGCTCGAAGCGAATAAGTTTATTTCAATCTATTGGGTGTCCCAAAATTCAAGCAAGATTCGAATTTTGCCAACAGAAAAAAAAAGAGTCCAGGAACATCAATTTGACACTGTGGCCAAGGTTAGACATTTCGAGAATACAAAATTTTTAAACATAAACTGTTTCAGAGATATACAGGGTGTCCCACTGGGAACTACATCGATCGATATCTAGGAAAGTACTGCTCCGAAAAATTTGAAAATTTGATAACATGGCAATGTCCCTGGGGCGAGCACAACTAAAATATCTAGAACTACCAGTTATACCGGAAGTCGAAACCAACTTCGTTATTTTAAGTGGGACACCCTATATATTATTGCATTTTCGGATTCTATGTGAAATTTAAGGGTCACTATTAAATATTTCCTATACCTAGGAGTTATTTGAGATATTAATATTTAAAGAAAAAAATTTGACAGATGCAAGGGTCCGCGGAGATGCTAGTAACTCTTTTCAGGGGCGTGGCATCAAGTGGATTTTTTGCACCTGCAAAGGGCATAAGTAATATTAGATTATGGTATACCAATAAATTGAAACATTTAATACTAGGTGTTTCATTTTTGCTGTTACATTTTGATAACTTCAAACAGCTATAACTTTGTTAACTTAAATGGAACACCCCTGTTTTTTTACTCTGTCGTATGCAGATTTAAATTTCATTTCAAGCCATATAAGCATTGTTATGATTGCCGTTACTACTTTTAGAGATATTTGAAATTTTCTATTTTTTTGACAGTTTTCCTCGTATCACACCTGTTGTCAAATTGGCCATGACCAGAAACATTCCAAAAACAATTGAAATAACTTGACATCTGTCAAGTTAGTTGTCAAATTATTGTTGTGTCTGAATAGTTTCTGCCAAAAATTTAGATAAAAATGCATGGGGATTAAATTATACTAATGAGGATTATTTTAATTTTTTTTATTTATGGAAAATGTGAGTAAGTAATTTCAAGAATATATGGAGAATTTGCTACTTTTTTCCACTACTGATGAGGACTAAGCGAGATGAAACAATATTGCAAGGTATGGATATAAATGGGCAGTGATACTTCCTTGTTTTCCTATTGTTGTTAAGCAATTTAAATCGATATTTTAAGAACTTTTGATCTTGAAAACCTGATTAATTAAACAAATAAAAACAAATTCCTAGATGGCAAAAATACAAGATTACAATCTCCTTAAGGTATCTTATATTCTTCACTTATCTAACACAACTATTTTAAAAACAAAAAATTAGTGACGCAGCTAGAGTATTCAGCATAGCAACAGACGGTAAATTTCAACCAGTCGCGAGAGGATAAGAAGGAAATAATTCATAACGTGTTAAGTCAGCTTTGTATTTAAATTTATTTATTTTTATAACTGAAGCACCACTTCTACTATAATACTTATCACTTTATTACAAAGCCTGTTTCCCTGGATAAGAGATATAGCTATTCCAAATTTGCCTATCTTTTGAATAAAGAAGTAAATAATCCTTAGCAACAGAATTCTTATGTGAATTTTTATTAGAATTTAGTAGATCGTGTTCGAAATGAGGCTCTTTATTGTAATTGTTTTTATCGTTTTCCCTAGTGTTGCTTATGGAAAACCAACAGATTATATGGAAGAAACTGAATGTCCAGGATATAATGTAAGGTCTTTGTTTTCTTATTTACTACTGAATATTTCTTTCATAAACGGATCGGGATCAAAGCTTCGCATTTTAAACTAATTAATATATGCTTAGGCGTGCCATGAAGTCTTCCAAGACAAAATTAACGTGCACATTGTACCACACTCGCACGATGATGTGGGATGGCTGCTCACTGTGGATCAATACTTCTACAAAAGTAAGTAATGCGAAGAATAATAATTATTCAGACATGTTACATTTAAATGTAAAAGCAATAGCTGACGCATATAACAGGAGATTTTTATTATTAAACCTTTAGTTCTTATTGCTTTTAATTTTCTCTGTCGTAAACAAGTAGTGTCAAACTAGATTTAGTCTTAATTTAAATATATTTGTGTTGTATGAAATTAAATGTGTTACTTTTAAAAATATTTTATATATTACTTTTTTCAGAGGTTCAGTACATCATTTCCTCGGTCGTGACTTATTTGCAGGAAAATCCTGACAGGAGGTAAATTTCTTTAAAAAAATTGCAGTTGTACCATACGTTTGGATCAATTATTGATACTTCCAACTAACCTTCCTGATTCCTGCAGATTTATCCAGGTTGAAACGTCTTACTTCTACATGTGGTGGAATCTCCAAAACGACGCGACGAAATCCCAAGTCAGACAGCTGATCAACGAGGGACGGTTGGAGATAGCAAACGGCGCCTGGTCCATGAACGATGAAGCTGCCGTACACTACCAATCCACCATAGACCAATACACGCTAGGCCTCAGGTTCATCGAGGACGTTTTAGGGAAATGCGCCCGTCCAAAAGCTGGGTGGCAGATCGATCCCTTCGGCCACAGTAGGGAGCATGCTTCTTTGCTAGGTCAGATGGGATTGGACTCCGTTTTCTTCGCTAGGCTCGATTATAGAGACAAGCAGAATAGACTGGATCACCAAACTATGGATTTGCTTTGGACAGGAAGTTCCAATTTAGGTATTGGTTCACTGATTTTGGGATCATATGATTTCAATACTTTTTTTATTAGACGCTGACACTTCCACCATCTTCACATCAGTACTATATGACCATTACAGTGCTCCAAGTGGTTTCTGCTTCGACAAAGATTGTGATGACCTTCCAGTAATCATAAATCCGGAAAGCACTGAATACAACTGGGAGGACAGAGTAAGAACCGGTAATTACGTTTAAAGCAAAAGCGTCCTTAAAAAAATGTTACAGGTAATAGAATTTACCAACTATACCGCTGAACAAGCGAAATACTATCCAACAAACAATATACTTGTAACCTTCGGAGGTGACTTTCAATGGAGGAACGCCGAGCAAGGCTTTTTAAACATTGACAGGCTAATTGCGTAAGTTTTGATGAGCATTGCGTAATAACGTACAGTCAATTGTTTTTACACACCTTGATTTTAGGGGCTTCAAAAAGTTCAACCCAACTATCCACGGCACAGAACTCAACGTGATATATTCGACACCTGCCTGTTACGCAAAAGCAGTCAGGGATTACATAGAAGTTAATAAAATGATGTTAGAAGTAAAAACAGACGATTTCTTCCCTTACGCTGACGGAGGAAACACGGTATGGGCTGGTTATTTCTCGTCAAGGCCTACTTCCAAAAGACTGGAGCGTGTTGCAAACAATTTGCTTCAAGTAAGTGAATAAGTTTTGCCTATTCCGCTTCGTTCCGTTACCGATTTATTTCCTTAGGTCAGCAAACAGGTTACAGCGTTTGGTGGGCAATTTTACGGTTCAATTTCCCGGTTAAGTCATGCGATGGGTGTTTTGCAACACCACGATGCCATCACCGGCACTGAGAAGGAAGCAGTGAAGAGGGACTACCATAAAACTGTAGTAGCGGGAATGGAACAAGCCATTTCTGAGATAAGCATCTCATTTTCGTAAATACCGACCAATTTTTACAATTAAAAATTCGTAATTTAATTATCCTTTAAGGTCTATTCTCGGGATAGACGGCAATCTAAACCTGAAGTCCTGTTTGTTATCCAACGTCAGCATCTGCAGTGAATCCGATAAGGACCAGTTCAACGTACTTATCTATAACCCGTTGGCCAGGACCACCTCCCATTACATTCAAGTGCCTGTGAACGACGGCACCTGGAAGGTCACAGGCCCCACAGGTAGTTCTGTCTGCCTAATAAACGTTTAATATTGTATTCAATGTCTTCTAGGTGAAGAAATTGAGAGCCATCTGACATATCCCGCTCGAAATTTTGAATACATCACGAACGACATCGGCGAGAAGATTTTGCCAAAGGTGTTGATCTTCAAAGCAGAAAATCTACCACCTTTGGGATACAAGGTGTACAGTTTCCAAAAATCCAGTGACTTGAGTAGTTCCACCAGGGAGCAGCAACTGGACGCTAACCAAATAGGATTTGAGGTAGGAATATCATCTAGTTATATTGTAAAATAAGACTCGAACATTTTAGGATAGATACGTTACCATTGACCTGAATACTGGTCTTGTAAAGTCCATAACCCTCAACGGAGTAACGCTAGGGGTTTCTCAGAAACTGCTGTACTACAATGGCTCGACGGGTGTCAGTGGCGCCTACATTTTCCGACCAGACACGAAAGTTAGGGAAGCAGTCGAGTTCGGTTACGTACAAACAAGTGTTCTCTTAGGTGGCGGCGAAATGGTACGCGAGATCAAGCAGGTGTGGGAGGACTGGATTACCCAGGTCATTCGAGTTTTTAGAGATGAAGATTTTGTCGAGTTCGACTGGGTCGTTGGGCCGATAGATACGTCGTGAGTACTGGCTTTGTTCTTAGAACAATCCAATAGTCACACAGAAGGTTCAAATTCATTGTTTCGAATCAAATGTGCTTGCATCTGACTGTTGGGAACTGATTCTACAGGGTTATCCAAAAGTCCCGGTACGGCAGAAAAACTTTCGAAGAAAGCATTTTGGGAAAAAATGTCTCAGACAAAAGTGTAAGAAATTTTTCTTGGCTATCTGATGGTGACCTTGGATTTGACATTTGAAAATGCATTCTTCAAAAGTTTTGCTGCCGTACCGGGACTTTTGGATAACCCTGTATAATACACTAGAAACAAAGCAATTATTTGCTATCTCTCAGAGAAAGGGAACATGCATCTTCAAATTTAAATCATAGAAATGGTCTTGGCAAAGAAGTAATCACGCGATATTCGACAGAGTTAGAGACCGATGGAGTATTCTACACCGACTCAAATGGTAGAGAAATGATATACAGGAAGAAGAATTATAGACCCACGTACACGTACACGACCGAGGAGCCTCAAGCTGGGAATTATTATCCTGTTAACACCAAAATTTTGGTCAAAGACGAAGTGAACGAGTTTGCCGTGTTGACGGACCGATCAGAGGGAGGATCTAGTTTGTCTCCTGGGGAAGTGGAACTTATGGTAAATTAAGTGGTTCATGTTTTGGCTAAAATAGTCACCTGATTCTTTTCAGCTGAGCAGAGTCGCTAAAGAAGATGACCAAAGAGGCGTCGGTGAAAATCTCAATGAGACTGAATACGCCGTTCCGCTTGTAGCTAGAGGTTCGCATTTTGTTACACTCGGAAAATCTTCAGAAGGAAATGGTAAGCCAAGAAGTAAATTAGTTGAAGTTTTTCTTTGAAAGAAACTCTGAAATTGGAGATTAAGCCCTCTGACTGGTATTTGTGCACCGACCTATAACGTTTTGATGCATGGTTTATAGTTAGTTTCAAATGTAAAATGTCCTTAGCAGTTTTTTTTTCGATGTAGGCGGAAGAACTATGGCAGCCGTGGAAAGAGACATAGCCCAGAGAAAACATCTCCAACCCTGGGTATTTTACACCACAGAAGACGTCCCGGTCAAAGAACAATCATTCTTGAACAAAGAACTACCACCCAACGTCCATCTACTGACCCTGGAAAGCTGGAATACCAGCAACACTTTACTCATCAGACTGGAACACATACTGGAGAAAGATGAAGATCCAAACCTGTCCCAAGAAGTAACAGTGGACTTGACGGTAATGAATAGTCGGCCAAGTTATAATTGATTAGTGACATCCTTTGTTTTATAGGATCTATTCAAAACAATAAAAATTGTGTCGATGAAGGAGTTCACGCTGGCAGCTAATACGCCTTTGGAGGAAAGTGAAAGGCTCGAGTGGTCTCAAATCGTTCATAGCGTTGACGCAGCCAGCCCACTTAACAAAGAGAAAAAACTGGCGAGGGATGAAACGGACCTAAAAGTTGCTTTGGCTCCCATGCAGATCAGGACCTTCGTAGCTAGTGTTGAAATTCAATGAAATACGGTGATGGTAACGTAAAAAGTACAATAAAGGTTGCATAGAAATCCCTTCTATTATTTAATTACAAACTTCGGGTAATAAACATTCTTTTAGTCCAGTATACAATGGTAAAAATAGGGTATTACCTCCGAATTCTTGACACACGCACCGATTTTCATGAAAATTGGTGACTAAGCTCATTTCACCCTCCTTTACAAAAGTTACATATCCGTAGTTTGCACTTATTGTTTTTAGGGGGTGAAAACTACCCCTTCTTGCAAAAAACATAAAAACCATAGATTTAAGTGTTACGTCAATAGAATAAGCATTATTTTATGTTTTGAATAATAATTTTTGATTTGTAGCAACATTTCAACCCTTAAAATCCACCCTTTATGAGGAAAAAAAAAACAAAAATTAGTTTTCGCGGCTCTGAAATGTTTTGACGGAGCAATAATGAAAAATTGAATATTTTTTACTGTTTATGAAATAATACAAGATTTATTGCAACGTTTCAACCCTTAAAAACCACCCTTATTGCAGAAAATAAAGTAAAAAATTTATTCTTTTCACATCATAGCATTTATAATGAATGAAAGACTCATCGCTGTTTATAATATTACTGATGATTCATTGCAACGGTTCAACCCTTAAAAACAACCCTTAATGAGGAATTGAAGAATTTTTACCAGCTTTAAAACACCCAACGATACATTACTAAATTCAACGAGATTACTTAAAAAATAAAAAATATTTGTGTATTATACAATTATACTTTATTAAAAAAAAAATTACATATCATCTAAAGAACTATCATCACTGTCGACTTCCTCTGTTTGGACGTGTGTGTGTTTGTGCGAGTATTACGCCTCGGAAACTATCGGAAATTAAGCCATTTACATGATCCGACAATTTTCACTGAATAATACAATTCATTTTTTCACGAATTTTTTAATTTTTAATATTTTTCATATCTCCAAAAAGCAATTTTCAGGGAATTGCAAGAGTCACAAATCAACCTTTATAGTTGAAGGGTCTTGAACTCTTCATTTTTCAAAGGTGATCCTTACACGCAAATGCAAACTAAAAAACGTAATACCTCAGTTAATTTTTGCTCTACAGAAAAATTGACGGAGCAAAAATATTACAAAAAAAAGGCCTTTAATTTTGAATTCTTGCATTTTTCACGTATCTTGTTTAGTTTATTTCAAAAAAAAGGAAATATTTTTAAAAATAAAATTTTTTTTTTCATTATTTCAAACTTTTTTAAATTTAGGCATTCTAAACCAGTCAAACTTGCAGAGCCTATTATTAGTACCTAAATAAAGTCGACTGGCATGAATTACGCTTAGTTTCTATTTTTATGGTTTAGCCATAGATTTTATTGTTGATTTTTTCTCCGAAAATATGGGATGACCATTTTATTTCCATCATAACTCCGCGAGTTTTTGAGCTACGAGATTTTTTCAAAAAGGTCTTTCCACGCACTTTAAAAAGGTTATATTCATTTTCTATTTAGTTCTTTCGCCATTATTTTATGGTAAAAGGTTTGATTTTACTTGAAAAATAAACAATCACCTTTAAAGTGTGATAACTCGGTTATTATTACATCTACGGTAATCAACAAGAAACTAATCTATTCGTTATTTCAAAAGCTTTATTTTTGGTTTATATGGGTTTTTCGATAAAACGCAAGGTTTTCGAGTTATTTATCAAAAATGGTTGAAAAACATGTACTTTTTAGATGAAAAATCAACATTTTCGATCGCAAATAACTCGGAAAATTTTAATTTTTGGAAAAAACGTTATAGAGCATTTTTTGCTTAGAATTCAGCCCTCTATTGATTTTTGTGATTAAAATGGGTGCCTTCATTGCCACCCCAACTTTTGTTAAAATTTCACGTCAATCGGTGCATGTGTCAAGAATACGGACCTAAAAACCGTCATATACTGAGCTATTTCCCTATATTTTAGATTTGAAATTGATCAAATGACCAAATTCATAATTTGTGTAACTTAAATTGAAGATAAAGAAAAACGGATTATTATTTTCCTATATGGAAAATTTAAAAAAGTAAAAATTCCTTCCTTTACATTATTTTTTATTTTGTCTTTGTTTCTTTCAAGTGGATTTGGAAGTAATCACTTGTTACTAAGTTAACCAGTTTCAAATAAGTTATTTTAGATTGTAGAGATACTATATCAGCTTATGTTCTTGATTTTAAATTGTTTATCAAGATATTTCGAGTACACACTTAAAGAATAGCAAAAAATTATGATTATCTGATTGATATAAATTATGTTTTGCAACTGTTGATTTCAATATAATTCCAACGTAGTAATTAATAACTTTAGCTACACGAGTTTAAAACAAAAGAGGAAAATAAACTGTGTGCGAGGTCTTAGGAGGCATTCTTTACGTCCAAAAAGTAATTGGACAGAATGAGAATCCTTGGTGTTCTATTTCTCGCGACAGTTGTTTGTGGGAAGCCCTTCAATGCTGGTTCCGACGAAGCAGTATGTGGATACGATGTAAGTACTTGCCTAAAACTTGCCTTTTGGTAAGTCTCTTTGCTTCTTCTAGTCGTGTCATCCAGTCAACCAAAGCAAAATCAACGTCCACATCGTAGCCCATTCCCATGATGACGTTGGGTGGTTGAAAACCGTAGATCAATACTACTATGAGGGTGAGTTACTTACGAGATAGTCAGTGGTGGTAACTTTTATTGTACTTATTTTCTTTTTGCAGAGGTTCAACAAATTCTTTCATCGGTAGTCAGCGCTCTTTCGGATAACCCTGATAGGAGGTAAGCTTCGCGAGATTTTAAGGAAAAAGCATAATAAACACTGATATTCCAGGTTTATTCAAGTAGAGACAGCGTTTTTCTACATGTGGTGGAACCTGCAGACAGAGAACATAAAATCCTTAGTCAAACAGCTCGTCAACGAAGGCAGATTGGAGATAGTCAACGGTGCTTGGTCTATGAACGACGAAGCCGCTGTGCACTACCAGTCCACCATAGACCAGTACACGTTAGGTCTAAAGTTCCTCGAAGACAACCTAGGAAAGTGCGCCAGGCCTAGAGTAGGCTGGCAAATCGATACGTTTGGCCACAGCAGAGAACAGGCGTCTCTCCTCTCTCAATTTGGCATGGACGGGGTCTTCTTCGCCAGGTTCGACTACAGAGATAGGGCGAAGAGGTTGGCCGAGAAAAATATGGAAATGCTGTGGACGGGCAGCGCAAATCTCGGTAGTAAATTCAATAATTACACAGCCCCCCGCCTAAAAAAAAATCAATACACACATTTTTGGGGTTGCTGAATCCGAATCTGGCATCCGTTTGATGGAATTAGTTCGTGTTCAAGGTTATTTGTAGGTCATCTCTTGTTTTTTGATGGAGAAACGGGCAATTTTACTTTGGGCAATGTATTAAGTTATTTTCTATGATCATGTTCAGGATCGTATGAAGGTCAAATTGGTGACCTTGAATTTGAGGTCATTTTGATAAAATCACAAGAATCTCTAAGGCGGTGATGATGATTTTTGTATTCATGAGATCTAGTTTTCATAAGTTTAAGGGCATAAAAATAGCAAAACTTTTTTGAGAATTTGGTCCTACGTACTCGCATCTTAGCACAATTGGTTTCACAGTGAGGATATTTCAAATTCTGCCACTTCAGCATATGCTGGAAATGGTGACACTGGTATTTTGAGGTATCACCTTCGAAAAACAAGAGTTGACCTTCAAATAACCTTCAAAATGATCTTCAAAATCAAAGTCAAAGCCACCAGATGGTAGTGCAATGATTCAAACAACTTTTATAGAAGTTATGTTTCTGATATCGTGCAATTCAGATGAGATATCAACATATGAAGCTTAAAAGGAGAGTTTGACCTTCAAATGATCTTGTAAAAAATGATAAAAATAACTCAACCACGGCTCGGAACATAAAATTTCTCGCTCATTCAAAATCTGGAGTCAGAAATTGTCAAAATACAAAGTTGACCTCCAAATAACCTTGAACATGAGCCAACTTCGTCAAACAGACACCGGATTCTTATTCAGCAACAAGTAACTAAAGTACCGTAACTTTTTCTAGGAACTAGTAGCAATATTTTCACATCAGCACTGTATCATCACTACAACGCTCCACCCAATTTTTGCTTCGACATCATCTGCCAAGACGAACCCATCGTTACGGAAACAGATAGTTCAGAATACAACTGGGAAGCTAAGGTAACGGTGGTGGTGCGAATAACACTATTTCTTTTACTAACGATGGTTCATATTTGGTAGGTGAAAGAGTTTGCGAAATTTATCAAAGAGCAGTCCCAGTACTACACTACCAACAACATAATCATAACGATGGGGGACGACTTTTACTACCAGGCTGCCTCAAACGTCTACGTCAACCTAGATAAGTTGATATTGTAAGCTCTAGGAAGATGTCGTCGATATTTTTTACTCATTGATGCGTTTTATATTTTTTTAGAGGCTTCAAGAAATTTAATCCAAAGGTAAATGGCAAAGAAGTTAATATAATATACTCTACTCCTTCTTGTTACACAAAAGCCGTCAATGAATACGTCCAAAAAAAAAAAATGAAATTAGATGTAAAGACTGACGACTTCTTTCCTTACGCTGACGAATCGGACAGAGTTTGGACTGGTTACTTCACTTCAAGAGCTCCTTCTAAGAGATTGGAAAGACTCTCGAATAATTTGCTGCAGGTTAAAATCACTTTTTAAACAAACGACACAGAATAATTTCAAATTATTTCTTAAAGGCTTCCAAACAACTAGGAGCCCTCGCCTTCAAATCCTACGAGGCCAATTTGCCCTTAAGCGAAGCCATGGGAGTTATGCAGCACCACGATGCCATCACCGGGACCGAACATGACGATGTTAAGCAAGACTATCACAGACTGTTGGCGCAGGGTATTGAGACAGCGACTTCTGAAGCTGCTAAAGCCTTTTCGTAAGCGGAAGTAAACGAACATTTTCTTAACGATAATGTTTTCTCTATTTTAGAGCTATCCTCGGCATGTCTACCGATTTAAACTTCACATCTTGTCCGCAATTGAACGTTAGCGTATGTGGAATAGCGATCGAAGATGAATTTAACATCGTGGTGTATAACCCCTTAGCCAGGGTGACTTCGTATTACATCCACATTCCTGCAACCGGATATTATTATGAAGTTGAAGGACCGACAGGTATACACACTTAATATTTGTTGATACTGATATTCGATGATGTTTAAGATTTTGATTCGTAGAAGTCGTTTATGAAAATTGCAGTTCTGGTAACGTCATCTTTTGGAAAACAGCAAGAATTTATTCAACCCTATAATTTAGATTTTCAATATTTAAAGAATTAGGTTAACATTAATTAATCCAAATTAATATACAGGGTGGGCCACCAGTAACGCCTCGGTTGCTAGGGACCAAACGGCAAATGTTATAGAAACCAGTTTAGGTGGGTATGTCTAGGTTGATTACGGCTACATTTTAAAAATATTTTGAAATATACAGGGTGTCCAGGAAAAGCGTACCATATCAGAGTTATGTATGTTTAAATGGAACACCCTGTATTTTACTACATTTTTGAAAGCACCATAAAAAAATAGGTGAACTTTATTAAAGGTTCTGCATACCTTCCAATTTTAGTGAAAATGCAGGCATAGTGTAGAAACTTAATATTAGCAATAAAAAAATAATTTTAAGGAAGCAGGGTCTATTGTAGATCCTTGAAGATATAAATTGTTGTATTTGTCGTCACTTAGTATTATACAGGGTGTTCAAAAAACTGCTGAATACTTCTCTCAACTTTAAACAGCAATAACTTGGTTATTTTAAATGGGACCCCCAGTATATTTTTACTTTGGGAGTTAGGAAATTTGAAACTTTTTCAAACTGTGTATCGGTTCCCTATACCTATCTCTAACGGTATTGGAGATATTTGTGCCGTTTCATTTTTTATCGAATTTTTTTGTAAGATGTGTCTTTATCGAGGTTTTTATTGAATTGGGTTGGGTTCTTCTTGATGACATCTCTTTAAATATATTGAGAAAAATGAGGATGCAATTAGATGGCGCACCTGCATATTTTTCATATTCAGTGAGAAATTATTTAAAACGAAAATTTAGTAATATGTAAATGGATAAGTAGGAATGGTGCATGTCAGTGGCCACGTAGGTGTCCAGACCTCACCGTAATGAACTTCTTTGTTGCGAGCTATATAAAAAATGTTGTACACAATGTTCCACCTACTACTTGCGATGATATTGAAGGGAAGGATTAGAGATAAGCTACCTATTTTTCATGGTGCTTTCAAAAATGCAGTAAAATACAGGGTGTTCCATCTAAAAATACATAACTTTGATATGGTACGCTTTTCCTGGACACCCTGTATATTTCAAAATATTTTTAAAATGCAGCCGTAATCAACCTACACATACCCACCTAAACAGGTTTCTGTAACATTAGCCGTTTGGTCCCTACCGACCGTGCCGTTACTTGTGGCCCGCCCTGTATAAATACAATTCTTTAGGAGAAGTAGTGGAGAGTCATCTGACGAGTCTCATTGACTATTTCACTGAAGTTCCTGATAAATTGGGATCCACACTGATTTTCAAAGCAGAAAATCTTCCAGCCCTTGGATATCAGGTTTACAAAATCAAGCATACAGTAAAGAAAGAAAAAATGAAAAACGCGACAAGGTTTGTAGAACAAGTAGACCAGATGGGATTCCAGGTAGAGCTCTCAAAGGCATTTCGCTTTTGGCTATCTCCATTATCTCTCTTTGTTTCAGGATAATTATGTTAACTTTGATCTATCGACGGGCTATCTCAAATCCATTACCCTTTCCGGTGTGACGCAGGAAGTGTCCCAACAGTTTTTGTACTACAACAGCTCTGACGTTTCAAACGCTTACATATTTAGACCCGATGGAAACAATAGGAACGCCACAGAAATCACGCTAGTGACCAACTCGGTTCTGATCAACGATGGTAACTTAGTTAGGGAGGTTAAGCAGTCGTTTAGGGGGGGAATTAACCAGATTATACGGATCTATAAAGACGAGGACTTCATCGAGTTCGATTGGTTGATTGGATACCAAGACACCTCGTAAGTAAACAGAATAAAAAACAGGATTCCCCGTTTGGACTTTTTGCAATACTCATTTTAAATTTCATAGATTAGGGGGTAAAGAAATTATTACAAGGTACATAACGAACCTGGAAACCCAGGATGAGTTCTACACAGACTCTAACGGCAGAGAAATGATAACGCGCAAGAGAAACTACAGACCTACTTACGAATATAGCGACGAGGAGCCTCAGTCCGGGAACTACTATCCTGTAAATACCAGGATTGTGATCAAGAACGAGACCAACGAGTTTGCCGTGTTAACGGACAGGTCTGAGGGTGGTTCCAGTTTGACTTCGGGGCAGGTAGAACTTATGGTAAGTTATTGTATTATTACATTAGAACATTGATTTAACAATTCAATTTCAAAGGTAACTCGACAAATTCCAAACAGTCTTGACGAGCACGAATATGGTAGTCCTGTTAAAGTCCGAGGAACCCACTATGTTACCCATGGGGTTTCAGCCGAAGGGAACGGTATGCTCGCTTGCTAGTGATGATCCGAATAGTTGCGCGTTAAATTGTAAATGATGTTTTAGGTGGTCGTACCATGGCAGCGGTCGAACGAGACATAGTTCAAAGGAAACTCCTACAACCTTGGTTGTTTTTCACGACAGACGACATTTCGGTTAAACAGCATTCATTCCTGAACAAGGAATTGCAGCCTAACGTCCATTTACTGACTTTAGAAAGTTGGGGTGACGGCACCGTGCTCATAAGGCTGGAACATGTATTGGAGAAAGACGAAGATCCCGAGTTGTCGAAAGAAGTAACAGTCGACCTGACGGTAAGTAAAGAAAGATTAAGATTTCTTCTTGCGGCGGTACCAGTCAATCTTTTCAGGGACTTTTCAAACCTTTCAACATACACACGATGAAGGAATACACGTTGGCCGCCAATATACCACTGGAAGAAAGTGACAGGTTGAGTTGGGCGCAACTAAAATCTGAAGATCCTTCCAGTCCCTTGAGCAAGGCACAAAGATTGACCAGAGATGAGGAAGATTTGGTCATTACTTTGGAGCCCATGCAGATCAGGACTTTCATCGCTACAGTTTCCCCTGTAGAATCCTAACAAATGTGTTTTACAGTTTGAAGATAGACACATTTTTATTTTTATGCGTTTATTTTCGTTTGCAAAAATAAAAACATTCTATAGAATCTACATTACCTCGCTGCATTTATGGAATGTATCACCCTGTAGGTTTAAGTACAAAAATGTTATCAATTGAAGATAACAACAGTATTATCATGATTTTCTAAAACATTACTTTCATTTTATTGTAACAAGTTTATCTTGTCGGCATCAAGTACAATCCTTGAACGAAAATGCGAGTCATGAAACTATTAAATAACTACATAGAGAAGCACTTACGGTGAGACTCGTTAAAAGAACATTAATAAGGTGAAATTCTTTCTCTTCCTAATAGACCGATCGAAATAACTCATTTAGAGGGAAAAAAAAAGAAAATTTTTACTTGGACTTTTATAAGTAGAAATGGTAATGGGGCTTATAATAAACGAAAAAAATAAATGTGTGAGCAGGGGTGGCGGAGGGTTAATTTGGGGGGTTGAAAAGTTGTGAAAAATTGTATCATTGGGATTTCTGGCAAAAGTTGACATCAAACAAAAAAGTATCTAATACGAAAGTTGTTGATCATGTAAAAATCTACAACTTTTGTAGAGGTCACTTTTTAAGATAACCTCGAAATTTCCGAGAAAAATGCGAAAAAAAGTCTTTTCCTATTTTTTGTTTTTTATTTCTCATTTCCGCAAAAAAAAATTAATTTTTACGAAACTTGGTTAAAGTACATACATTTCTGTGTCTTAAATAACCGCAAATTTTTTTAGATAAAAAAATTCAAGAAGTTTCCGAGATTCATTTTTTCCGGTCTGAAACACTTTTTTTTCAAAGGAAAATTCTACATAGGAAAATCATCGTAGAGTTCTGCCGGTGATCATTTTTTTCGTTTTGACATATACTCTTTGGTGAAATAAAAAAATCTGTAATCACAGTTCAAAAACATGCTCAAAAATGCAAAAAAAAAAATTGTTGATAATTTGTTAAATTAAAAAAATTCAAAAACGAATTACATCATTTAGATGTACGGAAAAAATACAAATAGTGAATAAATAAAAATATAAATTTTTTTCTGTAGGATCGATTAGTGTACTTATTTTTTTTTAAATTTTGATGAATTTATAGATATACAGTGTGTCCAAGATAAGGATGGGATAGCATTAGGATCTAGGAAACAGTAAGAGATACAAATGTTGTGTTTTTTTATATCTAACAACATGCCGTTTAGAAAGTTTAAAAATTCCGGGTAGTTTGGGAGATATCCGGAAAAAACGGAAATTTTGCAAAATTATTTAATTTTTCTGGCTTTATTTGAAAACGAATTTTAAAATAAATTGCATATTTACAATGCCACTTTTTTTGCTCTATACAATGGCGTCAACATTTTTGCAATCCGACGTTTCATCTTTGAGGGGTCATCATATGATGATGAATTAACCTGATATCAGGTTAATTTTTTTAAATGTGTACGTATTTAAAAAAATTAACCTGATGGCCCCTCGAAGATGAAACGTCGGATTGCAAAAATGTTGACGCCATTGGATAGAGCAAAAAAGTGGCAATGTAAAAATGCAATTTATTTTAAAATTTCAATTCAAATAAAGCCGAAAAAAATAAAACGATTTTGCAAAATTTCGGGTTTTTGGGTTTCGCGTCAACAGTAGACGTTGCAGTTAATACTTTGTATTGCTGAAATCTCAAATCATCCTGAGATAATTTATCATTTGTGCATTTGTAATTCGACTTAGATATTTACAGCAATACTGTAGAAATATAAAGTTTTGGGTCAAACAATGAGACCCAGTTTTTTTTGTATTTTTTCCGTAGAATGAATGGTGTAATCAGTTTTTAAATTTTTTCTAATTTAAATAAATTATCAATAATTACTGAAAAATTTATTGTTGCAAGTAATTTTTTATTTTTTTTGCATTTTTGAGCATGTTTTTGAACTGTGATTACAGGTTTTTTTATTTCACCAAAAAATATATGTCAAAACGAAAAAAAATTATCACCGGCAGAACTCTGTACGATGATTTTCCTAAGTAGAATTTTTCTTTGAAAAAAAAGTGTTTCAGACCAGAAAAAATTAATATCTCGAAAACTTCTTGATTTTTTTTATCTAAAGAAATTTGTGGTTATTTAAGACGTAGAAAGGAATACTTTCATCAAGTGTGTCAAAATTAAGTTATTTTTGCGGTAACAGGAAATAAAAAACGAAAAATCAGAAAAAAATCTGTTTTTCGCATTTTTCTCCGAAATTATGAGGTTATCCTAAAACGTGACCTCTACAAAAGTTATAGATTTTTGCATGATCTACAATTTTTGTGTTGGATACTTTTTTGTTTGACGTCAACTTTCGCCAGAAATCCCAATGATACAATTTTTCACAACTTTTCAATTCCTCTAATCAACCCTCCGCCACCCCTACTCACGCATTTATTTTTTTAGGTTTATTATAAGCCCTTTTACCATTTCCACTTACAAAAGTCCAGGTAACAATTTTTTTTTTCTCCAAGTGTAATTTGGCTGGACTATAAATAATGTCGAAGAAAAATAATTTCTCACCACACAAAGGACTGACCAAATTATACCTATTTTATTTACACTTCCCAATATTTACAATTCATAAACAAACGAGTGTACTTTCTCCGACTGAGTATTTTTTCTGGAAAATCCTACTAGATCCTCCCGTCCAGCACCATTCTCCTCAATTTTCTCCTTTTTATCTTCCCCGAGGGTGTCATGGGTATGCTGGTGACGAACTTCACCCCTCCCCTGAGCCTCTGCTTCTCGTCCACCCTCTCCTCCACGTACCTCTCGATGTCCTTAGCTGTGACGTCCTTGGCGTCCTCCTCCAGAACGATCACCGCCATGGGATGGTCCCCGTCTTCCTCGTGAGGCTTTCCTATCACCACGACCCGTTTGACAGCGGGATGGTGGGAAAGTTCCAGCTCCAGAATGGCCGGTGGTATGTGCCATCCCCTGTACTTCAACATCTCCTTGAGGCGATCCACCACGTAGAAGTAACCGTTCTCGTCGTACTTCACTATGTCGCCGGTACGGAACCAGCCGTCTTTGTCGTAGCGGTTGGAGAAGTCTCTATTGTAGTAACCGTTCATTACGGTCTTACTTTTCACTCGCAGTTCGCCGGGTTCGTTGGGGCCTAGGACTGTTTCAGTTTCCGGGTCAACCACCTGGAAATGTAATGGGGAACCATCAAATATATCAAACGATAAAATAATTACACTCACCTTATACCAAACTCCTCTGACAGGTAGTCCCACTGTGTCGGGATTCTTCTTGTAATACTCCCTGTGTGCTTTGTTGTGGATCTGAAAAGCGGTGAGCATTCCAACCTCTGTTTGAGCATATGTTGGGATGATATCCGTATCGGGCAGCAACTCCTGAAGGGCGAATATATACTTTCTTGACAGAGCTGCTCCTCCGGTGGAGAGTCTAAGGAGCCAACTGGTATCTGCGTCATTTGGTTTTCCACATTTCACCAGTTCTGTTACTTGAAATGGCGTCAAGAAGACCCCGATGACCTGCAAATCGACAATTTTTTAATATATCTTAACTTAACTGGCCAATGTACCTGGTATTTTCCTATTAAGTACCAAAACTCCTTGGCGTCGAAATTATTGCACAGCAATCTGCGCAGTCCCGTTACAGCTGATAGAAATAACCCCATGATTCCTGAAGACCAATACAGAGACCCGTAGTTGAGGAAGCTGCTACCCTCCCTCTTTGAAAGTTCGAATTTCATCCTTTCCTCGTCCAAATCCCAATTTTTAGCCCTGGGCACCAAAGGGGAAACAAAATAGAAGTAGTAGTGATTCAAACATATGCCCTTTGGGAACCCAGAAGTGCCACTGCTGAATATAATGACGACTGTGTCTTTGGGATCATCTACGACGACAGGTTGGAAGTCTTCCTCGCCCTGCTGAGGTTGGATGAACTCTTGAAACTCTGTGTAAGTAGTAGTTTGTCCAAAGACAACCACCTCGGAGTCAAGCTCAGCATTTTTTAGAGCCGCCTTAATCTCTCCCAAGGATTCTTCTACGGTGAACACTATTTTAGGCTTCACCTGGTGCAACAGCTCGCTCTTTTCGAAGAACGAGAGGCTGGGATCTAAGGAACATGGTATGGCGCCTATAAAGATGGAAGCGATGATGGGCACAGACGCTTCCAAGTGGTTGTTCGAACAACCTGTGATGATGTCGCCCTTTCCGATGCCTCTTTTCTTGAGAGCGATGGCGGTTCTGACGCTGCGTTGCAGTAGAGATTCGAAGCTGTCGGATTGATCTGTGGCAGCGTCTGTCTATAGGAAAATTAAATATAATCAAGGTTGATTAGGTTGTTGGACTAATAGATACGTTTTAAGTACCTAGAGCATTCCAGAACAGTTTCCAACAGTCAGATGCATGTGCATTCCGATATAATGTTTACATAACGTTTAAAATTCACTGTCACTGTTCACTAGAATTAAATGCAGCTGGGTCTGACTGTTGGAAACAGTTTCTATAGCACAGGGAACAAAACTGTTGAAACCTGAAGCAAATTTCGAAGAAACAAATAACAATAATTTTATTAACACAACGAAAATTATTTTGAGTTATAAAAAAGTGAAATCGAAAGAAATCTATCCTGTATAAGTTTTATTTTTCGTGCTATTACAAAGCAAATATATTGTTTTGTTGCGTTGTGGTTGTTTTTTTATTCGACATATCAAATTCTTGGAAATGATGTAAGTGTTGATAATCAAAGAAATAAAATTTTATGGGTGTGTCGGTTTTACTTTATTTCACAATAATTTCACAATAATAGTAGCTACAAGGAAAATACAGTAAAATGCAAATGCATCTTTTAGAAGCGCTATAATGTACATCGTATAGTTATTTATACCGATTACTGCAGCATAATCATAAGAAATCACCTACAGGGCGATTAAACTCTCTTTACCGACATTTATTAAAAGTTTTAAAATTTATGGTAATTTTTTCATACACATTTTATATTGGTAGCTTGAAATCATATTTTTATGCTACACATTTACACTAAAATTTAGTTTATAAAAAAAAACAAAGTAGAAAAGTCTTTATTTAATATATTGCAATGTTAGCTTTAAATTCATCATTCGGTTTGTCACAAATAAAGTGCCATATCATAAATAAAAATAATTTTATACTCTTTTGTATATAAAACAGTGACTAGATTATCTAGAATTATATCGGGTGTCCCAAAATTCACGCAAATTTGCGGTAAAGTGTTGCCAACGAAAATAAAAAGACGTCGGGACAACTGGCTCCGGGTTATTAAAAATGGAGCGCTATACGAAAGAACAACGCGTTTTCGTTCCTGAGCAATATTTTAAAAATAACGAAGGTTTCCTCGACTATGAATAGATTAATTGAAAAATTCAGTAAGACTAGATCAATAAGTGATATTAAACACTCTGGCCGCAATAAGTCGTTCAACACAAAACACCGAAGCAGTTCGAGAGAGAGTTGCTGAGAATCCAAGAACATCAATTCGGCACCGTGATGAAGAATTGGACATTTCGAGAAGTTCCCTACAGTGTATTCTCACGAAAGATTTACATCTTCATGCTTACAAAGTTCAATTGGCTCAAGAACTGAAGCCTATTGACGACAGAGCGAAGAGAGTTCGTTGAATGGATTATGGAACAAGTGGATGCTAATTTTTGGGCTGGAGGCATCATCGGACCATTCTTCCTCGAAAATCAGCTGGTCAGTCAATAACAGTTAATGGTGCTCGCTATTGCGACATGATAATCCAGTTTCTTGTGCCTAAATTGCAAGATACGGATGTAGACGACATGTGGTTTCAACAAGACAGTGCCACATGCTGTACAACCCGAGAAACAATTTAATTACTGCATGAGTCATTTCCTGGTCGTGTAATTTCCCGTTTTGGTGATAAGAATTGATAAGATCATGCGAATTAACGCCGCTTGGACTTTTTTGTTCGGGTTTCTTGTTTTTTTGAAGTCGACGGTTTCAGCCAACAAGCCCACGACCACCCACGCCTTTTGATTAAAAATCTAGTTTTCTATTAAAATTACTTCTTGCGCGAATTTTGGGACATCTTTTAGTACTATATTTTCCGTATAATATGATGAATCTGTTATCTAACAGAGGCCTAGCACAGAATTCGACGTAATAAAATATTTCATTACATACAGACGCCCACATGGTAATCTATAACTATTGTATTATATCTTATCGCCGCATCTTTAAAATAGATTACCAATATGACGTAGATTCCGATTTAATTCACCTAAATGTAGAATTTAATAACACGCATTCTTTGAAAAAGTTTGTTATCGATAGCATGATATAAAATAAAAAAATATTGTCATCGTTGATATTGTATAACCGTTTTTTTTTTGTTATTCGTTAAGAAAAAAAGTAATTGTAAATATAATTTTACAAATTTGTTTACAACTCTATCATGGTTTTACTATTATGTATATCGGCGTTTTATGTAAACCAAGAAGCTTTTTGAGTAGTTATTTATTTTTTTAAATGCAATCTGTTAATAGTGTTGTTATGCAAGAACGTCCAATAACGAGTTAAAACTAGTTTTAGCTAAATAAAGATTGAAATTTCATGTGCAAATAAATCTGCAATGTTTTACGTTTTATTATACCTACGATCTATAGATCTTCACAAAATGTCATTACCATGAAGTCAGTACTTACTAGTCGTTTCAATTTTATCATTATCGTTTATTTAAAAATGACAAGCAAATTTCTATACGGTTTTTTAAAGTAAATAAATGAATTCCGCCCGTAATCGGTCCAAACTTCACCTCCGAAGTCTTCGCCGACAAAAGATTAAAAAGTGACTCACCTGTGCAATTTTACTCCCGTTCTTCTTCATGCAGTTGAAGAAAACCTTCCCCACGCCCCCCAGGGATTTGGCGTCGAACACGATGTCTTCAGTTTTAATAATATTATCTTCTATGGAAAACATTTTCAATACCACGCGTTGCCTGAACTACTTACTGGGATTTTCGATTTATATTTGAAAACATCACACTTTACCCCAGCCCGACCTTGCGCTTATACGCTGGTATGCAATAATTAAAAATCCTAGAATAAATTAAAATACTAATTTGTTTTGTGCGACATCACTGATAATCATACACACATACACACACTCACACATGGCTCATTCATAGTGAACAAGCCAACACTACATTTTCAGAGATAATACGGAAAATAAATACGCGTTAAGCGTCCAAAGATAATTTATTTACTTACTCGTTAACGCGTACAGGGTAGCACAAAATAAATTACGAAGTTACCTGGGTATTATGTACTTTTAGAAAAGTTTGTGAAAGTCGAAGAATGAGAATTAACTTCAAAATGTTTTATCATTTTAACTTGTTTCTCATCTCCTGTATTTTACAAATAAAATAGTTCAATTTCCTTCAAGATTCTCCAAGATCAAGATCTATTTAAGTGAAATAAAGAGTTGGAATATAATTTAAGCAACTCAGTTATTTATTTAGATGGACAGATAATTGTTGACGGAAATTTTAATTAGACACGTAGGTCTAATAAAAATTAATAGGTGCCTATAATGGCAAGTAAAAAATTATCTACGTTAACAATGATGAGACTGCAAGAAATTTATTTAGTTACAACAGCTTATTAATTATTACAGAAACATAATTTTTATTCCTCTGTAGCTTTCATCCTGAACTTCTCGATTTTTTCGTCGCCATGTATGAAAAGAAATCTATAACTATTTGGAACATGCAGGATGTCCCAAAATTAATACACAGGGGTTTATGACATGTTGAATCTGATAGTGCTACAGCTTTTGGCGGGGAACACCCTTAAGATACTTGTTCGTGGGCCCCTTTATCTTTGGGCCCAAAAAAATTTTTCGCATATTTGAATTTCTTAAAAATTATTAGTTCGCTAGAAAGCCATTCAATTTAGAAACTTTTTTGTTTCTTGATATTTTATTCGTAAATGCAATGTTTTCAAGAAAAATGGCAAATCACGATATGCATTCAATCACATTTTATTATTTTTCTCGAAAACATTGTGTTTTACGAAAAATTTAATGGCTTTCTAGGGGATTAATAAGTTTTAAGAAATTTAAATATGCCAGCAATTTTTTTTTTTGGTTCCAGAGACAAGAGTGCCCACGAAAATTTGTCTTAAGGGGATTCCCCGCCAAAAAGCGTAGCACTATCAAATTCCACATGTCATAAAACCACTGTGTACCAAATTTAGTGATTCTCGTACAACAGGGTTCTAAGATATAAAAAAAAGACTATTCTTAAGGGCGGATATTTCAGGGGGCTGTAACTCCGAAAGAGGGGGTCACTTGGCAAAAATAAAAAATACGGGTCGCCTAAATTTGTCTTAAGAACCTGTGACCAAATTTAGTTGCACTAATTTCAGAACACCCTGTATAAAAGGTGCAGTTTCATTACCCGATTAATAAAGTTACCTAATCATTCCCAAATCACGTCATTTTCTAGAAATAGGAAACGTAATTACAAATATATAAACACGAGTGGATTAACTATCACAGAAGATTTAATGTTTTTAAAATAGCTATACCTACGTAAGAATTTACTATAATGAACAAGAGATGACAGCCCAGAGTTCTATTCTAGAATGACATCTAGCGACATTAACATGCTATGCATTGTATTGCTAGTGCTCCCTCTATTGGAAACTTCTTGAACTATAAGCTGTATCAGAAATTCAATTGATTTTTTATATTACTGAAAATAATTTAGTCACTTGTGTGTGTACTTAAAAGTTAGTAAATTCATAAATGTTAAAATTATAATTATTTATTACTTAGTTAATTGTTAATTAGTTAGAATTGGTGATCAGCACTGAATATAGAAAAGGTAAAATTCTTGTTTTATTTATATGTACTCGTCTTTATTATTCCTATACATATAACACTATAAATCATCATTATTGAATGATTTCTGTTTGTAATCGCTGTCTCCATGTCAGTAAAGTTGATTTTCCCGATTAAAATTCACTTTGACAGAACCATCAAAATTACAACATCTTGCTGTTTGAATATTCCCGGCGGAATCCCATCCCATCCCAAAAATAAAATAATAAGCCGCGTGCGCAGGAGACGTCAGTGATTGCGGACCGTGGTGTCAACAAGACATGAATGACATCAGCTGATCATATAATTAACAAATTATTTAATTTTTCGGTCCGCCGCGAACTATTCCAGCATTCGTTCGAGAGTACAAACGAACCAGTAGAACTATGGAGGGTAACAAAGACGAGGCGGCCAAGTGTATAGATCTGGCCGAGAAGTACATCAAAGAGAAAAATCGAGACAAGGCCGAGAAATTCCTCTACAAAGCTGAAAAACTGTATCCCACACAAAAAGCCAAAGGTACGGACGTAGATTTTAAATTACTGAGTTTTATGTAACAATTTTCAGATCTGTTGTTGCAAATCAACCTCATGGCGCCAAGCAGCACCGAGACAGAGCAGCCTAGAAAGCGGAAGGTTGTCCTTACGAGAGCGGAGGAGACAGAGGTGAAAGTCGAGTACACCGCTGACCAGGAAGAGGCTGTGAAGAGAATAAAGAAATGTAAGGACTACTATGAGATTCTGTCGATAAACAAGGACGCAACGGATTCCGAGATAAAGAAGGCTTACAAGAAACTAGCTCTGTTACTACATCCTGATAAAAACAAGTGCCCTGGGGCCTCAGAAGCTTTCAAAGCTATCGGTGAGTGTTTTTATGGTAGACGTTTAGTTGTGAGAAAACTAACTTTTTGTAACTTATTTAACCTACTAGGTAACGCTGTGGCAGTTTTGACCGACGTTGAAAAACGCAAGCAATACGATCTTTACGGTTCAGAGGAAGACCGCATCTCCAGCAGAGGTGGCTCTTATCAAACGTACACTAGAGGTTTTGAATCAGACGCTACGGCTGAGGAGCTTTTCAATATGTTCTTTGGTTCAGGTTTCAGCGGATCGAATGTATACGTAAGGAGAGGCGGGCGTTGGCAAAGACAGACCACAGGCAGTCAGCAGGAACATCACACCCATCACAGGGAGGTAAGTCGGTTAAGATTGTAAAAAAATATTTTTTAAAGCAGTTCAAGGAATATTTTACGAAGATTAGTAAGCGGTGGTGTAAAATTTTACGTTCTGATTGTGAAATGTTACAAAGCGTGGAATTTTATTACTTTGGTGATGAATAGTAAAAATTAAATTAGTCTTTACAGTTTGGAATATTTTTTTATGCAGACAAAGAAAAACGTACTCGTAGTCATAGATTTAATTGATAAATTTAAGCTTTCTTTTCATTTTAAAAATCTAGAAGGTGTGGAACATACTTGAAAATTAAGTTACTTTAAATATAAAAAGATTCTGCATTATATATTGACAAAATTTAAGAGGCAGATGTTTTAATTGATGTTGGTTGACGCCACCTAGCCAGATTTCTGAATTCTGTAAAGTAATTTTACAAAAGATCGCTTCCGGAGAAGAAGAAATTGCAGCAGGCTTTGTATTACCAATTGGATTATCATAGTTGGCTCAGAAAGTACATCTGAAGAGCTACTGGGTGTATATAAAAAAAAATAATTCGAATTGTGCATGCAATTTTTGATGGTTCTGGTTCTTAATAGACCTGAAAAATGAGTAATCCGCTGTACAGCCCTGATTTGGCATCCAATGACTTTTTTATTCCCACACATCAAAAATAAATTACAAAGTCAACGTTTTTCGACAACTGAAGAAGCGGTTGACATTTTCAAAATGCATGTTTTGAAGGTACCTTAATTGTAATGGAAAAAGTGTAGATCTTCGTGGAAAACATTTTGCAAAATAATAGAGCCATAAACGATGATTAATTTCTTTTTTTGTTCTCGAACAATAAAAGGCAACACTGATTGTACGATTTTTTCCAGCAACAAAATGGATTCACTGCGTTCATCCAGATACTACCTATATTGTTGGCTATACTGTTATCGATGGCATCCAGCTTCTTCATCTCCGACCCCGCTTACAGTCTGCAAGCTAGTTCGTAAGTATTTTGTATTCCCAATAAATGACAACGGAAAAACTTAGTTTTACTGTTATTATTTTCAGAAAGTATCCAGTTATGCGCAAGACCCAAAACCTGAACGTGCCGTACTTTGTGAAGGAGAATTTCCACTCGGAATACCAGGGATCCGTGCGGAGACTGGAGTTATCGGTGGAGGAGGAATACGTGTCGAACCTGCGTCACGCTTGTTACAGAGAGAAAAATTACAGTAAATGCCTTTCTTACTTATTTATTCGGATTTACCTGATTGTAATTTATCTCGCCCAAACGTTCTTCAAAATTGTTGTCGGCACTCCTTTTTATGAGGAGTTTGATTGGAGAGTTAGGTTTATTTAGATAAGAACGCCGTTGAAATTGTCCCGCGCACGTTGTGATGTTTTTGTTTGACAGTCTTCTAATTTTTATGTAGATGGTAGCTTTAATACAATGTTTAAAGCTACAGCTTGTTTTATTGCATGAATTTGTGATAGTTGTGCATTTGGTTCTAGTGCGAAAGAGAATATAAAATTTTACATTAGAATGACCGTAAAATGTGAAATGCCAAATTTCAACTGTAAAATTACAAATGTAAAAATTTTTTTGTTGTTTCTTAATGCGATGATTATCTTGTCGTTTTGAATGTGTAAAATGTAAAATTTTACATTAGAATGAGTGTAAAATGTGAAATGTCATATTTCAACTGTAATATTACAAAAGTAACAATTTTTTATTGTTTCTTTATGCATGATGAAACAATTTATCTTGTCGTTTTGAATGTGTAAAATGTAAAATTTTACTTTAGAATGAGTATAAAATGTGAAATGTCATATTTCAACTGTAATATTACAAATGTAACAATTTTTTGTTGCTTCTTAATGCATAATGAAACAATTTATCTTGTCGTTTCAAATGTGTAAAATGTAAAATTTTACATTAGAATGAGTGTAAAATGTGAAATGTCATATTTCAACTGTAATATTACAAATGTAACAATTTTTTGTTGTTTTTTAATACATGACGAAATAATTTATCTTGTCGTTTCGAATGTGTGAACTGTAAAATTTTACATGGATATTGGGAGAGGGCAAAATTTTACAATTTAAGTGTAAGATTACAAATTTAACAATTGTCTAAGGTGCAATATTTATCCTATCTTATTATTTCATTCAGTAACTGGTTCTATTACTCTTGTGTGAAATTTTACATGGTGTTGTAAAATGTTACATTTTAGGTGTAAAATGTAACATTTTAGGTATAAAATGTTACATTTTATGTGTAAAATTACAAGTTTAAAGGGGCAGCTTTACCTTTTTCCATTGGATTATTTTTTGTCCATAAAGAAAAGCAAGATTAATTGTGTTATTTTCAGGGGACTCGATGATGTGGAAGGCACGCAACTTCGGAGACCAGGAGCTGTGGCAGACGGCCCAGAACATAAAAACGCCCTCGTGCGACGCCCTACACAACCTCAGGAACCGTGGATAATGTCTTGTGGGTATTTATTAGTTAGTTCCAAGTTTCACTGTTGACAGCAAGATGTTTTTTGTCATTTATTATTGTACTGAGGAAACATAAAACTATTAAAAAGTGACTTCTGTATCATTATATCGAGTATATATAAAAGTATTCTTAGGATATCGTCACGGTTTTCGGTGTTACAAGATTTCGTTTTTTTCTTTTTTTTTTTGGAGAAGGGAGTTTTGAAAATAAAAATTATTTGAATAAAAATTAATATTTTTAATTTATTAACGTCTAATTTTCATTGAAAAATCATTATGTGATGTACAATTTACATTTTTGTGTACTGTTTTTTTACATAAACGTATATGTTTGTCAAATTGGGCAACCAACAGAGATTTTTTGGCACACTTAAATATTACAGCAAATTTCATGTATTACCTTTTGAAAATTACTTAGTAAATGAAAACCCAAGTGATTTCCCCAGCAAAGTCGTGAACAATTTTTTTTAAACTATAAAAATGCAAAAAATTGTTTTTTTTTTTGTTTTTTTTTTTATAATGATGGAATCATCTTACTCTCAATAGGAATTTTGTAGAGAACAAAATAAACCTATAAAATGTTTTTTTTGTGCCTCCCGATCGGTTAATTTTTTTACAGAGAAAATACGGAAAAACATGTAAAATAGAACTTTTCTCAAAAATTCACAACTCCGTCAAATTTGAAGCTGGAAAAACAATCTTGTGGAAAATGGCAGATAATAATATGTAGTTTCATCGTGCGCAAGATGGTTTCTGTTCGATGCATAGTTTTTGCACAATTGCATTATCCATAGTCGTGTAGCGATTTATCAAAAATGGTCCAATTTAAATTCTGAAAACGGCGTCTGAAAGTAGACGACAAAATCTTCAATTTATATATCTCGGATTTTCACCTGGGTGATGGGAAATATGCTAAAAATGCCCTTGAAAGTTGCCCGAAACAATCGAAAGTACGCTCGAGCCAGAGCCTTCTGCTTGCTGCTTCCCCCACTACTGCTACCCGACTGGCTCGAGCGTTTCAGGCGACTTTCAAGGGCATATTTCCCATCACCCAGGAGAAAATCCGAGATATACAAATTGGAGATTTTGTCGCCTACTTCCAGATGCCATTTTCCGAATTTAAATCGAACCATTTTTGATAAATCGCCACGCTGCACAGTGGGAAATATTGGAAACAATTTGAGCCACGCGTCAAAACTAATCAAATAGTACTGATTTTTTTTATTCTTTTTGAAATTACCTGTACTATAAAGTTCCGGTGAGGTAATTGGAATATATGCCTAGAATTTTTTCAAATAAAAAAAAAATTAAAAAGTAAAATTATGTACTAAAGGCTGCCAAACAAAAAAAAATTATCATTTTATCATTGAACATATTTCTAAATCATGAATCTAGACCCAAAACATAACCTCAAATTTATAAATCTTAACCTAAAATGAACATACTCAATTTCCTTTTTTCTGTGGATTTTTAACTTACATATTTTGGATTTGAGGTTAGGTTTTCAGGTTTCCTGGTCAGCTTCCTATGAATTTGAGTTAAACTTATGCAAAATATTGGTTGCACACTCAAAAGTACCGTTTTTATGAATCTATACTCAGGCACAAAACATATAATACACCTACAGGTTTAGAAAAAATTGAGTATGTTCGTTTTAGGTTGTTTAATAATTTGAGGTTATGTTTTGGGTCTAGATCGAGGACAATTTAAATGTCCTAATTCATGATTTAGGAATATGTTTTAATGATTTTTTTTTTGTTTGACAGCCTTTAGTACATAATTTTCCTTTTTTTATTTTTTTTCATATTTAGATACCGAATATGTCAAACTTCGTATGATCGAGTTTGAGGCTAGAGATTACTCGTCCATTTTGAAAAAATTCTAGGCATATATTCCAATTACGTCACCGGAACTTTATAGTACAGGTAATTTCGGAAAGAATAAAAAAAAATCAGTACTATTTGATTAGTTTTGACGCATGGCTCGAATTTTTTCTAATATTTCCCACTGTGCGCTGTGCAAAAAAAGATCCTAATTTGTTTATAATGCAATTGTGCAAAAACTATGCATCGGACAGAAACCATCTTGCGCACGATTAAACTACATATTATTATCTGACATTTTCCGCAAGATTCTTTTTGATGGAGTTATGAATTTTTGAGAAAAGGTCTATTTTAGAGGTTTTTCCAGATTTTCTTTGTAAAAAATGAAATAAAAGCCATTTTATAGGTTTTTTTATTCTCTACAAAAGTTTTATTGAGAGTAAGACGATTCCATCATTATTTTTCAATACATTATAAAAAAAGAACAAAAAAATATCATTTTTTAATTTTTATGGTTTAAAAAAAAATTATTCACGACTGCTGGGGAAATCACTTGTGTTTTCATTTACTAAGTATTTTTTAAAAGGAAATACATGAAATTTGCCAAAATTTTAAGTGTAAAACAGCCTATTTTTTCGCTCTATTGGTTGGCCTAAAAGTGAAGTAAAGTATTTTAAATAATCTGTCAAATTTTTGTAAATTGTGAAATTTGCGAAAATGTTTGTTAAAAGTGGAGTACAATATTTTAAGTATATTATTGATTTGTGAATCGTAGTGAGTCTTTAAATTAAACACATATAAGAATTTTTAGTGTTTAATGTAAATTGTGAAATCTCAGTTGCCCTTTGCCGAAATGTGTATATAAATTTACAAGTAATAATTTATAGTTTTCTGTTCCAAATCGGTATTCCATAAACTAAAAAACAAGTTTTAACTAAAGAAATCTGCACTTATAAAAAAGCAACAAATTTTCCGGCATGAAATTTTATTTTTGCCGCAAGTTTCACCAGTCATAATCACATATTCTAGCAATATTAATATTTATTGTAAATTTATTATAAGTTCTTATTTTGTAAGTTGAATTCGTCACTTATTGGAATTTGTTGGTAGTTTTTGTAAGTACCTCAATCGAGGTTGGCTTTTTTTTGACTGCTTTAGTTGTAAATAAGGAAGTATCTAAAATAAAGTATTTTAAATTTATGTCTTGCGAGTTCCCTAATTATATGTGAAATAAAAAAAATCGTAAAATGCGAATTTTTCATTCAACTGCTGTATTGAGGAATGACTGGCTTGTTTCTGTGCAGGTGAGATGTTTTGTTCCCATGTCTTGTAGTATCAAGACAATTCAATGAATGTAAAACTTTAAAACAGCAACTTCTCCGGCCATTTTATTTAATTCCTGCTGAAGAACTTGAAAATCCCAATGCACATTTACAATAATGCCGCTGGTTGGTGAACGGCTTTACAGAAAATAATAATTTGCTTCAAAAATTGTTTTTTATCGACAAATCTTTTTTTGCAAGGAACGGAGTTCTTAATTTTCATAATTTGCATGTGTAGAGTGATGAGAATCCTGAAGGAACACGATAGTAATGACATTAACGGATAGCCACAGCAAACAACATTTTGTTTTATTCGCCTACTGAACTCAAAGTTTTCCGTGACACTGCTACGCAAACTGAAACATACAGACCTGCAAATGCAATTTTTCTCAAGAATGGTTTTCTGTAGGCCATTATCTCGAGTGACAACTTTATTTTTAAATAAAACGACCTTTTCAATGTTGCTACCCGTTTAAAAAAATACGATAGCTGTAAAAGTTTTGACCGCTAAAGGGGGGAGATAACCGGAGAAAACTACCACCCAGTATGTCAATTTGACTAAAGCTTTAAGAAATAATAAGTCATAATAGTCCAAGTAAATGTGCCAAATTTTAACGCGATCGGTAAAAGAGTTATGAAGTTATTAATTAGATTAGTTTTAGTCGTCGGGATGGTCGGTTTTTGTGCAAGAGCTTCTGTCGAGAAAAAAAATTTAAAATCTTGAAAACTGGAGGAGCCAGAGAGAAACTGAATGCAGTTTTGGATTGGTTAGCGCCATTATAGTCTACCGGATTTTTTTCAGAATTTTCTGAGTAATAAAAATGTTTAAGAAAATCGAAAAATTATCAAAAAATTTAAATGCTCATCTAAAAGCCGTTTTGTCTCAACTTTGAGAATATAATGTAGGTATCAGAATGAAAAGTTGCATTCTTAATGTAATCGCACTGGCTGTAATTGAGGAAGAACCGACGTTTTTCCTCGTAGGTGAGATGTATTGTTCATATGTCTTTTTTTTAGTGAACTGTTAAGCTATAATAGAAAATACGTAAATTCTATTATTGTTCTATGAATAAAAAAAGATTTATTTATATTTGTGTTGTTCATTTTTAATCCGTTTACCCATAATTTTATAATACTTATTAATTATAGGGACTTTTATGCAGCCAAGTATACACAGTATTGTATTCTATGTTGCCTACTTAACAAAACCTTAGAACGAAAAAAAATATAAAATATTTCCAAAACTGGTGGAGCTACAGAGGAACTGATAGCAGTTTTGAATTGGTCAGGGCCATTATTGTCTACCTGAATTATTTGAGAACTTTCAGAGTTCTAAAATTTTTTTAAAAAATCGATGCACTATAGGTCATCGATTTTTCGAAGAAAAAATTTTTGGAGCTTGGAAAAATCTAAAAAAATTCCTCTAGACTATAACGATACTGGCAATTCCAAAACTGGAATTAATTTCTCTCTAGCTCTCCTGATTTTCTAGATATTCAATTTTTTTCTTCAAGAAAGCAACTTATAGAAAAACGGTCTACATCGGCATTTTCTGAGTCCCAAATTAGAAGAGAGGTGCTGCCTTTAGACGGCATTCTAATTTTTTGAGAATTTTCATGAAAATTATCGTTAAAAAATTAAAGTTCGTGGATAAGTCGGTTTTAGGAATTATGCAGCCAAGTATACACACGTGTGTATTGTATGTTGCCTACCCAACAAAATCTTTGGAACGAAGAAAAAATATAAAAAATCTCTAAAATGGCGGAACTAGAGAGAAATTGACAGGCAGTTTTGGATTAATCAGGGCCGTTATTGTCTACCTGAATTTTTTCAGAATTTTCAGATGCCTAAAAATTTTTTACAAAAACGACGGACAGTCCATTGAATTTCGGACAAAAAATTTTAGGGGCTCCGAAAAATCTGAAAAAATTCCTCCAGACTATAACGGTACTAGCAAGTCCAAAACTAAAACGAATTTTTCTCTAATTCGCGTAATTTTCGAGATTTTCAGTTTTTTCTTCAGGAAAGCAACTCACAAAAAAAAAACGGTCCATATCGGCGTCTTCTGCGGCCTAAATTAAATAAGGGATGCCGTCTTTAGACGCAGGAGAATGAAAAGTTGGTTTATCGTGATCGCATTGGCTGTAACCGACTTTTCTCTGCGTAGGTGAGATGTTTGGTTCCCATGTGTTTTTACTGTGAATTATTAAGTTACATTAGAAATTATAAAAATTATATTACCGTCGTATAAATAAAGGAAGATTTATTTATATTTGTGTTGTCTATTTTTAATCCGTTTACCCATAATCTTGTAATACTGATTATTATAGGAATTCTTATGCAGCCAAGTATACACACGTTTGTATTGTATGTTGCCCACATAACAAAACCTTAAATAGAACTGGAAAGAAAATATAAAATATCTCGAAAATTAGCAGAGCTAGATAGGAACTGACGGCAGTTTTGGATTAGTCAGAGCCGTTACTGTCTACCTGAATTTTTTCAGAATTTTCGGAAGCCTAAAAATTTTTGAGAAAATCGGTGGACTATACTTGTTCATGAGAAATGTTACAAAATGCAAGTCGCTGTGTTGGTCAGTTTTTGTGCTATTGTTTCCGTCGAGAAAAAAAATAGAAAATCTCGAAAACTGGAAGAGCCAGAGAGAATTGAATGCAGGATTTTTTCAGAATTTTCTGAGTAATAAAAATTGTTGAAAAAATCGAAAAATTATCAAAAAATTAAAGTGCTCATCTAAAAGCCGTTTTGTCTCAACTTTGAGAATATATTTGTTCGGAGCAGAATGAAAAGTTGATTCCTTAACGTGATCGAACTGGCTGTATCGACGAAGAACCGACGTTTTTCCGCGTAGGTGAGATGTATTGTTCCTATGTCTTTATTTTGTGAACTGTTGAGCTATAATAGAAAATACGATAATTATATGACTATTCTATGGATAAAGCAAGATTTAATTACATTTGTGTTGTTTATTTTTAATCTATTTACCTACAATCTTAATACTTATTAATTAAAGGAACTCTTATGCAGCCAAGTATACACACGTATTGTATTGTATGTTGCCTACCTAACAAAAACTTGAATAGAACTGGAATAAAAATATAAAATATCTTGAAAATTGGTGGAGCTACAGAGGAACTGACAACAGTTTTGGATTGGTCAGGGTCGTTATTGTCTACCTGAATTATTTCAGAACTTTCAGATATGTAAAAATTTTTGAGAAAATCGATGGTCATCGCTTTTTCGGAGAAAGAATTTTTGGAGCTCGGAAAAATCTGAAAAAATTCCTGTAGACTATAACGGTACTGGCAAATCCAAAACTGAAATGAATTTCTCTCTAGCTCTCCTGATTTTCGAGATATTCAATTTTTTTCTTCAGGAAATACACTTGCAGAAAAACTGTCTACATCGGCGTACTTTGAGGCCCACATTAGAAGCGGGGTGCCGTCTTTAGACGGCATTATAATTTTTTGAGAATTTTCATGAAAATTATCATCAAAAAATGAAAGTGTATGTCAAAAAGGCGATTTTAGGAATTATTATGCAGCCAAGTATACACACGTGTGTATTGTATGTTGCCCGCTTAATAAAATATTTGGAACTGGAAGGAAAAATATAAAAAATCTCGAAAATTAGCGGAGCTAGGAAGGAACTAACGGCAGTTTTGGATTAGTCAGAGCCGTTACTGTCTACCTGAATTTTTTCAGAATTTTCAGAAGCCTAAAAATTTTTGAGAAAATCGATGGACAGGTCATCGAATTTTCGGACAAAAAATTTTAGGGGTCCGAAAAATCTGAAAAAATTGCCCCTGACTATAACGGTACTGGCAAATCCAAAACTAAAACGAATTTTTCTCGAGTTCGCGCAATTTTCGAGATATTCAATTTTTTCTTCAGGAAAGCAACTTTTCAATTTTTTTTATTTTCGGGAAAGCAACTTACAGAAAAACGGAGTACATCGCCATAGTGTACAGCCCAAATTAGACACGGTGCCTTTTTAGACGTCATTATTTTTGAAAATTTGTATGTAGAAATGTATTGTTCCCATGTCATATTTTTGTGAACTGTGCTACATTAGAAAATACGGAAATAATATAACTGTTTTATAATTAAAGAAAGATTTATTCATAATTGTGTTGTTCATTTTTAATACATTTACCCATAATTTACAATAGTACATATATATAATTTTTGAAATTCTTCTGCAACCAAGTATACATATGTGTTGTATTGTATGTTGCCTACTAAATAAAAACTTAAGCCGGAAAGAAAGTAATCAAAAATCTCGTAAATTGGTGGAGCTAGAGAGGAACTGAATAAAGGGTTATATTGGTTAGCGCCGTTATAGTTAACCGGAATTTTTTCAGATATTTTCTAAACATTTTTGAAAAAATCGATGGAGTTCATGAAAATTTTCAAAATAGGAAAGTGCCTTTCTAGAGGCGGTTCTGTACGCAACTGGGGTCGCCAAACACGGCGGGATGGTCGGTTTTTGTACAAGAGCTTCCGCCGAGAAATAAAATCGAGAAACTTGAAAACTGGAGAAACTAGAGAGAAACACAATTAAATTTTGGACTGCTTAGCGCCATTTAGTCTACCGGAATTTTTTCAGAACCGACTTGTTTCTGTGCAGGTGAGATGTTTTGTTCGTTTATCTTTTTATTGAGAACCGTTAGGTTATATTAGAAAATAAGAAGTCCATATTACGTTCTATAGATAAAGGAAGATTTATTCATAATTGTGTTGTTAATTTTTTATACATTTATTCATAATTGATTATATAAAATTTTTAGAATTCTTATGCAGCCAAGTATACATGTGTCGTGTTTTGTATGTTGTCTATCAAACAAAAACTTGAACCGGTAGAAAAATAATCGAAAATCTCGTAAATTGGTGAAGCTAGAGAGAAACGGAATAATGTTTTGGATTGGTTAGCGTCGTTATAGCCTACCGGAATTTTATTAGATATTTTAGTCCCAAAAATTTTTGAAAAAATTGAAGGATATGAAAATGAAAAATTTCAAAAAATAAAAGGGCCTTTCTAGAGGCGGTTTCGTACGTAACTGGGTCCACGATGGCCAGTTTTTTGTGCATGAGCTTCCGTCGAGAAAAAAATCTCGAAAATTGGAGGAACTACCTGTAGAAAGAAACTGAATGCAGTTTTAGATTGATCAGAGCTATTATTGTCTTCCAGAATTTATTAAGATTTTTTCTGAATCCTGCAACTTTTTGAGAAAATCATGTCCACGAAAATTGTTACAGTTAATAGTATTTTTTACGTCAGTGTCTCGATCTTAAGTCGACTTATAAATGAGTGCTTTGGCAGCTATCCCAAGGAGACAAATTCAAAAACAGCGTAATTACATATCACATTTCTTTATTGGCGATTGGCATTGTCATACAAAAACCTATAAAAGACAATCTTCGAGTAAACAATTCGTTGTAGACTAAAATCAAATAACTAGGTAACCTATTAAACAACAATATACGAGACAACGAATTTACAAAAATAGTACATCTAAACATAATAATTATACGGACAATGAAAGAGGTAAAACCGACTAGACATAAAAATTCACAGTAAAATTAGTTGTACCTACAAATAGGATAGCATTGTTGATATGTCACCTTATTCTTGATTGTCCTCGGTAGGCCTTACATCTACGTCTTCATCATTACGTACTACGTTCCCAATCGGCACTAATTCACTAGAACTCTGTCCGTATGTGTCATGTAAATCATCTAGTCTACTCGAAATAACTACACTCCTGTTAGCGGTGTTCGCCGCCATAGTCACCAGCTGCTCAGCTTGACCTTCCATTCTTCTCAGTCTCGCATCTCTTTGCGCCAGAACTTCTTCGAGGAACCCTCGTGACCTGTCGTCTTCCTCGGGAATTCTTGTTGTTTCTGATTCGTGTGATTCCTCACTCTCTGATGGTTCATTTTGCGAGGTTCCTATACTTAACTCTTCCTCAATTTCTACATTTGCTTCAGGTACTACACACTCCGCTACATCTTCAGCCGTTTCCTTAAATCTACTGTCTTCCGTTGAGGTCCCCGCTGCCTCTATATTCGTATCAGGTACACTCCTACACTCTCCCGTCTTTTCAAATTTCTCTTGATTTTGTACTGAGTCAGTCTTCAGTTCGGAATGGACATCATTCGAATCTGCGCAAACAATTTCCACGATTTCGTCCTCTATCAAGGCCAAGATGGTGGCGCCGCCCACGATTTCCTTATTATCCGACAGGTCATCACTGCCGGAAGCCTTCTGCGTGCATTCTGACAAGTCAGTCTCGTAACCCGGTTCCTCATCGCTGCTGGAAGACTCGCGGTCGTCACTGTAGCCGCTCTCGACGCTGTTGTCGTTAGCGACGGTGTTCCGGCGGGAAGCGAACTCCGTCCTCAACAGCTTCCACTGCTGTTCCGTGTTGGAGTTTTTTTCCCTAGCCTGCGTCCACTTCTCCCTGCTGTACTCCAGTTCCTCTTTTAGCTCGGTTAGCAGTTTCCTCTTCTGGGCCAGCTCGTAACGCAGAATCTTCTCCTGGGTGTGCAGCATCTGGTGCTGCTTCTGCAACTTGCCCACCTGAAAAGAATGTGTTATTTTCTTGTAGCCACGTAGAAAATCATTAGTGTATTTTTCAAATAGAAGTGGCCCAATAATTGATCTTTGAGGCACACCATTTTGAAATTAAAATTATTATTTTAAACTTACCACCAGCCACGTTTTGGATAGCTCCGATTGAACCAGTTCCAGTCTCTTCTCCTGGTCTTGTAGACGGTTCTCCAAGTGTCCGTTCAACTGCTTTAGATGATTCGTTTCCTTCTCTAAGGATTTCTTCTCCAAGATGAGATTCTTCAGTCGAATGAACGTCTGACTAACGCTGAGGACCACGCTAGGACCTTTTGGCGTTTGGACTGTCTTGTAGCATGGATTGTCATCCTCTTCGTCGTCGGTTAAGTTGTTGGTTGGTGCTTTTTGGTGGCTGAGCAGTTCTATCAGGACTTTCCAAACTTTGGGTAAATTTTCTACGATTTCCTCAGCACTGTTCATCTGGTGGACAGAGGACGTCTGGGATTCTACAAAATATAAATGTCAATTAACATAAACAATAACAATAATGGATACCACTCACCTGATTCTTCCTTAATAGTTTCTAGTTTACCATCACCCGCTTCCTCTCCATCTTCTTTTGGTACAGGATCTTCATCCACTTGACTAAGCAACTCCAGCAGGACTTTGGGCAAGGCAGATGACACCTCCGGTGAAATCTCGTTGATGACGATGTCTTGAAGGAGATCACGATGGTCCTCGAGTTGCTTCTGCAGCTTGTCCAGATCTATGTCTTGGGAACTGTTGAAGCCCAACAGTATCTCTGAAAACAGCTGGTTTATCACTGTCAGTTCTGCTTGGTACTGACGGCTCTCAGCTTTGGTCAAACCGAGGTTGGATTCCAGAGTTTTTATCTCGTCATACTTCTTGGAGCTGTCTTCTTCCAGTATCCTGATTCTTTCCTCAAGTTCCCTAAAATAAAAACGTCGTGTTTTATTAGAAATACAATTGAATATTAAAAAGCGACAGTAACTTTCATACATTCAAATATAGTGGAATCTTTATGACGAACTTTACCTGACTCTGGTTTGTTCTGTAGCAAGTTCTTTCCTGACGTCATCCAATTGAGATACCAACTCGTCTTTCTCTCTCTTGTGCACCCTTTGCCGCTCTTCGTACAGTGTTCTGAGGTTCCTTATATTCTGAAGTTGGCGCTCGTACTCATTTCTCAAGTCTTGAGAGAGGATGTTCATCTCTCTCCCTGCCAGGGACTGTTCTATGTTTTCTACTTTTTCCTTCAACTAAGGGAAAAGATATACGTTTCAAGATTATTTGGTAATTATGAACTAATAATTAAAACTAAAATAAATTACGTTATTTTTAACCAATGGTATTGTGGGAAACAATTGGTCTGTGGGCTACATGTACACGTTCGCACTGAATTACATCCTGATGTCTAGTAAACTGGTAAGATTATTCATCAGCAGGATCACCATACCCAGACAGGCTTCGAACTTATTATATACTTATTATATTTTGTTGATTATATCTAACTCAACAACGTTCATTTTAAATTTATAATATTCTATGAAGGATACCAAAATAACAGCTGATAGCTTGCAAGGAATTTAAATTCCATAATTATCCGTGTCTATAAGACATTATTTTCCCGGCTTTTAAATTTCTATTGTGCTCTTTTCTCTAGAAACATCCGTTTTCATTTATTACATGGTATTTACTTTAAAAACTTAACTTTATTTACTTGAAAATACATTGCATTTTTTGTTTACAACATAATATATAACCTTATTTTTCATCTCCTCACAACAACAGAACAATGTCAACATAGAACATAGAACATACCATTGAACAAAGAACTCTGAATACAAAACAAGATACGTCAGCTAGTTACAAAGAAACAACTACAGAGGGCCATTGCCAACTAAAAATAAATAAAAATTTCTAACATACATTAGTGAGTGTTATTTTCTATAAACAGTATTAATCACTTGTACATTCATTTAAGAAGAATTCGGTATGGTTTAAAATATATCTATGACCCAAACATAATTTAATTCATTGTTTCCAGTCACGTATATACAGAAATATGTGCTACTCCAGCAGCCTTAGAATAATTTGTATCAAATTAAAAATTAAAATCCATTAATCCATCCAACGATGTAGGCAAGTATATAATAAAGTCAAAAGCAGTTAGATCGAATCTGATCCAAATGTGACCACAAATAGAAACATTAAAGGTACATACATTAACAAAAATTTTCAAATTCAAAAGTCAATTTCTATTATAGCTATCAGTTCTTATGTTCCTAGCTACAATCAGGTACTTCAAACTTTTTTTGAATAAATTTTGATGGTTTGCGTTTGTTAGATACTGGCGAAGTGAAAAAAATTAATATGTTCGAAAAACTCTTTAACTTACCTCTTTAAGCTGAGATTCCCGGATCTGTAACATATTTTTGGACACAGCAATAACATCTTTCAGCGCCACCACGTGCGCCTGGTAATCCTGCCTCTCTTTTTCAAAATCCACCACCTGCTTGTTCAAATTCTGAAGCTCCCTTTGCATCTCTGCTATGCTCACCCTCAACTCGCGGTTCCTCTCTATGATATCGTCACTAGCCTCCAACAATTTCGACTTCTCCTCTAGAACGTCCCTCAAACATTCATTTTCCTTGCGAAGTCGTTCGATTTCCACGCCGACACTATCGGGAACACTATCACACTTCACTGCCGACGCCTGTCTTAATTCTTGGTTTTCCTTTTTGAGTCTGACGACCTCCTCCCTCAACTCCTCCATCTCCATTCGCTTCTCCTGTAGGATCTGCCTTCGTTTTTCGTGTTTTCGGGCAAGTTCCAACTTGAACTCGTCGAGTCGTTCTTTGTGCGGCTCGGAAAGTTCGCGCGATGCTCTTTTATCGTCGTCTGGATTTGGACTGCCGCGATTCTGGATCGCGGAAGCGCCTGGGGTCGAGTCGCAATTGTTTTGGGCGCTGGTCCACCAGTTGTTGTCTCCGAACAGATTGCTGGTAGCGTTTCCCATTTTTTCGGCTTTAGTACACGCTCTGCAACATATAGTCACCGATTGTGAGGAAAAAATCTTGTGGGACGCTCAGACGGTAGAGAAAAGTTAAAAATACGCCGCCCAAACTCCAGTGGCGTGCCTTAGGGTTGGTAGTTTTCGTAGGTCCCGATCAAACAAGATTTATGGAATTTTTAATCCCAATAAATGCAAAACGTGCACAACAAGACAGTTAAATGCCAAATTATCATTTCTTGACATGTCCCTTTAGGCAAAGGAAATTTTAAAAGCAATTTTTATACAACATACACAATGGATGTTTTGAAAGGGGAGTTATAGGCTGACTGAACATCGATCGTTATTTTTCCATGGACCATGGGCCTATTGTCTACTGTTTTTGAGATACTCCAAAAATGATTTATTAAATTAAAATTTTGTCTATATCTTTTACAAACTACCTATAATGTATTTCATCGGAATGTGGTACGAACCTTTTGAAAATGATACCTACCTAATATTTATTAATTACATTTACAATGTAAAAGTTCTTGTAATAGCAATACTCAAATACGTGTTGATCTTTATTAAAACAACAACAATAAAAAATATTTCTTTGAAAGATTATGGGTTATTTCTCAATGAATAAATACGAATAATAATTATTGTTAGATTTATTAGCTATATGAATAAAAATTTGGTTAAAGAAAAGGCAGCAGCAGTACGTATTTTAGCGGTTACTGTATTTTTTTAAAACGTAGTGATAATTTGGTCCCTTTTCGATGCGCCACTGGCGGAGAGGAGTATTTTTAGACATTAAAAGGAAATCAAACGGCAGATGCTGCGCCAGCTTCCATGTTAAAGACTTGTGGAGGATTGAGCGATCACAAAGGAATTTAATTTTAGACCGTTATTAATACGTTTTTATTGCGTTTTTTGGCAACCTGTTTATTTGGTTTTGTCATGTGCAATTCGTGGAACGACTTCTCGTCTCAGTCCGTTGGACGAAAATGATAAGATATTCACCCACAAGGGCACATTGGGCTATTTTCATGATCGTCCCACACGATCAGGTGCATCAAATACGGGTAAATGCGCGAGCCATGATAAAACCACTAAAAATAAATAATTTAATAAATACCGTGTGTCATTACAAATAAATACAGTTTCGAGCATTATCTATGCTATTTTCAGAAAAGATGAAAAATGACAATAATTGGAAAATAATAAATTAATAAATAACGTAATAATTTGTTCTAATATAAAAATATCAGTAAATCATAAAAAACTTTTTAAGTTATCGCTAATAGATTGAAGGCAAAATGGCCGCAGTTGTCAGTTTTCGATTGTTTTGTAAAGGTCGCTACAATTCAACTATTTTGATTTCGGTTTTCTGAATTGTGTGTTGCATACAAATTTCATTTCAACGCTTATCCACAACGTTCAAAAGCAAAAGATGTAAAATAGAATGGAAAGCTTGAGTCCAATTTTCCCCATTTCTTTACCATATCCTTTGCATAACAGCACTGTGTATATTATAATGTTAACAATAACCAGCATTTGCTGTTTTAGTGACAAATATTTATACATCGCAGTGGCACAATATTGCGACATGGCAAAATATTATTTTTTTTCTTCGATAAATATGTGTTCTAAGTAATTATACATGAGCATACTGTTTATGCTGGCACTTTATTTGCCAATTTGCCAGTGAGTCAAAAAAATATTTTCGTACATTACACTTACGAAGTACGGGGAACCGATATTTTTTGTGAAGCACACATTACAAATTTATATTTAGTTACTCAGTGGTGAAACTATTCTTCCTGAAAAATTGCAGCAGACGACAGAAATAGAAACGCCAAGTTTTGATAGAAGAAACATAAAAATACTTACATCAATAGTACATACATATAACATTCTGTTAATTTTTCATTATTTCAACACATACCTATTGAGGAATTGAGAAAGAAAATGTAAATATGTAGACTGAAATCTAATTATCTGGTCTTTGACCTTCTCTATTGAAAAGGGACTAGATGTATGGTTATATTTTTAACTAATTTACTCAAAAGTGGCTATTTTTAGAGATACACGCAGAATCAGTGACTTGTTTTGAATTAACGGAAGTCGTGTTTACAGTATGTACCTACTTTTGACGAAAAGAGAACAGAAGGTAATTCAGTAAGGCGGAGTCTCTGATATGTTTAATGGTTAGTCTCTCATTCTGTAATATTTTAATTTACATATAACTTGTTTTCGTACGCTCTTTTAATAATAATACTTTTAAAAATCCGTTAAGTAATATTTTAATTCAAACTTATTGCTCAAAAAAGTTGATTAAAAACTGATTTTACTGAAATAAGAAAAAAATCTAAGCAAAAATAATTATTTTATATAGTATAACCTGTATATTTTCTTCTAAGTTTATCTTTTCAGAAAATCATTCTTTTACTTTTAACCCTCAATATTTACATTATTTGCAAGTTTTAGAATTATGCGATTTATTCAGCTTAATGTAGATATCTAATATGTACTAAACAAGAGTTATTTTTTTTATTCGTAGACATTGCTCCTTAAATATTTTTATACCTAAAGAAAAACATTAAACTGCGTAGACTGCGGCTGAAGAGCAAAGAACGAAAAATACACAAAGCGAAAAGATGCCAAGTCTACGAACTACAGTTATTTCCATTGCGTTCGTCAGCAGATGTAGGTATTTTCATTTACCTTTCTGATAGCCAAATATTTGCGTTTGAGTGTAAAAAATACACGACGTGCATAAATACTGAAAAATTTAATATTTTCAAGCCAGTAATTTTATGAATTGTATTAAATAAAAGGGTAAAAGTTACAAAACCACCCCATTTTAGATATTAGTGAAGATTTGAACGCCTGCGTTTTAATTTATATCGAGAAAAGACGAGGTCGACTAAATATCCCCTAGGTGGCGCTACTGAAGGGTCCATCACAAAACGACGACGCGCCAAAGTTATTAATATCTCATCCCAGAAAAATGTAGGTCACGTGTTTCTGGATTCAAAACCAATAGTCAGTACTTCAGTGGTCTTAAAAATACACATTTCGGAATGCTTACCTACTTCACGTTCATACTTAAGTACGCGTTACTTTCTAAGGAAAATGGAATTATTGTTGACAGGACATTTATTATTAGAAATGTTTAAATAAGCTTTTTATACATACCTACTTAAGATAGTTATTTTTACAAATCCGGACAGACATAAATGTGAGGAAAAACCATTTAAATTTTCTACAACGTACAGAAAACATCTAATAAATGCTAGCAAAGAAACGTTTCTTCAATTAGATAGTTAATAATTTGTCTTATAAAACTATTAATTTTTGTAAACCCTAACTGTTTTTTAAACATTAAATATTTGAAATTACGTTTATTTTCGCGTTTTTAGTTACGACAGCGCCATCTATTGGATTTTGAATGGAAATGGAGAAACCAGTTTTCTATAAATGAAAGTATAGGCAACTATGAACGAGTAGACACAGATGATGCATAGATGATAGAGAATCAGATGTCTAACAGTGTTGTGTATTTGTTTAACAAATTTGTTATTTGTGTTCCTGCAAATAATTATTTAGAAAAAATTCGTGTTAAGAAATCCACTTAATTAAAAGTAGGTAAGTAGTGATATAAAATATTTGGTGTTGAAAATTAACTCTAATTTATACGATTATAAGCTGCAGTATGATTGGCAACACTGAACAGTTGTGCTTGCTTTTAAATATTTAAATAGATGGGTATCCGATCTAAGAGTTAAAGATCGGTGATGTTGATGTTTATTGTTTAGTTTGTGTCTCAAGTTTATGTTCGTCTAATAAATGTTTTTATTTAAAGAAAATTAGGTTTACCGTGTGGTTCTTATAGTAAATATTATATTTGTAGAATAATTTGTGTTTTAGTGATTTCTTCTGTTATAGTGAAATTATAGGTTAGGTCATTTACCGATTGTCAGATACATATATAAAAACATGCCCTACACTTGTTGTGTGCCAGGCTGTACGGGTAATTATCAAAAAGGACCGAAAGTTCACGTTTTCAGTTTCCCAACAGATGAAACTATGTACAAGAAATGGGTTTCTTCAATACCACGTAGCAATTTTTTCCCAACTAAACACTCTAAGGTTTGTCATTTGCACTTTACAGAGGAAGACATTATCCGCAGGATTTCCCAGATGGATTCTAGAACCGGTGAGGTTGTAACTGTATATTTAGATCGTCCCCGCCTTAAACCAAGCGGAATTCCTACTCAATTTGGGGATTGCTTGCAAAATATTTATAATTTAAAAACGGTTGCAAGTCCTGAGGATTTTAGTAAAGAGGAAGCGGTTAAGGAAATCAAAGAGGAAATCACTGATACTTTTGAGATAAAAAATGAATCAGAGATCCCAGCTTCTCCAGAATTAAGGTGCTATGATAATTATAATGGCTTTCTCACACTCTTTAATGCGTTTGAGGTTCCTAAGAATTGGTTTGTTATAAAGGAAGAACAAAAAACTGTAATATTTAAATTAATATATAGTCCCGGGCCGTTAACTAGTTACGCTGTTGTTATTAATTCCAACTTGAAATTAGAAACGTTTTTATATGGTCAAGAAATATCGATCTCTACAGAGAAATTTAAATCGCCTTTCAAATCATGTAGTTTAGACCAAATATTGGAGTTGCTAGAAGTTATAGGAAAAAAATCGGCTGACGACTTTGATAGTAGCAACGAAAACACAAAATGTATTTTGAATCATGTTACGAATATACTAGGAACTGTAAGAGATAAGGATGAGAGAATATCTTTTCTTTCCGATCAACTAAAGCTACACGCTTGCTTTAAAGAAAGGTATCGTTATTCGGCAAAGATCATGATTTTTGCTTCGATTATGTTAACGATTAGCCCATCCGCATATCAGTTCCTAAGACATTCCGGTTTTCTTATATTACCGTACCCGAAAACTATAAAAGCCGTTTGCAATAAATTCTTGACCGACTCAGGATGCGAGGAAAACCATTCGTTCCCTAGTTATGCCCGAAATATGCTGAAATTTCTAAGTGGCACTGAAAAATTTGTAGTATTATCAGTAAACGAAATTGATATTAAACCTTATTTAAATTATAAAGCGAATTTGACCACTGCTTACACCTTCATAATAAGCAGTATTTACTGTAATTTTAGAGAAGTAGTTCACATAGCGCCCACATCTAGAATAAACCACGAAAGTCTCCACACTTTTATAAAAACAATAATAGTAAACTTAGAGGAAATAGGGTATCGCGTATTCTGTGTGGTGTGTAATGTAAATTCAATCAACGGCAAAGCTATGAGCAATTTTGCAAATAATAAGAAACTGAGCATCGTTTATCCACACCCTGTCACTAATAGCAGGCCCCTGTTTTTCTTGTACGACCCTGTACATTTACTGAATCATATCAAACACGACTGGCTCAACTCAAAATCTGATCAAACACTAAATTATCCCGATTTTGAAACTGGATCTAAGAAATTAGCAAGTTTCCAGGATATAAGAAAATTGTACGAATTAGAACGCGATAAGCAATTAAAACTAGATTATTCTTTAAACTTAAAGCATTTGTTTTCATCGACGCAAGAAGAACACGACGTTAGTTTAGTTCAAAAAATGTTTAACCCACAAATTGTGCAAGCTTTAAGACAACACGAAAAAATTATTGGAAACTCTCAGGACACGACAGATTTCATTAACATAATATTAAGTTGGTGGGGTATCGTTAACGACAACATACCATTTAAAAGTCAGTTTTCTATGAACACACTTCAAGAACCAGTTATAGCGACAAATTTATTGAACTCTAAATTAACATTTTTAGAAAAAATGTTGAACTGGCTTGATGTTTGGAAAGATGGGAAGTTTACTCAAAGACTGTCGTCTCAAACTCATTCTGCTTTGTACCATACGACACACGGGATGATAGAAATAACCAAATACTGTTTCGAGGAACTTAGGTTGAATTATGTTTTATTCAGTAAATTCCAAATCGATTCGTTGGAACACAGATGTGGAAAGTACCGCCACCTTGACGAGATTCAATATATCTCTGTCAGGCAGTTGTATGAATCAGCAAAGAGGCTTATAGTTCATTTGCTGCTCACATTAAAATCGCCAAGTTTCGGAAACATACCAGTTGAAAAATTTTTTGAAAAAGTTGATACGGTAGATCAACAGACTTCTGAAGTTCCTGTTATCCTCACTGTCAGTATTAACGAGGATGATTTTGAAGAAGTTACGAACGAAATATCAGTGATAACATATTTAGCAAGTTATTGTTGTTACGCTGCTTTGAAAAACGAATTAATGTGTGAATTCTGTAGAGAAAAATTAGTATATCCCGAAACACTAGTTGTAGAAAAATCATACGATCTTGTAGAAAATTTAAAAGAGGGGGATTTGTTCTATCCACATGATGTCGTGGTACAAATAGTGTTGTGTACCTATGTTATATTTAACAATCTACTTCAAAATTTTGAGGAAAAATTGTTCCCGATAAAAAATAAGCGGCATCTTATAACTCAATTGGTGTTGGAGTATGTCGTAGAAGAAGGATATTTGTTCCACTTCCATGGCTGTGAAAATCACAATGAAGAACACATAGCTAAAATTATAATAACGTGGGTTACTAATACATTCCTGAAAAACTATTATAGTAAAAACAGACTAGGGAAATACAAGAAGAGAAAATTAAATACAACCGTGACTAACTAACGTAACTGAAAATATGAATTGTAACGATTCTCACATGTTTTCATTGAGAGAAAATGAGATAGAACTACCTACCCAACAAGATAAAACGAAGTCTTAGGTTTTTGCTTTGAAACTTCGTTTCCCTGAAAAAAAATCGAATGGGGTGCGATTGAGGGTTCAGTTCATGACTGGCAGCCCTGTTTACACCGGAAGCCCTTAACAAACTTGATGATAAGTTTTTTTAAAAATGTATGTCTTTAAACAGGTGTAATTTTATATACAGAGTGGGCCACAGTAACTAAATTTGTTACAAAGGTAGTATAGCCCTGTATGAGATAAAAATAATTATTTTTTTTATTAAACTGTTAATTTTAAATGAAAAATGGCTTGATATTTTTTGATAACTGTTACAATCTTACGGCAAATAATTTTTTTGAAACAGGTTACTAAAAATCGTGCTAGTTGTGGGAAAACAATATTTACCAGTTTATTTGCGAATTTAGGTTAGTGGGAAAATTAAAAAAATATTACATAGCGATGAATATGTAGTCATAACTATAGTAACCTAGGTTACAAAGACTTTGCTTAGAAATTATTATGGTCAAAATCGTTTAGGAGAAATCAACAAAAAGAGAAAATTAAGTACATAAAAAATAATGGTAAAAGCATAAAATTTGAAAATGCAAGTCATTTGAAAAAAAATTCGTTCAAAGATATTTTATTCAGGTTATTAGGAGACAATTTCAATTTTAAGGAAAAAAATTGTTATGAATTAAACTTCGTGCACGTATTTATTCGGTAATTTAAATCTTATTTTAAGAATAATAAAAAAAAATAAATGTTTTTTTTTTGTAGAAAATTTTCGCCGTTAGGAGTCCATTTTTTCACTTTTCGAAAAGAAATTTGGAAATATGTATGAGTATTTTTTTGAATTATCTGAGAATTAAATTGATTTTGCATGTTTTATTAAAAAATATATATATTAAAAGTTTTTCCATTTTGTATGATGAACTAATTTTATTCGCCAATACAAAGAATACATGTAGTTGCTGGTTTTAAAAAAGAAAAACGGCCCTTTGCCTGTTCTTTTACGATTAGAAAAAAATCGGGTCCTAATTGGTATCACATCAAACAACAAAGACACACGAAAACAAAATGCGTAACCGTGACGTAACCATATACGACAACGACAATATTTATCACTCACTATTTACGTATAATTTGACAAGACACATCGAGAAGCAACAAATGTACAGAGTGTCCGACACGGGACAATTGTTAATTGTTAGTAACATAGAAATGAAAAAAACTTACAAAGTACGATATGAAACTATTTTCAAGTAGTACAGCAAGTCGGAGACTATAATTTTAACGGAGAGTACTAAGGTTTGCAGCCTGGCTTATTTTTAGATGGCACGACGTTTGTTTCACGTACGTCATTGAGCCAGAGGCGTACACTTCGACCCCGACGGGGTCCCAAAAAAGTACTTTCAAGTATAGTTGGAATTAAAATACTGTCAATAAAATAAATTTTGTTCTAAATGGTAACGAAAATTCAGTTATATGTAGGTAGTTTAAAAAAATATCGAAATTTAAAATTTTGAAGACTATTGAAGAGCGGTATCACCCTTATTCCTATATATATTTTTAAATACTTACATGTGATTTTGCTGAAATTATAAAAAAAAACATTATTTAGTGGTCGATATATTGGCTTGATTGTTAAATATCTGTAATCAAATACAATAAAAAAATGAAGTATGTATAAATGTTGATATTTATTTATGAATCTATTAAAAGCATGTTGTCAAATATCAGTAACTAAAATATTTATTAATTTTTAGACAAAATTGTCTTATTTGTTTTCTGAAATTTGTTCTCAATGGAATTGTGAATGAAAAGATTTGATAGTTGTTTTTTTGTTTTATATTAGTATTTGTGTTTATTATACCTAGTACTTATAGCTGGGTACATGTTCAAATCTTTTGACTTTCACAGTGACTATAACGTAAAGACAAATGTAATATTTTTTTCATATTTTTTCACACTTAGATTTTAAACTGTGTACATTTTATTTACTTGTGTTTATCTGTAATTTGGCAAGGTTGCCAGGCATGTACCAGGTGATACTTATTTGCGCTGTTACCAATTAGCTTTGTTGTATAAGTTTTCCCTGGATCCGGTCCTGTGGCATCGCCCGTGCATGCGAAAATGAGTGCCAGATATTAAAAATACAGCCGCCGTCCTCGACCACCATCTCTTTTTAACAGTCGATGAAAATGAGGACGGCAGATTTCATGAAAATTATCTAATAACTTTCAGTTTATTTTCAGTTGTGGATAAGTCGGCTTTTTAAAAGACAACCATTAATCTCGTGGGTGTGTTTTATTGCTGCATTCACTCCAAATAATTTATTTTCGGTGCGCACCGAGTACTTATTTTTCTGTAAATAAATCGGGAGCGTTGAATTTTAAACGCAAAAATGGGCGGAGCTACAGGCCGTTAGCTTCTTATTGTTAATAAAAGGAAAATAATTGCTGTGCAATGAATATGTAAATAGGGAATATTTGTTTTACTTTCTACAAGAAATCCGAGCAAACACATTTTTATCACTGCAAATAGAAGGGTTTTTATAAGACTTTTTTTGCTGCTGAATCGAGTAGGCTTGGCGCAGTGCCGCGTCTTGGGTTCTTCAACTGTCCGCTATGAGGTAAGATGACTTTGACTTTGGCTCTTTCTAACTTGTTATGAATAAAACTAGCTTTGTTTTCACTTTTACGACGTCGCTTAATTTCTCGTACTTTCTCGTCAAAAAAAATTAGAAAACGAAAATTTCAGCTAAAAACCTTCCGAAATTAATTGTATTAAAATTTCGTAGTACTATTTTGATTTTTATCTATTGTCTCATTGCTTTTTCCAGGTTAATAGTGTATGGACCATTCCTAATCATCTGCTTTGTCTTAATCCAAACGTCATTAGCAGAAAGTAAAAATTATAAGAGATTAAGGGACAATGAAGATAACAGCGTAGAACGCTCGTCAAAATATATGAAAGAAAAGAGTTCCAAATCCAAACATAGAACAGCCGTTGATGACGACGGCGAAGAAAATTACAAAATAGATAAACACCGTAACAGAAAACTATGGGAGCAGGACCATGATTTCACAACAGAAAACAAATATTCGAAGTATACACAAAAAGCGAATAGATTTGATGATCACGAAGACGAGCCGCAGTATTCCACAACGAAGAAAAAGAGTTATGATGGTAGAAAAGGCAAAGATTCGGAAGGAAGTGGAAAAACGCAATTCAGGAAAGATAATAGGGAAGAGAAGAAACATTCGAAACTTGAAAAGGAACATTCGGCAGAAAAAACTAAGAACAAACATACCTGGAATGCCAAAAACGATGACAACGATGAGGATAGTGAAGAAGAAACTGTAAAATTCGAAGAGAAAATCGTGAGAAAAACAAAAAAGGTCATTGACGACTTTGGGGAATCTGAGGAAGAAGTCCCTAAAAAAAAATTTAGGAAGAAGATCCGAGTTCGGGTTCCTGATTCCCCAGAAGATGAATCTGATGAATCAGATGAGGATGATAGTGATCGCCGTCGTACGTGCGAAAGGAAATTCAAAAGAGGTAAAGACCAGAAAAGCTGCCTAGCCCAAGAAAGTGTAAATGGAGATGAATCAGAAGATGGTCCGGTTCGTCCAAAGAAGATCAAGTACAGTATTAAGTTTGCTCACGAGAAAGAGAGGAGTGTTCCCAGTGAAGATGACAATATTATGTTAAAAATTCATAGGGGAGAGAAGAAGAAGTATAAGTGAGTGACATCTGTTTTTTATTTATCTGGGAGTTAAATTGATTTATTTTATGTATTTCAGATACCAAGACGATGACGACGATGATTCTAGCGAAGAGAACACGTTTCCAAAGCGAGTTCGATATCTAGATGATGATGAAGAGTAGAGCGGATCTTTCTGTAAAATTAGTTTGTTTTTAATATTCTATTGCCTATTCCATATTTGTTAATTCTTGTCAAATGTTAAGAACCCTTTTATTAAATAAATTGTTTAAAAAATTTCTGACATTGGCGTTAGATTCTTTTCATTCATCGATATTCATATCAAAACCATTAAGGTTGTGAAAAAGAAACGTACAGGTGTTATTTCAGGAGAAAGGCATGCATTTCAATAAGATTTTTCTATGTCGAATAACAAACAAATTCAGTTAAAAAATCAAGAGGGCGAATTTATAGAAACTTGTGCTATCAAAATTTTTTCGTATGCTGCCATCTTCTGGTAGTTTTCAATATCAAGCCATTTGTAGAACATAACTTCTACAGTATTCCATTAGCGTTAGATCCATGATTTACATATTGACCACTAGAGGTCTAGTGACTTTAAGTAAAACTCGCTGTAGGAGCCATTCAAAATTAATTGATGAGGAAAGATATACATATTATCAAATGGGCACACTTATCTTAAAATCTGTGATAAAAGTTACTCAACTGTATCAAATAAACAACAGTGAATTGAAATAATAGATTAACAAATCGCCAGTTAAGAGTTTTACATTTTACAGGATTAGAACAAAACTGTTAAATAAAAAAGACATAATTGAAAGTTTAATTTAGTTTTTTTCTGTTTATATATTTGTATTTAACTGCAAATGGTACAAGATCAAAATTATTACATAGAGAAACGTATAATATTTGCCTTTTTTTTACCCTTCCATGTTATTACTATACAGGGTGTCTCAGAATAACAGACCAGTTAACAGAAACATTATCCCTCTACCGATCCATCGACGAGGGAATCTTTGGTACAGATACTGCCGTCGAATGTGGTGGAGCCCCATTATGCATAAACCACACGTTAGCTTTGAGTAATAACGGCACATCTTTCAATAACTCTGGTTTTGCAAAAATTCTAAATAAATTTCCCCATTCAGTCTATTGGATAGAATAACAGAGCCAATAATAATACTATCAATAATCATTGATGCGAAATTCATGCTGATAATGTTTCAGTACACATGTTCGCAAGTGACCCATTTTTAAGTACAACGTCAATCCTGACGCCATCCGAGACGCAACAGGGTTCCAAAAAAGTCGACGACAGAGTGGCGCCAAGGACCAGGTACTTCTGCAAGCGACTCCACACCAAGACGACTCTCCAGCAAACGCTCAAACCGACAACACGTCTCTTTCCACAAACTTAGTTTTCAATAAAAATAGTTTATTTCTACTGTTGAGAGAGCGTTTTATTTTTGCTGTGCAGCGAAAGCAACCCTCAAGTTTGATAGCATGTGGATTTTCTTAAGCATACATACACATGTTCACTGTGAGTATTTATTATTTCGCTTCTAGTAAAACAGAATTAGCATGTACAGTGACTTAAAGATGATCTGTGGTCTTCTGTTGTACGCGTTATTCTGGGACACCCTGTATACAACAATCTGACTTATTGCGTGAAAAAAAAATAACCGATTGACGTCACCACCAAAGCCAATTATCTTATAAAATATGCCCATAAATTAGTAGGAACATCCAGCGAAGTCCTTATTATCTATTCATTAGCACTTCGATTGCAAACGACAGTCAGCTTTAAAACATCTGATCAATTTTCTGTTTATTATTTATAAAATCGCGAACAATTGATATGTTATGTGTGCTTTCGGATCAATTTTTGCCATTAACCGCAACATGCCAGCGCAATCGAGGCTATGTAAAATTCAGTAACTGAGCTTTGAAAACGTCCCGAAGAAAATAGTTAGTTTACCCTGAGTTGTTCTAAAACCAAAGTGCGAAATGAGTTCCGGAAAAAGAGGTAAGAATAATTTTCACTAAACTGAGAATTATTTATTTTTCACTTACTTCACTATGGGTAAAGAGCGATAGTCCCGCTCGACCCCCGCTCCATCTGAGGTCATTTTTCCTGCCAATCTCTTCAATCTTCAAATTGACCCTTTGCTACTTATTATTTTCCTTATTCTTTAATAACCTGGTGTATTTGCTTGTAGAATTTCATCAAAATGGTTTTATTAAGAATTACATAATAGAAGAACCACTTGGGTTCGAACCTGATGAACGGGGTTTGGGATATTTATATTTTACAAGCATGAAAAGACACAAGAATAAGATTGCGCAGGTAAATTGTTTTATTTCCCATACAGGGTGTTTTCTAAGTCTGCGTCATAACTTGGGGAGAGTCGAGTAGTGGTGAGATATGACCTACATAGCTTGCATCACATTCACTGAATTTTTGCCTTTTACTAGGTAAAAGCAGTATTTTTTAGCAAAATCCATAGTTTTAGGTGCGCAGTTAACTTTTCTGTTTCTGCCGCTAGTGTTTCTATATGTAATGATATTGTTTTATATTCATTATTTATAGTTTATTATCTATGTTGTAGTATCTTGCAGACACAGAGGAAGAAGACACTTACGACGATTTCTTAAGGAGGACAGTAAGAACAGCTTTGGAACTGAGAAAGAGAGACCTCAGTAAAGACGATGTGGTTTGTCTTTGTAGTTACAATCACAAGAACAGCGTCGTTCCGTTCGTAGCTTGCAATTTTCTGGGTGTTCGAGTGGCGTCACTAGATCCGCTTTTATCCTTAATGGATACAGCACATCTAGTTTCTGAAGTGAAACCAAAGATCATTTTCGTAGTTCCTGAGGCGCTGAAGCTTATCGAAACGTCTTTAAAAAAAACAGGTTTAGATATAGACATTTACAAACATCCACCTCTTGCACCCATTCAGTATGCTGCACTACTGCGATCAGTTCCAGTTTCATTCACTAAGATGCCATCATTGTTGCTCACTGTTATTGTAAGTGGTACATTTTTTAAAATCACCAAGATTGATTTTGCTTTAGCAATCTTGTCATGACAAAGAAACTAGTTATTTTATTTCTCTAGGTTTAAATATTGAAATCGTCTTATTCGACGAACTGGGAACCTCAGATAAGCACACCAACTTTTCAGAATTTTTGCAGTTTCAAGAAGAAGAAGAAACGTTTATTCCTGAATCTGTTTCGAGTCTACGAGAAACCGCAGTGATTTTCTTCAGTAGCGGCACCACAGGGTTCCCAAAGGGCATAGAAACCAACCACTATGCTCTCATATGTCAGTCTATCAACTACATGTAAGTATTTCTTTAACAGAATACAGTAAATTCTCGAATGATCAGATTCAGCGAATACTAGCAATGACATTTTAATGTGGTTTTTCAGTCAGTCTGGAAACTTAGGAAACGTTGCTCTCAGCTACACTTCTCTGTATTGGATCTCAAGCGTACTCTTTACTACAGCTACAATATTTACTGGTAGTGCTAGGGTTGTATGTCCCGCGTTCAATCCAAAGCAGTTTTGGCAACTTGTAGAAAAATACAAAGTAAGTCTTTATCATTCAGATTCAGGATTTATTGCACTAGTAAAATATATTCTCATTGTCTGTTGACCAGAACAAAAAGTAACGAGCGTTCAAATAAACACGTGGTCGAACTTGGCTCTGGTTGGCATTGGATGTAGGGAGTAGCTTATAGCGACCAACTTAACCTCATTTCTCAACGAGCTGTATAGCAGCTGTCAGTGTCAATAACGTTAATGACTATATAACTTTATTTTAAAGAATAATCGCGATAACAATAACAAACAATTAAAGGAGCTGCGGAAAGTTTCCCCCTCCTTGTTATAATAATAAAAAATGGTTTAAATCAGGAATAAGCACTTCAAAAATAGTGTTTTTAAGGTAAGGCCACAAAAAGAAATCACACGGCGTAATATCACATGACCTCGGTGGAAATTCATGTTCAGCATTGAGACTTATTAGTCGATTTTGGAAAACTTCCCTCAACATATTCATCGTCTCGCCTGCCGTATGTGCCCTTGCGCCATCTTGTTGAAAGTAAAAGTTTGTAATTTCGTTTTCTTCCAGCTGGTTAACAAAAGGAGCGATAATTTCTTCTCTATACCTTTGCGCAGTAAGAGTACCATTAAAAAAAATAGGTCCATAAATCCTCCTTCGATTGAGAGCACACCAAACTCCAATTTTTTGAGCGTGTAGAGGGCCCTCGACAAAAAAGTTATCTGGTTTTTCAGAAGACCACATTCTCATATTCTGTGAGTTTACGTAACCACTTAAATGAAACCAGGCTTCATCAGAAAAAAAGGTGATATTATGAAGTTCACCGTAGTTGTTTAAAAACCATTCACAAAATACAGCCCGTCGCGGAAAATCAACTTCATGAAGTTCTTGCTGACAAGTTAAACGATAGGAGAACAAACGCAAATCTTTTTTTAACACTGTGTGGCAGGTACCGACTGATACTCCCACCATTTGTGATAAAACACGTACAGAAGTTCTTGGCGCATTTTCCATTATTTGTTGGACATTTTCTTTTAATTCTTCAGTCCGCTTTTTAGGTCGGCCGCTTCCTTCTTTTCTTGTTACACTGCCCGTTTCACGAAAAACATTAACACAACGCTGAACTGCACTTTGAAAAATTTTGTACTCAACAACGCCGGGAAATTGATTTTGAAATTCTATGAAACATTCCTCAATAGAATACTTCCATATTCCATCAATCTTGCGTCCATTTCTAAAGTAGTACTCTATGATAAACACTTTTTGTTCTTGCGAAAACACCATTTTAAACGCTTTTTAAAACGAAAATATTCAAATTGATAGCGGCAGCACGGCAAATAAAACAACCAGCAATATCACTACATCTTTCCCGCGCAAAATTAAATTTGACCTTGCTAATGTCAGTTGGGTAGGAAAAGTCAGGGCTGTATTTGAAATATTTATAAGTTATGAATTTCCTTCAACAGAGTTGTAATATAAAATTTATAATATTAATGGATTGTTAAATATATATACTCATTATACCCGTATATTTACTTGTTACTTTATATATTTTGACTAAATCAACTAGTGTCTTTCGTACAATATATATAATTATAGTAGTATAGGTAAGTACAAAAAAATATTGCACTTAAAATATTGCAAGAAATTTAAAGATAATGTGTGTAATGTGTGGCTGAAAAGTTATTTGATGATTTTTAATAATAAATAAATAAATATATTGGAACTACTATTTTGTAAAGGGAAATTAAAAAAAAAACATTTATTTTAATAAGTCTTAAATTTTATTCCATTTTAAAAGAACTTAAGACTAAATCATAACTTAAATAAATTAAGTATGTACATTTATGAATACTTAATGATCACAAATGACGCCATATAATTAATTTGTTTTTATTTATATTTTGAAAATTTTTGTTTATATCCTTAAGAGTATAATACAATCTTAGCCTAATATATAACAATATTACATATGTTTTTGGAAAATCTACACAAGGATGGTCATAATTATTACAAATGGTCAAAAAGTTTGTACATATGTCAGATTCTAAAATAATTTTTTCAAAATTTTTTTGGAAAATTATTTCCAAATTTGAAATAAAATCTACAAACTTGTCATGTGGATTGTGCAAATTTCCGAAGATATCACCATCAGCGTTTTTGTACGCTTTAAAATAAATATAAAGCGAAGAGTCGTCTAACTCTTCACGTGCCTTTGAATAATCTATGCAAACTACGGTAGTAGCCGAATACCCTGAAGATCCTTCCATTGTGGGAAATAGTGTTGGGGTTGCGTCTGAATTTAGTCGGCTCCGATCTTTATTCGCAAACATTTGGGACTCAAAGTGTTCACTACAAAGTCTATAGTTTTTATAAAGACTATCCAACTTGTCCAGTAAATCTTCCCGGTTGCTGGCTATTGCCCATGTCCTACTTCTGTATAAAAAAAATAAAACATCAATTTTTAGGCCAAGATTCATTTTGGTTGATTAAACTTATGGTTGGTTTATAAAAACGTATTAGTCCTAACTTATCCGTAACTTAATCCTAATCTTAGTCCTAAAAAGTTAAATGTACAGAATGTAATGTATTGGTTTATAAAAATCTTTTAACCTTGCCCTACCTCTATATATTATATTTTGTACATTTAACTTTTTAGGACTAAGATTAAGGTTAAGTTACGGCTAAGTTAGGACTAATACTTTTTTATAAACCAACCATTTTAGATAAGGATGTTATATGTAGGTTATAATGTCAATTTAATAATTGGTGTAAAAACTATAATCTTTTCACATTTTAGCACTACACATACCTTGTTGTATCAGCAGGAAATCTAAAGAAACTTTTCTTTGAAGAATATCTCTGATTTCTACAACTTCTCACTGCACAAACACCATGACTCATTGTCTTATACATTGTTATTATAGTCTTACACTATGTCAGTACTACACCAAATTATAAACAACTATTCACAAACAACTAATTCAACAAATGCACGCCTATGACTTTACTGCAACAGCAAAGTGAAATAAACTAAACTCGGTTATAGACGCTACGACGCTACTGACAGCATTTTGACGGATTTCCTACCAAGAAATGTCATGCGCGAGAACGTGCGCAGATGTGAAAAAAGAGGATGTGTTATTGCTGGTTGTTTTATTTGCCGTGGTGGCGATATAGCACTTTGACAGATGACGTTTAAGTTCATTTGCTATACGCTACGCCCTACGTCCAAATTTTCAGAACCAAATTGACCACGTTTTTATTTGAACGCTTGTTATAATTTACTTGACTCTTGAATTGTACAGTTCCTATTAGTGAACTCAGTTGATTGATTCTACCACTCTTGCACTCACGAAAATTTGTTTTGAATCTTTAGAGATGCGAAAAGCCAAATTTTCTCTGTAGGTAACCAATATGGCTGGTGCGCCATCCCAAGCCGTCGACATTATTAAAGCGGGTCGACCTGACGGTCTTGACACCACCAGCTTCGTAAGTTGCATGATTGGAGGCGCCACTATGTCCAAAAAGTTCACCTTGGAGCTTCGGGATCTACTACCAGGGACCTTCGTCGCTATGGCCTATGGACAGACAGAAGTGGCAGGTCTAGTCACCACTTTCCAGATCAAGCATGTGAAAGACGCTCTAGCGCTGCATTACAAACCGGAATCTGTAGGGAGGCTTGTGCCTGGGATGAAGTGTAAGGTAAGGGTAAGAGGTAAGGATAAGCAACAAGTATTTAAATCCCTCCTACTAGGTTGTAGACTTCGAAACGGAAAAGTTATGTGGTCCCAACGAAAGTGGGGAGCTGATGCTGAAAACTCCAATGGTTATGAATGGGTATTACGGTAGGGACTCCTCCGAATCCTTCGATGCCGATGGCTGGTTGAAGACGGGAGATGTGGTGTATTACGACGAGGAAAAGTTCTTCTACATCGTGGACCGCATCAAGGAAATGCTGAAGTACAGGTCCTGGCACGTCGCGCCTGCAGTGGTCGAAAAGGTAAGTTCATTCGTTCCAAAAATAATGTAAAATGTACATTATAGCTTTTCAATATTTTTAGATAGTCCTGGAACATCCAGCCGTTCAGCGAGTAGTGGTGATCGGAATCCCCCACGAGGAAGATGGGGACCACCCCATGGCGGTGGTTGTCCTGAATCCCGAATATGCGGAGTCGATCACAGAAGAAGACATCCAGGGGTTTGTTGCTGAGAAGGCACCGGATCGCATGAGACTCAGAGGTGGGGTCAAGTTCGTTTCGAGCATCCCCATCACACCCTCAGGGAAGATGAAGAGGAAACATATCCGCGATATGGTAATGAACGGGTCAATTTGAATCGAACCGAGCTGTGTTTTACGTAGTATTCGTATTTTGTAGTGTATTAAGTTTAGGTTAATAGATAATGAACAAAATAAATTGTATTTTATTTCTTTCCTAGCAAAATTTTCAGTGTATTGTTGCTTCTCCCTTCAATCATCGCGTTCTTATCTACGAGCCAATTTGTATCTTGAGAATGATTTTCAAAATTCAGAAGCATTAACTTTGGTGTCGTTGTGAACAGTGGTCACCACTTTCGCTTCACGGCGATTTTACATTATTTTATTTGGTTTAATTAAGCTGCCCTACTACGTATTTTATCCTCAGGTATACCTCTATGCCGGTTTTGTATTAAAAAGTGTATTTTTTATATTGTGTGAAAATTGTAAGTACGAACCTGAAATGTACGAATTACTCTCGGACCTTAATCGTTACTGTCAATAGAGGAGCTACTGTTTCTTTGTTTTTCAATTTCGCAGCCAGCTATGAATGAAATGTGTATCTTTTTCTAAATAAACCTAATTCTCAAGTCAGTGTTCTGTCTATTACATGTTATTATGTATACAAAATACATATTCCTTGTATCAGAAAATTGCGGACTAAGAAGTAATTAAGTAAAAAATAGTAATTAATTAAGTAATCAGTTAGTTTTTAACCTTAATTTTTTTTTCCAACTTTGAGTTGAGGATAATGTGCTCTATATCTTACAAAGTAAATAAATTATTTTAAATATTTTGTTTCATAATTAAACACTTAGCGACATTTAAGGCCAATTATAAATACTCGTAAATTTTAGTACACATAAAAAAACTATATGAGCAACTCGTGCCTCCAATAATTTTCATAGATTAGTATTTAAGATAACATCTTTTTGTGATTCGTGTTTAAGTATGACTAACAATAATTTTTAATAATATTGAATTTAAGGATATTGCAGAAATATACAGGGTGATTCATAAACGATGACCAAAAATGAAACCTCGTATTCTTTGGTGAATTTTAAGGGTAGTCTTTCGTATAAATTTTTTATCTAGGGCGCTTCGTTAAAAAGATACGGGGTGTTACACTTAAAAAAATATTTTTAATTTTTTTAAATAATTTAAAAACTAGGAAGTGAAATAATTTAAAATTGGGCACATGTATTTATGTAAATATTCTCCAAAATCTGAGGCCCTTTTCTAAAATTTAGATGCTCCAGTGGCGGAGCTACAGGGTGGCATACTTTTCTAAGAAATTTATAACATTAGTCATCATTTTAATGATTTTATGCTCAAAAATGCCTACATTTCCATGAACACAGGCGCGACATGGTTTTAGTAACGAAAATGTAATATTTATTCTTTCTTCTAATTGTTTAGGTGTATTAATTTGTTCACTGTATATCAGCCGTTTAATAGTAGCACACCACAAAAAAAAATCCAGTGGGTGGAGATTCGCTGTTTTCAGTTCGTTTTTGTAGGTTCTCCTTGAAAATCCGGCATAAGAGAGTAGTAATTTGTAGAAAACTGAAAGACGAATCCGAAAATATCATTGTTGTTACCGTAAAGCAGTGGCGCACTATTTTACGTAGAAAAATATACCACCTTGTAACTCCGCCACTGAAGCCTCTAAATTTTAGAAAAAGGTCTCAGATTTTGGACAATGTCTACATAAATAGATCATTAAAAAAAAATTAAAAATATTTTTTTAAGTTCTTCCCATGTATCTTTTAAGCGTCTTAGATAAAAACTTTATACGAAAGACTCCCCTTAAAATTCACCAAAGAATACAAGGTTTCATTTTTGGTCATCATTTGTGAATCATTCTGTACATTTTTTGGAGTCAATATAATAATAATTATAATAAATTAATAAGTCAAGGGAATTAATTCATAAAGTATAAATAAATCCAATTCATTTTATCAGTTTATTACACAGCCCCACAGAAAAAATATCTGTACCAGAGACATGTGATTATAAATAATATCTTACTTATCCCTCTAAGGGTTGGAAATCATCTACAGACTAGGGTCTTACTTACCCCTTAGTCACACATTTTTCTATTCAATATTATTACCTGAATTTTGTTACCGTGGGTTTTTGAGGTCGCTGATTACGAATCTGAAGTCCAAATCCAAAAATTCCTGTTGGCAGTTTTTAAAATCGACATGCAATGACGAATATAAGGTTTTAATTCGGAAAATCTTAAATCCAAAATGACGGATTGGAAAGTATCATAGAACTTGGCACTTAGCACCCAAAGAGAGAAATGAATGTTTAAAAAATTGAGTGATTTGAGTGAAAATAGGTAAATGTTTAAAAATGAGAAACAAAGAATATAAATTCGATTTGCTGTGTGCTGTCTCTTTCAAATACTCTTATCAACCCCAGCAAGCAAGGAGTGGTATCATCATACACTTAAAGGGAAATATAAGACGCACAAAACGAGTAAGATTTTAGAGCTAAAAATATAAATTTGTTCATCCAAGTAGCAAACTAATGGGGCGTTATTTGTCATCCCTGCAACTTAGAATTTAGTTTGCGTAAGGTTCAAAACACGTCGTTTCGAATTAAATCTGTTGGAAACCGTTTTTGATGTATTACGAGCAAAGCTATTGAAAATTTGGTTATCCACTTATTTCTTCCTCATCTTGTAAGTCATTTTAATAGATACAATTTAATGAAACCACTGTAAGTTAGAAACAACATTCTTGGGCCTATCTCTAGTGTTTAAATACATTGTTAAGTGTTTATTTGGACAAAGCCATGAATAGGTCCTCGAACTGTTTACTGAAAATTCCATACACCTGCGGGAAATATACAATTTGATAAATGTGACCTAAATAAGCATTCGTGTACTGACTGTGTTGTAACTTGTATTTTCTAGTTAATAGTTTAATTTTCTGTATTCGATGTAGCCCCTTTATTTTGGACGCAATTTTATTTTAATTTTTCTTCAATAACTTCATGATTAAGTAGTATCATTCATATATGGGAGATTTCTGGCATAAGAAATTGAAATCTTGTTCGAATTTATTGTAAATTATTAGAGTTAGGTAGGAATGCTTTGACTACTACAGTAAGGGGCGTGCTTTAGTTGTCACTGTTGCTGCTGCTGTTGGTGTTGTTGTTACTGTTGTAGTTGTTGCAGCTGTTGCTGTTGTTATCAATAGAATCAATAACAACGACTGCAACTGCAGCGTTAACTAGAACTAGTAGTTAACTACTACTACGGCATCAATAACGACGACAACAACAACAGAAGCATAAGCACCAGCAAGATCAATAACAGCAATAACAACGGCATCTAATCTAAGGCAACGATGTTGATAACGCTCTAAATTCTTGTTACTTGAACTGGTTTCCTTAGTCGACAGTGTGCGTAAGGAGGTTACGAAACGTTCTATCGAGTTAGGAAGGAATGCTTTGACTACTACAGTAAGGAATCTCCGACTACTTAGGAATTCTCTACAGTACTTTACGTGGATTTTAATTGTTATAACTTTTTTGTACACCGGTAAATTGATATTTTTTTTAAATTCTTATTCTCCGACATGTTTTCTGAAAAGAGATATATTTGGTAAACGTCCTTTTGAACAATCGTTTTTTGGATATTTGGATTTAATCTACCTTCATATCTTTTATTTAGAAACTTCTATCATCGCGGTGTGATACATATGAGAGCGTTTTGTTTCTATATAATTAGCCATGTCGTGACAGATACCTTATCAGGGTGAATAGCAAAAGCACTTACTATTACAAATTTTTAGATAACCACAATATGAATTTCAAGGTAACTTTATTGCCGCTGAGTGGCAAGAATTATCAAACCAGGATCAGTTTCTCTTCATCAGTGAGGTGCTTCAAATGTTATATTATATATTGACAGCATCAGTATGTCTTACGTTATTGAAAATAACATTATCAAAACTGAGCCCGTCGAGTTTGATTTCGCAGCGTTAGGAGGTATGGGAAATATAATTTTTAAGGCTATGAAGAAATATCGACAAAATATTGCTCTGGTAAGAAATTATTGGTTTAAATGTCTTCATTTGGATCGTAGACTACCATTAAATTTTACAGGGAGCATACAGGGTGATTTGTTTTGTAGGGGTTGAAATTAAAAAATAATATGAATTGTACGCCGTATACTGAATTTTTAGATATTTTTGAGCAAAATTACAAATTATTTTCACTGACTGGTCACCAAAATTTAGTCACAGAGTTAACTGTTTTAACATTTCAGATTAATCCAGACGACGGCAGGCAGAACACCTACGAATATATCCTACAAAATGCAATTCGAACAGCAATAGCGATGAAGCAGAAAGGGATAAAATCCAGAGACATAGTGATGGGGTCTTCTGATAACCACTTGGATGCTTGCGTTCCCATCCTTGCCGCTTTATTCTTAGGCGCTATACCATGCCCCATGGATCCCTGTATAGCACCTACGGAGGTGATACATATTATCGACCAAGTGAAACCAAAACTGATTTTCACCATACCTTCATCTTTGAAACTCATCAAGGAAGCTTGCCATGAGCTTAATGTGGATATTGAGATAGTTGTCTTTGGGTCTCCAGAATTCCGATTCTTCACAGAACGACAAAATGGCGAGGATGGATTCGAACCAGTCATCTCACAAGATCCAAAGGAAACAGCTGTCATCTACTTTTCAAGTGGAACGACAGGTTTAGCAAAAGCTTGTTGCTTAAGCCACGCTTATTTTATCAAACAATCCAGTTTGGTTCCTAGCGATATTGCCGAAGAGAATTTGGACCTGGAGAGGAGAAATTTCGAATGGTTGAAGTTTAAGAATGACGGTACGTTTCTGTCGTACTGCCCCCTGTACTGGCTAACAGCGGGTAAAATTATCTTCGAAATGTTTATAGTAGGAGGTACGTGTGTCCTTGGAAAGAAGTTTGACTCCGACCAGTTTTGGCATATAGTCGATAAATTTAGGGTAAGTTATCCTAAGGAACCTTTAAATGGAATATGCACTATGAATCAAGATACCAATTTAATTTTTAGGTATGTTTAGTCATGCTTTCTCCTTTCGCCATATCAGAATTGGCCAAATACGGTAAACCTCCCAACTTCAACGCGGACAGTTTGGTAAAGATTCTTACAGGTGGGGCTGTTTCCCAAACAAAGTACTGGAAGCTACTTCAGGACATTCTGCCGGATATAGATATCCTTCAAAATTACGGGTTGACAGAAACCGGGGTAATTGCTTATTATGAGGCCTACAATAAAGTCCATAGGGAACATTACATGACACACCCTGAAAGTATTGGTTTTCCAGTTCGAGGGGTTTGGTATAAGGTAAGGAATTTTAGGCATATTGAATCAATCGTACGAATTGTTGTAGTGTTTTGATCCTCTTTATAAGAGTAATCTCTTATTCATTCATGATTCACATAATAATTAACTGGACTTCTTGTTGAATCAAAGAAAGAAGACTTTTCCATTCATTATGTTAATTGCTTTTCTTCCTCCAATGTCCAGTTTCTACAGATGTATTCTTGTTTCCTTCTAACCAAAGCACTTTCAACTTGCAGGTCGTAGATCCGCAAACAGAAAAAGTCCTCGGACCAAACCAAGAGGGAGAACTATATGTGAAGTCAGAGTTCTTCACAAATGGCTATTACAATCAACCCTACGACGACGTTTTCGACACGGACGGTTGGTTCAGAACTGGCGACGTGGTGTACTACACTGACAATTGTGCATTGTACTTTACCAACCGATTGAAGGAACTGATGAAGTACAGGCAATTGACGGTCTACCCCTACGTCTTGGAAAAAGAATTGCTGAAGCATCCGGCAGTTGCTCAAGCTGCTGTCCTAGGAATTCCGCACGAGGACGATGGTGACCACCCAGCTGCTTTCGTGGTTTTGAAAAGTGATTCTGGGAATGTGAAGGCGGAGGAGATTAGGAAGTTTGTTGATGAGAGGGTCCAGGACAAGGCGAAGCTAAGGGGTGGGGTTAGAGTTGTGGATAGTTTTCCTACTACCTCCACAGGAAAACTGAAAAGAGTACAATTAAGGAAAATGGTATTGGAGGAGTAGAAATATACAAGTGAAATGGCGAGATTTATTTATCTACTACATTCTACAAGAACTAGTTTGTTACTGTTATAATTATTTATGTTTTTATTTGCTTACATATTTTTATTGTACTTGTTATGTCGGTTTTAATCCAATTTGGCAATTGTACAATTGTTGTATGTATCTTTGTTTGGTTTTGGTTTGGTTGTTAGCCCATTGGATAATAACTAAATAAATAAATTATTATAAATTAGTGTTCTGAATAACACATGAAAACTTTTGTTTTGTGGAGTCATCTATTCTGCGCCTTTACTTCTAGAGAAATATTTTTTTTTAATTGGGTTATTATGAAGAATTTTAAGACAGAAGAACACAGCAGTTGCTCAAGCCGTTGTCCTAGGATTGCCTCATGAGGAAGACGGTGATCATCCTGCTGCTTTTGTCGTTTTAAAAGAAAATTGTGAGCACTTAGATGACAGATGACGTCAGAAAGTTTGTGAATGAGAGGGTCCAAGACAAAGCCAAGTTACATTACCCTCTCAGTTTTAGAAGGAGCTTAGGCCATCTGCCGCCAGGGGCTTAAAAAACCAGTGCCTACCATGATATAATTTCCTGTAAGTTATGAAACTTTGTTTACAATTCATATGAATTTTAACTACAACATCAATAGTAAATAATTCTAACAACTTCTAGAGGTTAGGTTGCGGAACAAAAGACTTTAAACTGTAGTGCCACGAGGACATACGTTATCGTTGTAGCAGATACCTAAAAAGAAAAGGAAAATGCACTATATTTATATAAATTACTTTTGTTAGTACTAAATGCTCTTTTTGTGGGAACTTACAGAAGCTAGCAAATTTATTCCTAGAGGAAATAAATCTGCAGCCATTAAATTAGGTTTCTCTGTTTCCAAAGTAATTAGTAGCATTTCTACCTGAAAATTAAATTATTATACTAAATTAAAGAACGATATCAAACAAACCTGTAGTATCTCTTGAGCACCCAATTTGGTGGTCTTGTATTTATGTAAAAACGATATTAGATTTTGGCTCTGAAATTTAAAGTCACTATTAATATTTTCTATAAAAATTACTTGACGTGAATTTTGGGACATCTTTTACTTACCCAATCAGCCATTGTGCTACCAAGCCAAACAAAAAAGGGAAAACCAAACCATACAAAAAAGTTATCCATTTCGCTGTAGTTTACTGTTAGTATATCTACAATTTCATTGTCTTTAATGTAAGCATAATAGAAGTAGGATTGGACACACATAAAAACCCCATAAATAAATTCTTGTCCATAAAATACCACGTTACCAAAAGACTTGAACTGATTCTTGTAGTTCCTGCAAGTTATTAAGTAGAACTTTTGCAAATATTGAAGTTTTTTAAGAAAATCAGTCGAAGAAGTGTTAGAACTTTCTAATTCATCAATTTCTTTCCTCAATATATCCTGAATTTGTTTGTAACATTTGTCTAGACACAACCAGTACAAGACTATGGACATTCCTCCAATTATGGCGTAATTCACATAATTCAAAGTCCTGAGAGCAAAAGCAAGAGACAGGATAACGTTTTTTATGGTAAAACTACGCCATATAGAGTCTAACAGGTATACCACGATGAAAATAGATGAACTGCAGGCAAGCAGTAGCGAAACAAGACGGAAAATTGTTGTACTATTTGCAGTCAGAATGGTGTCTATGCCAAATAATCTGCGTTTGTCTATGATATCGATTAAAAGGTTAATAAACTTGATAGTGCTGCTTTGGTTAATGTAGAGGGTTAAGGAGAAAATCGTCGAATTAAGGAATTTCACCACCAAAACGGCGTATTTGAAAGTGTTTTTAAAATGCAAGTTGTCATCAACAAACAGCTCATATACTGATATTCCCAGCCCGATGAGAATGAAAAAATTAAAAATCAGATAGACAGCAGTGAGAAGTTTGCTTTCTCTTATTCTTGGTTCTTTAATTTTCTCATCAGTATGTTGACATTCTGGTTTCGCAAGGAACGACGAAGAAAATCCAAAAATTATGGTAGGTCTCAAAGCACATATCAAACAGTCACTAGTACCGTTCGCAAACATATTTATTAACTTCATGTTATTTCCAGTGCTTTTTAAATTGTACTGTTTTTGTACTAATTGGTTTTTAATGTTTTGATTCATGAGAAATATCAATATCTGATACCTATACCTTATCTGTCGCAGCAGGAGTTGTTATTGTAGTACAAAAATACAGAACTGTCTAATAATTTAGTATCAATCGATAAATTAGATATTAACAATTCATAGCTGCAGAAGTAATTCAAGCAGTTGGAAATTTGTAAAGAAAATCGTGTAGGTAGCTATTTTACATTTCTGTTTTTACCATATACAGGGTGTTCCACCTAAGAAGGATTCTTCTGTAACTCACAATCAGTAACAACTGTGAAAACTGCAGATTTGTAACTCTTACGGATTAGACGCTATCTAGCCTCATTTAGAGAGCTGAAATCGTGATTTTTTTCAAAAACAACTGATTATCTAGAAAACGGTAAGTTTTAAACACCATGTACATTTAATAAACTCTATCTAATATTAACCCAGGAATGTAGGTTATGTAGCGCCTACGCGAAATGGAACACCCTGTAAAGCTAAAAACATTTTCTTTAGGTGGCCCACATGATTCCAGGCAACTTTCATTAAAACCATTTTTTTTATAGATTTTACCGTTGCAGAGTTACAGAAGAATCCATTTTTCTAGTGATCGAAAATGAACCTTCTAGTCAAAAGTTAGTTCACAATCTTGTAAATGTAATGTTTGAGGCACTGAAAAGCTGATACTTGCAAGAGTTCTTAAATGTACAATCGTATAATCTGACACAAATAATATTTGGAAAACATCCTATACATTGCGAGGGTTTATATAATTTCAATAAGGAAACTGAAAAATAATACTGACATGCTTCTAAGTGAATCACATTTAATTTCAACATCTATAGGTATATAATTGTGACATACTTTTAACAAAAGTAATAATACTAAAGCCTTAAATCCTTGATTGTGAAGAATATTCGTAATACCCTGGTTTAGAGATTAGGTGGAAAAAGAGGCATGAAATTGTAGTGCCACAAGGACGTATGTCACAGCAGAACCAGATGTCTAAAAACAAAGAAAAAACAAATTCAGTATGGGCATAAATATACATAACCTCTTTTATTTATTAACAGTTTAAGATCATAGAAAAAAAGTTAATTAAAAATGTGTTTAAAACTGTTTTGGAACTGCTGAAATACATGTATATTATCGCAGCGAGTACTTACAAAAAAATTCTGTAATACTTTTTACGAGTTTGTAGGTTCCTTATGAAGCCAGACTGTATTCCAAAGTCAGTTTGTAATACATTGTTGTAGTGATTGCTGTGTTGTTTTTCGAGAGTACATTTAATAGCCGTATTTCCAAGTTTTCATTAGAAAATGGCGCGTTTATTTACCAATCTTTGCTGTAGGGCAAGTACAACCACGTCGAGGTCGCGACGGTGCACAGTGGGACGAAACGCCACTGTCGCATTCAAATTACTCTACACCCCACATAGTTCAACTGTTTCAGGTGATTTTTTTTTTCAAAATGTTCGTCTTGAATGTCCCTATCGATCCCTCATTTGGGATTTTTGATTTCGGTCTTCATATTTTTTGAAAATTGACTCCAAAATTCTATTTTTATGAAAAAAAAAAAACTGATTTTCGGCGCAAATGTGGTCCTACATGGCGCAAGTTGATGTTTTTCGAAATTTTTTCAGCTGAAAATCTTCGTTTTGACAAATACTACAAAACTGTCTGCGTGAAAGTCGGGAAAAAAATTTTTCATATTCGCAAAAACGGTCATAATGTTCCAAAAATTTTCGTGGAGAAGCGATTTTTTAATTCGAAATTTCGCAACCTGGGGAAAAATTAGATGAATCAAAAGTTGTTTAGAATCACTCGAGGAATACTCAAAAATTTCCATACTATGTTACAACGCGTGCGAGCGAATTGGATACGTCGCGCTGAAGCTTGTGTGCAAGTAAATGGTGGGTACATCGAACATCTTCTATGAAAAGGTCAGGTAAGTCAGATTTTAAAACATAAATCCATGTATTTACTTCATTTTGACATAAAGGACATGTGTCAAAAATATTTGACATAAGTTCATTAACACCCTGTATTGCTGAAAAATTAAAATGGAGACAAAATCTTCGACATTAGCTTTGTTCCTAGAGCAATCACAAGCGCATGGGTGTTGTTTCGAATCAAATGCGATTGCGTTTGACTGTTGGAGACAGATTTCAATGCACTATGAACAAAGCTAATTATGGTTTTTGATACATCTCTATACTTACAGAGGCTAGTAAGTTAATTCCTATTTTATACATATTGGATGCCGTCAATATAGGCACCTTTGTTTTCAGGGTTATCAGCAACATCTCCACCTATCAAAGCAAATACATATATGAATATTTCAGTATATAATAGCTACGAAATTACGATGTTAGACAAACCTGCGAGGCCTCTGTAACAGTCAGTTTGTTTATCTTGTATTTGTACACGAACGATATCAGATCTTGACTCTGTAAATCACATTAAAATTCAATTAAGATTAATGTTCAAAAAATAATGTATCAAGGATGAACAAAATTGTTGTCTTGTTTAAATTGACATTTCCTTCTATTTCATAAAATGCCGAACTATTAAAAAACTTACCATGAATTGTATGGAGTTAATTTGCAAACAAATGACAAATGTCGTGACTGCCAGGAAGATATGGAAAAACTTCGAGAAGAATATAATCCACGCCCCCTCCTCGCCAACGGTCTTAAAAGCAAAGAAGTACGCTTGCACCACGGAAATTACAGTAAACGCGAACTGTCCCGAATAAAATAAGACAGTCCCAAACCCAAAGACGTACTTGTAGTTGTTGCAAATCGCGATGTAGAACTGCTGCTGAAACTGTAGTCTCTCCTGAAACGAGATGCAGACTAGCATTTGCCTCTGGAGGGGTTGTTTCAGTATCTTGTAAATATTGTCGTAGCAGGCCTTAAACAGAACCCTGTAGACCATTAAAGTGGTTATACCGTACACCGCGAACGACATGGCGTTAATATTATTGACGAGCATACTCGTTGCGAAGAGGACTGACTCCACACTTATCTCCTTTGGTGTGGTGGTGACAAAAATTACGAGGCACACGGTGAGCATGACGTAAAACAAAAACGACGACCACAGCCGCAGCGACCGGGTGAGTCTTTTGGTCAGCACCGAATCTACACCGAAAAACTTGCTCCTGTCGATCAACGTTATGATGCCGTTAGTGTACTTGATGTGGCGGCTGTTGCTCCTTAGGACACCAAACGTGTAGTTCAGGGTGTTGATGTAGTTCGGCAAAATTATGATGTAGTAGAATTTTGGCTGCACGGACAGGTTATCGGTCTTGTACAGCTTGTATACGACGTAAATCACGTCTGCTAGCAAGAATAAATTGCAAAGCTTCGCCAGAGATGTGCTGGCGAAATTTTCTTCGATCCTGGGTTTGTCAGTGTCATTAGCGTGGGGACATTTCGGCTTCCCAATGTAAGTTATTGTAAATCCAAAATAAATCAGTGGTTTTATTGCGCATATTAGGCAGTTTTTCACGTTCCTTTTGAAAAAGTATTGAAACATGGTTGTATTTCGACAGGTGCAAATGGATTAGCGACAAGGAATGAGGAAATAATAAGGATAATGTCTATTTGATGGTGTGATCATTATTTGAATACATATTTTCCTGCGGCGCCAAATAAAACAAGTTCTATTTGTAGTATGAATTGAATATGAGGGGTTGTTTACATATAATTATGCCGTTTAGTCACTGAATACCTATATGAGTTTTAAATATGCTGTAATAAATTTCATGAAATTTGTCTTGGATAAATTTCTATAACATATAAATATAATAATGTTTTATTTTTCAAATATTTCAAAAGCGACAAAGTGCCATATTAACTGAACAGCGAAGGCTAACTACGTTGCCCTTTGTAAGCGTTCGGAACAGGATCGGATTCTGCTTAAATTTAAACTTATCAAACCATGGTTATACTTAAAGTTTATCTAGACTCATACAGATTATAAAATTCTTCTACTGGTAAATTATCGTCACTATATACTCGTACACATATACAGCGTGTCTCACTAGTGCGGGAAAGTCCAATATCTATGTTAAAATGAGGAATATATGAATTTTTCTTTTTACTGTGTTGCCAAACACACATGTAGTATCCAAAACAGTAAATTAACATCTTGCATTTCTAACAAAATTAATAAAGACCTAGTTAAATTAGTAATTAACCGATCAAAATGTCTGCCATTTTACTCTAGACATTGAGCAATTCTACAACGAAAATTGCTTGACACATTTCGCAGCATTTCCGGAGTTACGGTTAAAAAAGCATTTCTTATATTTGCCCGTAAATCTTCTACATCTGTCGGAGGAGTTTTATACACCCTGTCTTTTATATAGCCCCATAAAAAAATCAAGACGACAGGTCTGGGGATCGGGGAGGCCATGGAATTGGACCGTCTCTACCTAACCTCTTGTCTGGATACAAACCATTTAAGTATTCTCTAACCTGAAACAGTTTTTCTATGAATTTACATAATTTACATAATGAGAAAACTTGCCGCCAGTGTGAAATGTGCAGGGGCATCATAATGTTGGAACCACTGGCTGTTTAAGTCATCCGGAGGAATATGTCCCTGCAATTGGAGCAAGTCGTTTTGTAAAAATTGCAACCCATTACCAGTTAAGTTTCCTTCAAGAAAATGTGGTCCAATGACATATTCTCCGCATATTCCCGCCCAAACGTTGACTTTAAAGCGGTGTTGATGACCGTTTTGTCTTATTAATCTGGGATTATGATCGGCGTAATGGTGATAATTATGTCGATTTTCTCGACCAGTATTGCCAAAGGATGACTCGTCAGTAAATAACACCTTTGAAAAAAAAATTCATCTTGTTGTAGCTTTTGCTTCTGAAAATCTTGCTGTGTTAAGAATTGGTGATGCTCAGAATGATAGGGGTGGAAGTTGTTTTTCTTTAACGTTCTATTAACCACACTTTTGGAAATACTAATTTCATCACTAATTTCTCTGACGCTTGTAGATGGATTTTGGACTGCACATCCCAAAATGTCAATTTAACTATCCTGATTACTGCATGCGTGTGTTCTTGTTGTCTTCTCATAATTTGCATTTGCCGTTCTATCAAACTTCTCCTTCAATTTTACATAACACTTTGTACGAGGATATCTGTAAATCTGGATTATTAGTTTGGTAAATACTTGTCAATAAACATTTACCATGAGTTTTACTAATTGTTCTATTATTATTTATTTACTAATACTTCTTTAGAGTAATTCATTTCACAATTATTACTGTCGCTTTTCCATTAAACCTTATGTGAATCGAAAATTTTCCAGATTATCCTTTGACAGGAGCCTATTACGTTATTTTACATATAAGCTATTTGTAAACTTCGCATTTTTTCATAGAAATGAGATTTCATGAAAAAATAATGAATTTTGGTATAGGAGCAGGTATAGTAAAGTTGTAGAGAATTTAATTCTGCATCTCTTGGTATGAAAATATACAGGGTGTTGCATTTAAAAAAATCGAGATTTTTCAATTTTTCAATTGGCAATTTTGACATGATATTTTGATCACCCTGTATAACGCAGGCCAGTTTTTGGAGCATGATTCGGAAGAGTCATCCTTACTAAACATCTGATAAAAAGATGGGCTTAGTAGCTATTAGTATAACCTGTCAGTATCAGAAAACGTAAGCAACCAATATCGACTAGAAAAACCTTTCAAGCGAGATATCTCAAAAACTGTGAATATTTGACAAAAATTGTGAATATTTGAATAGAACTATTCTACACAAGTACCCTTTATTTTTTATGTAGAATCCGAAAAAAATATAAAAAATGTGTGTATCCATTTAAAAAACCAAAGTTGGTGTCTGGCCAGGAAAAGTGGAACACCCTGTATAGTAGTAAAAAGAAAAAAAACATATATTCCTCATTTTAACATAGATATTGGACTTTCCCGCAGTAGTGGGACACTATTAAGATTAAAATGGATAAAGATATTAAATTAGACACATCAAGTTAATAAACCAAAAAATAAAATTTATTTTCAACTTATCGTAATAATGATAATAATAATAATACAGTACGGCTGGGACTACTCGTATACACGTATCACAATACATTATTATGTTGCCAAGGCACTCTTAATTGTCTATCTCAATAAGAATAAATTAAGTTTGTTGTCTGGTAAACGTCAAAAACACCTACAAAAAAAATATAATTAATAAATACGTACGCCACTGTTTCCTCAACAATCGTTACCTGTTCAAGACTGCTTTGTCCTAGAGAGTAATCCTCTATATTACTATGTGTCCGTTTCGCCCTCTCCAATATACCGAACATCTGCGACCACGGGATTGACTTATCGGTCACATAGTAGTTCAGCAACTCCTGGTGTTTTTCCCTGAGCGTGGCGTTGGGGAACTGTTCCTTTATGAAGTCCTCCACCGGTTCCGTTTCGTAGTGCTGCTGGGTGGAATCCTCCAACTTCCTCATTTTAATAATGAGGGTGTATCCTTCTGCAAACTTGTTCTTGAGGTGCTGCGTGGAACCGAGGCATTTGAAATGGCCGTTAACCATGATGGCCAGCCTGGTGCACAGAGCTTCGCACTCTTCCATGCTGTGGGAGGTCAGGATCACGCATTTGCCGCTGTCGCGGATCTTGCACAGTGCGTTCCAGAGGTAGCGTTTCGTCGCCGGGTCCATACCTAGAAGAATATTTTCAGTAATATGATGAACGACTGAAGAGGATCAGCAGAAGCGCATGAAACAGTGTACTTGAAAGAATGGCAAAAACTGCCAGTATTTTATTCTGCTTTACCTGTGGTGGGTTCGTCAAGGTAGATTACAGGTGGATCTCCGATTAAGGAAATCGAAGTACTCAGCTTTCTCTTGTTTCCTCCACTAAGTTGTTTGACTTTCTTATCCAGGTGCCGTAGGAAATCGAACTCTCTCGCCAAAGTCTCTGCCAACTCCTTACAATCGCTGTAACGAATCCCTCTCAGCAAGGCGAACATAGTTATAGTCTCCCTAGCAGTCATGTCGTCCAGGAGTGCGTCGAACTGGGGACAGTACCCTATAGACTTCTGTACTTGCTTGATTTGGTTCTTCATGCTGAATTTATTCACCCAACCGTCTCCGTAAGTGATCCTCACGTCTCCGGTCATCATTTTGAACGTGGTGGTCTTGCCGGCGCCGTTAACTCCTAGCAAGCCGAAGCACTCAGAGTCCTGCACTCCTAAACACAAAGAGTTCACTGCCAGGAAATTTTTGTAGTACTTGGTGAGGTCACGAAGAATCAGGGTGTAGTTATTAGACAGTTCCTGTTGAGAGGAGTTTCTGATCTTCATCTTCTCTTCCGCCACGTCATTATCTTCGTCTACTATTTCTATTGGTCGTTTGGGGAAGTAGGTTTGTGATATGTAGTAAGTTATCCTGGAAAATACCTTGAATTCGATAGTTAGCAGGATAAGAAATAGAATCGCACCTCCGATGAATGAATAGAGCAAATTTCTGCCAATGCCAGGGGATTCCCATCTGAAGTAGCTCTCTTCAACTCCTATAAAGAGAAATAAACATACATTTTTAGCATTCGATTAGCTGTATAATTGCAAACTTACTTCTACAAGTGGTGTTGTACAAAGGAGATGTGCTGTTACAGACGTCGTTAATACATTGATCGCATATGTTTTTGAACGAGAAAAACGTGTAATAATCATTAATCCCTGTGCTTAAGGAGTAGTGCGGTAGAGCCAGGAATACCCAGTGGAGAGTATCTCCAATATATTCCAGGTTTAAGCCTGTAGTGGAAATGACTTGCACCACTAAGTAAGGTGCCACACCTGCAAGCAGTCGTCGATATACATTGTTTTGATCACAAAATATTGATGATATTTACCTGTGAAGGTATTAAACATTGTCATCCTGGTGTAACCTGTTGAGGGGACGTCAAAGAAATATCCTGAGATATACATCAACGGTAAGAAGGCCCAACCAAAGTAAAAGAATATCAGGAACATGATGCCTAAAATTGCAAAGGTAAGAGATGTTATAGACAACTCCAATTTTACGAATTACCTATTTCTTCTGCAGTTTTAAATCCGTCCTCCTGGAAAGCCAACAGAGTCAGCAAAACCACGATAATAGTCACTATGTAAGTAAACATGTCGCACAGCGCCGATGTTAACCAGAACACCAATACCTTCACTCCAGAAACAAACTGCAGATGTTTAGATTTGGAAATGTTTTCCCTAACAACAAAGAGCACGTAGAACGAGGCGACGAACGCCATGCTGAATCCTATATTGAAGGCTATCTGGAAACCCATACCTTGACCGGAAAGCATCTGTTGAATCTAAAAATTTAAGTAGTTTAAAAAGTGTATTAATGAAATGGTTGTAAAATCTTTTCTGCCGTAATTAATGACTTGACTCACCTGTGTCTCTGCAGTAAACGGCATGGGATGATTTGTAAATGTGATGGAGCAGTCGGGGCAGTTTAACATTTGCCTGTACATGGTATTCAGAGCCAACCCCAAGGATATGGCAGGTGAGTGGTAGGGATCGTTATTGAACCAGGTGGTTATGTGAGGAACACTTACATTCTCAATATATTCGACATCGAAAGAAGCACCTACTATGTAGCTCAATCGAACCCTAACTGGTACTTCCGCAGTCTGGAACAAAAATAAGGATAAGACACTCTCAATGAAATTATTGTTCAAAATTTACCAGGTGTAACATCCTGTCTATTACGTTGTTAGTCATTTCTGTCTTATAACTCAAGTCATTCAAAACGTTTAAATACGTTTCCGCGTAAGTCGATTCTGAAATATTCCCCACCAAAACCACTGGATTATCAAACCTGGCGAGATCCATGGGTAAAGCTGGTAAACTTCCTGTATTCTGCATATTCCGCATAACTATTATGGTGATGATGAGGAAGAGAACAGGCATAAGTATCTGGATCACCAGCAGAATCCAGGATCGGTATGTAGATAGAAACTTCTTCATTAGCATGGCAAAGAATTGGTTGATCAATAAGTTCAATCCGCCGGTATATGAGTCATGTAACCCAACGTTTACTAAAAAGAAAACATGTTAACTTATGTTGAATATATAAAAAGATGGCATAAAACTACATACTTTTAGCTTCTCCATTCGGCATATCTTCGTTTCTATAGGTGGCGTCGTGATTTATACCATCTCCGTCAGGACCATCTAACGCTCTCTTTACCATGCCATGGTCAGCACCAACTCTACAAAATCAGTCCCTTGTTTTTTAATACTCTTTTATCTGGAATCTAGAATCTATTATTGTGGAGAGCACTTGAGCCCCTTGTCTCTCTAATTCATTTAAGCCGTTAACCAACCTATTAAAGAGAAAAGGTGGTGCCGTTGCTCAGGGGATCTCTCTAATATAGGCCAAAGAAAGCAACGGTGTCCCTCTTGTTGACGAGACGTAGTGCATTCACATAGCACATTTAGTACTGCTTCGTATTCGTGTTCACAACCCCTACAAAGAGGTGTTTCACACATCCTCATGTAGTGAACATGTTTCCTTAGCCAACAGTGTCCAGTTTGAATACCTGTTACCTGGTGCAGATTCGACCTAGACGTGTCGAACGTAAACTGGGGAGAAATACTGTCAGTGTCTGCCTGCAGAAGGGCCATCTTCCTGATGACCCCATTCCATAGGCGACTCCTAACTTCTCCACATCCACATCCCATTTGAAACTAACGTTCTTGAGGTGAAGAATAGCAATATTATACCAAATATATGGACAACAAAAGCAACATCCACGAAAAGATCTTGATGATGAGTCTCATCACTACCCAGCTCAAAAACAAGGTAGTGTCAACACATTAGTACGTCAAGCAGGTGTCATCTCCAAGCTAGAACACTGCTCTTAGAGGAAATAGATCCACGAAAGCAATATTGAAGGATGTATCAGACGGAGACTTAAAAATAAGGAGAAAGGACGGAAAAATATCTGACAATAAGGAATATATAAGAATGCATAGACAATATGTCCGCATCTTCAGGACTCACAATACTAATACCATCTAAAACACCTCAAGGGACAATCTACTTGAAAGCTAGATGTAGACCAACGAGAAGATGTGGTAGCTCGAACTTGAGGAAGCGCAAGCGTCATTTGAAGACGTAAGACAATCAGCAATTGCAGAGTAGATACAAGACACGTCCTAGATCTGATGAGAGGTTTTGGGTAAGAATCTATAGGGAAACGATACAAATCCAAAAGAGATCGAGATTTCAGTGGAGACGAAGGTTGGAATTACAATCTGCAACAATTAATGTTTACAAGAAAGAAGACAACAAAGAAGAGAGTGTTACGTTTCCGGAAATTGCATAAGTTTAAGCTGACGACATGACAACTAACCTGGAGTTATTCAACCATAAAGGACAATTAAGTGTAAATTTGTGAAAATATAAGCGTCACGTAATACTTACTTCATAAATACCTCTTCTAAAGTCGTCAAGGAGATACCGTAGCTGAAAACCCCTAATCTCTCTGAATTGTCTTCTAGGTCTTTCAGCATCGGTTCAAATACAGACGACTGATTTTCCGTTAGCAGATACGTTAATTCTGATCCGATATTACCGTGTATCTATAAAGATATAAGTTAATATTCCAACAAACTAAAATATGTAAAATTGTTTACTTTAATGCCAGGAATATGTCTTTGCAACAGTTCAGTAACTTTCGTCACATCGCAGCTTTGTGACTTGTCTAGAATGAGGCTGTAGCCCGCCCCATATTTCTTTTTAAGGAAAAAACTGGAACCGCAACACTGCAGTTCTCCACCTGACATTATTGCAATCCTGTCGCCAAGGAGATCAGCTTCGTCCATGAAGTGAGTAGTCAGCAACATTGTACGCCCTAAAAAGCATTTATATTAAATCGACGGACGATGGTAAAGTTTCACTAATATCCTAATCCATAAATCATTTAATTAGTTAATAAGTTTTAGCAAGTTTTACAATTTTCAGATAGGTGCCTTGTCTAGTTCAATAACTAGAAGTGGACGTTATAAGCGAATTCTTACCTTCTTTCTGACATTGCAAGAGATCCCATAAAGCTCTTCTTGCCGAAGGATCCATACCAGCCGTAGGTTCGTCCAACATCACCACCTTGGAGTTACCACATAGTGCCATTCCCACGCATAACTTTCGTTTCATTCCACCGGACAGTGTCGAAGATTTAGAGCTTCTCTGAAATATAGAATACAATATATATTTAGCAAAATTCAAATATGTACAGCCTTACCTTGTCTTCCAGCTCCAGCAGGTTCACATACTTATCGATTTCAGCTTTAATTTCGTTTTTTCGAAGACCCTTCAACTTGCTGAAGAAGTACAAGTGTTCCGACACCGTCAAATCGTCGAAGATGATGTTGTGTTGCGGACAAAGACCTAGGCTGTTCCTTACGCCGTCCATTTCAGTTCGAATGTCGTAACCATTGACTGTGGCTGTACCAGCTGTGGGAGTTATCATTCCCGTGAGCATAGACATGGTGGTTGTCTTTCCGGCGCCGTTATGACCCAACAAGACGGTTATTTGGTCCTCGTACATATTGAGAGATAGTCCTTGGACGGCGGCGTTTTTGTTGAACTCCTTGCGCAGGTTTTTTATTTGCACACCGGTGCGCAAGTTCCGAGGTTCCGTCTCGAAGAATTCGCTTGCCACTGGATTGGTGCTGTTGTGGTCATCCACTCCTAAAACTTACGTTTATAGAATCGGTTGCGGAGACGATATCAGCAACAAGAACGATCTTACTGTCTTTAACTTTCGAACCAAGTACTGATTCGAAGTAGTTCTTGGAATTCTATCTCAACAAATATCGTAGGGACTATACTTGCCTATATTTTTTGATGGGCCACACCAGTAATTGGACGTGAACATGAAGTACCAAGGCTGAGGTACTCCATATTCCCCTGGAAATACAGCCTCGACATACAAAGCGATAAATAGGTATAAAAATGTGTCAACTGTTAGCATGATTATTATCAAACCCAAGGACAGCCCATCATCAGGGTTATTCGGAGTGAATAAGTTACTCCATTGAGCACCTGTAACGGTTAGCACATAATCAAGTCCTTCCGCATTATATTGTGTTCTTTTTACTCACCTTCTCCTGTACCTTCGTACATCAGCATCATCTGAAAACCGAAAGCCATGGCGCTGTTGGAACCCAAGGATCCCAAAAGTTTGGCGCTCAAGCTCATACTGTCATAATTCTGCTGCATGAAGAGGTAAGGAGCGTAGGACACGAACCAAGCCAGACCAGCTACAGTCGCAGCGGTATTAGCTGGAAGGAAAAACGTGTTAGTCACCAGGCTTTTGACTTTGAGCTCTTACCTTTGGAAAAGAAGACGCTAATGGCGAAGCAGAAGGTGATGGTCGAGCAGATGTAGAAGATCAAAAAGAAAAGCATCACTGTTGGGGCGGTATGCGTGAAGACGGTGAACTCAGAGCTTGGGAACCATCGGACTTTCAGCAGAATTACGATAAGGATCGCTGATATAAAGAGGAATATAAACGATTTCAGGAACCAGGCCGTCCAGTGCAACCAGTTGGCTAACCCCATTATTTTCATAGATTCCTAAATTAGTTCCATTAATTGTAACATATACGGATTTTCAATTTTACTAACCTTGAGCTGTTTTTCTTTTTCGGTAGTAATGGATTTAACTGTATTGATGCAAGTATACACGAAGCTCAACATCATTATCATGCCCAACATGGAGATCATAGGAGTCAGCAAGGGATCCTCGTACCATCCGGGGTAAGGGTACCTTCTCATGCTGATTATAGGAGTGTCCATGAGGAAAGTTATGATTTCTCCTACAGTTGTTCCAACGTTATTCCTCGCGGAAATTAAAGCGAGAGTCAGAAAATGCTGAAGGGCTAAGAAACCTTCTCCGTAATAACCTGAAAATATCGAAATTTGTTAGTAACGGTTTTTAATAAGTGTCGCGAAAAAAAGTAATTTATGCTTACTAGGCGCGCCACCGGTGTTCAAGTTGTACTGCCTAGGTCCTGGTGTCTGGTACATGGGATAAATAAGGTTGGTCCTCCAATTGTTCACACCGAGTGAGTCTATCAGCAGCCTTGTCTCTCCTGGAAATCTTAACATAAAGGGGGTTACAGTATTTTTGAGGCAAGCAAAGAATGTCACATATTTTTTACTCGGCTTACCTTATGGAAACCTTAATGTTATTTATCGTGCTTAGATCTGTAAGGCCTTTGTAACTGTCATCGAACTCTATCCCAGCAAAGGTCATATTGGTCGAATTGAACTGAAAATATTCAGAAAGGGCATTAGAATCTTCTAATTGTTGAACGTCTCCAAAAACTAAACCAAAGATGCTCATAGCTTCGGCTAAAGCTTCGCTTCTTGGTGAGTAGACCATAGAAAAAGCCCTGCAATGGAAATTTTGTTAAACAGACATGGTCTAAATGAATTATGACCCCATAACTCCAAAGACCACAGGAATTGCCATTTAAAAGTAAATCTATCAATTTTCCAAAAAAATATAGTTAATGTAGGTATTTTTGACGCGAAAAATATAACATAAGTAACTATTTGTTTTATGATTTACTTTAAAAATATACGTACGTGAGATTCAGTGTGTCACTGTCACTGCCATCGTCGCTCCTAAAAAATACAAAATACGATATTAATCTTATATGAACGTTACTTGTACCTCGTTCTTGCATTTAAGGTATCAAAGCAGTTAGATTATTCGTCGGTTGTCTCACATCTATGGCATACTGATCAGAAACAGGTCAGAAACCAGTATATGTCTGGTGTGTTCGATCAACGAATGATTCTAGTTGTATTTAATGATATTACTGGTCTAATTAAGAAAATACAGAATTATATTTATTTTTCAATACTCTCTCACGGTAAAACCAATGATTATTTTCATCTCCCAAATTTTATAAATACCCTTTGGAGTCTCAACTATCAATCCCCATTTAAAAATTTTCAATTTTGTCCACTTTAGCAACAATTAGAAATTTTTCAAAATTTCTTCGAAAAAGTACTTATTAACATTTAGAGCTGGAGCTACCGTATTTACATATTCTTCAAATCTAATTATAGAGTCAAATAGAGAAAGGAATGATGAACTAAATCCACTGTTGATCTTGTGAATACGAAAAATAACACTTTTTTTTTCGATCTATTGCAGCAACAATAATGCACATAAAAATTTCGGACTACTTTTATTTTGAAGAGAATCTCAAAACGAATCTTAGAACTATTTCCAACAAAAATTAGCGTTACTATATGGAACATCCATACAACCTACTTTTAAAACAGATACCGACTGGACTATAAGATTTGGTGAATATTAATTATTTTTGAAAAACAATGTTTTTTTAGTGACCATTTTTGATCTTTTGAAGTACAATGTACAGTCCATAGTTTGGTTTTGTAAGCAAATTTCGTACCAAATGATTTTTTACCTTGGTCTTAACTTGTTAAGAAACCGAAAGTCTATTCTATTAAGACTCATTTCTTCGGTGGGTCCATCACTTCGATTACACAGGCTTATGACGTTGTCGTCAATGGGAATCGTACAGAAGGGTTCAAAGATCAACTCCTCGTGAAATTCAGGATCTATCAGCCCCCTGATGAGGACCAGGAGCATAGAGAATAACACCGGGGCTAAGATTTCGAATAATGTTTGAACAGGCCGACGATATTGCAGCAGCCAATTTTTCCACATAAGGAGGAGGAACTTGTCCAGCTTCTCGCCCATTTTGTCTGAAAAAGGAGTATCGTTAAGAAAGTGTCTTGTTTTGTTACCTTTACAGTTTTACGACATGACGGTTGTTTTTTGAGTTATTTTAAAGAAAAGATAATTTTTTCCAAAAACATTTCACTTCAAGCTCAACTTTTTTCAAAACTAAGCACTTTAAACCGGTCAAACTTCTTGAGTATAGTACAAGTACATAAATAAAGTAAATTATAAAGTTTTTTCAAGCACTTTAAAAAAGGTTCTATGAGTATTCCCTTAAAAATGTATTGGGTTTTGGTTATTTCACGTTCAAACTTTCAATTTTATCGTTTGACGAATAAGAACCAACCTTCAACAAGCTATTACTCCCCTTGTATTGGATCTACAGACACCATAAACACACCATTCTTTTTGTTTTTTTATAAGCTACATTTTTACAATATGATATTTTTGATAAAATACTTACTTTTTGAGTTATTCGCGAAAAACCGTCTGAAAAAGTGTTTTTTTTTTGTTGTTAAAAAATGTACACTTTTATTCGCGAATAAGTCGAAAAATATTGACTTTGAGAATAAACTTTATAGAACAAAAGTTGCTTAGAATTAGTCAATATATCCTTTCCCAGAGAAAAGAAATAAAGCTCTGTTATTTGAACGTACCTCGTACATTGTTGTATGTGTGGACTGATTTGAAATAAAATAAATACTTATATAAGAGTCTATCTCTAATGTAGAGCGCTTTTATGACGAAAATTAATGATTGCCTGCAAAATAAACCACTTATTGTGATAGCTATATGTTAAAAACGTAATCTATTTGTTTACCTTTTCGTGGTACATGTTCCGGACCTTTGGCCTTGCCAACGACATTTCGATCTCTTTTTGGAAATATCTTCATATAAAAATATTTGCCCACGTCTGCCTCAGGTAAATGTCAACATTTATTCTGATTTAAAGTTAAACGCCAACGCGTCGGTGACATTTCAACTTGTCACGGGTTGAGAATTATCTGTTTTATCTTTTATCACCGAACCGTGATTATTTGTTATTATTTTTTTTATGTAATACCTATGTGTATGTAGGGATATCAAGGATGATATTGCTCTCGGCTTTGATAATAACTCTGGACGAAAACTACATTTCACGGAAATTACTCATATTAATTTGTTTTAATTAACGCAAAGTCCGCGTAAAAGTTAAACTATATTACAGCTTCAGGAAGCTACTTCTTTTTTGTTTTTCTGCGAGTTCTAAATTGAGGCGAAACATGTCGATTTTGTTTCAGCTGTGATTATACGTCGAAGTAATACACAAAGTAGTTCTGCAATCCATTATCACCACAAATGATTAGAGTACTGTTTATTTGGTAACTTATTTAGAAAAGTCCAGAATCTAGTCCAATCAATAGGTAGAAGAGTTTATAAAAAATACCACCTAGAAACAAAAAATATGGTGATATAGGAAAAAAATGCTAAGAAAGGTAGTGTAAAAAATCCATAAAATTCAAAAAAACGGTTTTTCGCTAATAAAAAATAATTTGAACCCCAATCGAAAAAAGTTAAATGAGAAAGTTGTAGCTATTAAAAAAAGTCGACTTTTTTTTTGCTGTATCTTGCAAATTAAGGTTTTAAAATTTGTTCCTTGTAGCCCTCGGCGAGCAAAAAAGTACATTTTTTAAAATTAAATAATATTAAAAATTTTTCGAGTTATAACTATTTTTCGAAAAAAAGGTAATCTCTTCTTGCTCGAGGAATAGTCGTAGAGAAATGAATCAGGGCTCACTTTTTTCCTTAAGAGTTGTACTTTCATGGTAAAAAAGAGTGATAACAATTTTATTCATTTCAAATGTTCAAAAATGATTTTGAAAAAAGTATAAATTTTTTTGTCGCGTATTTCTTGAATATCTTTTCATTTCTTGATAATGTCTATTACAGGAATCGATTGCTGGCATTTTTCCGCGAATTTTTTAAAAAAAACGTTGCTCTACGACCTTCTGGAGCCGATATATATTTTTTTTAATTCCACAGGCAGCTATTTAAGTTCTACAACGTCCATTCTTACAGAGATTGAAGTTGAAGACTTATATTTTCAATAAAAAAATACTGTGGTTCATTTTAGCCACCTTTGCATTTTTAATTGTGCGTCAAACCGAATAAAATCTGTGGTTGTAAAAAAAAATTGAAATGTACAAGTGTTTGTGTACATTTTGATGCATCCCAATGTGAAAATTTTGAAACTCCAAACATCCAATTAAACGAGGAATGCAACGAATTATGTAGAAAATGAAGTTGATTGCGTGGAAAATATATGAAACGAAACCACGCGAGAAAAAAAAAATTAAATAAAGGTAGTTTACTCTCGTTTAAATTCAACCAAAACTTTTAATCAAGTGTGCCTTTTTCCGTAAAATGTAAAATAAAAAAGTTTTTCCTCTTATTCACCCTAACCGCGGACATACTGTATAGAAGCTAAAAAGTTGCACTACTTGCAGAAATAACAGGGAAAAATAAAATTAGGATTAAATAAAAATATGTTGTATATTATTAATATTACTACAGTGTAGGAAAGTACCGATGGTCTATCAGAAGTTACGTGAGAGCGATAAAGTAAGCCATAGAAATCCATGCGATAGAGAAGAATGGCTATAATGAAGGCGTCTCTTAGTCAACGCCCATTTCGCCCTTCCACAAATAAGATCCACTTCTATCACATGGATTTCTATGGCTTACTTTATCGCTCTCACGTAACTTCTGATAGACCATCGGTACTTTCCTACACTATATATTCATGGAAGCATATCTTTTAAAAAGTAACAATTTCTAGATTTTTCGTTTTTTGAAAATCCAGGATTAAGATATTTTTTGTAATTTTTTAATTTGTACTTCAGTTATTGAAATAGGTGCAACAGCGAAACCAAAAAAAAATCGGGCTTAGTTTATTTTTATTATTGTTGTCGGTAAAGTTGTGTAAGTTTGCCATAATTTTTGTTCTGGTAGTTCAAAGTAAACTCAACGAATAAATCAAAGGCGTAACCTTCAAATCGAAATCTAAAACTCATATGATCGGAATGATTTCAATTTTGAACAATATTTATCCAAACTATAAATATTTTGCTTGCCGTCTATATAATGAAAACTTTTCACAAAACGTGATACGTAGTTTTATCTAAAGTTATCATAATTATATCATGCCAGACACATTCTTAAAGTTAATCAATACTGATCTGTTTATCTTCGAATATCATCAGTTATCAACGTAATAAACTTGTGCAACTTACACGTGGAATAATCATTTAATAACAAAATGGATACATCAGACGAGCATTACATTGCATGATTCATGGAATCCTAAACCTAGTCACATCAATACATATGTATGAAATCATTCTCTTAAGAATTGCTAATAATTGTACTGATAAAAGATAAGAACGACAAGGTCAACTTAGGCAAATTTACCCGTGCTGCTATCGTACAACACGCCACTGCACTGGTCCGCGTGACCATCACTTTAGCGATAGTATTGCATCGTAGGAGATGTAGCAGCAGAAATAAATATCACAGTAAATATTTAAACGATAGGTTCTCTCACCTTTGCACCTGTTGTTTTCATTTGTAACGTCACTTTCCAAACGTCTATAAGGATGGTTTTCAGCCGACATCATTTTTTAATTGACAAAAATTCGGTTTATTGTAGATTTAAAGTAAAACGAGCATTTTATCGAAAGTAAAGTTTTAACTGACTGTAAACGAAACAAATCTAACGTGCGCAGTGCTATTGCCCGATTAATGTTTATCTAGATGTGATTCACCAATTTATTTGCTAAAGGATTTCCCTTAATGCTCGTAATATGCTAAATGATTATAAGACTATATTTATAAATTTTTTCTTTGAAAATTTTTTATGTATCATTAAATTTATAGCCTATATAGTGCTATAACATAATCCGCTCTTCGTTTATCTTTTAAATAATTCAAAAGATAAATATTTTATAACAATTTCCGTTTATAACATTCCTTGGCTGAAATCACGCCAATACAATTATTTCAAATCATCATGAAAAAAGTATAGTTTTTGTTATCTGAAATGCAAACCTTTAGTGCTGGGTGATTCTCAGCTCCATAACAAATAGGCAATACAAATGACATTAAAAGTATTGTAAAGGTGTAGCAATTAAGGTATCGAAGGTGTTATTAAGATAATAAACTGCCAAGCCCGTCAGTGTACATCCCGATGGGATGTACGTGGACCAAGGACTATTACGTTATTTAATACGACGTTTTTGCTAAGCCAGGAATTTTGCATGAGAACCACCAAAGCTGTTCCCGTCTATGTCGTATGAAATATACCGATTGGGAATAGGGAATAGGACAGCAGTTTTAAATTTCCGAATTGCCGATAGAGTACACCACCAGCAGAATTTTAGGAAGAATCAAATGCAGAGGCCCGCATTCCTACGTGTATCCTAGCAACATATAAATAACACTTTGGTAATGTTGCCAGGCGTACTAACGGATTTATTTTGTACAATTTTTTCTCAATATCTGTTTTTTGCGTTATTGTATTTACTTAAATGTATGATGTAGGTATTGATACAAATGTTTTAAAGAATCGATGAATATCTATGTAGTTCCATATGATATTCTGCAGCGGTGTCACAGTTAAGTTATTTAATCATAATTTCGTTAATTAGCTACTATTTTCATTTTTTGGTATCGATATAAACAAAATTCGTAATGAAATTTTAAACAGCTTGTAATATAATTTTTTGATGATGATAATAAATTTATTTAATATACAAGAGTACGTCGCGGAATGTAGGTACAGGATACAGGATTTTTTTCTGTATTTTGTCATCCACTTATAGGTTTAATAATTAAATATAGAAAACAACTTTAAATACAACTGTACGATTTTTCCTTTATTTCTATATATGTTTAAAGTAAAAAAATCATTAAAAAAATTAAAATTCATCCTTATTGAAATAACAAACAACGATTTTTATAACTAACCTTTATAACAACATAAGGAGAACTACAATTTTTACAAATTTTCAACATGCAAGTAATTGTGATGATACAGTTGAAAATATGCTTTAATTTATTGCTTTAAAAACAAATTCAGAATTATCAAACATTGCGTCCTATATTTTTTCAAGTCTTTAATAATATATTTTGTTGAAGTGTCCCCACAAAAATATGTCTAAGGACTGAGATAGGGGCAGTTTTCTGGCCATATAAGGTTTCTAGTAATATTTTTGACAGTGTTCGTTGGCGGGATTCGTCCTGTAAAATAAATTTGCCGATAATCCTGAAGAACTTTTGCACATTATTGTTATTTGAATGTTTTATTTTTCGTCATCAGAATAACCCAAAAAATTAAAATGGAATTTAATTTCTTTTAATTTATCAATCACCCCTTGAGGTTCCAACAATTTTATTAAATAAAAAATTGAGGTACTATTTTTAAGGAAATTTTACATTTTTAATTTTTTTTGAAATAAATAATTAATTAGGTAAATCCATAGTTTTAATTCTAACTTGATTTATTTTATTTATCATTTAACACAAATGTGATTTCCAAACAAAAGATAAGTTCCATATCTCTTTAATTACGTAACTAAATGCATTAAATTTATTTGGCAGTTATTATTTGACAACAAAGTCATCGCTAGAAGTGCCTTATCACGCCTAATTTTATTGCTGGATGCCGGCTAACAAGACCCTGCATCCTTTTTAGGTTGCCAATTTCCAGCATTTAAAGCGCGGTCTGAGGCGATAAGCTATATTGTCTGTGATGACAGCGATGATATATCAACAAAACCTCACCCGCGTATGAGGCTACTCTTCCCGAGCATGCACATTGGGAATAACACGGCTAATGTTAAATTTTTACTTTATTTAAATTTAAGAATATTATTTTATATCGTTTTTTAAGCACATTAGTGTATCTATTTTTACGAAACACGTGTTGGCTGTTCTTAAATTCTTCTAAATCCTTGTAAAAATAAGTTAATTTGAAATTGTTTATTTATATAGTATCTATGTAAATAGTAAACAAGGGTTAGCTTCGATCTGTACAATTTCAATTATGACAATTTATTGCGGGTTGCCTAAATATATGACGTCACACTAAAAGAGTATTATTGTGTTACGTTACAGGTATACAGCTTGTATGACGTTTGTTTGACATTTAATCAGTATTGACGTTAACAAAGGTAATTCACAGTTTTGAATAAATTTATTTCGTTGTTAAAGCGTTTTAAATTTGTTTAGGGCGTTATTTCCCTTTTATCTCAAAATCATTATTACAAAATAACAGACCAGTAGATATTAACGTTAATAAATAATTGTCAGTAGCTGGTTGAATGACAACACTAGTCACGACTGTAAAATTACAAGTTTTATTAGTCATCCCAATTCTTTGTATTTCAGGTGTTTTAGATAGTTTCGTCGTCAATCACGTGTTTCAGAATTCAAAGCCATATTATAATGCGTCATTTTCGTAGATAAGGGAATAATAGCAACAATTCTCTTACGGTAAATTAGCGGCTATATTATCTTTACTAAATGTACCTCTGTTTTGATATATAATCATTTATGAATCATCAATGTCGATTCACCTCCAAAATATCCGAGTATCGCCACACTCATAATTGATTGAAATCCACAATGAAGTGGTAGCCAAAGAGGAAGAAACATCTGTTAGAATCATTTTTACTAAGGATCGATGCATCGTTTTTGATTGAATCACCACTTCGGAGCTAAAATGACGTTCCGTGAATGGACGTGATCGAACGTCGAGTTGCAGTTATACAACTAGGGACAAGTACCTGGTCAGTATGTCTAACGTACGATCAAAAGTTAAAGTTGCGAACTTAGGGCCACTATAGTCAGTATTACAAACATCCACAGGTTACCTACTACTATTATTGTTACTTTATCGTTATAGTGTGTGTTGAATAAATCCATGTTTATCAAATATACTGTTGTTAATAAAAAATCCTACCAAGTCGCCCTTACAGGAGGCTCAAAAAATTTACTTAATTTTTTATCGAAATAGTTATGAAGAAGTGGTATTATTGAGATCCTGTTTAAAGGAGATTTGTCAGTAAGTCAAATTGCTTCTACGATTCATTCTTATGGAAACGGGCTTAACCTCCAATTTACTTGAACTGTTTGTGTTGATTTTGAACTACGAAACACCCTGTAGAAGTTTAGCGTCCGAATTAAATTGTATTGTGTATGATATTTTCTTTCCAATATTTACTTTATTTCAGTATAAACATTCAATTTGATTTTTTTTCACTAGCAGTTCATTGGGTAAAGGGTTTCGCTAAGTAAACTTGCTCTTATCCAATTTGGTTATTGTCTGTACATGGCTCTGTTTGTTCAATAATTAATAACAGTACGCTGAACGTATTTGCCGATATCAGCTAATCTAGAGCATATACATCAGATAAGGTGCCTAAATGTCACGGGGCACACCATTTTCTCTGGAAAGTGTTCCCAACATTTTTGCTGTTTTATCTAGTGACTATTGAGTCATATATACCAATAAGAGATAAAGTTTATAGCATGGGAAATAGTTTTTCAACAAACTGCCATTAAATTTCAGACATATTGCTATGTACTTCCCAATTGACGAGTTGAAAAACATCTTCAGTTACAATTTTTTTAATACTTTTAAAATAATTGTAACAAAATAGAGAAAAAATCAGCTAATCTATAGGAATAGGTGACTTAATGGTGATAAAATATTGATATTGAAAAATATTTTCAATAGAATAATATAGATACAATTTTTTTTCGAAGAGTTGTGGCATTCATATTTAAAGATTTGTCAAGTGAAACTATCATTTAATTGTTGTTGTTTAAAAATACTTTTTGGTTTGTACGGGAAATGTTGTGTCAATTTAGTTGCTTTACAATTTCAATTAAGGGAATTATAAACTAGTTGTCTAATTATAAAAAAATAATTATAAATGTACTAATTAAAATAAAAAACTATGAAAATATTTTCATTTCTAAAAAAATTTCAATCTTTGAATATCCTTAATTTCATATTATGAGTAAAAGCTGTATGAAAATATAACTTTTTTATTACTCATGCGGGATAAGTATCTTTTCGCTTATTTTTTAAGTCGGTAAATAACTGTTAGCCTACTCTATTTATACGTGTGCGGTAATCACACTTGTCGCCCGCGAATTGACAATAAAATACGCAAAATTAACTACGCAAATCTATGCTGGAGAGAAAAACACACTCTAAAATATTATTTTTAAAAAGTGAAATTTAAATGGCAGTTGATAGTTATTTATCTCAACCTTAATTGAAAAGAAATCTGAAAATAATAGTTATTTATTGTATAAGTATTTTAAGTAGATCGAGCGTTTAATATTCTTAAGTGGATAAAAGGCAATTAAAACAGGAATGCAATACAACGTTTTATCCATAATCAAATCTCAATAATATTTGTGAAGTAAGAATTATTGGAATTTAATAAAAAACTATTCGCACGACTTGATATTTCTTACTACTTCTCAATGAAACGTGGTAGGTTTTGTTATACTTACTGGTTGCCATGGTACGTGTTTATTATCAATTATTTAATAAACAGTTTTATCTGAATTTGGTAAAAAATGGAAGAAAGTAATTGTGTTCTTGCGGCTGTGTTTGAAGAAGCTCAAGAAGCAATTTTCCGTTTATTGCCTTCGAAATCCAGGGAAGAATACGAAAAAGTGTTGGTCGAATTTAACGAATGGAGGGAAAACGGAGGATAATGACAATAAATGAAGAAGTTATGCTATCGTATTTATTAAATTTGGAGAAAAAAAATGCAATTTCATCTATGTGGTCGAAGTATTTGATGTTGAAGGCTACTATAAGGTCTACAAACATATAGATATTGGAAAATATAACAAGCTTACTGCTTATTTGAAGAGTGAATCGAAAGAATACAAAGCAAAAAAAGGTGCAATATTGGAAAGAGCACATATTGAAGAATTTTTGACTGGGGCTTCCAAGAAAGAATATTTAATGATTAAGGTAATATCTCTGTACCTTTTTTCGATGCCTGTCGATTTATAGCCAATAAAGGCGATGATCTTATAACCATCAAACGGTATGGTGGATGGAAGAGCTCCTCTGTAGCAGAAAGTTATGTCGAGGAGTCTATATCTAACAAATTTGATATTGCAACGAACATCCAATGAAAATATAGCTGTTCCTTACAAGAAGACACATCCGTAACTTGTGCAAATTCTTCACAAACTTCGGCAAATGTTATGCGTTCCGAAAATGACGGCAACAATGCTATAAGGGTTGTTATTAACGGAAAGGTAGCTAAATGTGATAAAACAGAAAACGAAATGTCTATTACCATAAATGTAAATGTTAATATTAATAAGTAATAAATTAAATTTGTTTTATTATAGGTTTATTATACTTTATTCAACTAGTGGATAAAGTATCACTTTAAACGGTTCATATGTGTGGATAAAAGTCCGATTATAAGGTGATTGTGGATCAATAAATTAAGTTCTCTGAAAACATTCCTACAATTGTACCAGAAAGTGATCCAGATACAGATAATGCGGTTGCGTATTGCCCACTTGAGCGGATGAGCGCACGAACGAAGTGGGCAATAGAAAACTTACCGCATTTATCGCACAACATATTATTATGATAACTACAATTTTAAATATTGCAATGTGAATTAAAAGTACGATTATAGATAGATTTTGTAATATTTGCCCAATTTTATTAAATATAAAGGAGGAAAGCGTAAAGTAGGTGCCAAATTGTTATAGTACCGAGGAAGCAAACTCAAACAGTCTGAAACGAAGTGACTGAGCGAGTTAGCAGTCACTGAAAAATTATCTACTTACCACTGTATGACTCGTGGTGCAAACCAGAAACAGAAGCAAGTCAGAGAGCAAGCCGTGGATTGGGCGAGGTTAGGGGTTGAACTGTAACTCTTGCGTCGACACTCCACTGAAAAATGTGCTACCACGAGCAGACTACCAGTTCGAACTGATCTATGATTTGATATATTCGATGTTATTTATATCTTATCGTCCTAATATATTTCAATATTCAATGTGATCAATTTTGTTATCTCATTGTCTCTTGCCAGATAGAAGATTGGGATATTTACGTCATGTTATTATGTGGTTGTTCCATGTAAAAACTGAACAAAAAAAAAATAATACTTTTTGTTGCTCGATTGCATGTGTATTTATAGACGCTGACTATGACAAAACCGTGAATTTACCCCAATTTTATGTCGATTGTGAAATGAAGCGGATGCAAAATTGACATTTCATTTTTTGTCAGGAGCGTAACGAGCTTTTCAGGAGGATATATGAGAATTGTTGCACGTCACTGGTAGCCTTTGTATATTATTTTTGAGATATGGATCTTCAAATAGTTAAGGTTATCTAGACCCTTCAAACAGGGACAGATAAATTCAGTTTATGTTTTTATTCTTATGCATGTGTAAAGTTGCAAAAATGGAATTACGGATAACGAGAAAAGGTGTACTTTTCCTTTTTAGGCATTTACTGGATAATCCCTTGATCCCTACTGAACATCAAAATGAAAATTTTGTAGTAGACGACTGTCAAATAGTTAACAGTTAAACCAAAATCTGCCAATATGCCTCTTGATACTTTTACATACAGGGTCGGAAAGTCCCCATGGTTCAACGGCCGTTACGTGAGAGAATAAGATCCACTTCTTATTTGTGGAAGGGCGAAATGGGCGGTGACTATTAGACGCCTTCATTATAGCCATCTTTCTCTATCGCACGGATTTCTATGACTTTCTTTATCGCTCTTACGCAACGGCCGATGAAACATGGGGACTTTCCGACCCTGTATACATATAAATATAAACAGGTCATACAACAAAAAATACATAGTATATAGGTGAAATAGTAAGCAAAAAAAGCATATATGTAAGTTGTAGGTATCAGAATATAAAATTAATTAAAACAAGAAAAATAAGATGTCACACAAATGAACATGTCCAGTATATCATGCATTTACAAATCAATATATGCATTTTTGAATAACGATACAATTTATACACACATACATACATATTACAATACAAAAAAATACAAACTAATAATCTGGGGGTAAGGACAAACAATTTTTTTTGATATGTTTAACATTACAATTAAATATATCTATAAAAGTGTGCAATAGATCATAACTCCTACACATCTTGTAGAAAGGAGAATAATGTAAAATATTACTGTTGGCTGTTTTTAAGTAGAACGTTTTAAACTTTTCGTTTTGATTTCTGAAGATTTTCCACGGAGCTAACACCATTCTATTTATTAAGATTTTGAAAATAGGAAATAAATATAAATAAAACCCAAGTGTACTAAAGAATAAATATGATATATATTTGGTTCAGTATTAAAACAGTACATTTAAATAAAGTACACACATCACATATATTTTTGTAGTGCTGTAAAGGCACTTTTTACCATTAATTTGTACAATCTAAAGATCGTAAAAATTAATTAGTTAATGCTGTTGTCTGGTAAACGTCAGAAACACCTGTTAAAAATATTACCATGAATACAATCTCCACTTTCTATACCACAGCCCTTACCTGTTCAAGACTGCTCTGCCCTAAGGAGTAGTCTTCTATATTAAGATCCGCCCGTTTCGCCCTCTCCAAGATACCGAACATCTGCGACCAGGGTATCGATTTACTGGTTACGTAGTAGTTCAAGAGCTCCTGGTGCTTCTCCCTAAGTTTGGCTCCGTCGAAATGCGCCTGAATGAACTGCTCCACCGGACCCGTCTCGTACTGCTGGTGGGTGTCGTCCTCCAGCTTCCTCAACTTGATGGTGATGGTGTAACCTTCAGCAAACTTGTTCTTGAGGTGCTGCGTGGAACCTAGACACTTGAACTGACCGTTAACCATGATGGCCAGCCTGGTGCAGAGAGCCTCGCACTCTTCCATGCTGTGGGAGGTCAGGACCACGCACTTGCCGCTGTCGCGGATCTTGCACAGCGCGTTCCACAGGTAGCGCTTCGTCGCCGGGTCCATACCTAGGAACATAATTGAACATTGTTGTTAACAATTTGATGAATAAGAGAAGAATAGCAGCAGAAAAAGTAGATCAACACTGAACAATACAAATAATACTTGGTATACTACAAGCAATTAAGTTTTTGAACTGTTATTTTTCTTTACCTGTGGTGGGTTCATCAAGGTAAATCACAGGTGGATCTCCGATCAAGGAAATCGAGGTACTCAGCTTTCTCTTGTTTCCTCCACTGAGTTCTTTTACTTTCTTGTCCAGGTGCCGCAGGAAATCGAACTCTCTCGCCAGTGTTTCTGCCAGAGCCTTACAATCGCTGTATCGGATCCCTCTTAGCAAAGCGAACATAGTTATAGTCTCCCTAGCAGTCATGTCGTCCAGGAGTGCGTCGAACTGGGGACAATACCCTATAGACTTCTGCACTCGCTTGATTTGATTCTTTATGCTGAATCCGTTTACCCAACCATCTCCGTAAGTGATCCTCACGTCTCCTGTCATCATTTTAAACGTGGTGGTCTTACCGGCACCGTTAACCCCTAGTAAGCCGAAGCACTCATACTCCTGTACACCTAGACACAAAGAGTTTACTGCCAAGAAGTTCTTGTAGTACTTGGTGAGGTCACGAAGGATCAGGGTGTAGTTGTTTAGTAGTTCTTGTTGAGGGGCGTTCCTGATTCTTTGTTTCTCTTCTGCCACGTCTGAGTCTTCCTCTGCTAACTCTATCGGTTTCTTGGGAAAGTATTTTTGCGATACGTAGTAGATTATTCTGGAAAACAGTTCAAATTCGACACATAGAAGAACTAGAAAGAGGACGATGCCTCCGACGAATGAGAACATCAAATTTCTGCCAATACCTGGGGGATCCCATCTGTAGTAACTCTCTTCAACTCCTAGGTAAAAAAATATATTAAAGTAGCAATTTGTTCATCTTATGGTGGCGCCACTTACCCTTGCAGATGTTCGTAAAATAGCTGGTGGAGTTGCTACAGATCCCGTTGATGCATTGAGTGCATAACCTCTTATACGAGTAGAACATAAAACAATTATTGATTCCCGTCGCTAACGAATAGTGAGGTAAGACTAAGAATGCCCAGTGGAGGGCCCGGCCAATGTGCTCCAGGTTGAAACCTGGGCTGGAAAGGACCTGTACCACTAAGAAGGCTGTGACTCCTACAAATAGAAAACAAAATAAGACGTACCATCGCAAAACAATACACCAAATGTACCTGTGAAGGTGCTGAACATCGTCATCCGCGTATAACCTGTCGAGGGAACGTCAAAGAAATACCCCGCAATATACAACATCGGCAAGAATGCCCAGCCGAAGTAGAAGAATATCAAGAACATCCGACCTAAAATTTCAAGGACAATATAATCTGAATATTGAATACAGAAACAATGTTTTATTTTCATTAATTGATCGTTACCTATGTCTTCTACAGTCTTAAATCCATTCTCTTGGAAACAGGTCAAGGTAATCAATACGGCTGCAATTGTCACCAGATAGGTAAACATGTCGCATAACGCTGATGTTAACCAAAAAACTAAGACCTTTGCACCGGAAACAAACTGAAGGTGTTTGGATTTCGAAACGTTCTCTCTTACCACGAAAAGTACGTAGAATGACGAGACGAAGGCCATACTGAATCCTAGGTTGAAGGCTAACTGAAAGCCCATTGATTGACCAGAAAGAAGCTGTTTTACCTAAAACATACTTACATGACAGTTCCTCAACAACTTTCACCTTTCTTGTGTTTTAGGGATGTTGTTATCTTTTATTTACCTGTACTTCTGCGGTATATGGCATAGGATGATTCGTAAATTTGATGGAGCAGTCATCACATTCTAACATTTGTCTGAACATGGCATTTAGAGCCAGGCTCAAGGAGATAGCCGGAGAATGATAAGGATCATTGTTGAACCAGGCTGTTATATGTGGAATTTTCGTCCCTCCTGTTTCGATATCGCCGAAAGATGCACCCACAATGTAGTTCAATCGAACTCGAACTGACGCCTCTGCTGTCTATAAAGAAACTAATATTCAAAAGTGATACATAATTATGCCAAGAACTTACCAGACTCAACATTCTATCAGTTATATTGTCTATCACTTCGAAATCATAACTTAAGTCCTTCAAAATGTCCAAGTACGTTTTTGTGTATGTAGAATTTGGATTATCTTCTACCACGGTAACTGGGTTCTTAAATCGGGTCAGGTCAATACCTAGCGCTGGTAAATCTCCCGTCCTCTTCTGGTTCCGTGCCACTACCATCGCGATGATAAGGAAGAGAACAGGCATCATTATTTGGATTATGAGCAGGATCCAGGAGCGGAATGTAGATAGGAACTTTTTCATTAACATGGCTAGGAATTGGTTAATCAAGAGCTTTAATCCGTCTTCGTAAGAGGGATGCGTACCAACATTAACTGGAATTGGAAATTACCAAAGTTAGTAGTTTTGATATGCGCAGAAAGCTTTCTGATTTGTATCAAGATTCTTACTTTTTGTATCCCCGCTTGTCGCGCGACCATTTGCAGAAATATTGCCATTTTGTAAGATGGCTGTTTCCGGATTATCGAAATCACCATTTTCCATACCACGGTCAGCACCAACCCTGATAATGAGGGACACATTTTTTCATTATAGTAATCTGAAGCTAAATTTATTATTATTATTTTTTGATTAGTTGCTTACTTCATAAATACTTCTTCCAATGTTGTAAGAGAAATTCCATAACTGCGAATTTCCAACCTTTCGGAATGCTCTTCTAAGTCTTTCAGCATCGGTTCGAACTGAGATGATTGACTTTCCGACAGTAAGTACGTCAGTTCCGATCCAATATTACTGTGTATCTACAAGGAAGTTAAATAAGAGAAAAGTAAGGAAGGATGGTAAAATAGGTACCTCAATGCCTGGTATATGGTTTTGTAACAACTGAGTTACTTCTGAAGGTTCACAATCTCTAGATTTGTCCAAAATGAGGCTGTATCCCGCTCCATACTTCTTTTTCAGGAAGAAACTAGATCCGCAACACTGCAGCTCTCCACCTGCCATTATCGCAATCCTGTCACCAAGGAGGTCAGCTTCGTCCATGAAGTGAGTGGTTAGAAGCATTGTACGACCTAAAACAAAAATATGCGCTTTATTAAACAGATAAAAGTCGTGGTTAATAAAGATGTTAATGAAAAATCAAACTTACCTTCCTTTTGATTCTGAAGAAGATCCCATAGAGCTCTTCTAGCAGAAGGATCCATACCAGCTGTGGGCTCGTCTAACATTACTACTTTAGAATTTCCACACAAGGCCATTCCGACACACAATTTTCTCTTCATCCCCCCTGAAAGTGTCGCTGATTTGGCATTTCTCTGGAATATATTTTGTAACGTAAAGAGAACCAAGAATCACGGCATAAAAATAACAAACTACCTTGTCCTCCAGCTCCAGCAACTGAACGTATTTGTTTATCTCATCCGGAATGTACTTCCGTTGAAGACCTTTCAGCTTGCTAAAAAAGTACAGGTGCTCCGCAACAGTCAGCTCGTCGAAGATAATGTTGTGCTGGGGGCACAGTCCCAAGCTGCTTCTCACCCCACCCATATCAGTCCGAATGTCGTAACCGTTGACCTTGGCTGTACCAGAGGTAGGGGTTATCATTCCGGTCAACATGGACATGGTGGTTGTCTTCCCTGCACCGTTATGACCCAACAGGACTGTTATTTGATCTTCAAACATATTGACAGATAGTCGTTGAACAGCTGCCTTGTTATTGAACACTTTCCGCAGGTTTTTTATTTCGATACCAACGCGTAGATGTCGCGGTTCTTCCTCGAAGAATTCTCCTTCGTTGACTTTTGCACTCAGATCTTCCACTCCTAAAAAAAAATCAGTTAATAATATATAGTACAGTAAATAAAACCCGACTAACTTGTTAAACTAGAGGGGCCGCACCAAAAGCTGGATGTGAATAAAAAGTACCAGGGCTGCGGCACCCCGTAATCCCCAGGAAACACTGCCTCGACGTATAAAGCAATAATTAAATAAATGAAAGTGTCAACAGTTAACATGATCAAGATTAACCCCAAGGTTAGCTTATCGTCTGGATTGTTGGGGGTAAATATGTTGCTCCATTGGACACCTGAAATAATATATTTTTTCAAATTTGTGCTCAGGTTGGTTGTGGCGTTTCACCTTCTCCAGTTCCTTCATACATTAGCATCACCTGGAAGCCGAAAGCCATGGCGCTGTTGGAACCCAAAGACGCGAATAACTTCGACGACAGGCTCAAACTATCGTACGTTTGCTGCATAAACAAGTAAGGGGCGTAGGATACAAACCAAGCTAACCCAGCTATGGTGGCAGCGGTGTTAGCTAGGGAACAAAATTACGTTAAACAGCCGGTTTTTGCTTGCTTGGTAAAAGCTTACCTTTGGAGAAGAAGACGCTGATGGCAAAGCAGAAGGTGATGATGGAGCAGATATAGAAGAAGAAAAAGAAGAGCATCACAGAGGGATCCGCGTAAGTGAAGACAGTGTAGTCTGTGTTAGGATACCATTTGACTTTCAGTAGAATTACTATCAGTACCGCTGAAATGAAGAGGAAAATGAAAGATTTCATGAACCAAGCGGTCCAGTGCAACCAGTTGGGTAGTCCCATTATCTTCATAGACTCCTAAAAACGTACGGTATATTTTTCTATCAACAGCAATTTGAAAACAGTCTGTAAACTACCAAAAAATCATTCAAAAATCCTCATTCTAACCTTGAGCTGTTTTTCTTTTTCGGTAGTAATGGATTTAACTGTATTGATGCACGTATAGACAAAGCTCAACATCATTATTATACCCAGCATAGATTTCAAAGGGGTCAGCAAAATGTCTTCAGACCATTCCGGATATGGGTACCTCCTCATACTGATTACGGGAGGTGTGTTTTCTAGTAACCAGAATGGATTCTCTTCCAACGAAATGCCCTTTCTCGCCAATATCAGGGAGAGAGTTAAAAAGTGCTGAACAGCCAAAAATCCCTCGCCATAGTAGCCTGAAAATGTTATTAATAGTATCTCTCTTGAATATATTAATCCCCAGAATTAATTTATGTAATAGATTATTATCACATAGATAGATAGATTTATCTCAGAGTAAATATTCCTTTGATAACAAAATTATTGTGATTTCGGTCTTACTTGGTGCAGCGCCAGTGGTTAATACGTATTGCCGTGGTCCCGGTGTTTGAAAGACGGGAAAAATGAGATTAGTTCTCCAATTATTTATCCTAAATTCGTCTAATTGGAGTCTGGTTTCTCCTGGAAACCTACAATTCAAATGTTACCACATTAAATTATAAAATTTTGTTCTAGTTACCTTATAGAAACCTTAAAATTTTTAATCGTGCTTAAATTTGTAACACCTTTATAACTATCATCGAATTCAATACCAGCAAAGGTCATGTTGGTAGCGTTGAGCTGGAAATAGTCATTGAGAGCATTGGAATCCTCTATTTCTACAACTTCTCCAAAGGCTAATTTGAAAATGTTCATGGCCTTTTCCAGAGCTTCGCTTCTCGGAGAGTAGACCAAAGAAAAATTTCTGCAAACGAAAATTCTGAACACCCGACAATAGTCTTTTGTCGTAGTAAGAACAATAGTAAGTCAAGCTTATGCATGAAAAGACCTCTAAAAAAAATTGGATGAAATGTCTCTTACAGGCATAATCACAAAGATTACAGAACATGGATAAGATTCGATGCTGGGGGTTCAGCTCATTAGTTTGGAAGTTATGAATAGAAAAATTGTAGAAGTAAAATCAACATGAATGTTATAATTTATTATTACCCAAAATCCATCCCTAGACTGCTGTTACTGCTTCTGAAAATAAAAATGAAGCTGCAAAAACAAATTTTAACAATACTGCAAGTATTTGTGCAATATTTTAAGACAATATCTGTTAACAACCTGTTAATTATTTATTACCTTCCTCCCATCTGACTCAAAACTCTGAAACTATGTAGATTCAATTGTTCAAGTTCAAGCGTATTACCAGGATTGCACATCATATTCAAAACGCTGGCGCTGTCGTACATAGGAATGGTGCAAAAGGGCTTGAAAATCACCGCTTCGTGTAGTTCTGGATCCACCAATCTCCTGATGACAACCAAGAGTAGGGAGAACAACACTGGAACCACTATTTCTACCAACGTTTGGACAGGTCGGCGGTACTGGAGCAACCAGTTTTTCCACATGAGGAGGAGGAATTTGTCGAGCTTATCACCCATCCTAGCTGCAGAAGCAAGATAGAGCAAGTCAACGAAAAGAAGTGGGGTAATAAGAGAATTATAACTGATGATATTTCAGAGACAGATTGCAGGTTTAGGTGTATGGAGATTAGTGACACCTCTTGGACTAGGATAGTTTTAAATATATGCATCACACAGCATTTAGTGTAATTAAAATCAATCCAACGATTAATGAGATCGGGGCCATTTTGTAAATCCAACGGTGATGAGAAGTCGTCAGTACAGAGAAGCGACTCAAATGCATAGTTCTTTGTAAGGCTCGATACATAAACGATAAATAAGATGAGCACTCAACTCTGGGGCACACCGCTTAAAACGTCTTTTTTCTCATAGTAACAGTCACCAACCCGTAATGTAAATTGTGAAAAATATGCTCTGTACAGAGAATTTGCATTTAAAATATGCTTTCCTGGGTGACGTTATATAAAATGTTCGAAGAAGAAAATAAAAATGTTTTATAGCTGTTTTATTTGCATCAATGTCTTATATCAATGCCAAGAAAAACATAAACATAAGAAAATGAAGCGATTGTGGGTAGTTCGTTATAAGATTAAAAAATTTGTTGAGCATCCACACAAAAAATGATCAAATAAACTATTTCATAACGAAAATAAATATAATTATATTTCAAGTGATTCATTATCTTAGTACTGTTAAGAACGTTTACTATTTTCGAATGATTCATTTATAGTTATTTCTGCTGATGAATTAATAAAATTAATTATCGAAGATATAGATAATAAAATTGAGATTGTCCCATTAAAGACTGATATTATGTACCTTTACAAGTTTCAATCCAAATTATGTCACGTTTTATTGAAAGCCATACTACTGAGCTTCTTTTGAAATATAGGTAATTTTAATATGATTCTAGATTTAACAGACATATAACAATTTCTTTGTTCATTAATAAACCAGTGCATTTTATGTGATTTGTGATACGATTCCTTTGCTTCAGCATAATTTTAGCTTGCCATTGAAATTATTGCACAATTTTAAGATAATTTTCATTTTTTCCATGTAATTCCCATCATAATTCATCATGAAATATGTTTTTAAAAAGCATTTATATTTTTAATATTTTCTTGTTATTTTTAGAACACAATACAGGGTGATTTAGTAATAATATCATTATCATTAATTTTAAGGAAAAAATGAGTATAATGCAAATACGCGATTACAATAACGCAGGCCCACAAACAGAAATCGAAAAGTCCTTTTCCCAGACTGCTATCGAAATAAATGAAATAGATCCTTGAGTTTGGAAACCGATATTAAGAAAACATAAGGGCGAAAAAATGAAATTGAAATTTGGATCATATATAGCCTCGCTATTGCTCTATTGTGTACTAAAATTTTAGTTAGTTTCGTTATCCTATTTTTTAGTTATTAATGAAAATGTTGAAAAAACCACGGTTTTCTGCCTACCAAATTGATACCTCTCACTTTAACTCGTCTTAGTTCTTTTGTCAATAGATAAAAAATTTCCAAATTTTTACTGACGATAAGTGGAACTATTGTCTTTAGTACTGTGAAGGTCAATTGTGCCAAAAGTTCTTCTTTTTTTTATTTTTAAGCAAAACAGAAGGAAGTTCTATCTCTGCAAATATTGCATTCTTTAAAAAACGAAAAAACTGACACAGGCAGTAGATAACACTGTAAACAACAATCTGAAAAAATTTGTTAAAATAATGCAGTTATTCGGACGTAAAATTTTTCCCTCTCTCAAAATCCGGGGTCAAAAGAATTGTATCTTCGAGTTAATGTGTTTGACCTTCATTTGACCTTGATCTAGACGTGATGGGGTCATATGGACGGGATCGTGATCAGCGACCCCAAAAACAGAGAGGTCATCTAGTCTGGGAAAAAGGACTTTTCGATTTCCGTTTGTGGCCCTGTGTGTAATTTTACGATGTACCGCTGACCGCTGACCCACAAAGTTTTATCGAGAGTGAATTTTGACCTACCGTATTATTCGGTCATTAGCCTAGTTTTTACTGCGTTTTTCATACGTAGTGAACGACAAGTAGTAAACAGATCTTTTGATGAATTAATAAGATATTTTTTTTAAGTTAAAATATGAACAAGTATTACCTATTATCTGTTAATAAAAACAAATGTGTAAAGATAATAATTGCTTTCGAATGTTAGGTTACGATTTTCTGTCTTTATTAGGCCGAATAGGTGGTTAAAACTAATGACATTGTGACTGATTCACCCTGTATATTTTAAACCACCAAAGATCATTATCAAAAAACGATTGGCATTATCTTGTAACATCGTTATTGTGCATACGTAAGGATAGTGTAATTTATTGGTATTTTTGTAAAATGCCAATATAGACACGACCATTAAATATTCTAGTTGAGCACGTGTTCTTATGTTTCGATATTGATTAATAATTTCCTGTTTTATCGCATCTATATACCTTTATGTCAACCATAAACGTGTCGACTCGATTTTTATTTTATTTATATGTCGTTAGCTCCGCTCTAAAGAAGCTAATGTCGATATCAGTGGTTCTACCTCGCTAATGAAACAATAAAACGTTTTACGTGTGTTAGCGTATAAAACGTGTTTTTATCAGCGTACATACAGGGAGTTTAAATTTTGTGAGAATTAGCCAGCTGACAATATAGAAATAAAGATGTTTTGTTGTTGTTTCAGTCTTACAATGTATAATAATTAAAAAAATATATATGTACCTAAAAAATGCATAACTCTTACTCAACAATTTTGCAGCTGCAGCAAATAAATTTTAATATTTTATATACAGGGTGTCTCCTGTAGTATTACGAAAAACTATAAGTGGATTGGAGTTACAAGTAATAGTACACTGAAACATTAAAAACATAAAAGAGTTGATCTTCCGCGAAACCTACGCTCCTGGAAAAAGTATAGAAAAAGCAACACAATGGATGTACAAATATGTTCGTACTTTTAACACCAGGAAGTCGCTATACAGAGTGAAACATAGTTAGGTGTAAAAAAATTAACCGAAACATCTCGATAAAGCAAAATAATTAGACTCATCCTGTTCCGTTTCACCTTTGATTTCCATAACACGACCTTGATTGACTATCTATGTGAACAATGGTCGGTAACAAAGTTGTAAATAAATTATTAGTTGGATCGTCTCACCTTTCCAGCTAGACTTTTCGTATCGAACGCCATCTCCGATAAAGGTGTAAGAACAGTTTTGTGCGGACATTATTTCAATTCGCTGAATCTGGATTGCCGGCGAAATAAAATGGAGAATTACGTCAAAGCATTTTACCGAGGTTAGCATTTGAACTGAATGAATTTGAGCGTGAAGCATGGAATAACTGGTTATGCTTTGTCTGCTTAGTCAGGGAGGTCGCTAGCAATGGGTCTGGGGTTTTCTGCTACAATGCTTGTGAAATGTTAACTCATTCTCCAAACGCGGATAATACAGGATGACACTTCAGTGGCGTAGCGGAAACGTCTTTGCAAAATTTCAACGTAAACTCTGTTCGTTGATTTAAAGACTGGTGAGATATCAATTGTTTAACTTGCAATTTTAAAATAAGGAAATTAAACTTACAGAGGAAAGATCTTAATTCGAAGAAGAAAATTCGGAAATAATTTTGAAGTTTCAGAAATTTTTACTTTTATTTTAAATAAATGCATTAATCTTGTAAACTAAAGTTGCTAAATGTGAGGTAAATCTTTGATCTAAGGTTAACCATTTTACTGAAGAAAAGGAACTGGATATATGATCATATTTTCGTAACCCCCAAGAGAGTCGTACACAACAATTTTGAATTCTCTGAAGAGTAGCTTTATCTCTTGATAACAAAGCTGGCCAATATACTACATCACAATATGCTAAATGTGAGAGAATGAGGAGTCACATAAGCATTTTTAGGATACATTGACTTTTTTGTTAAATAAGTCACATGATTATCAAACCGCAGTCTATCATCAATGCGTAAGCTTAAACTCTTAACTTGTTTTACAAACGTTAATACCTTATTACACAAAATAATATTGAAATTGGGGACTTTTATAATATTTTCAGACTTATGTCCACTATTTTCAATTAATAATAGCTTGTGAGCTCGCGCGACCATTGTTATTGAATCTAAATCTTCATTGATATATTCCGAAGCTAAAAGTGTATTAGATAAGTGAAAAGAAAAATATAGTTGAGTATCATCAGAGTACTGATGCATTTTACAATGTTTCAAATAGGAGGCGAAGTCAGCAGTATATATATATAATGAAATCAGCCCAAATATACTACCTTGAGGTACGCCCTTATTCAGTATTTTATAAAATGAAAATTTATTATTTAGAAAAACTGTCTGGCGTCTACCATAAAGATAATGTTGAAAAAATGAAATAGCAACTGGATTTAGTCGAAAATGTTTGAGTTTTTGTAAAAGAATTTTATGATTTAATGTGTCAAATGCTTTGCTGAAGTCGAGCAAAATTAGGCATGTGTTTGTTATTATCATTTGCAAAAAAAATTTCATGTGGTGGTACTATGTTTTTCTCTAAAACCCGACTCAGTTAAGGGCAATATCTCTTTCTTTAATAAACAACTACTTAACTGCGAGCACACAACTTTATCCAGAACTAGATATAGTTGGGAGTATACTTATCGGACGAAATTGGATAATATCTTGAGGGTTATTAACTTTAGGTACCTAAAGGTAATATGTTACCATCTTTCCAAACAGATGGAAATGTCCCTGTCTTTAGACATGTATTAATGATGAATGTAATATGTGGTATTAAGTATCGCCTAACTATATTAAGAAGCCTTAGATTAATATTGTCAGAGCCTTTAGCTTGAGTTTTGATAGTACTTATTACTCTATTTACCTCCTCAGTTGTTACTTCAGAAAACGAAAAACCCATCATCAGGAAATATTGTATTGTACTTATCTACAACTGCATCCGTAAATTGATCATGAATTAAAGTTTGGGGAATGTTATTGATAAGAAATTCATTAAATTACTTAGTTTAGTTTAATTTTTTTAAAGTTCTCCAGAAGGTGTCTGGTTCTTGTTTAAATTTATAAGTTAAATTAGATTTGATGGCATTATTAACAAAATTACGCATTTCTTTATATTCATTAAACGATTCCTGAGTAAGAGCAGATTTATTCTTTTATATGCATCATTTTTAAGTTTAATTATCAATTTTAGATTAGGTGTTAACCAAGGAGCGGATGCTTTAGTAATTCTTACCGTTTTCTCAGGTGCATGAAAATTAAAAACGTTAACGATATTTTCATTCCAAAAATTTATCATATCTACACTATCGAGCGAAAATATAAAATCCTAGTTAACAGAGAGTAAATCTCTTAAAAAGCTGTAATTGAAATGAGAAAAATCACGGTAGTAACAATCTTAGGAACAATTTTGGCTTTTTTAGCTGAATGGTATATTTAATTAAATAAACAACCATGGAACAAGTAGTTTTCCCATTACCAGAAAAAAAAATTGAGAAAAGTATTTTTAAAAATTTTAATTAGTAGTGTTTTAGTCGCATAATGAAATGCATATTACATACTTAGTTTTCTATAGACATGTCTTTTTGGGAAATAATGATAAAACATATCTAATGAAAAGCAGATATAAAAAAGTTAAAGTCCTGTAATTTTGTGTATAATAAAACAAGCAATGTTTTGCAAACATACTGGATCTTAATATATAAATTTAAGATTTGAAAAAAATTATCGACCGAAGTACCTGAATAAACTACTGTATATATGTGATTATTTTTCTCACCCAATATTACACCGACGTGTTTTGATACACTTTACGCGAATAAATTAGTCTCTGTATTGGTCTGAAATGTTTAGAGTTCGAAGGTTAATCGCTGTGACCTTGACACTGAAACAGAAACGACCTTGGGCCGAATGGGACATCATGCTATTCAAAGTGCTGGAATGATTATTGAAAAGTCTGCTTACCACTTGTGACCTATGACATGAATCTACAAGGGAATCGTAGCTAAAAACAAAACACGCGCGTGTCGGGGATGGTTAGGAACTGAAATAGAATTCGCCTGAAACGCGTGCGTCGGTAGTCTACTGAAAAACATCGCACGGCGACAAATCGTTAACTTCATTGATCGAATATTTGATATTTTCCAGTGTTTTGGATGGTACCCTCAATATTATATTAGGTCAATTTTATTACCGGTTGGACTGACCGAAAAGCCATCAATCGAAGAGTTTAAAAATTTTGTTCGTTTTATTATAAATACTTCAAATCGTTGAAATAATGCGTTTCTACGATGAGTAACACAGTCTAACCACCACAATTTATGTTTTCGGGGTCGCTGAAACCAATTCTGATATCAATATAACTTCAACTAGTCAGAGTTTGTGTGCGCCCACCATATTTTTATGTTTTTTTTTCCAAAGGAGCAATTAATATGATAAAAGGTATGTTCCATATAAAAAGAGCAAATTCTTTTTAGAAATTCTGCATATTATACCAAAGAAAAGGTAATACAGACTTATGTCGTAGCCATGATAACGGCCTCAACCCGATTAAACACAAAAAGCATATATTGTTTAACCTGTTGGATTTAAAAATATCGAAATTACTGAAAGGACGGGATAATTCTTATGTAAGCTTTAATCGATTCGGCAAATACTATTTCGAAATTTATTTCAGTAAGTGGATTCAGTCAACGAACTCAGAAATTAAAATGATTTGATCAAAATCCTAATCAAAGCGTCAGCGCACCAGAGACTTTTTGAAAGATAGTAGCGTTTGAGTGATGTTATCTAATATTTTGTGTTTTTTATGTGTATCTATTGGAACTATCACGAGAGGGTTAGAGAAGTGATACGGCTTTGGGGAAACTTTTGTAAATAACAGATCAATCGGATATAATATAATAATCAACTTTAATTTAGTTATCTGTAATAGATTATAAGCGATTTTGGTGATATTGTGATCAGACTTTATAACTCAACCAGAAAAAGTGTCATTTTAGTGATTTGGAATATTTTTTGAGGTTAGGTACGACTAGTGACTAGTTGGGTTCAAACGAATGTAGGAATTCGATTTAGTGACCCGAAAAATATAAAGATATGTTGGTTACACTTCATTCCTAAACGTAGAAAAGTGTAATCTTAGCAATTTGCGCTACTTTTTTGAGTTTAGGCACGAATTCTGACTAGTTGAAATTATATTGACATCAGAATTGATTTCAGCGATCCTGAAAACAAATTGTGGTGGTTAGACTGTGATACTCATTTTAGAAACGTATTATTTCAAAGATTTGAAATATTTTTAAGGTTAGGGACGAACAGTGACCAGATGGGGCTTAATGAATATCGAATTCGAAATCAGCAACCCCAAAAACGTACTGATATGGTGATTCAGTCTACAATATAGTATTTTTATGTTTCTTATCTATCAATATTGCTCATTAAACAGAATTTTCCATGATTGTGGACGCCATATTGGAACCGTCATGATGTTTTTGTAAAATCACCAGACGGCATTCGATCTTTTGACACGTCGGACGTCAATATTGATGCATTTTTATTCTGGACAGCCCACTGTGTCCGTTGACGTGAAACGCCCGTCATACAAAGTTTACTTTGATATAAAAATTAACGGGGCACTCTTATTTGATTTATAGTCGTTACTCTTGATACACTTATTTTTTTTTCCACAAAATCTGAGTTGCACAATGCACATTCTAAAAATAATTTTATATGCCTAATCTGGACTCTGAGGAGACTGCAATAAAAAGGATTACATGGTGGACCAGACTAGGCCCCAAACTCCTGGTCCGAATCGTTCTTACTGCACCTCAATAAAAACAAATAAATGATTTCTTAAAGGTACGGTAATCGCGTGCTTGCATAAACTTTGGAAATGAAATGTAGGTATGCGACACTTTTATTACGGGTACTTTATGATCTGCTGAATATCGATGCGACGGGCGCAGAGCAGATGAGATGCACGTGCACGGTTCCGTGGTTCTCTATTAATGAAATTTTATGAATATATGATGTTTTTCTACAAATTGTTGCATCTTGTTCTTATTTGAAAAGTAACGATTGTAAAAACCGTATTCCACAAAAAAATTGAAAATTTTTTGATATTTTTAATTATGCATTTATGAATACAAAGTTGTGTGTAAAAAAGCAAGACTTTATCTGAATGCAAGTTAAAAGCAATTGCCAAGACAATCCATGTTTTCCAAGCTAAATTTGAGACAGCATGTTTTCGTAGTAACGCGTCGAAACTAACAAAACAGCGATTGTCACTGCAATAATTGATGGTTCTTCCTTCCATCCAACTAATGAAACAGTAATTACAAACTTCATTTGGAATGGTTGGTGCCCTGTTTGCGAAAGTATAGTTATACAACCAACATCAATTCTGGATCATATCTCCTAGATAGCGAGTATCATAGTATTTTTGACAGCCATTATATGCAATATAGGAACTTTTATTTGCACTTCTATCATTAAAATGTCATCGAGGTGCAAGCTAATATCATGTCGATATTATTTAACAACCTTTGAAAAGTTGCTGGAGCATTAGACAGACCAAATGACGTTCTCAAAAATTCGTATTGACCATATTTTGTCAGAAATAAGTTTTATTCATTGAATCTGGGGAACAGGGTGATAACTTTATATAATCACAAACTATTCTTTAATCAAAAGTACGGTAAATATGTATATTGTCAAGTTTTATCTTTATAATGAAAACAATTCGGTCGAATAGGTGAAAGAAGACAACTAATTTTAAATACATTTTATTCAAAATAGATTTGCACAAAAAACGAAAGCTGTATGCGAGTTCCATAGCAGCTTTGATATTAACTGGTATTTTCTGAATAATAGCACTACAAAATTATATATCATAAGTGATAGATACTATACACAACAAACACAAACATACCTTATACAAAACTCTTACTAATAGTTATTAAATTTTTGGCAGATTTTTCTTTTCAATTTTCTCGGCGAAGGTTTTTTTGGAATCCTCCAGAAATTCCATCAAATCCCTAGTCATAGCGTACGGTTTTTCGATTCCATTATTGATCAAAAAGTCCTGACAGACGCACAGGAACAAGGTGCTGAAAGATGTCTGAAAGAAACATGTCGTGTTAATAATACAACGTCATTAATCCCCATTAAAATCGTCGAACGTTAAAACGAAAGCACTTACCACGGCACAAAATGTGATAAATAAATAGAAAATACAATTATTATTTTATTTTCAAGTGTTCTACGAAGTGATCTTTTGAAAAACTAGCTTACCTCGAACGTTCCTAAGACTGTGCAACAGCATATTAATGCGATGACAACAACAAAGAAGATGCAGCCGTAAATATTTTCACTTTTTTCTACCTGTAACTTAAAAAAAAAACAATCACAATAGAATCATATAACAAGACAAACGGCACAAACAAATAAATATTTTCTCAAATTGTTACCACACTGTTATGTTCTGATGATACGTGTTACTCTGATGTGTCACTAGAGGCTGATAACATGTCTAAACAATGACGTCACAACGTGTGTTTGTAGTATCTGGCATATCCAGACAACCGTCAGCACGTTGTGGCATCACTTAGTCTTATTATTTTTATTTAGTTTATATGCAGTACAAACATGTATCATCCCATTTTAATACTTACGCCTAATATGAAGTAAGCAAAAAGCACAGAGAGACCAACGATTAAAACACTGCTCATCGTCAACACGAAGTCGCCCAAGGAATTGATGGTTATCGTATTGCATATATTCAGAGTTAGAAGTTTCACTGCTCGTTTTCCTGACTGAATAAATGGCGTTCCATGCATAGCTGAAAAACCACAATTATTTATTTACATAAAATGTGAAAAGAGAGAGTTGTATGCATATCACAGACACACATGATCTGTGAATCTAATATCCATGTTATCAATTATAATCTATTATCTACGATACAAAGACTAGAAGGTGTGATATTTCCATGAAAATCAGTCGCGTTAATAATAATAACTGCATATCCTTCAGTATTATCAACATTATTCGATACACCACTTTAGATCATACACGACGCGAAAAAAAAACTATAACGGACGATATCCACAAATCGCTATTCACTCTCCACGTGACGTCATAGCATGACCGCGCAATATCATGTATCTTTGTATGATGTTTATTACCTGTGACTATGAATGCGTTTTTGGTGAAAAACCTTATGAATTCCTCAATTCGCGCCATGCAGCAATTTACCAGTACCCTGAATCTCGAATGTTGCGATAAGGCCCTGAGAATCGCCCGCAAGACTGCAACAATGGTAATTATCAGAGATCCCAGAGCGGCAGTACCGATATGGTACTTTATGGTGTTGTAGCAGCTGGTATATACTGGGTCACCTAGTAATTCCTTGTTTCTATAAAAGAAAAGGAAATTGTCAGAATATAACCCATTGAAAAAACTTTACAAGTTTATTGAATCTAGTTTTATTGGATCTAGTTCTTAAGAGAAGAAGGGTTTGCTACCTTTAGAGGAAGGTTCAAGATATCTTACCTGGTGAAGTACCATTTTGTAACAGCACCACTCACTATCATGTACTGGATACTAACTAAGAACTCGCTGATCCAAATAGTTATTATAGTATTGAAAATCACGGCGGTTATCCTGAAATCACCAGAAATATATTCTGAATCAGCAGATCCTGATGATATTCCAGCGAAGTTTATATACAAAGTGGCAGGAATGTATATTGACCATACTATCACTAGTAAAAGCAACGTCTGAAAATAAAGATTGGAGTCAATGTATATGCAATAATAATGGACAAACATATGTAGTGGTACTCTAAACATATATGTTAGAATCCCAACATAACCTTGAAAACGTGCATAAAAGTATTTGATACGTTTAAATTTTATGGAAACTCTTTCAAAAATATACTATGGAAATGCTACGAAGATGATTTATATATAATTGAATGTATTGAATCTTTCACGCAAGTTTTCAAGGTTTGGTTGGATTTCTAACCCATGTATTTAGGCTGTCACGTATTTGAGTATCCATTTTCAATAATTTATTACACTCACGATTGGTTCTCGTGAAGTCAGTTATATCAGGTGAAATAAGCACCATTTTTTGCTAGTTCGACCTGTCCTGTAGAAAAAATTCTGATGTGGTGACCCAATTCTGATGTCAAATTCGTATCTAACGACTCAAAATTGTCTACTGATCATGAAACCTTTCTTTTGTTTTCTGTGCCTGTATTATTTTCCTCATCTCTTTGTGAGCAATTTTTTTTGAGGTTATGTATTACTAATACAGCCATTTTGTACTGGCTAGCTAAGAAAGTTGATATTGTTTCGTTCCCTAACATTTTATCATATTTTCTCTGAAAACATATTACCAAAAGGGAAGCTTGATCTCGAATTAACCAAACACCAAAACTGCGTCATTTTTGTCGAATATACCAGTAACTATAAAGTCTTAAACCCTAGTATGATACAAGGACCTTAATTTTAGTCTTGCGACTAATACTGTTCGTAACATTTTCAGAAGCGCTGATATTTAGAAAGTTGACAGCGGTTCTGAAAATGTGTATATCAAAATTTTACTCATCGGTTGTGCACCTACCACTGCAGGAACCGAAAACACCGCCTGCATGCGGAACGTCGCCTTCGTAGCCTCCTTGAACAACATCGTGACCAAACGGATCTTGTCTTTCATGAAAACCAAGACGCATAACAGCACAACAGTCACAATGGTGAAAATAATTTTGAGAATGATATTGTCAACATTTAGCCACCTGAAAAAGCGTTAAAAAAATTATTGAATGTGTAATGTTTAGGATAGTAAGGGACAGTCAGTAAGGAAAAAGTAAAGAAACTGTTGTCAAGGAATTTCGTATATTTGAAGGAGATATTCTATTTATAAAAAGGGAGAATTCTTTATGATGACTGGTATGTCGGCGTATTTCTTAGATTGACTGGCAGTGGAGATTAATTTACAATCAATCAAATGAACCGTGTATTATACAGGGTGATTTCACTTTAAATACAGACAATGCAGGACTAGATTCATTACCAAAAAATATGTAGAGTTTGCTCTGTAAACTTTTTTCCTGCGGGTCTCGGTATTCGAGATTTTTTGGCAACTAATCTATTCCTGCAGTTTCTGTATTTAAAGTGAAATCACCCTGTATAAAGCTTAATAATTTTGGAGATATTTCAAAGGAAACATTATTAAGTACACAATACAAAAATTGTAGACCTAGGCAAAATTATCGAATAATTTTTTTTTTACTTAATTCTATTAACCAGTTGTTCCTGTGTGTATTACTGTCCTATCGCGCACACGATTTGTTCGTCTGACTGCAAAAGATCAAGAGGTGTTAAATCTGGGCTTCGAGTAGGCAGTAGTATCTCTCTCCTCTCCTTAAAGCAATACGTCGAATTACCAGTCACCACGCATATAAAAAAAATACTAACAGGAGTAGATTTCTGTCTCCTCTGTAATTTTCATAGCCCATATTAATATTTGGCCCCTGCTAAGGTCCCAAATGTTGTACTTACCACAGTGCTACAGTGACGATGAAGAAATATGCCCATGATATGATTAAAACTCCCCAGACCACGAAAGATGTTGCGTGACGGTACAGAACTGCCATAATTATAGTGAGACCTAAATAAAAACTATGTTGTAAAAAGTATAACTAGCAGCCAAACAGGAGTGGCAAGAGAAAATCTATACTATATTTGTATTAAATGTTCGTTATGTGTCCCTTCTCTATCTACGCCTATGTATTATTTGTTTGAGTAAAATGTGTCGGTAATATGTTAAAAGGTCAAGATCAATCAGGAAGCTAATGTTATGCATGTTTTCTTGTGTAATTTAATGCACTATTCTTTTTATATTTTGTATAAAAACAGAGAAAAATACTAAAAATTCTGCCGCACCAAACCCATGGCGACGCTTAAGATGATTAAGGTCACTAGATGATGTAGTTAACAAAACAAATATAAAGATGCATGGTCTTGTTTTAAAAAATGTATAAAAATATAAAAACCTTAGTATAAAAGTTAGTGAAAATTGATTACGTGTTCAACGTATTTTTTATTTGAAAGCTTAACATTTATTCTTATTCTGAACTGTAAGTGAAACCTAACCTTACCCAGTGATATGAAAGATGTTAGCGTAAGTTTCCAGGCAAATTTTTTAAAGCTGAAATCCTGGAATTCCTCTTGATTGCTAATTCCTCCCTCATTCATTACAGCCTCATTGAAACTAGAAACAAGGTTAGAAACTAAGATTTTCTTAAAAAAAACGCGTATAGTATAAGACAGACAAAAATTTAAAATTAATCATGGGAAATACTAACCTTTGTCGGTTTGGTTCGTGTTTAATGACAATGACGAAAGTAATCAATAGAAAAAGAATCTACAACAGAAATAAAAAAAATAATGTATCATATTCCTAGTCCAATTTGTAGATGTTTCCTCTTAAAAACGTTTGTCTTCTAGTTCTTTTAAATATAGTGTGCTAAAGTTTTCCAAGAAAATTGTTTAGCTCTAAATATCCTTCGGAAAAAAGATATTCAAATGTAATTTTATATAAATAATAAGTATAGCCTTTCCAAAGTCAATTTAACATATAAAAAATGCCTAGCAAAAAATTTTAATGAGGTTCATAGGCGTCCCTAAAAAGTTTTCTGATAAAGGTTAAAAATCATAATAACTTGTATATAATGTGTAGAAAATTTCTATTATATGTTTATAGTTTAATTATTTATGTCCTCAAACAATTTTATTATATTTATGGTAAATTTTGGTTATGGCATATCAAAAAACATTTACATTTTCATTAAAATATATTACCGCTCGGCATTGCTGCACTGCACTGCTAGGCATTTGGCAACAATTGAAATTTATGGCCAGTCGCCCAGTGCGGCTGTGTTTGTGCGCTGTTTGTTCGCGCGCACATTCTTCAACTGGGCGTATACATTTCTACCACCTCCACGTTTAGTTCGGCCAGACCTGTATATGGGTATGGCTAAATAAATATGGGAACAAGTCTTTCAAATATTTCAGTGCCGAGTTGTTGCGTAGAGACCGAACCTGGTACATACGCCTAGTTCTTTGGTCGTCAATTGAGATCGGACAGACTATAAATGAGTAAAATTGCATTTAACGTGAATATATTTATAGAGATAAAACTGTATAAACTTTAACCCCTTATATCTTCCATCTACACGTGAATTAAACTCGGAAAAACGAAAGACTTTAAATTTCTCTTCAAGGCAGAAAGGAATAACATAATTTTATTCATAATACCCGTTTTCCTTTACGCAGAAATCTTGTGCAAGGAATTGCAACGAATTGCAAATGTCACCGATACGAGCCATCCTGTTACAAGAAAACGGTTATTATCACGATCAGAAAATTATCAAACAGAGTAAAGAGTACTGAATGCTATGGTGTCATTACTTACCGCAATTACTATGCAACCTCCCATTATAAAAGAGAAGGCCCTATCGGTCTTTGTCCTGTTTTCTGGTCTGACGGGTATGTCAGCCTCTGTCAGGGGTGAGGCGTCATCATCGAATCTCCTGTAGGAAACCTGCAAAAAGCGCTGAGATTAAATAAGCGATATGGGTTAAAAACAATAATCGAAATTATTAAAACTTGTTGAGGACTTTTGGCATCATCCCCGACTTACATACTACATAAAAAGAGGTGAATAGTTGTGGCCGCAAATGATTTGTCCCGTTTTTTTAGTAAACAGAAAAATTGCTAAGCCACTTTTAATTTTATATTGGTACCAAATAAATGTTACCGAAGTTAATACTCGTACATATATATATGTTTATGTTTATCATCTATGGCTTGTATACGTTTATATAGTCTGAAACTTGGAACTTGTCTTTTAAAAATTAAATATTTATTGCTGTACCATTATTTTTTTAAAACCTATAGCAAGAACAAGTATTAAAAAAATCTATTTTTTTGTCTCTAGATTTTGTGATACATATTTATAAAAATTTTCCACATGTCGCTATTTTATTATTTGAGGATACGAAAATCAAAGACAGTATCACTAGGTCATAATGTATCCACAACAATGGGCACCACTTCGAAGAAGTTTAGAAAGTCGACGTTGATGACGCATGGGTAAAACCGATTAGACTCTAGAGATTTCTGGAATTGGTAAGCAGATAAGTCCAGGCAGTTAATTTCCGAAAAAGATTGTTTTAAGTCGGTATTATCGACAATTAGACACAAGCTTTCATTTAGAATTTTGGAGAATTAAACGTGAGTGAATATTGTGCTCAGATTAAAAAAAATATTGAGTCAATATAAACTATAGTGTGACTGTAGATAGGGTATCCAAAAAACATGAGCAAAAAATTTGTAGGGTAATTATATTAAATAGTCGCTGTCACACTTTTTTGAAAACTCGGTATTAATAGAGCTAATTTTTAAAATAATTAACATCTCTGCGAGTTCCATGTCCTGTCCAACATTTAAATACACCTCCAATATCTAGTTAACAACTAAAATAATTCGTCAGTAGGGCCATCAGATACAGATCGGTTTCGAGCTTACTAGTTCTCATCAGTATGACATAGGTGAGACAGAAAAAGAACGATCAAATATAAGATTATTTTTTCTTATAAACAAGGGTCGAAAAATGCTTCAGGAGATCATATTTTTCAAAATATTTCCAAAACCAGATAACGTATCATTATGAATTTTGATATGTAAGGGTAAAATGCGCCCCCAATATTTTGCATGTCAATATTTTCAAATCTAAACATCACACTATGATAGATATGAGTTTTTCACAAAAAAAATGTAGGTACTCTTGATTTACTTCGATAAAATGCTTCGTTTTCGAGCAAAATCGATTTTAAAGTACATGAATAGGTAGGCCATGAAAACAAACATTTGTTTACTTAAATTAATTTTGACAGATTATTAAACTCATATTTTTGCTTTCACTTTACGGTGCTGTATTGATATTAATCTAAAGAAAAAAATTAAAAAATGCAAAATGCGATCTTGATTGATTCATTTTGTGTATGGATTTTGTAATGGGAGAGCGGTTCCATTGCCTGGACACCTCGTTCACCTGACCTTAATCCTCAAGATTATTACTTATGGGGACATTTAAATAGTTTTGTTTATAACACCGAAATAGATACCAGAGAAGAATTATTAGAAAAAATAAATTTGGCCTCTAATATGCAAAGGAACAATGAATTTGAAATTCTTCGTGGAATAAGGCATAGAGCTATGCCGTGAGTTCAACAAAATGGCAGTTATTTTGAGCAATTATTGTAACATGATTTTTTTGTTTTTAATAATTTCGTTATTATCTGATTATTACTGATAGCTTGCAAACTATTTCTACTACGCATGCACGGATGCCAACAATCTATAAACGGTTTGTGATTTGAACGATGCAAGAATGGTTTCTAAAGTAGTTTGAAATGAAGAAGATGGACATGCGATATAACTTCTAAACCTAAATAGATATTTTTCGAAAACGAAGCATTTTATCGAAGTAAATCTAGAGTCCATTTTTTTGTGAAAAAAACCTATCATTCTATCATCGTTTGATGAAAATATTAAAATTACGAGTATTATCAAATTGATTTAAGCTTTGCAATCGATTTTTCTCGAAAACGAAGCATTTTATCGAAGTAAATCAAGAGTACATTTTTTTGTGAAAAACTCATATCTATCATTGTTTGATGTTTAAATTTGAAAATATTGACATGCAAAAAATTGGGGGCACATTTTACCCGTGAGCCTCCCTGCCTGAGACACCCCTGATTAAAATTTTTAAATGATTTTCGTGTAGTTCGTTAAGTGTCCAACGTACCAAAACGTTAACTGGTCTAGGAAATATTTTGAAAAATATGATCTCCCGAGGCCCCTTTTAGTTGGGCATAGGTAGCTCCCTTAGGAACCATTTTTCGACCCTTGTTTATAGGAAAAAAGTATCTTATTTTTGATTGTAGAATCTAATGCTAAAGTATTGCACGCTAATTATGGGACACATTGTATTGATTTGTCTCTTCCTTAATTATACATCTTTAATATTAGCATTTGTATAGGTAGGTTACTAAAAGTTTATTAAAATCAAATCTAAAAATGTTTCAAAAATTATCATTAAATGAAGTCACATTTGTTCTTTGACAAGTGAACGGTGTTCTTATCAGCTGAGGATTTTAGGAAAATTGAATACAGTTTTATTTTTTACTTGCTCTGAAGAAAACTTCTCACTAGTGTTATGGCAAAAAAAGTCAATTATCTGTAGCAAAAAAAGGTATTTGTACTATGAGCGTAGCCAGGAATGTTCCTACCCAACGACCAAAAGCAAACAGTGACCTGTTTTACACTAAACGTTTCAATTATCTAAAAAGATAAATAATAAACATATTTCTGTTTAAATTTTTATATTCATTAAAACTATATAAAACACATGGCCAGTAATAATAATGTAATTTTTTAAACTTGCAACATGCAGCAACAATTAGGAAGAGGCCGTGCCCCCCTTTCCCCTCTGGATACGCCCATGATTGTACTATAGCTACCCCAATAAGATGGTCTTGCAATAAATAAAAAGCTAGCTGGTTTTAACCCCTAATAGGCTGCTCCAGGAAAATGTTTTTTATTATGACAACATTGTAACCTTTCTTAAGCCTATTTAAGCCTAAATGATATTTTTCTCAGTGTATTGTACAAACCTCATTTCCGGGATACCCACTGGGATGATCCATTGTTATAGTCATTGCACCTGTAATGAAAATAATAATAAATACAGTAGTAATGGTCGATAATGGAAATATTGGAAATTACTATATTACAATAAAAGTGTTTTTGGTATTCATTTTATCCAAACGACTGGTACTGTTATCTAGTCCAATAATAGTTCAGCTGTTATTCTATTATCTTTATTATACTCTTGTTGCAATGATATAATATTTTTGGTAAACAACGGCGTCAATTATACAGTATTTAATAAATTTAGAAATGCACCGCAAAGATATTTAAATCGCATTTCAAATATACGGTTACAGATTATCAAAGCTCCAAAATTAGTAAAAGCAAATATTGTATGATAAATATATCTACGGACAGGGGCGGCCTTAACCACTGCGAAGCACCGGGCGGCAGATCTTTGCGAGGCCCTTGTTCTTTGTGAAATGTACGTAAATCGAATGTACGAGTAGATATTTCTGATGATTTAAGAGAAATGCAACATAAATTTTGAGTTCTCAAATATTAAGAGATTTTTAAATGTTAACAAATACAAAGACGACACATTTTTAATAATGATAAAATAAGGTACAATATTCAAACATATTTTTACAACATTTTATTTAACTTGTCTTGTTATGGGTCAAATCTTGCAACTGAATTTTAAAACAGTTCTCCCCAACCGATTGAGCTGAAATTTTACATACAGATTTACTTTGGATAACAATGCATGGTTAGCTAAGTGGCGTCATTCTAAATCCAATATGGCGGACTACCAAAGATGGCGGACCAGTTATTTTTTATGCACCCCCATGATATGGGTATCAAATGTAAGGGTTTGCTGAGAAGAATACGAAAATAAAATGACGTCACTAAAAGTTTGTTTTAAAAAAAAATATACATGAACTTATTCAATTGTTTTACAGTCAAATTATAGCTAAGGATAAAATAAAGTTTTAAATATAAACTTTTTTTACTCGGGTTGTTGCCCGGGCGATTGCCCTGTTCGCCACCCCCTCTGTCAATGGAAATAAATAAATGAAACCCATGAAGTGTTCAGTTGAAAGCATTCAATGATTTGTTTGTATTGTGAAACATTATCTCAAATATTAGGATCCGTTTTGATAACAACACCAACGGAAATGTAATGCTAAAAGTATACTTCGTATCAAAAACTCACCATTAAAACCATTTTCAACCTCAGCAACAACGCGAGATAGGAATTTTATTTTTCAGAATATAAACAGAAACACGTTTTTTTTTCACTTGAAATTTGGACCACCCTGTAAGGTGTGCGTTCTAAAAAAGGGAATTTCTACATGATTTCTAACCACGTCCTTATCGCTGCTATTAATTGAGATACACAGTTAAATTAAAAAGCCCGATTTATTATAAAAAAAATTAATAAATAAACCTAAACAATAATAACATCAAGATCATTTCGTATTTTTCTCGTGTGTTCTCAGTATCGCCAAGTTGAAACAGGGGCTAATAGTTACGAATGGTTTTCACTATTTAAAAGTGGTCGTCAGTCAATTGAAGATTATCTTCGACCAAGAAGGTCGTTATTTTAGCTGGCGCTCCCTATAGCGTGTTTCAAATTAGTCTGTTGCATAATAAAAAAAGTAATGGAAAAGTATATGACGTCGTCCAAATAACTCAGTTTAATACGGTGAAATAATCTAAATGTCTGTAACAAGCGTTGAAAGACCTTGCCCTGTCTGTTTCTAGAACAAATACTGCACCTCCTTATTTTCTGAGAATTCTCGGATACCAGAATAAACAGATAAAAGTATCGATCGCTTTTAACATGGAAGATAACTTGTATTATGTGCCCTCAAACGAGTTAATGAATGTTATAGAATGTAGTACTAAACGGACTATCGTATACAGGATGTTTTCTACGTCCATGAAACAACAAGGGTTTAATGTCATTGCTTCCCGAAATATAGGGCAACCAACGACAAGCATATTTGGATATTTGGATGGGTAACTACGATAATTTTTAAATACCTTATCACTCCGTGTCTCTAAAATCAGTGACTTTTGAACCTTGTCTAAATTACCCATAGAACAACCTGTTGAAGTTATCATATACATAGATTGAAGAAATACTCTCAGAAGGCAGAACGAAACAAACAAAAAAGTCCTTTAATCTTCAATGGTCAAGAGGATAAGATTATTTATGCCTACATGAGTGTGCTAGCTTGAATACATTTGTTTAATGATTTGTGAATTTGTGAGTAATATGCCATGCTCGTTTATGTTTTTGAAAACCCCAGGGCATGCCACGTGTTCCCGGTCTTTATGGCTGTGGTTCCTTCAAAGTGTGTCTTGTAAGTTCTACGGGGTCTTACATGCGCTTTGATTGACACATACTGGGTGGTGTTGAGTAGGTGGCATAATCATAATAGTGTGACTCACACACGACTTATTTCAGGTGACACTAGCTAGTTGTTGAAGAAAGAATGATATATATTTACTAATTGATATAATGGAAACGCATGGAAGGATATACCTTGATCTTAAGGTTAGGGGGAGTGTAACCCCCCGGTGAGTTACCTATTTATTTGTTTTTATTGACAGAACAGTAATTTTGTTATTTGTTTCATATACCCTCTTAATTTCTGACGAATGACCCGGCTGTTGTCGAGATAACTGCTTTGTGATGACCCATATAGAAAAGGTAACAATACCAACAATAACATCTATTTTACACTAGCGAAACCTTTTCAACTGCAATTGATTTTATGTTTAGTACAAACAGTTCTAATAAAACAACTTACGATCGCTTTGGTGTTTTACGTCCCTTACTAACCTTAGTGGCAAATAATTAATTTAAAATGTTATTTATCAATGTGAGATAAGTGGGTCAGTAAGTATCACGATATAAATTATGTTTTATGTCATACTTTTGGTGACTTGTTTTTAGTAGTGCGAAATAACACATTCGATAAAGACAGTGATCCTTAATGCAGTCAAAATATTGCGATTTAAAGGCCTATTTAATTGGACTACATATAAGTATAGGCGTAAATATACAGGGTGTCTCGCTTAAGAACCGACACAGGTGCATGTAGGGGTGTCCAAAATATTGTAATTTAACCTAACTTACCTATATACAAAGTTGCACCCCCTGAGGAGTTAGTAGCCCCCAAAGTGGGGCCCTAAATTTCGAAAAAAAATAATATCTCTGCAACACTTTACCGCAGAAGAACCAAAGGACCCCGCACAAACCTTATGGAAAATGGTTCCCGGTCAAATTCGTTGAAACTTTGGGATATTGTTGTTCTTGATGTGCTGATCAAAAGTTCCAATGGGCACGAAGTCCAAAAACTCATAGTTTTCGAGATAGAGAGCGTCAAGGTTACGGTAATTGGGTATATTCGCTGTTCTCGTTGACACGATGTCGAGGATTAATTCTCTCTCTCCTCTCCATCTATATTGTAAGTGTATTGGCGTTCACATATACACACCCACACACACACACACACACATATATCCATAATTTTTCAATTCGGCCAATGAAATAAAAGTTCGGTACAATTTTAGGGGTGAGACACCCCCAATGAACACTTTGTAGTGCTTCAATTAACTTTAAATCATAGTCAAAGAAGACCAGTAATAAACCTAAATCATGTACCAAATTTGGTTCTTCTGCGGTAAAGAGTTGCAGAGATATTAATTTTTGTACTTTACAACTTTGTATACAGGGTGGTCCTTAAGTAATTGTACAAACAAGTATGATAGATTCGTGACTTAAATGATTCGTGAATTAAAATATTACGATTTGTGCCAACTTGCCTTAATAAAATATTGATAATAAGAAAGATACAGGGTGTTACAAGTGAAATATCAAAATTTATTTTTCGCAATAACTTGAACGTTTTTGGACATTTATACAAAAAAAAAAAAACTGTAAGTTTTTTGCTATGAGAAATCATAATTTGGTATCTAATTTAATGTACCTCTTAGAGAGCGCCACATAAGCCACATGTGTGGCATAAATGTACGCTAAACTTTTTTGCCCATCAAGGTAGCGCTCTTTTGAGAAAAAAATATTAAAAACACGGCATTGTAAGAACAAAAATGTATACTTGTTAACAACCTCTAAACTCAACGGTTTTCGAGATAGTCGAATTTTAAAAATCGGCTGCATAATTCTTCTTTAATTCATTATGAGAAATATTAACGTAGAAGTCGTATACGATTATCATGTTTTTACATCAACAGGATGAATATTAACGTAACGTAGGAGTTGACATCAAAAATTTAAAAGATTAAAAAAATTTAAAAAATTAAATAAAAGCAGTTAAATTATAAGTTTAATAATCATAATTAGAAATGAATTTTACATATATTAATAAAAGAAAAAACTAAGCTAACTAACATTACAAGTTTAATTATGTCAAAGTAAGTGTTCGATATGTCCACCATTCTCTTGGATGCATTTATCCATACGTTCCATAAAATATGGCCTCATATTAAATAACATGATTGGTCCAAAAGAAACTGCAGTTGCATTTATTTCTTCCCAAAGTTGGTTGCGAGTATTTATGGGACTTTTATAAACAAGTTGTTTCATTGCGCCCCATACGCCAAAATCGAGGGTATTAAAGTCTGGGCTACGTGCTGGCTAAGGGAAATGACTACCACGACCAATTCAGCGTTCAGGAAAGTTGGTATTTAAATATGTTCCGACTTCTCTCATATAATGAGACACACACATATTTTGCCTGAAATTTAGTGGCAATTCTTCCAAAAGATCAATGAAGTCATTTTTTAAAAAATGTAAGTAGTTCTCCCCATTCAAAGTATGAGGGAAATCGTATGGCCCTAAAAAATGGTCACCAATGATCCCACACCATATATTTATTTTTAATTCGTGTTGAAAATGTTTTTCTCTTTTAAAATGAGGATTTTCAATTACCCAGATATAATTATTTATCAAATTAAAAATACCACGGCGGCTAAATGTTGCCTCGTCCGTAAGTAATATTCCATTAATAAAGGTAGGTGGGGTCAAGATTTTGCCTATTTCGGATATCACTTGCAAATTGGTATCTTAATGGTAGATCTGCTGGCAATAAATTTTGCACAGCCGGAAAATGGTAGGGGTGATATTTATTGAGGTTTAGTCTTTTTAAAACTGAGTTTTATTGATTCCTAAAGCTGAAGATAACCTTCCTGTACTAACTTGAAGATCATCTGCAACGTGAACCAATTTCATCTTCTTGTCCAGGCATAATTAATCTCGGTCGGCCTAAATTATCACGTTTAGGACGAAATGAACCACTTTCGCCTAAATTCCTAAATAGATTTTCAAATGTGTGGTGATTAGGTTGCAGCCTATTTGGATATCTTCTGAAATATTCCCATTTCGCAGTACGTTCGTTGAAATATTGCTGGCAGTAAATAGTAACCATATCTCTCATTTCTGTATTAGAAAAATTATTGTCTCGGCATTTTCTGCTATTCCTTAATTATCTGAAATATTCAATTAAAACTTTTTCAAACGTCAGATTATGAAAACAAGAATGTTTAGCTGTTAAAATCATTCGTGACTTGCGTCTACTACGTTATTATTTCTCGTAATGAATTAAAGAATTATGCAGCCGATTTTTAAAATTCGATTATCTCGAAAACCGTCGAAGTTTAGAGGTTGTTAACAAGTATGCATTTTTGTTCCTACAATGCCATGCCTTTAATATTTTTTTTCCAAAAGAGGGCTACCTTGATGGGCAAAAAAGTTTAGTGTACATTTATGCCACACATGTGGCTTAGCGGCGCCCTCTAAAAGATACATTAAATTAGATAGGTACCAAATTATGATTTCTCATACCAAAAAACCCCCAGATAAAAACTTTTTTGTATAAATGTCCAAAAATGTTCAAGTTATTGCGAAAAATAAATTTTAAAATTTCACTTTTAACACCCTGTATCTTTCTTATTATCAATATTTTATTAAGGCAAGTTGGCTCAAATCGTAATATTTTAAAGTCACGAATCTATCATACTTGTATGTACAATTACTTAAGGACCACCCTGTATACGTAAGTTTGGTTAAATTACAATATTTTGGACACCCCTACATGCAACTGCCTGCTGTGTCGGTTCTTATGTGGGACACCCTGTATGTTAGTGCATTCATTGAAATGCGCAGCGACATTACTGACTTAAGTGATTAAAAACAAGTGCAATTGTGCTCCATCAAGGTCTCTGATAAATATAGTGCTCGGATGCAAAACCACAACGATACTAAATTTAAACTACATTTATATGTAAACCTAAAATTATTCAACCGCATATCATACCGATATTTTAAAGAGCAAACGGTGAGATATTATCAAAGTTGTTTTTCGAGAAAGAAAGAATCTTATTGAACTTAATATTAACGTTTCTTAACTGTTTGTACAATCTTGTTCATTTCATTTCATAAACTTCTATACATTTTAACCTCTGATTAAAAACGCCTTTTGGGTTTTCTCTGTTGCCTCATTTTTAAGTTAAATTTAAAATAAGATTAATTTGATCCTCTCGAAATTAAGTTGTTGCAACCAAAGTTGTGATAAATAAAATGAGGCCCCATATTCGAGTTATTCCAAGAATTCGGTAAAAGCAAAGCATTTTTAATCCACATTTCTACTTTTACTGCAACATCCATCAAAAAAAGAAGCGCATCTGCTCTTATTAAAGAACAACTAAAAGTATAAGAACGAAAATCTCTAGGCCTAATTTATTTGCAACAACAAAAGGCTTACCTGCGCAGTATTTGATGAACCCAACACACACCACACAAGTCGCTTTCAACGGAGAAGCTAAGCCGATTCACTTTATATACCTAAATTATTAAACCATGCAACTCGGCCTACAACAAAGCTGATAAACTGCGCCTGTTAAGTTTTAACACATCCAAGGAAAATCTGCAGACGCAAGCAGCGCCACGTTCCGAGAAATAGGGTATTTTTGTCCCGGGTCGCCTTTATAACAGTGAGTGCTGTGTTTGTCGGTGCTGAAACTTCTCTACCTTCTTCCGTTATATTATAATACAGGGGGAGAAGCATACGAAAGATGCACCGGGATTTCCACCAATCATAACATACCATCGGTGTCAGTTGCATGTTCGCTGTGAAATCACAATTTGATTAAGGGATATGCAACCAGCTACGCATCGCCATGTTGAGGTGTTGGATAAACTTAGACTACAAGACCATCGGAAATGTTCAAGGGGTCATTTGACCCAGCATGAATTACTTATAATTCAATAACTACCACATATAACAATAACTTTAGAAACTATGCCGTCAATTCTTGTTGGTACAGGTGAGTGCACAGGTAAGCTAAATCTGTCCACCAAGGGGGGTGGTTTTCGGCAAAACCTCGACCTAATGCCGTACAAAAATAGCAATAGTTGAAGTCAGGAAAATTTTGGCCCGGGTTTTGGTGATTTATTACAGTAGGCATTTATACTGCAAGTTTCGGATCGATACATAGATAAATTTTTAAGCGACGCCATACGTACTTGCTGACACAGGGGTTAGGAATATAGGGTGCAACCCTCTATTTGTAGCGTATGGGGGGGGGGGATTTGAACCAACATCAAGTTCACTAATTTTAATTCTATTTTATAAAATAATGACATTTTTGGCCATGCCGTACATTTTTCATGAAACATGTGCTTACTATAGGAAAATTCATTTCCCTCTGAAAAGTAGGATTTCACGTTGAAAAATTTTTGTAGGTACGGCATTAATATATTTTGTTAATACTGACAACAATAATCAACAAGAACAAAATGCCGTACAAAAAAATGATTCTAAATGGCTTGAAATACATTTTTGCAAATAAGAATGTGTTACTTGCAAGAATTGATTTTATTTTTACTACTATTTTCTCCTTAATACAAATTATTTACTACTGTACGGCCTTTCTATATTAAGACTTACAATATCATACAGAAATATTTTTCAGTAATGCCGCACATATTTGTCGATACAGGAGTGAGAAACCCCGGATGCAAACCCCTATATTCTGACCCTTATGGTTTCCGATCATTGAAAAATTGTTGCTAAAACATTATTTAAGATGTAAAATAATTTTTAAGTAATATGCCGTTAAAAAACCTTAGGACGATATAAAAATTATTAATTTTATAAATTTGAAAAGCTTATATATTAATTTTTTTCACCAGTACATTAGTAAAATTTTTTCAAAATCCAAAAAATTATTATTAAAAAATCAATAAAAAAATCTGCATTCGAATATTTTTTTAAAAATTTGGAATTATTTTTATTTTAAAATTCTAGCTGGCCATCGAAACATCTTTCCCTGTCTCTTTTTTCTTTTCGGCGTGTATATTTTTATGTGTGTTTGTTCATGTTTATAACCGAAAATCTTAAAGTTGTTTTTGTAACAAATGCACTTTTAAATTATTTTTATTAATTTTAAACATATACGTATTGTATGCCAATGGCTTCATCACAATTTTTGCATAAATAAATTGTTCAAACAATTGTAACAGAAGTTGCAAATATGCAAATGCGAGGGTACTGTTACTTCAAAACATACATTATATCAGTGTTTTAAATGTAAGTATTTATATAGGAATTCTCATGACTATCGAATTAAAATTAATGATTTATTATTAAATTTATTTAAAATTAATACTTTCTTGCACGTCATTAAATTACTAAATTTCTCAAAATATTTTCTCGATTCTCTATACACAATTTTTTTTTAACTAAAAACAGTGCCATCATAATTTCTACGGTATAAATTAAATTTCTCTTGAAATTAGGATAAAACTCATTATGGACTTATCAAGTTTCGAAGAATTGTTCCAACAAAATAAATATGTACGGCGTTGCAATTTTCATTCTTTATGTTGTACTTCTGATGAATATTTGTAAATGCCCTATAGTTATTCTGCCCTGCTAAGATGAACCGTCCTATCTGACCTGAGGAAAGTTTTGAGATATTAACGATTTTCTGTTTTTATATTGTTCACTGTGTAAATATTATTCAAAAGGAATGAAATTTTGGCATGAGTTAACTTTAAGCGATATAAATCAATATGTATACTTTGCAAATTGCATAGTTTCCCAAAACTTTGACTTTTGTTAGTTAGGACGTTTATCCTTAGGAATCTGAAAAAAGGTAAACACATAGGACAATAATAATGAATACAAATTATTTATTGGTTTTTTTTTTTTTGAAAAATTTAAAAGTATCAACAGAAGAAAAACAACAATACAATTTATAATAAATTTATTTTTGAAACGCATTTAGTCGTACTTCTTGATTTGCTGATAAGCTTAATGGAACCGTTTATGAAAAGTCGCTGTTCTTTTTTAGAAAGCTTCCAATATTGAGAATTGAGAAAAAACGTCCCATCTGACAGATAGGACATCCTGCTTGGTAATTTTATTTCATACCTTTAAATTTTACTAAACTCTATTTGCGTATTTAGAACACATTTAATTAGTAAATGAAGATAGGACAAACATTCTTAGTAATCATGTTGATTTTGGTAGATAGGACGAAACTGAATGTAAGAAACAAGTGCTTTATGCGTAGAAAAATAGTTGTAGATGCATATCTGCATCACAATTACGCCTTCAACTCAAAAACTGAAATTTTGTCATATAGGACGTTTCAGCTTAGCAGGCCAGTATTAATGACCTAAAAATGTAGTAAAAAATTTAATGAAAAATATTATCAGCTATGTAAAATCCACTAGTTAAAAATGTACAGCATTGTTTTTTTTATTATTTTACTTATGAAAAGTGTATTACAGCATTACATATTATTTTGAATATAACATTTTTAGTTTATAACAAGGAATTTTCAAAATATTGTAAATTTTCACATTTATTTGTTTTTTATTTCGAATTTTTAATTTGTACCATTAATTATAACCGACCATGATTTAGTACGATAGTTTTTGGTTACATTTTATTAAAAAAGTGGTTGCCGTACAGGAATTAATGATCTTATCGAAAAAAAAAATAAAACTCAACTCCAAAATACAAGTAATTGTTTATAAACTTTTGCATTATCCATAATTTTCAGACGGCATAGTTGCTAAGAATTATTTGGAGAGTTAAATAATCACGTGGAATCGATGCCGTACATTTTTGAATGACTTGAAACAATGGGGGCTAAAATAGAGGGTTGCTTCCTGCATTTCTAACCCCTGTATCAGCAGATACGTACGGCCTCATTAAAAAAGTTATCTACGTATCAATCCGAAACTTGCAGTATAAATGCCGTATTGTAGTAAATCACCAAAACCCGGGCCAAAATTTTAAGAAAATCAAAAATTTTCCTGGCTTCCGGTATTGCTATTTTTGTACGGCATTAGGTCGAGGTTAATTTTTTTTGTATAACCTATATACTTTAGAAATGCCGTACAAAAATGTTTTGCCGAAAACCACCCCCCTTGGTGGACAGGTTTAGCTTACCTGTGTACTCACCTGTACCAACGAGAATTGAAGGCATAGTTTCTAAAATATTGTTATATGTGGTAGTATTGATTTATAAGTAATTCATGCCGGGTCAAATGGCCCATTGAAAATTTCCGATGGGCTTGTAGTCTATTAATTTTGATATAGAAACTGTAGTTTCGATTTTGACACGTTTCAATAATTCTTGAGAGTTTCATTGTTCAATGAGACATATTAAAAGTGATTAGTCTAAATATTCCTATTTTTTTAAGTTGTTGTAATATGCCGTAATGAATTGTTCAAAATAGAAAACAAGTTTTATAATACAAAATTACTATATAAAAGTTTATTTACTTAAATACTAATAAAAATATTATTTAACAAAGTAACAATCTTGCCGTCGCACATTTTACTAGGAACATTCATTGACAGCGTTGGCAGCACTGAAGCCGAAAGCGAAAGTCTACAAAATTTACATCTTCTTCTTCGCAAATATTGTCTTGGAATTGTCCATGAACTCCATCAATGCTGTTGACATGGCGTACGGCCTGCTCATACCATCATTAAGTGTGCAATCTTCACAGAAGCATAAAAATATTGTGTCGATGGCAGTCTAGAAAGAAAAATGGAATGAAAGTTTGTTTGTTCATTCGTTGCTTCTTTTTGATAATACCTGATGTTTAAAAAAAAACAGTAGACTAGTACTTACCTCAAATATCGAGAAGCAAATGGCTGCTACAACTATAGACACGAGTACTACGATGAGGTATACGAATTCAATATAAGTGCCATCTGCTCCCTAAAATGAATTGAACATGGTATTATTTGGACTAAAAAAATACGAAATATTAAATTTCCAAATAAACAAGTTCTTTTGCAGGTTGAAAAAAGACATTACCAGCATCACTAAAAAGGTGACAAAAACAGACAGCAGTACCACCAGCAAGTGAGCCATGAAAAGGATGAAATTTCCTATGAAATTGACTGCAGCTATGTTCACTACATTCTGGATTATGATTTGCACCGCCCTTTTGCCAGATTTGAAGAACGGTTGGCCATGCATAGCTGAAAATATAAGAAATATTGAGAACTTTCCAGAAAGTACATGTGCTTTTTCTAACGTTCATCTTCTGATACAGGCTGTCCAGAAACGGATGAGCCATGTATGTATGTATGTCGAGGCCCCTTATACACCCCTCTTTCATTACTCGAATACTTTCTTCAAACCATCCTATTAGTACACGGGTGGCTTGGTGGCAAAGTCTCGTACAATTTTTATGTATGATAGCATGGTCTTGAGTTACAGAGATTTATTGCTCTATTCTCATTACCATTTTATCGGGGACCACACGCAGGCGGAAGGTGCTGAGCGACCCAGGTCTCTGGTAGGGTGCCACAGCCACGTCCCGAGCCTGCCTTAGGTCACCCATCCAAGTTCCAGCCTGCGTCCGTGATGCTTACCTCGGCCGATCGATATCTATCGGCCAAGATACCCAGCTAGGCGGTCCCCATGAATGAGCCATACTGCGAGAGTAACTTCCCAAGATGATTTTTATAATGTAACAATGAACTGTGGTATAGACGAATTTTTGGATAGTTAATGTAGAACACAGGCTTATTTTATACTAAGAAAACAGAATACCGGAAACAGTCCTTCGTTTTTTGCCATATTTATTTCAAAATTTATCTCAGCAAACAAAGAATGTAGCAAAAAAATACAACAAGACTGTTTAAGGTGATCTTAGGTAAAATATAAAGCAATGTAATATTACCCCAAAAACTCGCCCACCAAACTTTAAATTAAAGTATCTTAAAAGATAAAGGGAATAACAGAGATATCTCAAAAAAAAAAAATAAAATTGAAAATATATCGTTGACCTAAATCGGTCTATTTTCATCCTTGAAATTTGCGTCTAGACACTCGGTATACAAACTCACCTGTTAAGAGATACGCATTTTTTGACAGGAACTTCACGAACCTCTCGATGGCTGGAAAACATACGACTCTATTCCTCGATAGTGAAGACAAAATTGAGCGTATTATAACTATGATGGTAATAATCATGGATCCGAAAGCGACGCTTCCCAAATGAAACTTGAACGTAATAGATGTACTGGTTACAATAGGACTGTCCAAATGGTTCTTATCTCTAAAAAAAAAAAAAGAAATTTAATTCAGCAGTCACTCTTACGACCGTTTGAAAGGATGCACAATAAAAAATAGGTAGTCGACTTACCTCGCGAAATACCATTTGGAAACTGCACCAGCTACTACCATGTAATTGATAGCAGTGACGAATTGGGCAGCCCAAATTGTTATGCAGCCGTTGAATATAATGGCGAAGATCATCACAAAGTTTTTTCTGTAGATCAAATAGAAATCGGTTTGTTTTGCCAGTATCCCAGCAGAACTCATGTAAATAGTTGTGACAGTGAAGGCACCCAATATAATCAGTTGTGCGATAAGAACCTGGAAAAAGTGAATATGATGATATTTGAGTTTTAATAGTGAGTGATCAAATGAAAACGAAACAGAGCCATTTTCAGGAACTGCGTCAAGATTGTAGAAAAACGCTCAGACCCGTCGATTTTAGATTAAACAAGACATTCTTTGCTGGTATTTTTGACTCCGCCACTTTCACCCCCAAGCAAGGGTAAGCATCACCCCAAAATATTTAAATGGAATTGGGGGTTGAGTAATATTTCTTTTGAAAGCTCTTACAATTTTCTTTACAATAGACTTTAAATTTTATAATTCCGCCCAATACTTTGAAAAAAATTTACATTTTAAAATTTAAATTATGCTTTGTTGCTTACTTACTACTTAGTTGATTAAATGTTCAAACTGATGACCGCCCGCTTCCATACAAGAATAAAGATTTTGTTCGAAACGTTCGCGCACATTCCGAAGCATTTCCGGAGTGATTCGACGGCATTCGTCGACGATTCTTTGACGCAAATCTTCCAGCGACGCTGGCTGTGTTTTATAGATTTTACTTTTTAGGTATCCCCACAAAAAGAAATCAAGGGGCGATAAATCCGGTGATCGTGGAGGCCACTCAATGCTGCCTCTTCTCCCAATCTAATTCCGTAGAAAACGTTGGTCCAAATACTGACGGATAATTAACGCATAATGCGGAGGAGCACCGTCCTGTTGAAAAATCAAATGATCTTCATCATACTCTGGAACATTTTCAATAATATCAGTCAAGGCAGGGTCAATAGCGTCTTCCAGTAATTGCAAATACATTTGGCCAGTCAAATTACCAGGTAGAAAAAAAAGGGCCCACCAGCCGGTCACCGGAAATTCCAGCCCATACATTAAATATTTCCGGTTGCTGTGTATGCACCTCTTGAAAAAGTCTTGGGTTTGAATCGGACCAATAGCGGCAATTGTGACGATTTACCGTCCCGTTCAAGAAAAAACTGCATTTATCTGAAAAACAGATGTTATAAAGGAACTATTGATCGTTCCCTGCCCGCTCACTTATTATTTCGCAAAATTGCAAACGGCGGTCATAATCATCCTCATGAAGTTCCTGGACTAAATGTTTTTTGTATGGATGGAATTTATTCTTCTTCAAAATGGTTTGTATGCTAGTTCGATTGATCCCAGACACAGATGCCAGCTGCCTCGTACTTAATGTAGGATCAAGATGAACTTGTCCTAAAACTGCAACTTCACTAGCTTCATTAACTATCTTCATGTTGTTCATTAAATAGCTGAGCTGTTCTATTCGCACATTTATTGTTCATAAAGTAAAGCGAAATGATATCTACTCTTTTGCAGTTCCTGAAAATGGCTCTGTTTCGTTGGATGCATGAAGAGAAAAGCAAAAGATAAAGAATTGAAGAAGTACAGAAACAATTGGAAATGACATATGAAACCAACATAAGGAAGAATAGATTTTTAGAAACAAGATTTTTTATTTATTTCTTGTGCTTACCAACACGGGAACTAGGAACAGTCGCGGCATCGCAAAAGTCGCCTTCATTGATTCCTTCAGTAATACAATTACCAAGGCAATTTTTTTTCTGAAGAAAACTACCAAGCAGAGTAGAATTAAGAACATAACTGTTGCGAAAATGGCTAAAACTAAAAATCCCTGACTATTTTCTGATCTGGCTTGGGTATAAAGGTACCTGAAAAAGTATAACAAATCCGTTTCATATTTTCGTCTTAAATTAACAACTAACGAGCTTACCAGCAACCTCCCATTGCAGCAGCCAAAAAAATGAGAACTCCTGCCAAGATGCCCCACACCATGACAACCGTGGCCATACGGAAGAGGAACAGAACAGTGAATCCGATGGCTAAAACAAGTATCACTATATATTCTTGACATTTATTAGAAGCATGAAACGAAAGTAGCCTTAGAACAGAGCCCTGTGGCACAAGTATTTTTATCTCGATGTGGGAGTTACGCGAATTATGTTTCCAACATTTTGGAAGATACAAAAATCTAAGCAATCAGTTTTTTAACGTACCCAGGGAGAGAGAACATGCAAGGGTGATTCTCCATGCCATATAATTCAAATAACCCGATAAGTTAGATGTCCATGCGTTGTTCTCATAATAGTAGTATTTCAGACTTCCATTTACGTCATAGTTTCGCTTGAGACAATAACCGGATACTTCGTCGCTGGAAAAAAACAGAGGGCGCTTTTAACGTCAGTTCCGTCACAAAAGGTAAGAAAGGCTCAGAAACTTTGAATCCAGTGTTAAAGGAAATTACAATAAAAAAATTATCTTTCAAAAGTGTAAATTCACACAAAGGTATTGTTTAATTTATTTTGTATTTTTAGACTGCATTAGTAGTAGGAGTTGGTGTAATAACACATTCGAGTATTTGTCAACATCAGAGATAAACGACCTTATCTCTGTATGCAATCAGTACCAGACGTAAAGATCAATTTGTTACGATAATAGAAAATGGCTTTTCTACAAATAAATTCGTTTGATCTTTACAAGAATGCCATTGATACAATTTGGGCATGCTGTCGTATTAAATTAATTTAGTTTGAATTAAATTAAAAGAGATATTGAAGAACAAAGATAATATAGGATAGTCAATGAAATACTCATACATGTTCTTAGATTGTTGATATCTCACTTAGCTTTCGTGATATTGTTAACCGTTCGTGACGATTTTTGAAATGTGCGATTTGCTGGAACAACGATGCAACGTAAAATTTTGCATAAAACTGGGGAAAACTTTCACGGAAACATTTCAACTTTTGAAACAAGCTTACTAGACCAGGGCGGATCTATCGAAATATCTTCTTGGATGTAAGAGGGGGCAAGCTAATTTTTGATGGAATACCTTCAGTACAACTCACATAATAAAAGTGTAGATCCCTAGATCTGGGCGAGGTCCGAAACACTTTCAAAATTGCAAAAATGTTTAAAAATTAAATCCGAGTTTTTTACTTATATCTTGGAACCTATGAATTTTGGAAGAATATTGAAGAGGAAAAAAAGGTTTAGAATTGAATTTTGCACTATATACTGTAAATTAAAAATGTTTAAATTTATTACTGATGTCGCAAAATATCAATAATTGACGAAAAAAAGGCAAAATAATTAAGTTTTCTGGATAATTTTTTAAAAATATTTTAATTGCTCCGAGGACATTATAATTTTGGTAAAAAATACTTTAGAGTATATTAAAACAACACACCAAATTCCATTAAAATCGGTTCTATAGTTTTCGCAAATTAATTTTTTGAAAAAAAATTTTCGAATTTTCAAAATGTTGCACACAGTCTTAAATAAACCATTTAGATAGTTGAAAATTTTTTCACATGGAAAAGACCGCTCAACCTTTCAAATGGTTTTTGAAGAATTGAAATCGGAAAGTTAACACTCTTTTTTTATTTTTAAACAATTAGATAACATTTATCAATTTGCAATTTAATTTATGTCATAAATAATAATTTTGAAGTACTCGGAAAGACGCTTCTTTAAAAAAAAAGTTAAATTCCGTTAATTGGTTCTCGAAATACAAACGGTCAAAGTTTATCGGCATTTACCGTTAATTTATAAACAATTTAGCAATAATCTTTGATCTAGTGGCTTCGTTTTTCCGAGTTCTAAGCTGGAAAAAATTTTCGTATCCATAAGTTATCAGCAACATAGATAAATCAGCGCAAAAGCTGTCGCTCGTACTCGCGAAAAGTGACTCAAAACACGAAAAGTGGGGGACGAGGCTTTCGCTCCGAGACTGAAATCGGAGGTTCAAAATGCGAAGGTACGAAAAAAATTGCATTATCTCGGCTCGTAATAGATCAATTTAAATCTTTTTTTTTTTAGTCCGATGTCTCGCGAGCCAAGAAATTCGATTATCGTAATGCCAACTGTCTAATTTGCACATATTTTGTTTTAAACAAAGTTTATTATTCATGCACTAAATATACTGTATATTTTACCGTATGCTATTACCTTTTTTCAATGAAACAATTTGTTTGCGTATATATTTCAATACTCTGAATATGAATGTATTTAGTAATAATTATTGCAATTATTTAAATAATTTTTGTTTAAACAAATTAAAAAATTTTTATTTGGAAATTATTTTTTTTGTTAAATACAGATACAATTAACAAAAAAGACTTTCAAATTATAATTTTTGAAAAAAATTAAATGCAAATTGATAAATGTAATCTAATTGTTTAAAAATAAAAAAAAAGAGTTTTAACTTTAAAAATTTACTGTGGCCGTAAATCAACCGATTTCAATTTTTCAAAAACCATTTGAAGGGTTGAGCGGTCTTTTCTATGTGAAAAAATTTTCACTGCCTTGTTCAAAAAGATGTGGATAAAGAAGGATACATAACTGTTTACAAGTAAATGGCGGTCACTTAACAAATTAATTAGATTTGTAAACATAATTATTATTCGTATTACGTAGTTTAATTCTGTCTCCATGAATAAATAATAAATTTAGAATTTGAATTAACGTTAACATTTTCCATTCTTTAACAATAAATAATACTCAAATAAACATTCACTGTATGTGTTAAATTGACAACAATAAACTGGTGACAGGTGCTTGATTTGAAGTTCCACTAAAATTTCACAGCCAACCTCGCAAGAAATTATGCGATATTCGTTGAATGCACGAAAAACAGTAAATACATACCTTAAAAACCCGAAGAGATAGGTATAGGGAACCATTATACCATTCGAAAGAGAACAAAATTGTTCATCAGGTTATAAAATATACAGGATATCCCATTTTTTAAAAAAAGTTAAGATGGTTTAAAAAGTTGACTAAATTCGGCATTAAATTTCTACCACCTGTACCTGTACCTGTATGAAATTAAGTCATTTTGGAATTATGGTAGGGAAGTTCAGAGTTTTAGTTACGTCCCCTATAAATTTTATCGCTGTAACTTTGTTATTGTAAAATACACATCTTTTGAATTAGGCAGTGTTTGTTTAATTTTTTTTGAAAAAAATTAGATATATCAAAAACAGTTCATTTTAAGAATAGGAAACCTTTATGAAAGTTCACCTAAAAATTAAGATTAAGAAATAACTAATTACTGTACAAGCATCGAATGTTTTTGGAAAGGATTTCAGGTATTATCAGTTTTTAGAATCATTTAATGTACATATTCCTCAGTATAGAATACAGGTACTTCCCGACGTACCACACCTTCATTAAGACACTTATCATAGGGAATTATGAGGATTAAATTAATATAGCAAATGCTTATCAACTTTTCTTTAAATTATTAGGTTTAACAACAACATATACTGTACTTAATTGATAAACGATAGCGGGTACAATTCGAAAAATTACATGTTTATTTGCTCAAACTTTATCTAAGTCTTTTATTCATCAGAAGTTTAAAAATAAAATTACGCACTTACCTATATACCTGCAAGTGCAGTTACTTGAAATAAATAAATAAATACTAATCTTTTGATAAAAAGCTTTGTGTTACGATAATAGAAATAAGTTATTTAATTAATCTTTACTGTGTTTAGTTTTAGTTTTTTTAATGTAATATTTAAAATTAATTTCGAATTACTCAATTTAGTAAAGATCTTTAAGATCTTATCTCTGAAAAGTTGATCCAAAAAAACGATTTCAAGTTAAGATATAAGAGATATTAAAAATTAAATCTTCTGTTGTTTTCAGAATTTTATGAATTCGTGTTAATCACATACAGATCCCAGTTTTATTTTTTTTTCTAATGAGTCCTATAATACACTTGAAAATTTTCGTTTAGGATACATTACATCAGCAATGATAATTATGGAACTTAAAACGAAGTTTTTAGCATTTTCATCATTCTGGAGTTGCCTATTCTAAATGCTAGTTTACTGAGTCTAATTCTTTGTGAAATGAACGTAGAACATAGAATTAAATGGATAAATTTTTATATTTATCATACCTATTAAGCACCATTATTATATTAAAGAATTATCGTAATGTATAAGAATGTATTATTATGTGCTTTTATCTTATTAAAATGTGAAGTATGGAGTTTAAGCGGCATGGTTTGAACTGCATTTTGCGCCAAAAAAAAAACAAATAAAAAATGAACATTATTGGTCCATTGAGGATCCACACTTTGTTCATCCTATACAAAATCAAGGACATTTTGGTGTGAATGTTTGATGTGTTGTCATTGGATGTCATCTGAGAGGACCATACTTGTATGAAAGTTTGTTGAATAGTATAAAATACTTGCGTTTCTTGCAAGAAGAACTCGCAGCATTTCTCGTAAACATCCTTTTGCAGTTGCGAAGGAGTTTGTGGATCCAGTACGATGGAGCCCCACCCCATAAAGCGTTTATTGTGCAGGATTATTTAAATAATGTTTTCGGGGAACAATGAATTGGAATGAATGGTTCCATAAAATGGCCCGGAAAACCTCCGGACATGACTCCTTTGGACTTTTTTTATGGGGTTTCCTTAAGAATAAAGTTTAAAAAAGAGCTTACTCCTAACATGCTGAAGAACGAAATTATAGAAGAAGTTAGGTAGATATCGGTTAGATTTATGTTTAGCTACAGGGGGTGGACATATAGAAAATATGTTATAATAATTTTAGTTATATATGTAAAATACTTCTTGTTTTTTGTTCTACTTTTATTGTTTTTGTTTTCTTTGTGCTTAATAAGACATGTTTAGTATTTAAATATGTATTTGATATTACTATTTCAAGGACTTCTGGCAACTTGCATTATTAACAGTCTCGTATCAACCCTTGTATGAAAGCTTTCAACAGCCTTCTACTATTAACGAAGCAATAAATTCTAAAATAATTATTATAAATCGTTTGTATTTATTATTTTTACTTCTGATCATAACTTTTTAATGAAAATGGATAGAGAAAAATTTTTTAAATAAAATTTTATCGGAAAAACATGTTCTTTTTAAATATGGAGAAATACAGGTATATTCCTGGAAAAAAAAATTTCTTGACGTCAACACAATTTTCGAAAAATCTAAAACTTCAAGATTTCAGTAACAATTTTGCGTTACCCTGTAATATCATTGGGGCATCGAGCTTGGGACACCCTGTACAATTTCCTGCGCCAATTCAAATTATGCTTGTTTCACGTTAACTCTCTCAAATCTGTGAACGTATTTTATATATGAACAAAATACTTACTAGCCTGGAGAGCACTCCGAGACACATAATCTGGGGGCAAGATATAGATCTACCTTAGTCCCATTAACATCGCTCAGTTCTAGGAGCCTAGGAGAAGTCACAAAATAAGTGTTTGTGTTTAGACGTGAAACAACGCTAGACTCACCTTTTGTTCGTGAAATCTTGGCCCGAACATTCAAATTGGCCTTGTTGGCCGTTTATTTTTCCACAGATGTTGCCACATTGGTCATAATATCTAAAAATTCTGTGAATGTCGGAATAGTATAACGTGTATATCAGGAAGGGCAGCTGAAAAAAAATAATGTTAAGGAGGCGTTTTAATTTATGGCAGATACCATCTTACTAAAAGTATATCGCTTTAAAAACTATAGCAAGTGCAATAACTAATATTATACGGTAAAAAAAAATAATGGAAACATTTTTTCATCACTTGTTACGAATTTATGAACTATCCCCACTACTCTTCCGAGAGAAACCCACTATCCAGTTTTTTTAAAGTATAAACGGGACATCCTATACGCTTATTTTTTTTATAATGTTCAGCTTGTTTATATCATTCAATTATTTTAAATAAATCACCGCCTTATTTTTATAGAAAGATCAAATTTAGAACAGACGTACATACAATTAATATAAGATATAAGGGTCTTCTAACTCTCCCACAACATAATACTGAGATGTTTAAGAGGTCATTTAGTTATCAAATCTGCGATGTTTATAATAATTTGGATCAAGATATAAAAGAGAGCAATATATACTCATTCAAAAGTAAATATAAAAGACTTTTATTTGAGCGGCAATGTTATTAATAATACTACTATTTAATTGTGGTTAAATGAAATGTCATTACTAATAATTATTATTTAGGGATAGAAAATTTATGTCAGTTAATAGGTTATGTTGAGTAGTGTGCACAACTTTGCTTGTGCAGACTTCGCCTTTTGTTCGACCTAATGAAAACTAGTTTGTGTACTATGTATGTTTGTTATACAGGGTGTTAAAAAAAGAGTGTAAAATATTTCAGGAGGTAATAGTATGAACCAAAATAAGCAGAAAAGTCTTAATAAACATGGGTCCGCAAAGTAACGGTTGCGGAGATATGGACCACTATTCGTTTTTCAAACATTTTATTTTATTAGGAATAAACCGACAAAGGAAGCTTTTAACAAACAAAAAACAAAGTTACAGAAGATATTTAAAGTGCCCTCCGTCCATTTCCAAGCAAGCACGACATCTTCGTCTCAACGATATTCGAACTCTTTCGAAAACACCCTCCTTGGTTTGGATTTCTTGACACTTTTGATTAATCCGTAGCTGCAGCTCTTTTAGGCTATTTACAGGAGTACCATACACTAATGTCTTCAAATATTCCCAAACAAAGAAATCTAGAGGGTTCAGATCAGGCGATCTTGGAGGCCATAAAACAGGTCCGGCCCTTCCTACCCATCTATGTGGAAAAGTTTGGTGTAAATGCTCTCTAACGGCCATGGAAAAATGAGCTGGAGCACCATCATGCTGAAACCACATTTATTGCCTCTGATTCAAAGGAATGTTTTCTAAAAACTCATACAGAGTATTCTGCAGAAAGTTGAGGTAAGCAGCGCCTGTTAATCGGTTTGGTAAAACAACAGGACCTAGAAACCTGTCACCTACAATACCCATCCAAATGTTTAATGAAAAACGTGCCTGATGTCCAGATTCTATTAGAGCATGAGGATTTTCGTCGGCCCAAATATGCGTATTGTGAAAATTAAACACTCCATTTCTTGTGAACCCGGCCTCATCAGTAAAAAGAATGTTTGCAAGAAAACGAGGGTCTTCAGCATCATGACGTAGAAACCAGCGGCAAAAAACCAAACGTGCTTGATGATCATTTATTGGATTTAAGGCCTGTACTCGTTGCACATGGTATGGATAAAGCAGTTGCTCGTGAAGGATTCTCCAAACAAGAGGACCACTAATTCCTACCTCGGCTGATATTCTCCGCACACTCGTACCTGGATTCTGCTCTACCAGTGCTAGAATTTCTTCTTCTGCTCTAGGAGTGGATACCGACCTTGGTCTTCCGGATAAATGGCACTGTTTGCTCAAGGAACCGGTATCACGCAATCTTTGGTGAATTCTTCCAAACATGCGTTGTGAAGGAATCTGGCGATTTGGATAAGCGTCAACATAAAGACGTCGCGCTTCGGTGGCGTTCCCAGTAGCACGACCATACATGAAATGCATGTCTGTTAATTCTGCGTTAGAGTTACCAGCCATAGCGAAAGAAAACTTGTGCACTGAGAACAACTGTCAAATACGTACTGTTTATTTCACTAAACATCAACCAACTATTATAAGAAAATACACAACGTTTTTGAAAAATAAAAAAAGGGGCTAAAAAACATAAAACATTCCATATCTCCGCAACCGTTACTTTGCGAACCCATGTTTTTTGAGACTTTTCTGCTTATTTTGGTTCATACTATTACCTCCTTAAATATTTTACACTCTTTTTTTAACACCCTGTAGAACAATAAAGACTATTATTATTATTATTATTTATTGCTTTGTGGATGTATTAGTTTCCTTATTCACACCTGTATCTGGATTATAAAGCTAACAAAAGCGCATTGGATTATTACGAACAGTAAATAGGAGTATATAGTAGTTATCTGTATTGATCCGTGCCATAAATTACTATAGATTTCATTTGTGAAGTTTTAAAAACTTCCCCGATTTTTGCATCTTCAACAACTTTAAGTGAAAAAATTATTTCTATACTTACCAAGGCAACTACAAACACCCCGAAGACTATTAAAAATTTTCTGTCTGTAGGTACTCTATTCTCGGGTCGTTCTGGTATTTCTACGGTAGTTTTTGGGGGTAGACTTTTAAAAACGGCGAGCTGGAAAACATAAAACTATGAAATATTTATACTGTTTTTTTTTGCCAGATGTATTGTTACGCTTCAAGTATGTTTAAACCCGAGAAGGTAGTTTAGGTAATATACTTAAGTGGACAAAAGGCAATTAAAAGACGAATGCAATACAACGTTTTATCCATAATTACATCATATTAGTGGAGTCAGAATTATTGGAATTTAATAAAAAAATATTCGCACAACTTGATATTTCTTAGCAGTACTCAATGAAACATGGTAGGTTTTATTATACTTACTGGTTGCTACGGTACGTTGTTTATTATCAATTATTTAATAAACAGTTCTATCTGAATTTGGTAAAAATGCAAGAAAGTAATTGTGTTCCTGTGACTGTTTTTGAAGAAGCTCAAGAAGCAATTTTCCATTTATTGTCAGCGAAATCCAGGGAACATTACGAAAAAGAATTTAAACGAATGGAGGGAAAAACGGGAGTAATGACAAAATATTGATTAATTGATTTATTTTGAACAATTGGTATTAGGATTAAGCCAGCCAGCAAGATAAGAGAGAGGATGGGAGAAATATAAATTATAGGTAGAAATAGATACAGTGAATTAATTTTTCTAAAAAACATAAATAAATATATAAATAACTAAGAAAATAAAGACATTCAACGAAAATTAAGTAAAACATAATCTCTGATTATAGACCACTTTATTAATAAAAATTTTATGGTTGGAGATGATTTTGTACCATAGTATTTCTCAGCCAGGTTTTTATTCTGTTTTTTTAATTTAAAATTCCAGAGCTAAATTTTTAAAAATTGGAAATGTATTACTTATTAACCCGCTTTTTAACATAAAATTTTATATTTTTAAATTCTTTTGTCAACAAATATTTATACAAATTTATTAGAATTGTTTTTTAAAAAAATAAAATAGTGTATTAATTTTCAAAATTAAAGTTTAAGTAAGTCATGCTATGGTATTTTTTAAATTTGAAGAAAAATATTCAATTCCATCTATATGGTCGAAGTATTCGATGTTGAAGGCTAGTATAAAGGTCTACAAAAATATAGATATTGGAAAATATAACAAGCTTACTGCTCATTTGAAGAGTGAATCGAGAGGATACAAAGCAAATGCTGCAGTATTGGAAAGAGCACATATTGAAGAATTTTTAACTGGGGCTTCCGATTTGTGTTCCGTTCGTGCAAATTCTTCACAAACTTCGGTAGATGTTATGCATTCCAAAAATGATGGCAACATATAGGTTTATTATTTTTTCAATATTCTACTAGTGAAATAAAGTTACTTTATTCCAGTGTGGAGACGGTTCATATGTGTGGATAAAACTATTCCCAGCAAATAAACGGAAAGTCAGAACATTTTTAATATGATTCTATCATCACGTTTGACAAAGGCCAATCAAGTAAAAAACAACTACTAATGGAACAAAGAAAAAAAAAGTTTTTTTTTGAAATTTAAAAATTCACATGAGAATTAATTGATAAAATTGATCATCCTCGAAAGACAATGCGTCTGGTGGAATTGGAAAGGGATTCAATCAAATGTCAACGCAGAATTCTATGCACAAAAAAGTCCTTATCGGCAATACGACGTTCTTTTGCAATGCGGACCCACATATCGGCACTATGACCAAAACGTCCATTCGAGACTTGAATTAGGAAGTAAACACATAGGTATATTGATAAACAATTGACAAAGAAAACAGCTAAAAATTCTACGTTTTTCTAAAAAACTGCCGGCCCAGAACAATAAGACAGACACAAATATAGGAATATTTTAATTTGTATAAGAAGATGAATGTAAAATAAAATGAAATGCACATATAATACTCACCTCTTCTGGTTGAAAATTGGACAAAGCCGACCCCATGTTCGGTGTTAGTTCTAAACAAAAAACTTTAAAACGTGTTTAATAAAACCAAGATATTTTTTATATATCTATAAAATTATTTAGTTCTTTCTGCTTTTACAGTTTAGTTACACTTAGTGACGTATATAAGTTAAAAGATAACGAACTTGTTCTGTACCAGGTTGTCCATTTCATTAGCACTGACACGATTTATATAAAAAATAACGATTTAAGTGTTGATTGATAATTTCCTTGATAAGATTCGATCAGCCTTTCGATAAATAAAGGCAATTCCGATAAATGTCGCAATTAAATAATCGCAGAACTGAAACGAGTGCTTCTAGGGAAAAAATTAGTATTTGGTTATCGGTTTCTCGTTTTCAATAGGTAATTTCAATTCCAGGTATAAATTTCACTCTAAATCTGATAGAAAGATATGGTGATGTTATGCAATATTCAATTTCGTTAGTTTGTTCATACCCAAATAATGTTAGTTTCAAATCTCACTACCACGATCGGCGAGACGTCAAGAAAGAGTAAACAACCAGTTCTACAGGTATGGCAGGTGGCGGGATAAAAGAACATAAAGGAACAAAGACAGTGAAATTCACTTTTCAAAATTGCCAATATTTACGAAGAGATACAATTTTTTAGACTACATCAATTCCAATATACCGGAAAGCAACGAATTGCGGATTTGACAAGTCATTTGTCAAGAAAATTATTTAGAACAAGACCTCAATAGTTTAAAAATTATATATCAGCTTAAACTTAGTTATTAGAAAATAAGGCCTACTTAAACAGTTTAGGAAATATGGAGTTGGACGAGACTTTTTTTCATCTCCACGAGAAAACAGTGAAGTATTTTTTTTCATCTTTAAGAGACTTACAAAATTGGCCTCGAGTGTCAAAAAATATTGATTAGATCAAAAGTTATAAACAGAAGAATTTCATTTATGACTTTTGAATTAAACATTTATAAACCGTGTTATTATTACCAGAACGTTTTGGCATCGCATCCTCTCATTCCTTATCACTCACACGAAATCTGGAATGGGTAAGTTGAATAGTTTTACAAGTTATGGCCTTATAAACAAATTAACTAATTATTAGTCTGGACGATCCCGAGCATCTTCCACAATCGCACTGATATTTTTCATGGTAGATTTCATAATAATACATTGAAATCTATCATTTTTTTTAATTTCTAATTTGCAACCTGGATTTTTTTTATTTTCTAGTCTTAGTTGCAAAATGAAATATACAACGCACGCTCGTGATATAGTTATATATCTTTACATATTCGGAAAGCTTACGAAAAGAGCTTTAAGTTAAAAAAAATCGTCAAGATTCGTTGAAAAACAACGGAGACCGAACAAAATGACGATAATATTCATAGTCCTGTCGTTAAAAAAACGAAATTCGCTTGAAAATAATATATTTGACAGTCTGTAATATTTTGTTTGAATATGTAATAATATAAAACTATATCACGCGCGTGCGTCGTATATTTCATTTTGCAACTAAGGCTAAAAAATAAAAAAAACTTTCCAGGTTGCAAACTTGAAATTAAAAAAAAATGATAGATTCCAGTGTATTATTATGAAATCTACCTTGTAGAAAAATAAGTCGCGAAATGTTCATTTCCCTCCCAGTTGTTTTTCCTGGCCTAAGTTAGTTATTATAAAACTTAATCAGCAACCTGTCGAATTATTGCATTGTTAGTCCCCTTACCTATTTAACTAACGAGTGTATCAGGAATAATGTGTTCCCTGATATTCTTAAACTAGCAAAAGTTATTCCTATTCATAAGAAGGGACCCAGGATTACCCGTCTAATTATAGACACATCTTCTTAACTCCAATTATATCCAAGATTTTGGAAAAGATCCTAAAGTATCAAATTAACGGATATTTTGAATCAAACAACTTATTTCACTCCTGTCAATTTGGCTTTCGTAATAAAAGGTCCACCTCACTAGCAATAAACAACTTAATGCACTCAGTTCTGAGTGGCTTTGAGAATAGAGACATTACTAATGGTACTTTATATGATCTTAATAAGACTTTTGACTGTGTGAGCCACAACATTTTACTTTAAAAACTTTCGCGCTATAACATTGATCCAAAAAGTATCTCCCTTATTAAGTCGTACCTGAGTGACAGATCTCTATTTGTCTCTTTTAATGGAAGTAAATCTTCATGCTTAACCATGAATCACGGAGTCCCACAAGGATCTGTCCTTGGGCCTGTACTGTTTCTAATTTATATAAACGATCTACCAAATAGTGATAGCATTTCCAAGTTTATCCTCTTTGCGGATGATACTACGATCCTAAATAGTGCAGGTCAGGCCAGTGTCCTTCGTAATAATGTTCAAATAACACAGGATAACGTTAAGCAGTGGTTTTTGGCAAATAAAATGTATTTTAATCAAAATAAAACTCAATCTATTTTATTTACTTTGCGTCATGTGCATGATGAGTTCACCAATTACACCTCGGAAGTGAAATTTCTCGGAGTGAACATTGNATTATTATTATCATTATCATTATCATTATCATTATCATTATCATTATTATTATTATTATTATTATTATTATTATTAATGACTTGAAATGTTTATTAATGTAATAACTTATATAGAACAGAACAATTATCTCTGATTTTTTGAAATCTTTACTTTTTTCTAAAAATACACCCAATTTTTGTACAAAATTATTTTATTGTACCTTAAAAGTATAAATAAATAATAATTTCATGATTAATGGATCTAAATAATCAAAATCTTCATTTTTCTGTCTTTGTAAGATCCTTCTAGGAATTCGCTATATTCCATGTCAAGCTGTCTGACATGGAAAAGGGTCTAGCCATAACGTCGTTGATTAACCAATCATCACAGGAGCACAAAAGGATGGAATCGATCACATTCTGAAAAGAAAAAAAACCTCAAGTGGAATATATATGAGAGAAGTCCCTCGGCGTAAAGATATAATATGCGTAATATGCCACCCCCTCCACCATGCAAATTATTAACAACTAACGAACTCCTACCTGAAATACCGAAAAGCAGGTGACTGCCATAACTGTAGATATGAAACCAACTGTGGCGTAAATTTCCCACTGGTATGGCGAATTTGTAACCTATAAATAATTAAATGTAATTGATGCATTTAAGATATTACATATACAGGGTGTAAGTTTAAATGGGGGTCAGTTTTTAGAAGTAATAGTCTGCGTTTCCCCGAATACAAATAGTCCTGTTCAGAACGCTTACGAAAGGCAACGGATGCCGTATTGCCGCCTCTGAAAAGTCCGCCAGTTGACTTCACACCTGTTTCCATTCGGTTTACGAGAAGGTAGTCTAAGTATAAGTAACCTTACAAAGTTATTTATTTCAGTTTGGAATTTGAGAAAATGAACTTAGATTACGTGTTTCTAAAGGTCAAAGGTAGCCTTCGCATAAATATGATCCCCATTCAAAATTACCTCCTGTATATCAATGAAATGAAACGTTTTTACCAGCATAACCAAGTACGTAGACAACAGCGATAAAAGAACCACTAACAGTTGTATCATTAAAATAATATTGTGCCCTATGTAGTTGAATGTAGCGACACTCATCATTTCTGGGAATATATTCTGCCTTTCCCGTGCATCTTCCTTGTGAGGGGCCCAATGATTGGTAATACTCCCTAAAAATAAATTATTTGTTTATAATGGCAATTTAATACGAAAACGTTTAGATATAATCCCGTGGAGTATTTCAATTCAGTGACGGCTCGTGACATTGTGAATAGGTGAGGTCCGTGGTTTTTTTACTAGGTGGACAAAATTTTAAACTTTCAAAGGTCAAACGACTAAATGCATCTGGAAATTATTAGTTGCATTTGCAATATTATAGAAAAACTGATGTTCACGAGCAGGATTTTCATTCAGATTTTATAAAAAATAATACACAACTATTTGGATATTTTATTAATCCGATCTCAAATAATATGTAAATAGGAGTAAATTTCCACGTCATTTTTTATTATGGAGCTCTTCGCCAATAGCCCTGCTATAACCGTAAATTAAAAAAATATATTATTAATAATACCTAATATCAGAACTTAAAAAATATAAAAAGAAATTTTCATAAGGTTGGCCAACTTAGGTAGGTACCTATTTACATATAAAACTACGCCGCCAGCTTTTCGTTTGTCTCCACTTGGTGGCCATATTCCTGGCCGAGAAATAGTGAAATTTCTGGCGTTTTTAGGTACTGAAATCTTTAAAAGTAAAACGTGTAGAACAAAAGTAAGCACAAAAATAAAATCCTTGATGTTTTGTTTATTCATTGTTACCATTTAAACTTACCCAAATAAAATAAGAACGAAAAAGAGCGTTTGTAAAACATGCGTTTTCTGTTATCCTAACCCCACATTTTAAGAATTATTTTCACGTACTTATAAATAAAAGTAAACAATTTTATATGTAGGACTAAGCAAGTAAATGTTATAAGAATATTTACATGTGGAGTTATATATAAAAAAGTTAGTATTTTCGTAGATTTCAGTACCTAAAACCTTGATGGTTTGATCGTTTTTTGCACCTGTTTATTCGTTTTACTGCGGCGACTTTGAAAATACTCAGGTGGCATGACATAACATTCCTATTATTTGATAAGCTTTAGATTATTCAGTTATTAAATGTTTGAAATTATTTGTATGTTTATTGTAATCTCAATAGTTTAAACAAACGTACGAGTAGACTTCGACATACCTGTCAAAATATATCCATTATTGAACAAATACATTAGACTTCTCTTAATAATAGAGGATCCCGGTATGTTCTTGTTGCTGCCAAAAAATTGCAAAAGGGAATTGAAGGCGATAGCCCCTAAGTTAATTTGGGAGATAGAGGATGGAAATTTGGTTTGTATATCATTGTCCCAGCGATTGTTACTTCTAAAAATTAGTAAAAATACAGTAATAGTAACAATATAAGTAGTAAAATTCATGTTTCACGTGAGGTAAAAATAAGAAGAACAAGATTACACACCTTGAAAAATAATGTTTAGCAACGGCTGTGCTGAAGATCATTGCCTCAACTCCAGTGACAAATTTAATAGCCCAGATGGCCAAGCAAGCATTTAGTACCAGGGAGAAAAACAGCATAGCCCTATGCTTGTAAAACATAATATATTCCTGAACTGTCTCGGGCAGCATTCCTGAGGAACCCATGTTCATGGTCTTAGTAGCAAATGCGATCAATATGAATAGCTCCACGAAAAATAGCTAAAAAAACATTTGATATACACATTGATTTAATCCATACAATTACAAAACTATTACCAAAGTGGAAAATATCACAGTTCTAGGCACATGCAGAGCAGCTCTTAAAGATTCTTTTAACACCACAATGACCATGGTAAATTTCTTCTGTAGAAAGATCAATGCAGAAAACAGAATTAGTAGTAGAATCGAGAAGAATGTTATCAGTACCCATAAATCTTGGTTAACCAGGACTTGACTGTACCAGCAACTGGGAAAACAGTTTTAAGTACTAAATACATCTGTCATTTAAATTATAATCATATGGCAGTTACCTCAAAGCTCCCACAATTACAAAGAAAGACGTGATGACTCCTAGCAGGATGTTCCACACCATGGAGGTCGCTACAGACCGGACATTAAACAATGTTACAAATCCTGTTCCTGTAAAAGAATAAAAATTCAAGTACCAAGATACATTAAATTTGCTTTAGTAGGGATTATAGAACAATCAAATTTAAGGAATCGAGTCAAATTGTCGAAAATAGCTCGTTTCTTTGACAAAATTTAGTTCAGCAAACAAAGCCACGTAAAAAACTAAACATTAAAAAAATGTGTTAGACAAAAGGTGTAGAACTTTTTATAACAAAAATTTTGAGTCCAGCGCGATGTCAATAGACTATTTTAGTGTGACTTCACAAATTTAGGCAACCCGCAACGAATTGTTATAGTTGAAATTGTACAGACCGAATCTGACCCTTGGGTACTATTTGCATATACAGGGTGTCCCGAAATTAATGGGACACAGAGCAAGGGTAGATTCCTTACATCAAAATAATGCGATTAAACCAAATTTACCTTGGTCCTAATAAAAAAGTTACAGGGCGTTGAAGTTCAAATAATGAATTCGAAATTTTTAAAATTCTTAGAAAGTTTTCAAAGGATTCTTTTGAAATTTTGGATTAGGGGGTTTTCTGAGACGAGAAAAACGAATCCGTACTTAATTTTGCTGTAGACGCTAGAGGGCGCTACGAAATGTACTCTTGGTTGATAAAAACTGGTTATAACTTTTTTATCAGTGCGTGTACGAAAGTTTTAATAGAAAAATATTGTTCTCCTATCTATTTTTCACAAATAAGGGATACTTATTTTATGTCGATAAATTTAACCGTTTTCGATTTATTTCTTGTTTTTCTATTGGATGCAATAAAATAAAATAAAATAAAAGTTTGTAGTAAAAAAAAACGTAAAAAACTAAAGATTATTTTTAATAATAATTCAGGTGGCTACATTAAATTTTCAATATGACCCCCGTTTACATTAATACACAATCTTATTCGTTTGATAAATGATTGTCTAATATTAAATAGTGTTTCTTCATTTCTTAATAAATTCCTAGCATTTAAAATTGCTTGCCACAGCTCATCCCTGCAAAAATCCCTGCAAAACTTGCAAAAAACGATAAAAAAGAGTATTCCTAAATTTAAATACTTAAGTAAAAGTTTAACATTTAACAGGTGACCTCTTGTTGATATGTTATCCTCTGTCCTCATTAGCGTATTTTCTCTTGTTTTGTATAATCTTGACATTTTCTAGTTCTACAATTTGTTGAAAAAAAATGCTTGGGTCCTGTTGGTCGTTGGACAACATTTTTTTAAATTCGTGAAAAAATGTCAGCTTTCAAATGGCACTAATGCCATTCCGGTTAAATTTCAACGAAAAAAAAAGATCTACATTTTTCGACCCTAAAAAAGAAGTCAAAATTTCGGTAGATTTTTCACTTATTAAAAAATCTTTTTTCGTTTTAAAGATATAGAAGTTTAAAAAGAATGCGATTTTTAGCCGTTTTTTGCAATAACTAAAACATTTGTTTATCAATTGACATCAGGATGGACTCAAAATTTTTGTTATAAAATTTTGAGTCCATTCATAAAATTTTATCTAAAATGTTTAGTTTTTCTTTAAATGAAAAAAAAAAACAATTTTTTTGCGAACTTTGAAGCAATAACATTCAGCTGGGTAAAGTAGTTTATTAAATTCTACGGAATTTTTCCTAATTTTTACAAGTCCTTGTTTACTGAAAAAAATTATCTAATCTAAAAATCAAATTCGATTGGACTAACTTCCAAAAACTGCTGTCAATTAGTACAGAGCTTTATTATTGACTTACCTGAAAAATAATAAAACTTATCGTATAAAAAATTAATGAACTTCTCGTAAGTTGCAAAGTAACGCACGAGATAGTTTCTCTTGTAGGTCGCTAACAACGAGGTTATAGTAGCTGCTATAGTCAACATCATAGATTCTAAACCGATGGTACTGGAATTAAATGTGAAGGCATCGATGACGGCAAAGATGGAATGACTCTGAAAATGTTTAATCCTGGAATGAAAGGAACAACAATATTAATGTTAGTAGCTTCATCGAGCAAAGAACAAGGTGCTACTCACATTGAAAAGTACCATCTGCCCATTGCTCGACGCAACATCATATTCTGGATTCCAGTTACGAACTGAACAGCCCAAATAGCCAAGCAAGCGTCCAATATTGTGGAAAAGTAGGCAGTGGTATAGATTCCATATCTTTCGTTTGTTTCGAGGAGTGTCCCTCCCGAGCCCACATACATTGTCGTGGCGAAAAATATGATTAATATCACCAGTTTCACAAAAAATGTCTAGAAAATATACTTTGAAATAGATATACTCTCAAAGCGCTGGAAGAGGTATAGTTTTATTATGATGCAATGAAAAATAACATGGTTTCTAATGATGGCCTGAATGTTAACATCAAACCAAAACTGGGATGATTTATTAGACCCCGCCACTAAATGCGTCATTTTATTTTGTATATTTGATCAAAACTTACCGATACTGACACCACAAAAAGATGGGGCATGGAGAATATTGCTTCCGCCGATTGCTTCAGTATGACTGTGGCTGGACTAATGTATTTCTACAAAAAAAAATATGGAGTCGGCAAAAAAAGAACACATTCGAGAACAAAACGAAGGCAGCTGTTGTATATCGCTTCTGATTTTGTTCCTTACAAATAGTTGAAACTGCATTTTGGTATTAAACAAAACACGTACCATGATAACATCCCCAATAAATCGAACTGAATATAATCCAAAGAAGGATGGACGCGATTTTAAAACTAAGTAAATTATAGTGACGCATACAATAAGTATCACAGTTGTGAACAATACGAGTAGGGTCAGGAAGCCTTTACTGAGTTGAGGACTTGCTTGGATGTACCAAAACCTGGAAGACATATGTATATATTCTTTCTGTATGGATATGAAATAATGCTTACCAAAGGGTTGCCACTACAGTGGCTAAGAAAGAGATGACGAGTATTAAGATAATCCTCACTACAGTCTCTGTGGATCTTCGTAGGAGGAACAACATTTTCATTACTATTCCTAAAACAATATCAAATATATTTTGAATGTTTTAGGTACATTTTCTACACGTACCTAGAGTAAGAAGGCAGGCAAGCGTCACTTTCCATGTTGCTACGTTATTATCATGGTCACCACCACCATTTAGATGGTTTTCTTTAGAGTTTGGGCTAAAAAAAATTAATACAATTCCATTTATTGTTCATGTTAACTGGAATGATTCCGATATTGAGATTTTTATAATTAAAGTTTGTGTTTTGTGAATACAGTTTCCCTTTTTAAGAGAATTGCTATTGTTTAATAGAAAGAACTATATTTATAAAGAATACAATTCTGGAACAATTCGATATCATGTACAAGGTTCAAAGGTTTTGTCAATAAATTTTTAATTCTTTAAATATTTTTCAAATCAAAAGTTACGACAGTCAATTAGTCAATATTTTTCAAAGGATGTAGTCTTCCGGTATCTACGGATAGATTTTTTTGCAAATATTAATGCACTTCAGTTGTAACTATCAATAGCGACAGAGGAATAAAACTTTATACTATTTTCAGTGGTACATATCCATAACATTCGGGGTTATTTTACCTATACCTTAAAAGGTAGATGTTTACATTTTTTAAACATACAGTACATATTATTTTCTTAGAAGTGGCACTTGAACGACTCAGTACTACTTTTTTAGATCACATCTGGTACTTCCCCCTAAAAATATGTGTATCTATGATAAGCTTTGATAAGAACAGTTTTAATAACCACAATAAAACAATTTTAAATATCATTTCATATAAGAATAATCGTTATACGTATCTGATAAACGATTAACGACATTTTATGTGGGTTTGCAGTTTGATTTTTACAGTCAAAATATTTAGATTAGAAATCAAATACTTACTAAATACTTGGCACAGGTTCGGTTAGGAAATTGAAATCTTGTTGTTCAGAAGGCCTACAGGGAAGCACAAAAATGACAGTTTTCTAAAAGTTTACTCGAAGGGCGTGTCACTCACCTTTCGTTGGCAGTATCAGGTCCCTTATATTCGCCGATGTCGAATTGAGCGATTATGAATACAAAGAAGTACCAAGTCAAACTTAAGTCATAATCACAGTATTCGTCAGAGTCGAAATAAATGATATAAATCAAGTACGACAGCTAAAAAATAAGAAACAGCGGAAATTACACAGCCCCACAAAAAATGTTTTGTACCAGACACGCGTAGGGGGTGCGTATGAATTTAATTTGCATATATTTCTTGCTAATGCCCAAAATATTATTTCAAAATGTTTTCTCAAAGTATTTTCAAATTGTTTTACTAAAAAATTACCTCGTAAATCGGTTTTTGGGCTGCGGATTTGGATTCTGCATAAAAAATACACACAATCTATATACCCATGTCTCTGGTACAGAATTTTTTTTGTGAGGCTGTGTTATTATTATTGTTTTGTTAATTTAACTGTCTTATGATCTAGTTCAGTGTGCCATGGATTTTTTCTTGGCCTTGGTTACACTTAATTACATGAAGGAACAATCAAGCAACAAAATAAATTTTGTAAGTAATTCTTTGTTTAAATATTAATTAATATTTCAAATAAAATTTCAGATATTGAAAAATATGTAGAGAACAATAAATTTCAATAAGTTATCAAGAAACCCTCTAAAAGTTGTCGAAGTTGCTTCATCCTGTACAACGTGCATTAGCTTCAATAAAAATACAAACATGTTTATGCCTCATAACTTGTACTTACCAAGGCAATCTTAATTACTCCGAATGGTCTAATAAATGTTTCTTCAATTTCAGACATCCTTAGCACTAATTCGTAATTCTCTTGGCTTCCTAAATAAAACTAAGGGAAATATCTCACAAGAAATACTCTCTTGGATCAAAATTTAAGAAAAAAACTCAACGTATATTGTTACACTAGAAATAGCAGGTTTAATACTGATAATAACTTTAAAAAATACCGGCAAAACTAAATTGATAAAATTTTCGATAAGATACGACTAAACTTTCGATAAAATATTATTTTTGTTAAATGCTAGAACTGGGTAATATACCAACTTTAAAAATATAATCTACAAATTAAATAATTATGTATTATCACGAATATTCACTTACCAAAGGCTCTTAGCATGGAAACGATTTGAAACTAAATGTATGAGTAAGAATGAAAATTCTTACCACCACTAATCTTCAGAAAACGAATTATGTTGTCGCCAGCTCCAACTGTTAATATGCTGATGTCATTATTTAGATTTGATTGCCCTTAATCCAAATATAAGCAAAAAAGTGCCTACTAGATACAATTCAGATTGTCGTCTGGACCAAGTAGAAGATGCCTGGCCTGCCATACTATAATAAAAGGAGTATACGAATAACAGTTATAGGTAATTTTTAAATTTTGATTAAGGAGCATGTGTTATTGAGATACAAATCTAACATACATTTGTTTACCCACAATCAATTATAATCGGACTTTTATCCACACATATGAACCGTCTAAAGTGATACTTTGTCCACTAGTGAAATAAAGTAACTTTATTTCACTACTAGAATAATGAAATAATAATATATCTATAATAAATCAAATTTAATTTATTTACTTATTAACATTAACATTTATATTTATAGTAATAGACATTTCGTTTTTTGTTTTATCAAATTTAACTCATTTCCGTTAATAACAGCCCTTGCAGCATTGTTGCCAACAATTTCGGAACGCATAACATCTACCGAAGTTTGTGAAGAATTTGCACATGTTACGGATGTCTCTTCTTGTAAGGAACAGCTATATTTTCCTTGGATTTTTCTTGCAACATCAAGTTTGTTAGATATAGACTCCTCAAAATAACTTTCTGCTACAGTTGAGCTCTTCCATCCACCATGTCGTTTGACGGTTGTAAGATCAGCACCTTTATTGGCCAATAAAGTTGTTGAAGTGCGCCTCATACAATGGCCAGTATATGCTTCTGCATTTGCAATATTCATAAATGAAGCAACTATTGACCTTCGCCAATGTGTTGATTCCAACAGTCTGAGAAGTACATTTTTGACTGATGTTTCTTAAAAAGAATCTGTCTTGTGTTAGGCGAATTGGGCGCAGAGAAATATATTTTCTGCATATTTCAACAGCATTCATGCAAAATCCTTTTTTTATAATTGTAAATTTTCTTGAAATGCCCGTGTTGGTGTCAGGTATTGAAACAAGTAGGTAACGGCCAACATCCTGTACGTCACTAATTTTCAAATTTGTCAATTCGCAGCATCGACAGGCACCAGAAACTCCCATTATTAGTGCAACCTAAAATAATTCAAAGTTCACTGTAAACCTAACAACATGTAAAAGGTAAAGATATATTACCTTAATTATTAAATATTCTTTATCGGATGCCCCAGTCAAAAATTCTTCAATGTGTGCTCTTTCCAATACTGCATTTAAAAAGTAATTTTTTTATATATCAAGCCAAAGTAAACTTATTTTACAATATTTAGTTATTTAATTACGATTTAAATGTAAAATTAAAGTAAAAATTCACAAATTATTTTCAAATTATTATTTATTGTTAAAAGATTTAAAAAAGAATAAAAAGCATTTAAATTTATTGCAAAATTCTCAAAATTAAAAAATATTAATAAAAATAATGCGGTTGATAAAATAAAAATTTTAACTTCCTGATATTTTAATATATAAAGTTTTTTTATTATATTTATTACTAATTTTATACAAAAAAATTTTTATAACAAAATTAATTCAAAAAATATTAATCACAACTCTTTTCAATAATAGATACCTATACATAATGCAATATAATGCAACAATTTAAAATTGAAATTTTTTTCTGTTTTTATGAAAAATAACTTTTTAAATGAACGATAGCTTCATTCATTTATTTAATAATAGGAAAATAATTCCGCAATTGAAATTTTAATTAATATATCGTTTAACAATAATTTTAGTGACATTTTTGTAAATTAAATAAATAAAGTATAAAAGATGCATTTTTTCTTGGGTTTAGGGCTATTCTACGAATTCGTAAATATGCCCATTGTTATTTTTTCGTCGAGCTACCCGTTTTTAAAAAAAGAAGTTTCTACGAATAGAAGCCGAGATATTGTAAAATTTACAGCGCGCATTAATTTGAACTTTAGATTTCACTTTTCTCGCGCGCGACTCGCTTGGACGAGCTTCCCCCACCACCACGCCGCTGGCCGCCGGACAGTTTACTTAGCGAGCACATTTTTCAATGCAATTCAAGGGAAATCGTAGATTACGTCGTAAACTTTATTTGCGAAAAATTCAAGTCTTAATGTTTATAAACAATTGCGCTACGATTTAAAAAAAAATTCTTATCTTGGCTCCTGTTGGTCGTAGAGGGTGCTTTTTTTTAAATTTGTATTTTCTTGCCAGCTATCTATTGTATCTATTTTCGCTGAGGTAGCATAAATAGCAACAATTTTATACAAATTGTTTATAAGCGAAAAACGCACGGTTTTTTAATGCACAATTTGAGAATGTTAATGTCAAAAAAACGGTGATATTTTTTAATAGGTCGCTTAATTACGTCTTTAAGATTACAATGACGCTTTCAGAATCATGTTTGGTTGAAAATTAACGCCTGTACAGAGGCTTAAAGTTCATAACTTTAGGAGCCTCAGTTAGAAACAAATTGAATTATGCGAAAACTATTGCACCTACAGCGCCCACTTTTGGCACACTTTTAAAGTATGACAAAACCCTCAACTTGTCATAGGTTTTTTAAAATTTCAACAATAAATGAGATAGTTATAAACAAATTAAAAAATGGTCACTTTTCTTATTTTTTTGCAATAACTTTTTTGTTTATTAACCGATTTTAATTTAACAAGTCTCATTTTGTATATAATTTTACTCCCTATAAGCTGTCTGTGTGTTTGGTATTAATGTGAATAGCCAAACACTATGCAAATAATAAATGTGTACATATTTATAACATAAACTAATAAAACGCAAAAGTTTTGCTAAGGCCTAATATATTTTTGGTTGCTTTTCATGGTGTTTAGATAACAGACACATTTTTATTATAAATAGTGAACAATATATAAATATAAAACACTATTAATATATAAGTCTTATAATATAAAATTAGCTTACATTAGGTTATATTGGCTTTATGAATAAAAATATATTTTCTCTTATTGAATCGTAAGTACAAATATAAAGATCAAAAATAAACATTGACGTCCCTGAGATTATAATACTTGTTAATATCATGAAAGCATTCATAGATCTACAGGCATGTCCTCTTCTTCCCAAACATTTTCTTGGATTTCTCTACGAACTCCATCAAATCCCTGGACATGGCATAAGGACGACCTATACCGTCGTTGAGTAACTTGTCCTCACAGAAGCACAAGTAAATCGTATCGATTACAGTCTAGACAGAAAAGGAAACTTTTAGAACATTTTCTAACAAGATTATATCGTATAACACACTTTTTGATCTAGAGAAGCGTGCGAGCAGAAAATATAATTTTTCCCCCAAAAATCGTAAGTTTGACCTTCAAATTCAAGGTCAAATTTTTACACTTCGTTCGTATTTTTCCCTGATTGGTAATAACTCAACCTTTCCAATGACCTATTACTCTTGTCTTCATTTAATGCCTATCAAAAATTATTAGATTTTGTCCCTCGACTTATCGATTTAGTACACTATGCGCCGATACGCGCGCCGTATCACTGACTATGGCATCAATTTAAAATGCTGACATAGCCATCTAATCTGCTGGTGTGGAACTAGGAAAGTATTAATAGACTCTATTTAACATGTAACTAAGCGGTAAATTTAAAATTTATAATAGTGAATTTATACTACAGCTGTTTCATTTGCTGTGATGAGTATACAAGCTGTCCCCTGTCCCCATTTGTTTGTTCCCATATTTATTTAGCCATACTCATATACAGGTCTGGTCGAACTAAACGTGGAGGTGGTAGAAATGTATACGTTCAGTTGAAGAATGTGGGCGCGGACAAACGGGGCACACACACCGCCGCACTGGGCGACTGGGTCATAAATTTCAGTTGTCGACAAATTGCCTAGCAGTGCAGTGCAGCAATGCGGAATTTGGTGTGACTGAGGTAATTTATTATAGGCACCTTCTATTAATCATTCATATTACAATTGCGAAAGGGAAAATTAAGAGGGATATTTTGTTTTTTTGAAACGGAATGAAACGAAATACCGCCAGACAATATTGAATTTTAAACATATAGATTTACATGTCAAATGTCAGCGTCTAATTTTAAATATTTACGATTGTTTAAAAAAGGAAGAAAATGAAAAATCAGATAATGAAATTCTAAATAGAATTCATATATTAACTAAAGTTTCAGTGTCCCCAATTGTTCGTGTCATTAAACAAGGTGTTATAGATCATTATACAAATTATTATTTTTTACCTTTAGTCCTTTTTTTAGGGACGCCTATGAAACCTATTAAATTTTATTGCTATGCGTACATGTTCAATAGACGACGTTCAACGGAAAGACTATACTGCATGAAACACGTCGCTATACTACATGTTTGTACACAAACACAATAGAGGTTTACCAAAATTAACGCGTAGTGATCTGAACATTACATTCTCTCTCTCTCTCTCTCTAAAACAATAACAATGACAAAGATAAAAATAGTAATCTGAGCACCCCAAGTGAATTTTCGAAAACACCTAATATTTATTTACATAATAACAACTTTCCTTGAACCTGATCTTTACAAAATACCGGATGATTTAGAAAAAATATTTTTAAGAATGTTAGTATGATGCGTGACAAAATAAACCTCCAGGAGATTAATTCCTTGAACTGATGCGTAAACATGTTATTTATTTAGAACTTCTAGGTATATATTATAGCTTAATTCCTTGAAGTGACATACCCCCAAACAATTTTATTTTTCTAATGATTTCTATTTATTGGTCAGAAGTCACCTAATAGATTTTGAAACATTTAAATGTTTCGCATCGTGGATCATGATTGTGCAGCAATTTAGCGTGTCTCACATTAAAAGTAAACTTTCAGCCAAGAAAATAATTAGCAACGACGATTGCAAATAAAAATTAAACTTAATAGCGCTTTGGCTGTATTGATTATTTTAAACTGAAAACTGAAACACATAGTAAACTTATTAAAAATGAAGAGCATTTTTTTATATGTACACTCGACGCAAGATTAAGGTTTCCAATCTGAATCGTATTTTGTTTCAAATATGACGGCTTAATCGTTTGTCCATAGAAAATATAGTACGTTAGTACTATATTTTCTATGTCGCTTGTCCCATTAAACTTGTGTGGCAATATTTTACCGTCACATCTGACATTTTACGAGTTTTGTACAAAAATGCTTTCCTAGTAGATTGGCATTTTTTAAAATGGGACTAATCGGCAAACTCTTATAGCAAGCCCCGTATGCATTTTTTATTATCTTGTTTCTATTAAAAGGGTTGCATTTACATTACAATAGAAAAATCGATTCATGCTAGTTGATACATCTTGCGAAACGTCTACTACCTACTTACGAACAGTTAGATTGAATGGATTTAAGAAAATTAAAAATTTTAATTTTTTTTTAATTTTGAAAACCCTGCAGCTCGGAAACGGCGGCCTTAAGAGCCTACGTGTGTGTAACAAAATTTACTTAATTTTAGTCACAGAATGGGGCTCTGGTTTTTTTCTGTACGCCATTAATGAACACTTGTGTAGGTGCCCGCAATAAATCAGTTGAAGTTTCTTATAAAAGGTGTAAAACATACAGTAATTCTACATAAAAATGGCCTCTTGACTTCTTCTTGTAAGTACTATTAAAATTAACAGAGTTAGGGATGATGGGAGTTAAGGGAAAATTTCAGAAATTTAAAAAAATCATAACAAGCAGAAAAATGAATGAATTTTGTAATTTTTTTTTAAATCTACTCTAAAACTTTTCTTTTCAGAGAAATAGATATAATTTTTAATTTTTACTAAGAAAGTTATAACAATTTCAAATCGTTATTCGTTAATATTCAAATCGTTTTTAATCGTTAATTTTAATGTAACAAAACTAAAATATTTTTTTTTCTATACTAATCGATTGATTATTTAAAATAATGAAAAGTTTCCTTCGAATTTTTTTACGTTTGTTTTTTAGACAGATACAAATTTATTTACCTTTTTATATTTTGAATTTTATTTAGCTCCTACGACACTGCCAGGACAAAGATAAAAAATCACGTTCGCTTTGTTGCACTCATGGTACCGAAATGGTGGACAACTCGTATGCTTATAGTCTAAGAGCCAGTGGCCGGCAACCTAAAGGTAAATTATAAAACCTGAAATTTTGCCCAGAGAGTCTCTTATATGTGTCACTCACAACGCGGGGTCTCGCTAAGCCCAGCAAGGTGGACTTTCGTTACACTCAGGTGTGCCAGGTATAAAAATTTCACCAATTTTAAAAGTATTTTATAAAGGCTGCCGTTTGAAAATTTTAAAATATATATTTATTTTTAATTAAAAATAACAATGGCAGACGAATATCGACCTTCCAAGGTCATGGCAGACACTTTAAACATTAATAAAAATTATAATTTTTAAAAGTATTTTATTACATCTGATCTTTTGATATGTTGCTTATTGAACTATTAAAAGCTTATATTTACCTCGGCAGACGTTTTCTCCGTGGATAATATCTTGGCAGACATCAAAAACTTACCTACTACCTGACCGTATTTTTGAAACAACCCAATTTGATAAGTGGTACACAGGAATAGCAAAGTGAACCTGCGGAGGGTGTTTGTAGAGATGATTTACTTCTAACAGATGCGTCAACATCGAGTGCACCTGATTTTAATTCTAGTTTAGGTGAAGAACATGAACGGTCTGAAGACAATAACTCGCAGGATGCCCATTGCTCAACAAATAATGTAACTCAAATGAATTTTGACCCTGCTAATTGGCCGTCAAATATTTCAGATTTACTCAGAATAGATATAATTAAAAAGGGACCTGCGCCACTTTTAAAAGATTTTAATTTCCCTGCAAACGAACAAGGCCGAAAATGTACCATTTCGTATTACAAAAGAACACTTTCTAATGGAATTGTTGAAATAATTCTAATTGTTTCTGTTGCAAACTCTTCTGTACAAGCAATTCATCATTCATCATTATTGAGAAAAGGATATCGGGAATGGAAACCTACCTACTTTCTGCAAAATATGACACAAATTCTTATTTCAAAATATTAATTTTCTCAGGGACAAGAAAAATAATGTGGCAAGACAAAATAATTTCAAAACCTGTATAGGTACTCTTCTCTTTTTATAATGCATATATTTCAGGCCTGCAATTTTTTGTTATGTGTCGTTACATACGTGCCTACACAAAAAAAATATGACACGCCCCTCATTATTGATGCCTCCCAAAATTCCTATTAATAGCCCACCGACTGGCCCCTTTATAGTAGTATGCCTTTTAGGTTGGAAACCTTTATCTTGCGTCGAGTGTACCAATAATTGATATTATTCAAACGGGAATAAATAACGTTACCACTTATGTCCCGGTAATTGTAATTTATTCTCTATTTTTCAATGTGATCCAGGAAATTTTATAAAATGGCAATAACTGGTACTTCCATCAGTTCAAAATTAGTCTACGTCTAGTTTAAAATCTGCTATTTACCTAATTTGTAATAATACCACACGTTCACTATCCAAATTTTTGTTAATAGGCCAGTTATATCTCATAGCACCTTATTTAATGTATTACCAAATCACGATGTTGCCTATAACTATATCTATATCATAAAAATGTGAATGGCACAAATACGCAACGCGTTCGAAAATTGACTGTCCTGAATCCTGAAGCTTTTACGCTTGCTCTACAAACACATTCGTAGTACGTATCCCAAAAACCGACCGACCAAGGTTGGCTTAGCAATTTTGAACGCCACAAATGCCTCAAATCACAAATCTACAGACTGTAGACAGTGAGATCAACGCACTCTATAAAACAAACAAGTGACGATAGCTTATGCAATAGGTCATAAACCCAGGTTCCTAACCACAGATAATAATTTCATCCACGAAGACAAGCCACTGCGGAGCATACCGGGAGTCACTTTCACTAAAAACCTCGACGCCACTGAAAATCTTCTATTTTATGTATTTAAACGAATCCCTACTTTTTTTTTAATTTTCGTTAAAGCTACCAAGCACTTCATTAAATCTAGCACAACTCTGAAATTATGTGTTCGTGTCACTTATTTCCCTGTGGTAAGTTTGTGGTTTGAAGTGGTGGGAATTTTAAAACATCGACTTATCAAAAAAATTAAAATTAAAAAAATTATGGGAACTAATAAAACGCAAAAATTTAGTCAAGCCATAATATATTTCAGTTACTTTAATGGTGTTTTATTTTTCTTTATGTGGGCTACCATTTTTATTTGGTTTTTATTCTAAAGATTTAATTGTTGAAGATATTAGTCACATTTATAATATAAATAATGAACAATACATGTCACACTCTAAATAATATAAAATTCGTATATACATTTTTTTATATACAACCCTGGAAAATTTATTACATTTTTTGCAAGCCTTCATCAGCCCTAACCAGATTCAGACGTTTTGTCTCGAAAAATTCATCTTCAGTGTATTCGTTCCAAATTTATCTAAATTTTTTATTTAGATTTCTTTGTTTATTGAATTATCGTACACTGTAAGTGTCGTTAGACCTTGTGAATTCCATCTAGTTATTTAAACTATTACCACCACGCGCTACAATAGAACATTTATTATTATTAACTATTACCATCACTTACATTATAATAAGTTGTTGCGTCAAAATTAAAACATTATTCTTTAAAAAATTTCAGTAAATGTTCAAAAACATTTTCGTTTTGGCAAAGGTTAAAAATGAAGATCAGCATAATATTATCGGAATTTATTATATCTGTAACTGCAACTGTGTAAGAGCATGTCAGATGTATTTGTATGAATATCCTGAAAAAAAAATAGATCGGAATTTGTTTGAATTTTGAGCACTCGAGAAGCCTAGAAATAACTATGGACACGAGAATAAAACTCTAATAATGTTTTATTTTAATGCGTGGTGGTAATAGTTTGAATAACTAGATGGATTTCACAGGGTCTAACGACACTTACAGTGTACAATAATTCAATAAACAAAGAAATCTAAATAAAAAAATAGATAAATTTGGAACAAATACACTGAAGATGAATTTTCGAGACAAAACGTCTGAATCTGGTTAGGGCTGAAGCAGTAGAGTATTGGGGGCATGAAGGCTTGCAAAACATATAATAAAATTTCCAGGGTCGTATTTAAACATATAAAAATGGATTATGCCATTCGATAGAGGGCAAAAAGTGTCCATGAGAAAGTGTTCTTCTTTTTTCAATATCACCTCGAACAAGACTGAAATGTAACAAAAACGGATCTCCTAAATTCCGTTTTTTTTTTCAAATATTTCTAAAACTAATCATGTTCGCCTTGATTTTTTGGAGACATAATGTAGGCCCCCTGATTATGCAACTTTGCCCCCGTTTAAGCTACTTTGTATCTCTTACTGTTTCCGAGACCCGTGTAGTGAGAAGCGAATTTGTAACAGCTTGTATATAGCAATATTGATTTTATAAATAAAAATATTTTTTCTCCTACTTAAAGCGTTGTTATAAGTACAAAAATAATAAACAAAAACAGGTACGGACATCCCTGAGACTATTACATTCAATATTAAGATTTATAATAGAATTGACAACATATCAAAGCATTCATATCTCCATGTACGTGTCAGTAATTCTCTCCCCGAAAAGTCCTCTTTTCTTGTGGTTCTCTATGAACTCCATCAAATCCCTGGACATGGCATAGGGTCGATCTATACCATCATTGAGTAACTTGTCCTCGCAGAAGCACAAGTAAATGGTATCGATTACAATCTAGACAGAAAAGAAAACATTCAGAACATTTCCAAACATGACTATACAGGGTGTCCGGAAATACCGTTCGAATAATTCTAGGGGTGATTCTACATGTTAAATTATGAAGAAAAGTTCATATGAACATAGGTCCGCAAATGCGTCATAAGGTTGCTATGGCGATTCAAAGATTGCACCGGGATATAGTTAGGTTTTATTTTATATCTCTGGAACCGTTTCAGATAGCCATCTGAATTTTGGCATATGAATTGCCTTTAATAGTAGGTACTTTTCAGTGTTTTTACTAAATTATTATTTTAATCAGGGGCGTACCGACAGGGGAGGCCTCGATTTAATTTGTTCACATTTTTATTAAACGTCATATTTTTGCAGTTTTCTTTAGAAATTCTGATTCCGCGGTATAAATGACATAAAAAAGGTATTCTTGTAGAAAACCTGTCAGGCTAGCCGTTTTCGAGAAAATACTCTCCAAAGAAAATAGTGCATGCATGGTCGCCCAATAATAAAAATTTCTACATCAAAGTAGGCTTATGTCGGTGCTAAGTTGAAAATGGAAAAAGGTCAAATTACTGTAGTTACGGTAAACGAATTTGACATAAGGTTTAAAAATAAAGTTTATTCGATTATTATTGTGTTAATAACAGTGTAATTGAAAAAAATCATTGTTCTCGTCTTTCAAAAAATGCCGGAATACTCTTTTGCTGAAATGGCCGACATGCACTTCATGTATGGCAAAGCAAACGGTTGTGCTTTGGAAGCTCGGAGGTTGTACCAAGAAACTTTTCCAAATCGCCAGCTTCCTTCTGATAAACTGTTCAGCAGTTTACATCAGAGATTAAGAGAAACTGGTAATTTTACGCCAAATAAGAGAGATTGTGGACGAAACCGTACTACCCGAACGGCGCAGACAGAGGAAATTGTTCTACAACAGATTGAAGCTAATCCAGGTAGTAGCACCAGAAGAATTTCAGTACAAACGAATATTCCCAAAAGTGTTGTATGGGAAATTTTACACGAGGAACTTTTGTATCCATACCATTTGCAAAGAATTCAAGCGCTAAAACCTCGGGATTTTTTGCCTAGAGTGGAGTTTTGTCAGTGGATGCAGATGAAATGCCATCAGGACCGTCATTTCCTCGATAAAGTCTTGTTTACAGACGAGGCAGGATTTACGCGTGAAGGAGTGGTAAATTTTCATAACAATCATATTTGGTCAGATGAAAATCCTCACGCGATTTTCGAAGCTCGATTCCAAGATAAGTTTTCCATTAATGTTTGGGCAGGTATTATAGGAAATAGGTTACTAGGACCATATGTTATGCCGCATCGTTTAGATGGGCCCGCATACTTACATTTTCTACAAAACACTTTACCAGTTTTGCTCGAAGATTTGCCTTATGGATTAAGATTAGAAACATTTTTTATGCACGATGGGGCTCCAGCCCACTTCAGTTTATTAGTTCGACAATATCTAAATCAGACTTATCCAGATCGGTGGATTGGACGAGGTGGACCCGTAGCTTGGCCTCCCCGTTCGCCGGATCTTAATCCGTTAGACTATTTTCTATGGGGTTATTTAAAACACTTAGTTTATTCAGTGCCTGTTGACAGTGTACAACAACTGGAACAAAGAGTCATTCATTGTTGCCAAGAAATACGGAATATGCAAGGTGTTTTTCAACGAGTTAAACGTTCAATGAGAAATCGTTTAGCCAGTTGCATTGAAATGAATGGACATCACTTCCAACACTTGCTGTAACTAAAGAAGTAACATTCAGGTTTAATAATAAGTCACTAGTATTATTTGTTTCTGTATTGTTCCCTGTTTTTTTTTTAATTATAAATCTGTTTTCCATTTACCGTTTCTTTTTTATCACTATTTAACAATACCTGACAGGTTTTCTACAAGAATACCTTTTTTATGTCATTTATACCGCGGAATCAGAATTTCTAAAGAAAACTGCAAAAATATGACGTTTAATAAAAATGTGAACAAATTAAATCGAGGCCTCCCCTGTCGGTACGCCCCTGATTAAAATAATAATTTAGTAAAAACACTGAAAAGTACCTACTATTAAAGGCAATTCATATGCCAAAATTCAGATGGCTATCTGAAACGGTTCCAGAGATATAAAATAAAACCTATATCCCGGTGCAATCTTTGAATCGCCATAGCAACCTTATGACGCATTTGCGGACCTATGTTCATATGAACTTTTCTTCATAGTTTAACATGTAGAATCACCCCTAGAATTATTCGAACGGTATTTCCGGACACCCTGTATAGTACAACACACTTTTTGTTCCTGTTTAAAGCTTAAAATATTACTAAGTCAAATTCAATTAAAAGCGTTAACGTGTATGGAATGCTTTATCTAACAATAAAATTTATGGCATACCAAATCGAACGAAATATCACAGTCTAGATTAATATATTTTTAAACTGTCTATTCCAAAAAACAAGATGTTCGAGTTGAGCAATTTTTATTTAATTTCTGCCCACTAATACTTATTACTTATTAATTACAAATTTAGGAACTGAACGTTTTAAAATAAAACGGATCAAGTGAATAAAAGTGTTTACACTCAATTAGAGTTTAGAATTAGATCAATTAGAATATAAATAAATTTTCCTTATACTGCGGGTTATTTCTTCACGACAAATATACTTAGTTTTCTGAACGTCGCCATACACTACAGAATATTATGGATCAGTTACCTGAAATATTGAGAAGCAGACGGCTGACACAATAAAGGAAACAATGCCTACCACGGCGTAAACAGACCATCCGTGGGGAGAGTTAACGCCCTGTAGATATTCATATAATTATTTGAATGGCACAGAAAGTATTAATTAATAAGACGTATTCGGTAACACCGTTTTTATTATACAGAGTGTAACTTTAAACGGGGGTAAGTTTTTTAGGGGTGTTCCCTTGAAAACGAATCTGAAATCCTTTTTTTTATCGAATCAATAGACTATCAGCGTTGCCAGCTTTTACTGTTTTTTAAATCAACCTACATTGTACGATGTACAACTTCCATTGTACAATGGAAAATAATTCAGTATAACATATTGCTTTTATATGGCTTAGAGACGTGTTATTTTAAAGTCATTATATTTCTTTGACATCATTGTGGTAGAAGAACCGAACGTGTAAAAAAAACATTCTATTGCTTAAATAAAATATATTTATTTTTACCTGATTTATTTAATATGTATGTACCTATTGGTATACTTACTATTTCAAATAAAACTAATTTATGTTTTAAAATAAATATTTTTACCCTTTTAGAAACAAAATAAAAATACTTACGATTACTACAAAAATACTTAGGAAAGATAAAACAGGTAATATTAAAAAAAATCTAAACAAAATACGGTATGTTGCTATTTTTTCTTTTTCTTATTCGGTCATTTCAGCAGTTAATCGATGTTAAATTAATCCAAAATTTAAGTAGAATTCGATTATGTTTTGAACGCTAACAAGGGCAACGGATGTTAGTTTCCACTGTTCAGTTAAAATGTCGAATTGCGGCCTCTGAGAAGCCGCTACTGCCAGTTGACTTCACACTTGGTAGTATATGATGATATGGTAAAGAATAAAAGGCAAACTACACTACTTAAGTTAATTCGGAGAAATAGCCTCCGTATACGTAAACATTTGACCCCCGTTTAACGTTACACCCTATATACTAAATTTGTGAAATTAAGGACATTACCATCATAACGAAATAGGTTAACAATAACGATATAAGCATCACTAGGACACAGGCCATAACTATAATGAAACTTCCAATGTAGTGGAGGACAAAGACGTTCGCTACGTTCTGACGTAACATTTTTGTCCCCATTTTGCCGGATTCGAAGAACGGTTTACCGTGCATTGCTGAAAAGTAAAATTGCCAGTGTAAATAAATCTTATAAAGTCATAATTGATATGTGTTGGTTTTGTCACGCAACTAACCTGTCATAATATACGCGTTTGTGGTCAAATACTGTAAGATGTCTTCGATCACCTCCAAGCACAAATTTAAACAATTCTTTAAGATACTATTTTTGAAAACTGAGGACAATATGGATTGGATGATTGCTACAATACTGATTACTAAGGATCCAAATGCAGCGGAACCCAAATGGAATTTGACGGCTATGTAGGCACTGGTTATAATAGAAGGATTCAAATTGTTCTTATCTCTGAAAAAAAAAGATTTTATTTTCTTAAGAAATATCCAGATTTTTTGGGACATTGGCCCATTGTTTCCAAAATATACTAACAATGATTACAATATTTTAACCCACGAGACTTGAACTCTTAGCCTTTAGTCTAGGAGTCAGATAGGGTTCCGTGGCCAATCAGAGTGCCACGGCTGAAAACAAATTATTCTTAAGTATTTTGACCTCCTGAATCCAAAAAAGTTGGTCGCAAAGCCTGAAAGTGGTCAATTTAATTGTTATTAACAAATTAAATGTTTAAATGGCTGTAATGGTTTATTTTTATAGCTAGTACACTTTTTTATGCGTTAATAGTTACGTTTTCTCATAACAAACATACATTTTTTTTTTTATTAAAAAATGATTGACGTTAACCAAAGTTACTGCAACAACTTTGGTTAAAGTTAATATTTTTTAAATTTTCAATCAGGTATATGTTTGTTATGATAAAACGCAACTATTAACGCATAAAAAACTGTACTAGCTATAAAAATAAACTTTTTACAGCCATTTAACATTTAATTTGTTAATAACAATTAAAGTGACCACTTTCAGGCTTTGCGACCAAGTTTTTTGGATTCAAGAGGTCAAAATACTTAAAAATAAGTTGTTTGCAGCCGTGGCACTCTGATTGGCCACGAAACCCTATCTGACTCCTAGACTATAGTACGATCATATTCGATGCAAAGTAATAAATCATTGCCTGTCAAGGGAATCAATGAAGTACGCCTTTAAGGGTTTTACAAATTGAATAATTTCTTTATACATTATAAAGGGACGAGGGGATCAGTTCAGGTCTGGCACCCTTGTTGCTACAAAAATTCCTTTATTCTCATAAACTATTTATTTTAAATGTAATTTATTATAAATCCAATTTGTTTCCTAAATTCCACATATGTACTACATTTTACCTCTGTACGCGCCACTGTTGTTTACTTGTTTTTTGGAAGCGCTCTCTAATTGGCAGCAAAGCTCGCCAGGTTAGTATTTGACGTATAACCGACCAGTTCGTACACTCGATGCACCTGGGCGACTACAGCTACTACCAGAACACAGTGCGTATGCAGCGGTATTTCAGATTTTACATTGAATTTCATTTTAAATTTGAAATGATTTATCTTACGCCTCCTAAAAATGATGACACGATTTTCCTTTGATAAATGGCCGACAATTTTTTGCTCTACTTTGCATTGTATACGATCCTACTATAGTTGATTCGACGATAGTCTTGGTTTTGTAAAATAATTTGAATAATCTTTTACTTACTTTGCGAAATACCATTTGGAAACAGCACCAGCAATCGCCATACACTGGATTCCCGCTGAGAACTGGTTAATCCAAAAAGCCATCAAAATGGTAAAATAAATGGAGAACGACATCACAACATTGGATTTGTACACCAAAAAACCGTGCTCTATCTCGGTGAGTGTACCTGCTGTGTACATGTACACCAACACAGTCAGGAATAAAGAAGCTACCAACAGATCTACAATAAATGCCTGAAAGAGATAACAGTAATGTAGATTTGTAAGTTCGTTAATGTAAAAAAAACCCTTACCACGATGATTACCCTCAGAAGATGGGGCATAGCAGAGATAGCCTTCATGGCTTCCTTGAATATAACGACCATCAAGGTAATTTTCTTGTACAAAAATTTCATAACGGCGAGTAAAACCCCCAGCATGATCGTGAAAAACAGAGGTACAGCAACGTAATCTTCTTTGAAGCAACTGATCCTAAAAAAGGTTCAACTTTTGCCATCTATATTGGTGGAGAGAACAGTGCTTACCACAAAAAAATCACGAAAATAAACAGGAGAGAGACGACTCCTCCTAAGATATTCCATACCATATTATCCGCCGCTACACGGAAGAGATACAGTACAGAGAGTGTAACACCTAAAAGATAAAATATTATTTATGTCACAGGAAGCAATTACTTTTGATATCTAACACCATTAATATAGCAGTAGAATCACCACCTATATTTTTATAATTATTTTCGGCTTTCCCTCATAAATACATGTATAAATTTTTTTGATCAGAATTAGATTCATCATCATTCATCACAAAACTTTGAAATTTGACCACGTGTTACTGATATGACTATAAAGTAATTTACAATTTATACATTTATATACATTTACAATTTATACTGGTTTGCAAACTTATGTGGCAGTTAGGCAAGGTTCTTTTGTTTCGAGAGATATGTCCCTCTCTTCTGCAGAACAAGAAAGTCTGGAGAAACTGTAGATTAAGTCATCTGGCCAGTATTTACACTAACTTACCCGCAAATTGTCCCATTACTTTCTCTTTAAATAATTAAATGAAAATCCTTTATAGAGACAAAGCTTCACACAATACTAATTGTTAAACCTATCTTCATTATTATTTCCATAACTAGTGCTTACCTACAGACAAGAAACATGCAAAGGTAAGTCTCCATGACACGGATTGCAAAAATATCCACGATTCAAAAAATTCGAGCACTATTTTAACATCAGCCTTTTCTGCGTATCTGTTGACACAAAGTGCTCCTACTATTTCGTCGCTGAAAGCAGGGAAGCTTTAGTATATCATTAAATGACACAAAAAATACAAGGTATCCGAAAAGAAAAAACAGAGAATCAAATTAGTTCCACGTAAAGGATACGTTGAACAACAATGATTCCAAGCTTCAATAATTCAGAATTATGTTAAAATAACTAAATGAGAAACATAAAATATACTTAAAATCGAAAAAATATCTATTTGGTGACTTCTCACTAATAAGCGACTCAAAATCACATATCCGAAACAATGTCTCAACTTCTTTACAAGTCACTATTAGTTAATTTGTCATTTACCTTAATTAGAATAGTAAAACTTTTATTTTTTTATACACTAATGTTGGGGAACATAAATGGCGTCCTTATTTTTATACTAGGATAGAATAAAATACGGGGTGATTGACAACTTATCCCAAAAAATTTGGTAAAAAAATTCCGTGAAAAAATTTTTTGAAGTTGTAGTATTTTCAACCTTTATATCGCTGGAAATCATTTTCGAATTGCCTTTTTTGATTTTTTTTACAAGATTGTATTTTTGAGTCCCTCATTGTCTTGTAATAATTTCCAGTGAATTCCATCCATTCCAAATATTGTCCAAAACAAAACTATCTCTTTGTGGTAGCTGTTTGTTATGCGATTAACCTTTATCAAAGGGTGACGACAGAACAGCAAAAATACAACAGATCTATCTTACAGAGGAAAAGCTTGTTAAAATAATTTTATACTACAATATGAAATTTCTCATATCACTATTGAAAGAAATATACCTGTTAGATTTCGATGTTTACTTTGAGACACCTTATATAAACGAAATACTTACTAGTATGGGTCACATTGAGAGACACAATGTCGGGGAGTTGAAGATATGTCCCTTAAACCGTTAACGTCATCGAGCTGTAAAAGCCTAGAAAAAATATCAAAATTAATCATGGTAGACTATAAGCACAGCTTATGTGAACCAGCTAAATCGGATGAGCGCGTTTTCAGTCTACAGGGACCCTTCAGAATTTGCCAACTGTGTGTAACAAACAGATTAACCCCAGTATGAGTGAAAATGGTGAAATGAGTCGATGCGCAGCTTCTACATGACCAAGTATTTATACTACTATTTCTTCCAGTAGTACCTAACTTAAGATCCTATGGGTTCAAAATACATTCTAAAAATAAAATGAGAACACCAAAAATGCCTGAATAAAGATCAAAATTCCGACAACGAAGTAAAGTTGCTGGTTTACATATGCTGTACTATAAGAACATTTATATGTCCAGAGTTGGAGTGGAATGATTCTGAAATAACCAACCAATCCAAGGCCGATCCAGTGGCCATCGAAACCACCTGATTTCTAGCATATGAACTCACTTCTTATTCGTGTAATCTTTTCCAGTACACTCCCATTGGTCATATTTAATGTTTTTCTTTCCGCAAATATTGCCGCATTGATCGGAGAGAGATCTGTCTGCATCAGAATAGCACAGGGTGTATATTACAAAGGGCAGCTGGAAAAAAGATCTCGAATTAAGCGGTGTTCAAGTGTATGAGTAACAAGTCAAAAATGATAGAATGAGTATGATGAGTATTATGAGTATGAGAACTTATGAGAATATGAATATGAGTATAATGGCATATGAGTAAAAATTATGTGAGTGAGTATTATATGAGTACATGTCAAAAATTTTAAAGCTTGAAACACAGAACTTACCAAAACGAGTAGCGCCACCTTAAGAGCCAGTAGAAATTTTTCATCTGTACGCACCCTACCTTGGGCACATTTTGGTATTTCTATTCTATCGTGACAAGAGTTGTCGCTTGAGACCAGCCTTTCGTACATAGAAAGCTGTAACAAACATTATACAAATTGGAGTGGGTTTAAAAATATTACAAAAACTCTACCAGATTCGTAGTTACAAATCTGCATCTTCATCCTCAGTTACTAATAGAAAAATTCTGATTTTTATATTTTTCGGTGCCAAATAAAAATAAATTCGCTCACCTGATCCTGAAGTCTTGACGTACACGTCCCCATATTAAATGTCTAAAATTCCTGTAATATATTAAAAATTAGCTAAACGAGTGACAAGAACATCTTGGTATATGTATAGCACATTCATAGATTTAAGAGAATGGCATCGGTAAAGAAAATAAAAATCCCAGGGATTTAAAGTGAGATTATTTGATATTGCACAATTTACAGATGTCGGAAGGTATCAGGTAAAAGAAGTAATGTTGAAAAATATTTTTGTATTTGTAAGATAGATCTGCTACAATTGTACTTCCAACAAAAATAACAAAAAGGCGATTCTACAAATTATATTAACAAAATTTCTTGCCCAGATAGGAGAATAGGGCTTCTGAAACATGCTTCTAAATATTTGACTACGGAACCAAAGAGTCAAAGACTGGTGGTATCAGAAACGAAATCAATTTTTCATAGAAATCGAGAAAAGGAGTTTAGTAAGTTCTTCAGGAAAGAGGACGATGAATTTTGGTGTACTATAGATGTATATAAGGTCTCAGTATCATTCACTTATATGATAATTTATTACTTTACTAATGTGAACACAAATAATATTGTACTGATTTTCTTCTTTTAAATAGGGTCTTGTAAGATTATTCCTAGTAACAATATCTGCTTTTGTTTATTATTAACTATTATAAGTTCCACTATTCTATACACAGATAAATATATTTTAAAAAATTTAAAAAGCTGTTTACAGTATCACTACAATGACGTTATCAATGGCCCAGTTCTGAAAGACCTATTGAATTACCGATTATCGAATGCAAAAGGCTTTTAAAAAAATATTTCAGTTAAATTAAACACAAATGTCATAGAAACTGACTTTTTCCTATGATTTTACGAATTAACAGGTATAGAAAGTACTTACTTAATACTTTTAAATATTGGTACATAAATTAAGAATTCCATTTATTTATCAGTTTGTAAAAAAAAGGTATATGAATATACGGGAAACTCCAAAAACAGTCAGAAAACAGAAGAAGTAAATGGTACGTATCTTTAATATTAGGTATAAATTGTAACTCATAATTATCAACACATTAAATCAATGAATACAATGAATGAATAAGTATTTTCTATTGATAAATTAGTAAGATCGCAAACTTCTGTCTTAGTTTCTGTTTATTAGAAATAATCATAATATGTAATTGTCCCACCTAATTGTAATTGCAGGTCACGGAAAACGGCAAACTTCGTGGAGATACTTGTTAACGGGATATATAATAATTAGAAGGTAATGCAAGAAACACACGTCGCTATACCACAAGAATAAATAGTTGTTATTTATTCTTGTGGCTGTACTACACGTTTATACACAATATTCATTTACACATTAACGTGCTCCCTTGAACTTGACATTTACAAACATACCGGTGGATTAAGAAAAAAAACGTACCTTTTTAAACATAATTTATAAAGTATTAACAGCTTCTGAAAATAGTTCCATCTGTACCTGTTAAACCAAAAGTCTTCATAGTTATTGGTTTTGCTTAAATATTGTTGTCAGCAGTAAATGCTGTTACTCTCTGAAAATGTATAAAAATTGCCAAGGTTAGATAGGTTTTTAACATTGAAATTCAACTTTTAATGGTATATTCGATGACCTTTTATTTTTATTTCTTACATGTCGGAATCTAATAATTAAAATTTATAACGCAAGAAAGATAATGTGGTTAGTAATTTCCATGACTTGTTCCGTATCTTGGGACTATATTTATTTTAAAACACATGGTACACCGTGGCGAAATCGAAGTGAAAAATATTTCTAGGAATTTTAATACGGCCCGTTAAAAAATAAACCTTCAGCAGATTAATTACTTAAAAGTGATGCGCAAACAATCTTATTTTTCTATGATTTCTAGTTATGTATTATTGTTTGATTCCTTGAAGTGGCATGGATATGAGCAAACTATTTTATTTTTCTAACGATATCTATTTATATATTATTAGCCAGAAATTACCTAGCAGAATTTAGAACATTTAACATTGTGAAGGTCAGAAATGCTTATGTTAATTAATAGTGGATGGTTTTGTTTTAATTTAACGTAGCTCAAATTAAAACCAAGAAACAAAATAATTAGCAACGTCGGCGTTGTCTGCAAATAAAAATTAAGCTTAATTGTGCATTAGCTGTATTGATGCGAATGCTTGTGAAATCCATTTATTTGAAACTGAAAACATACACAGCAGACTTATGAAAATGAAACGTGTATTATACATATACAGGCTGTTACAAATTCGCTTCTAAAATCAAGGCTGATTAGTTTTCGAAATATTTGAAAAAAAATCGAAATTTTGGAAATACGTTTTTGTTTCATTTCAGCCTTGTTTGAGGTGATATTGAAAAAAGAAGAACACTTTCTCATGGCCACTTTTTGCCCTCTATCGAATGGCATAATCAATTTTTATATGTAACGTTTCGTTTCTCCATCATCAACTTCATTTTTCTAAATACGACCCTAGAAATTTTATTACATTTTTTGCAAGCCTTCATGACACCCAATACTGTACTGCCTCAGATCGGATCAGATTCAGACGTTTTGTCTCGAAAAATTCATCTTCAATGTATTCGTTCCAAATTTATCTAAATTTTTTATTTAGATATCTTTGTTTATTGAATTATCGTACACTTTTAAGTTTCGTTAGACCCTGTGAAATCCATCTAGCTATTTAAACTATTTTTTAACTAATCATGTTAGCCTTGATTTTTTAGAGGCATAATGTTGGTCCCCTGATTACGAAACTTTGCTCCCATTTAAGCTACTTCGTAGCTCTTACCGTTTTCGAGATCCCTGTAGTGTGAAGCGAATTTGTAACAGTCTGTATATAATATGTACCAATAATTGATATTATACAAACGGGAATTAACAGAGTTACCACATGTTCCAGTAATTGTAATTTATCCTCTATTTTCTAATGTGCTCCAAAAAATTTCATAAAGTGGCAATAAATAACTGATACTCTTATCAGTTCAAAATTACTCTACGTCTAGTTTAAAATCTGCTATTTACCTAATTTATAATGTTGTTCTTGGGTTGCGTCACGAATATACGAAAATATACAAACTCTACACTCTCACTATCTATTTTTTTGTAAATAACCCAGTTGTAGCACCTCATTTATTTTATCAAATCTCGGTGTTGCCGAAACGTAACTATATCATTAAAATGTAAATGCGTCTCGGTGTCTTGCTTATTCTGTTGCTCCTACTCGTAAACAGACAACCTAGACGCGAAACGTTCGAAATTTGACTGTCCTAAAACTACTATGCCTGATCTTCAAACACATTCGTAGTACTCCCAAAACCGACCGACCAGAGTTGGCTTAGCAATTTTGAAGCCCACAAATGCGAAAATCAGCGACGAGTTATCGGCAAAATAGCCACATGCCAGACGGGAAACAGTGAGATCAACGCACTCTATCCAACAAACAAATGATGCTACCTTACGTAATTGACCATGAATCTAAATTCCTAACCACAGGCAAGAATTTCATCTACCCAATATCTAGGCACGTTCTGAACTTGAGAAGACAAGTCCTGTAATCTTGCAGTTCTTAGATACCCGCATATATCCTCCCAAAATCTGCTACAACTTTGTATTTGGCGGGTTATTCTTTGGAAGTCCTGCAAAGGAGTCTGTCTGCAAGCGTTATATTTTATATAATTGTCGATCTGTTTTAAGTCAATTGCTTTGCTCTGGTAAGTAAATGTACTTTTTTTGGAATTTACTTGGTAGTGAGCTCTTATTTGTAGGAAATTAGAATCCACTTAGTGTAACCGAGGCCTAACTCAAAATTTTCATGAATAAATCCAAGGATTAATTTTGTCTCGGTCCACACATAGAAAATCACAAGCGCTCATGTTTTTCCTGGTGTGCAAAAAGAAATCACTTTTTCTAAAATAAATTATTTTATAGGTTTTAGGGATGGTTATTGGCAATGAAAAAAAACCTGAAGGGTGACATTTACAGGTAAATCTTGACTTATGAAAGAATTATTTAACAAATTATGGAAACTAATGAAACGCATAAATTTTGTTAAGCCATAATATATTTTTATCTGCTTTTCATGGTGTTTATGTAACAGACACATTTATTTTATAAATAGTGAACAATATATAAAACACTAATATATAAGCCTTATAATATAAAATTAGCATACATTAGGCTATATTGGCTTTATAAATAAAAATATATTTTCTCTTATTGAATCGTAAGTACAAAAATAACGAACAAAAACAAATATTGACGTCCCTGACACTGTTACATTTAAACATTAAAATTGGTAACATTTTGTATGGTCAAAGCATTCAAAGATCTATGTCTATGTCTTCTTCTCTCCAAAGATTTTCTTGGAATCTTCCATGAACTCCATCAAATCCCTGGACATGGCGTACGGTCGAGCCATACCGTCGTTGAGTAATTTGTCCTCACAGAAGCACAAGTAAATGGTGTCGATTACAGTCTGAACAGAAAATAACAAATTTTAGAACATTTACAAACAAGACCATATAGCACAATACACTTTTGACTGGATTCTTTAATTCTGGTTTAAAAAGTATTACTAATAGTCCAATTGGTATCTGTTTCGGAATGGATGTTTTATATAGTAATGCTAATTTTTGTTGGAAATAGTTCTAAATATTGTGTAAAATGATAATTGCGATATGCGCCCGCTGAAAAAAATTATTGTGAATAATTGTTAGCGCAAGAAAATGTAAAAAAAAAATAAAAAAGGCGCATTTCTCTCCCTTCTTTCATGTATAACTCGGAGAATATTGACATTAGAGAAAATAGTCAAAGGAAAAAAGTTTCGTTTTGAGATTCTCTTACAGTATAGACCGAAACAAAATTCGTGAAAAAAAATGTTCATCATGAATTTATTTCGGACCTTGACTTTAGAGCAACCATATAAAAAGTATGGTTCTGAGTACTTTATGATACGGTGGTATTGAGGAAATTTATTAATCGAAATCGGCCAGGTAGTTTTCGCACAAATCAATTATTAACTAAGAAAATACAGCATTAAACTTACTTTTCAATTCTCTCTCACGGTAAAACCAATGATTATTTTGAGCTCCCAATTTTTATACATACCCTTTGAAGTCGCAACGACCAATCATTTTAAAATGTTCGATCTTATCTATTTTAGCAACAATTAGGATTTTTTCAAAATTGTTTCGAAGAAATACTTATATACATTTAGAGCTGAAGCTACCGTATTTGCATATTCTTCAAATGGGATCAAATAGAGGAAGAATTGAGGAACAAAATCCACTTTTGATCTTGTGGATACCATGAATCGTCATCGAAATATAAAAGCTCAAAGTTGAAGTGAGTATACGGCAAAACAACGTACTATACAATAACAATCAAATGAGATTTTGATTGTTTGAAGCAAAGACTTTATGACTATGAAAATTTGTTTAAATCGGAAATATATTTTAACTGTTCTGATGAAAAAAAGTTACATTTCACAGGATCGAGCAGAGAGTCAAAAAGTTGGAGTGGGGGACTATGCGAGCAGAGTAGCATAATTCACTAGCGCAATTCCAATCAATTTTTTTGTCAGCTTCCATAACAGATAACGAATCTAGTCGTTATTATTTTGCTGTAAAACGACCTTGACAGTCATTTGTGTTCGTTATTTCTCGAGATTTCATTTGCTGTAGGAACATATTCGTGATATAAAGGTAAATATGACTTGATAATGCAAGAAAATTCTATTATATTTTTCTACTTTCCGTAAGTAGTAAATTTCCTTATATTTTAACAAGTTTATTTTAATTTATGTGAAATATTAATAAAAGTTTTCGTAGCTGGATTTTCTATACATTATAGATAATAAAAGGATATTATCTATTTTATTGTTCTTTATTTTGCATACCTATACATTTAACTTGAAAGATTTTTTTTGAATAGACATTGTAAAATTCGAATAGATCTTGCTTTCCTCTACCGATTAAAAAAAATCTATTTATCTGTTGTAAAAGCTGACAAAATTTTTAAATGGGGATTGATTGTTGCGACTCGAAAGAGTATGTATAAAAATTGGGAGCTCAAATGATTGGTGAGAGAGAACTGAAAAGTAAGTATAATACAGGGTGATTCAGTCATAATGTCATTAATTTTAACCACGTATTCGGAAAGCTTAATAAAGACAGAAAATCGAAAAAAAAAATTTTTTACTCGACTTTTAAAAATGAAGGAAATCAACCCATAACTCCCGCTACGAGGGCTGCCCTGCCGATGCCCGGATGCTCGGAAAATTTTGTAACGTAATGTCACGAACAGTTGTCGGCTAAAGGAACAGCGTTGCCAAGTTCAGGTTCAAGCTCGCCAGGTTAGTATTTGACATATAACCGACCACTTCGTACACTCGATGCACCTGGGCGACTACAGCTACTACGAAAACAGCCGGTATTTTAGATTTTAAATTAAATTTGTTGATACGATTTTCCTTTGATAAAAGACCGACAACTTTTTGCTACTACACTCGTATTAGTCTAGGGGCTAGGGGCCAGATAGGTTTCCGTAGCCAAACAGAATTCCACGGCTGCAAATAACTTATTTTTAAGTATTTTGACTTCTCGAAACCAAAAAACTTGGTGGCAAAGCCTGAAAGTGGTCAGTTTAATTGTTGTTAACAAATTGAATGTTTAAATGGCTGTAAAAAGTTTATTTTTATAGCTAGTACAATTTTTTATCTGTTAATTATTACGTTTTCTCACAACAAACATATATTTTTTTGAAAATTAAAAAAAGATTAACTTTAACCAAAGTTATTGCAAATTTAGTGCAAATATATTACATTTTCCGTCTCTGCGCGCACCAATTTTACCATATCTCTGGTTCAATTGGACGGATTGAGACGCACATCTCATTTTAAAACTTAAACTTTATTTTACAAGATAGGTAAGTTCCATTGATTAATTAATTTATTTAAAAATTAATGGCAGCTTAGAAAGTTGTGGAATTTCAACGAAAATGTTGGCTTTATTGGTTTATAAAACTTTTTTTGTTATTCAATTTTTATGAAAAGCCAAAAAAGTTACCGGTTATTGTTCCTCGCATCCTAACAATGATTTCATGCCTTGCTTGATTGTTAGAATGCAAAGAACAATATCCGGTAACTTTTTTGGCTTTTCGTCGAAGTTGAATAATAAAAAAAACCTTATAAACAATTAAAACCGGCATTTTCGTTGAAATTTCACAACTTTCTAAGATGCCATTAATTATTAAATAAATTAATAAATAAATGGAACTTAGAACCAGATATGGTAAAATTAGTGCGCACGGAGACGGAAAATGTAAGAAATTTGCACTAAATTTGCAATAACTTTGGTTAAAGTTAATTTTTTTTAATTTCCAAAAAAATACATATTTGTTATGAGAAAACGTAACTATTAGCGAATAAATTGTACTAGCTATAAAAATAAACTTTTTACAGCCATTTAAACATTTAATTTGTTGATAACAATTAAACTGACCACTTTCAGGCTTTGCGACCAAGTTTCTTTGGATTCAAGAGGTCAAATATTTAAGAATAAGTTGTTTGCACATCTGGCTCCTGGACTATATGGTGCACGTGTGCAAATTAAAACTGGGTTAAAAGGTTACTGAACCACAGGTTACCCTAGGTCGGAAACACGACGTACCGAGTTGTTTATTTGTCTCCGTCCCATTGTTTTTTTATGGAATATACAAGTCTCTCTTCTAATTGCAGTCAATATTTAAATACTGCATACAATTTATCCTCTCTTTATAATTTATCTAGTGAGTGTTGGTTTTTTATGACATTATTTCTGTAACGAAATTGAAATGGTTATGAAATGAAATTTAAATTATTTGAACTTTTGGGGTTTTGTAACTTCAATATTAAATCTTATTTAAAGTGAAACAGCTAATTTCTTTGCAGCCATAATAGTCACATTTGGTCAGATGAAACACACTACTACCCGCACACTACTCGTCGGTGGTATAGCTTTCAGAGGAGATTCGGTGTCAATGTCAATGGCGATCGTTTAATTGGGCCGCATTTTCTACCTGAACATCTGAATGGGCCGCGTTACTAATTTTTAGTAGAATTGTTTGAAAACCTTCCCCTTCGGGCTTACAGCAAATGTTGTTAAAATATTAAAATTATGATGCTAATAAAAACTGATTTTTGGCAAGGCATGCTCAGACCTCGAGGTTCTTGCTGGGCAACAATAACAATTTAATATGTTGATTGCATAAATAAAAAATAATTTATAGCATTTTAAATTATTATTGGCTGACGTGAGCAAAACCGTTTATTTATTGTCTTTATATGAGCGAAAATATATAAATATGGCAACGTTGCATCTAGGGCGCGTTGTTCATAGGTTCATATCGTAGCCGTGCATAATATTGTGACGTCAGCCGGTCAGTAACAGCCTGAAAAGGGGGTTAAATAATGATTTGAAAATATTTTTTTTCAGCTTAAATATGCATTTAAATTTTTTTTTAATCACGCCATCGTATTATACTCATTTTTCTCTATCTGCTCTTAAAATTAATGACATTATGACTGAATCACCCTGTATAGTATTTTCTTAATTAATATTAATTGAATTGTACGAAATCTACCCGGCCGATTTCGATTAAAAAATTTCTGTAATACCACCATATCATGAAGTACTCAGAACCATACTTTTTATATGGCAGCTCCAAAGTCAAGGTCTGAAAGAAATTCATGAAAAAAACATCTCTTTTTCATGATTTTTTTTCCGGTATGTACTGTATTGCAGCAATAACGCACATGAAAATTTCGGACTACTTTCATTTTGAAGAGAATCTCAAAACGAAACTTTTTTTCCTTTGAATATTTTCTCTAATGTCAATATTCTCCGAGTTATACATGAAAGAAGGGAAAAAAATGCGCCTATTTTAATTTTTTTTTACATTTTCTTGCGCTAACAATTATGCACAACTTTTTCAGCGGGCGCATATTACAATTATCATTTTTCATAATATTTAGAACTATTTCCAACAAAAATTTGCGTTACTATATGAATCATCCATACAACCTATTTTTAAAATAGATATCGACTGGACTATATAATTGTTAAGAATAAATTGAAAGCCTCGACGTGTATATGAAGTTAACTGGCTTTTATTTCATTTCTGTGTATTAAATATATCTATTATCTAGGTAGGCACTGAGTTATTTAGATAATTAAGTAAACAGAGCATTTATGCGCAATACTGTAATTTAATTGGAATATAAATAATTTTCCTTATTATGTGGTTCATTTCTTCACGTCAAACTTAAATCCTACAAAATATTACAGATTTATACAGGGTATAGCATTGATATGGTTACAAATTATGTGATTTGACAAAAAAATTAGTTTTCACGTCGAAATTTGAAACAAACTTATGATAACGTGTTTATAGAAGTTAAAAGCAGCCTCCGTGTAAACATTACCCCCATTCAAAGTTACACCCTGTGTATTACTCACCTCAAATATTGAGAAGCAAATGGCTGCCACGATTATGGAAATGATTCCAACGATGACGTAAACCGCCCATTTGTGAGGTGAATCAACGCCCTGTAAATATTCATATAATTATTTCAATAGCACAGAGGTACTTATACATATTAACAAAACGTATAGGCTATTGACTATGTCAAAAAAATAGGGTGCAAAGGAACTACAACGTAACAGAAATTTTATTGTTTGATATTTTCAATTGATCATAAAAATGATAAAACCGCGGAGTGCTGCTACCTTTTAAAGAGGTGCGTTTTTGAGAACGAAGTAAAAAGGTGGTATTTCCAGTTTTTTGAGTTTTACTAGAAAACTATGCATTTTTTCCCTATAGTTGTCAACAGAAAAGTTGTAGCAAATTGAATTTCCCATCGAAATGAGACTGTCTGAAGTAAAAAAATTAATATTAGCAAAAATATGCCTAAAAAACCGAAAAAATTCGTTTTTTTTTTCTTTTTGGTTTTTGGCCCACAACTTTTTTCTGAGAGGAGTTAGGTATAGGCATTGCTTCACATAAAAAAAGCTAATGTTCCTTCCTTTAAAATAAGCTTTTATACCACTAATAGAAACCGAGATACATTGGATCAAAGTTGGCTACTTTTTGGATTTTTGGACGATTTTTGCCCTTTTTGACGCTTTTCGTCTTATAACTTTTTTCTGAGTTAATATAGGTATATGTAATGCCATATTCAAATGAAAGCTGGTTTCAAGACTTTTAAAATGATGCCTGGTAGAAGTTTGTACAATTAAAATCAACCGAGATATGTCAATTTAACCAACGATACTTTTTCTTATTTATATAAAATTTTTATTCCTTTCGGTATTATTTTGTCCAATAAATTTATTTTTGTGAATTTGAAAGTTAAAATAAGTTTCTAGGCGATTGGATATTATTATTTATTTATTTAAACAACAGTTAATCATATATATCTTATAAATTTTCATTTTCATTTAGCGTTTTTTCAATATTAATAATAATCAATTTCGTCGTCATTCCTACAATTTACAGGCTATTTTTTTCAAGTAAATTTTCAGGTGCAGGAGATTTATTAATAAAAATGGGAAATAGCCCATTTATGAAATTTTTCCAACCCCAATCAAGGGGATTTAAAGTACAACCATTCGACTGTTGCACCTGAAAATATACTCTTAACCCATGATGTTTGAGAGCATCAGTTGTTGGAGACAATCGAGATAAGGTAAATTTTTCGCTTGTTGAATACTTTTGAAATAATTTATATCGACAAGTTTTTAAGCTGTCAATTTTTTAACTATACATTATAGTTAAAATGCATTCAGATGCAGCAGCATACTCAACACTAGCATTTTCAAGTAAAAATACATCGAGGAAATTTTTTAATTTTGAAAAATTATTTACAAAATTGAAAAATTTTTCCAAAACCAAAAAATGAACACGTTGTGTCGCATCCACTGAACGCGTGAATAAAGCCTAAGTATTTGTAAAGATGTTTGAACAGAAAGCTATTATAGTTGTACAATTTAGCAGTTACATTTCCAATACTCGGTTTCAAAAAATATATATTATTGTATTCTTGTGGTAATATTGATAAAATAATAAGAAGATCGATATTTTAACCAACTACGAGTTTTACAACATTATTTGACTCGGAGGCCATATGTTTTGCTGTATTTACTATAAGAACATCTGCGTCTTCTTCAGCTTGCTCAGATTCTATATCCAATATTTCAAACTTTTTAATTAAATATGATATGAAATTTTTTTTATTATTTTCATTTGAAAAAAAATTATCTGGTTTGGATAACGCATATCAACTGTAACAAGTTTTAATAATAGGTAAATTACCAACGCATGCCAATCAAGATTATTTACCATTCACGAAACCGCGTCATTCGAAATTATTACGAGTATTCTGGTATGTGCATATATAAAATCATTTCACGAGCTTGCAAGCGAGGATACAATTGAGAGAGATGAATAATACAACAATTAAGCACATACTTTATGTTATGCAGGAGGACGAATTAATATCCACTCTTTTGGAGCTTTTGGCTCTCTATAATACTGTAATTTTAAGAATTTTTTAATTAAAAGTACAAAAATAATTAAAAGAATCCGAAATTTTACAAGATAAATATGATTAATTGTTGTTTAAAACTTATTTTAACTTTCACATTCACAAAAATATATTTATTAGACAAAATAATACCGAAAGTAGTAAAAATTTTATAAAAATAAGAAAAGTATCGTTGGTTAAATTGACATATCTCGGTTGGTTTTAATTGTACAAACTTCTACCAAGCACCATTTTAAAGGTCTTGAAACCAGCTTTCATTTGAATATGGCATTACATATACCAAAATTAACTTTAAAAAGTTATAAGACGAAAATCGTCAAAAAAGGCAAAAATTGGCCAAAAATCCAAAAAGTAGCCAACTTTGATCCAATGTATCTCGGTTTCTATTAGTTGTAGGTACTTTTATAAACGCTTATTTTAAAGGAAAAAACATTAACTTTTTTTTTCTGTGAAGCAATGCCTATACCTAACTCCTCTCAGAAAAAAGTTGTGGGCCAAAAACCAAAAAGAAAAAAAAACACATTTTTTCGGTTTTTTTACTCGTTTTTTGGGCATATTTTTGTTTAAAATAATTTTTTTTGACTTCAGACGGTCTAATTTCGATGGGAAATTCAATTTGCTACAACTTTTCTGCTGAAAACTATAGGAAAAAAATGTTTTATCATTTTTTAGGGTCAATGGAACATATCAAACAATAATTTCTGTTACGTTGTAGTTCCTATCTAAAGTACATAGTCAATAGCCTAGTATTGGACAACTCCATTTTTATTATAAACTAAATTTGTGATATAAAGACATTACCTGCAAAATCAGATAGGTGAATAACAGCGATATAAGCATCACTAGTACTTGGGCCATGACAATAACGAAGTCTCCAATGTAGTTGAGGACAATGATGTTCGCCACGTTCTGGAGCAAAATTCGTGCTGCCCTTTTACCGGATTTGAAGAACGGTTTTCCGTGCATTGCTGAAAAGTAATATTGCCCGTGTAAATAAATTTATGCCGTCATAATCGCTCTGTGTTGGCACCTGTCATAATATACGCGTTTTTGGACAAATACTTCAAGAAGTCCTCGATCACCGACATGCACGAATCAAAACAGGCCTTGACGAACTTGTTTTTGAAAAGCGATGAAATAAGTGAGCGGATGATCGCCATTACAGTGATTATCAAGGACCCAAAGGCAGCGGTACCCAAATGGAATTTGAAGGCTATAGAGGCGCTGGTGATAATTGGAGCATTCAGGTTGTTTTTGTCTCTGAAAGAAAAAATGTCGGTATTTCTATTTCTTTTGTTGCTTTTTTAAGGAAAAGTCCGAATCTTTTACTTTTTGTTAATATTTTTTCATGTACAAATACACTCTGATATCCTAATCTACATGACTTGAACTTCTAGCCTCGTTGTTAAACTGATAGTAGTCTTGGTTTTGCAAAATTAAGTCGTCATCTTCATTTTCGCGATAATCTTGCTATATAAATTCTTTCAACCAACATAGAAACACTTTGCTACTAAGTTAAATATTTTGCCAATTTTGAATATAATGATATGTTAAATTCTAAAGCTGTTATTTAGTATGGCAGATTTTGAGATACCAAGAGACACAAGAGGAAAATGTACATCTTTGAGTCAGTTAGATTTTCGTAAATTTAAAATTACTTACTTTGCAAAGTACCATTTGGAGACAGCACCAGCAATAACCATGTACTGGATTCCAGTCAAGAACTGGCTCACCCAAAAAGTCATCCAAAAGCTGAAGATAATGGAGAATTGCATCACCACATTGGGTTGATACTGCAAATAGCCGTCTATTATCTCAGTCAGTGTACCTGCTGAAAGCATGAATGCTAACGCAATCAGGAATATAACAACTACCAACAGGTCAGCAAAAAATGTCTGAAAATGGTAACAGTAATGTAGATTTGTAAGTTTGTCACTATGAAAAAAACCTTTACCACAATGGGAACCAGCAGAAGCCGCGGCATAGCAAACGTAGCCTTCATGGCTTCCTTGAAGATGACGATCACCAAGGCAATCTTCTTGTGTAAAAATACCAACACGGCGACTAATATCACCAGCATGACCGTGAAAAATAGAGGTGCGATAATGAGACCACCCTTGTCATTTGACTCTATTTTGAAGTAACCATACCTAAAAAAGATTCGTTTTGTGGCATTGATATTAACCCTGAGAAATTAGGCTTACCACAAAAATGCCACGAGTATAACTAATAAAACGAGCACCCCTGCCAGGATACTCCATACCATCGCAGCAGCGGCCACACGGAACAGATAGAGCATTGAGAGTGCAACAGCTAAAGTGTAAAGTGTTTTTTTATTTCATTGGAAACAATTGCTTGGAAAATTTGTTATTACCTAAAGATAAGAAACAAGCGAGGGTGAGTCTCCATGCCATGGATTGCAAAAATACCCCCAACTCACTGCTCCAGTTTTCCAAGTCGACATCAGCTGTGGCCTCTGTTCTGTCGATTTCTCCTTCGAAACAATATCCTTGGAGCATTTCACTGCTGAAAGTACACGAATCTTTGGTATATCCTTAGATGATTGACTAACAGAAGGTACCCGAAAAAAAATTGGCAAGAAAATAAGTTGTCACATAAGAAATACTAAAGCCATGATTCAAAGCTTTAATATTCCAGAACTATATCAAAATTGAGAAAAGAATAAGTAATTTAAATTGGAAATAAAATAAAAAGAATTGTTTTGAATTCTCAAAATTCCGTTTTAACTTTTAATTTATTTGTGACGAAATACATGAAATGTCTAATGACAAAATATGTCTACTGGTCGCCAAAATTAAAAAAATAAATAAAATTTATACTTTAATTTCATCGACTTCGTGTATTTTAAATGTTGGCTTATACAATTTTATATTATTATATGTCACCATTTGCAATATTCTTCCCTTGCTTCTCAACATTTCCAGACCGTACTCACACCAACGCCGGCTTACTGTGCAATCCTTTCTTGCACTCTGCCCAAAGAGAGAATACATCAGCTCTTATCACAAATTTAAATATATAACAATCAAATAAATAAATACTAGTAATCTATATTCTGCTAGTAGGCGGCTATAGAAACACGTACCATACACTCGACCAAACAGAGCGTCAAACTTACTAACATATGCACAAACCCACAAACGACAATGAAATACAGTCAACGTCCTCAGAAAAAAGCCTGGCACGCCAAGCAGACAGGGCAGGCATTAGGGTGCCGCTAGATACGTGTCGAATGAATTGATCGATGCGAAGCTTTAGACTAAAGGCATGCATGTAGATGTTATTGGACAATGACGCAGATAGTGAGATTACTAAAATGTGAAATAGTTCATACTTCGCACCAGAAATGGCATCTGTTAAAAACTTCAACTATTTTAGAAATGCGCCTGTGACCTCGGTAAATGTAGAACAGTTTTCGTTTTTGAAATAGGTATTTACCGATCGAGACAGACAGAGATTAACCGCGGAACACTTAGGACAACGTTAATTATATTTTCTACAATCGTTATTCTTATGAGTAAGACATTATTATTTTGTTAACTTTTGCTGGTACTTATTATTACATGCTATACCTATATATTTTATGGTAAGTTCCAGTGAAGCGTTTAGTGTAGAAAAATAGAGGCTGCCTCTTTCTGTTTCACACTATTATGCAAATATTACATATTTATTCTTATTGCAGAGTGCAGTTATAAGAAGGCAACGGTTCTATCACTTTTTGTTTCAATATTACATAAAAGAGAATGCGGCCTACAGCCAACCCCGTATTACATTGCAGCCGCCCTAACATNTAGATTTATCTTTGGAATTTTAACAATTTTATCTTTTAACCCTATATTATCTTTGATAAATTCTTCTTTTATTAATGAAGCCTCGGATCCTGTATCAACTAACATATTTACTTTAGAATTATCAAATTTACCTACTATATAAATTAATTGATTATTTATTTTATTTTCCAGATTATTTTCGTCTCTTATATACTCTCTGGGATGTTCATAACTACAAATGTGTACTTGGAGATTTGGCCTGCATTCTACTGAAAATCCGGAAGATCTTCAGGGTTTGTGTTTTGTGATGTGCTGTGTGGTATTTGTATTGACTCGTCCCTATCTACCGATCGAGTGTGTAGTTCCTCATATGACCTACGACTACTTTCGACGCTTGGTCTATCATAACGCTGAAAGTTGACTCGTCTAGTATTTGTATTATCCCTATCATTACTATTTGACCTTTGATTAAAATTGTGTACATTATTTTGAATATTGTCCCTATTACGATACTGTCTGTTATTGTAATTTTGCCTAAGACTTTGGTTATTCTGATTATTATATTGATTTGGCTCATAGCTATTGCCTTGTCGATTGAAGCCTTGATTATAATTTTCATTACGACCTGTGTAGTTATTGTTTGTATAATTTCTATTAACATTATTGAAATTACGATTATTGTTACCCTGATTAAAATTTTGCCTATTATTATTATTATTATTATTATTATTATTATTATTATTATTATGTCTTACATCAAAGGAATACTTACTAGCCTGGATAACATTCAGAAACACAACGTCGTGAACTTAGATAGATGTCCTTTACCTCGTGAAGATTATCGAACTGTAACAGCCTAGAAAAAAATTCAAAGTGTATTAATGTATATCAATAAATATTTATAAAAAACATATGAAGAACATCGTTTAATTATTCTGAAACAACCAGTTATGAAACCAAGATCAAGACTATAATAAAACCAACCGATTTGAAACACGCAAACTCACTTCTTATTTGTGTAATCTTGTCCGGTACACTCCCATTGGTCATATTTAGCGTTTTTCTTTCCACAAATATTACCGCATTGATCGTAGATAGAAAGTCTGTCCATATCAGAATAGCACAGGGTGTATATTACAAAGGGTAGCTGAAAAAAAGATTATGAATTAGGTGCTGTTCAGTAGCTACATGAGTAATCAGTAAAAAATTGTAAAGCATGAATCACACGACTTACCAAAACGAGTATCATCACCCCCAGGACTATTAAAAATTTTTTATCCGTGGGCACCCGATTTTCCTCACGTTCTGGTATTTCTATTTCTGCCTGATAAAAGTTGTTGCTTGGAGGCATCTTTTTGAACATAGCGAGCTGTAACAAACATTATAGTATATTATATATTGGAGTATGAATAAATATTTTAGAAATTTCATAAAAAAATCTTTTAATCTCACAACACACTTTATTATATAAAACTAAAAAAAATTACTCACCTGTTCTGGTTGAAGGCTTCTCGACGCAGACGCTCCCATTTTGGAGGTTTGGGATTCCTGAAATGTACTAAACATGACTTAAACAAGTGTCAAAAACTTACTGATAGAATATAGATTTAAGAAAATGTGTTTTGGCATAAAAAATCCAAGGAAATCTCCCATTTTTTTCGGATAGCATGGATTCTCCTGAAAATTTGCATACAAGTTCATCTGACCCCCCACTTTAAATGTCATATTGTCTAGCATATAGTCTGCTTTTTTCTATTTGGGGGCGAAAATTACCCTTGTACGAAAAAAATGCGAAAATCGACGATTTACGTATTTTAAAGATTCAATTCATGTTCAAATATGTTGGATATTATTGGAGTGAAGTTATCCACACATTTCCAGCCACGATTTATGACACATGGTACATTGAAAGTGGGATAGATGAACCCGCAGATATGGGTGGGGCTAGACATGCGCATGAGCAGTGTGCGCAATAGACGCAGTATGTAACTAATTAATCATTCTACGGTGAAATCGGTGATATCAAATACGCCTATATAATTTACTCAATACACGGGTAAAGCGAGTAACTAAATTAGTTTAAAAATCACGTCAGAATGTCTTTGAAATATTATAAATATAATAACGAATTAGCCTCATAAAAGAAAATTCTTCTCTAGAGTTGTGTTAACGTTGCCAAGTGCACGCTCCGAAAATCTATAAATATAGACCACCAAGGGAAAAGATTGTAACCAACACCAAATCCGTGTAGCATCCCCCTGAATTATTTTAAATATAATAAAGAATTAGGGTCATACAGTAATTTTTTTTTCTCAAGTTGTAGGAACGGTGACACGTGCACGCTCGGAAAATCTATAAATATAGACCCCGTACTACTACCCCGTCAAAGGAAATGATTGTAACTAACACCAGATCCGAGTAGCATCCCCCTGAATTAATTTAAATATAATAAGGAAGTAGCGCCTTAAATGAATATTTTTTTCTCGAGTTGTGGGAACGGTGCCACGTGCACGCTCGGAAAATCTACTAGTATAGACCCCGTACTACTACCCCACCAAAGGAAATGATTGTAACCAACACCAGATCCGAGTAGCATCCCCCTGAATTATTTTAAATATAATAAGGAATTAGCGCCATAAAAGAATATTTTTTTCTCGAGTTGTGGGAACGGTGCCACATGCACGCTCGGAAAATCTATAAATATAGACCCCGTACTACTACCCCACCAAAGGAAATGATTGTAACCATCACCAGATCCGAGTAGCATCCACCTGAATTATTTTAAATATAATAAGGAATTAGCGCCATAAAAGAATATTTGTTTCTCGAGTTGTAGGAACGGTGCCACGTGCACGCTTGGAAAATCTACTAATATAGACCCCATACTACTACCCCACCAAAGGAAATGATTGTAACCTACAGCAGATCCGAGTAGCATCCCCCTGAATTATTTTAAATATAATAAGGAATTAGCGCCATAAAAGAATATTTTTTTCTCGAGTTGTGGGAACGGTGCCACGTGCACGCTCGCAAAATCTATAAATATAGACCCCGTACTACTACCCCACCAAAGGAAATGATTGTAACCAACATAGACCACCAAAGGAAATGATTGTAACCAACACCAGATCCGAGTAGCATCCCCCTGAATTATTTTAAATATAATAAAGAATTAGGGTCATACAGTAATTTTTTTTTCTCAAGTTGTAGGAACGGTGCCACGTGCACGCTTGGAAAATCTACTAATATAGACCCCGTTCTACTACCCCACCAAAGGAAATGATTGTAACTAACACCAGATCCGAGTAGCGTCCCCCTGAATTAATTTAAATATAATAAGGAAGTAGCGTCTTAAAGGAATATTTTTTTCTCGAGTTGTGGGAACGGTACCACGTGCACGCTTGGAAAATCTACTAGTACAGACCCCGTACTACTACCCCACCAAAGGAAATTATTGTAACCAACACCAGATCCGAGTAGCATCCCCCTGAATTATTTTAAATATAATAAGGAATTAGCGCCATAAAAGAATATTTTTTTCTCGAGTTGTGGGAACGGTGCCACATGCACGCTCGGAAAATATATAAATATACACCCCGTACTACTACCCCACCAAAGGAAATGATTGTAACCATCACCAGATCCGAGTAGCATCCACCTGAATTATTTTAAATATAATAAGGAATTAGCGCCATAAAAGAATATTTGTTTCTCGAGTTGTAGGAACGGTGCCACGTGCACGCTTGGAAAATCTACTAATATAGACCCCGTTCTACTACCCCACCAAAGGAAATGATTGTAGCCAACAGCAGATCCGAGTAGCATCCCCCTGAATTAATTTAAATGTAGTAAGGAAGTAGCGCCTTAAAAGAATATTTTTTTCTCGAGTTGTGGGAACGGTGCCACATGCACGCTTGGAAAATCTACTAATATAGACCCCGTTCTACTACCCCACCAAAGGAAATGATTGTAACCAACACCAGATCCGAGTAGCATCCCCCTGAATTATTTTAAATATAATAAGGAATTAGCGCCTTAAGAGAATATTTTTTTCTCGAGTTGTGGGAACGGTGCCACATGCACGCTCGGAAAATATATAAATATATAGACCCCGTACTACTACCCCACCAAAGGAAATGATTGTAACTAACACCAGATCCGAGTAGCATCCCCCTGAATGATTTTAAATATAAGTAGCGCCTTAAAAGAATATTTTTTCTCGAGTTGTGGGAACGGTGCCACATGCACGCTTGGAAAATCTACTAATATAGACCCCGTACTACTACCCGACCAAAGGAAATAATTGTAACCAACACCAGATTCGAGTAGCATCCCCCTGAATTATTTTAAATATAATAAGGAATTAGCGCCATAAAAGAATATTTTTTTCTCGAGTTGTGGGAA